ATCAAGACTATCTACGAGTGCACCTAATTCGAGAAGCTCACAACTAGATGCTTACAGCCCACCCTGGAAGAGACAAGACGTACCAGATCCTCCGTTAAAGGTACTACTAGCCTCACATACTCTGTGATGTGGCTTAGTACGTACGGAACTGCCATGCTTGTGCTAGAGCCTCCTCCCCTCGAGACAAGACTCCTGGCTTACTACAACCTCTGCCGATTCCAGAACGCCCCTGGCAACAACTCTCTATGGACTTCTGCTCTTTCCCTCCTAACAAGCACGGCTATGACAGTGTTTGCGTAATCATCGACCGTCTCAGCAAGCAAGCTGTCTCCATACCTTGCCACAAGACAATTAATGCAGAGCAACTAGCCCGCTTATTTCTCACGAATATCTTCCGATACTACGGACGCTCTCTGGAGATCGTTAGCGATTGTGGTCCTCAATTCATCTCTAAGTTCTGGCAAGAACTTTGCCGCATTATAGGCACTAAGATCACGCTTTCGACTGGCTACCACCCACAAACAGACGGCCAAACAGAGAATTATAACCAAGTTCTCTAGGCTAGATTAACACCATTTGTGTCGTACTACCAGGACGATTGGTCAGATATGCTCCCTATGATGGACTACGCTCAGCTGTGCCTCCCTCAAGCTAGCATAGGAATGTCACCCCACGAAGTGCTGTACGGCACCGCTCCCGTACTTCATTTCGACTGGAATACTCGTCCGGATAGCGACAACACCCCTAGCGCTAAGCTGAATCGAGAGAAAGCGCTAGTGCTAGCTAGAAGGATGGACGAGGCAATTGCTATTGCCAGAAAGAATATGGAACAAGCCCAAGACCGCATGAAGCGCTCGCAAGATACTAGGCGAAGAGTAGTTGACTGGAAAGTAGGCGACAAGGCCTACGTTACGATTACCCAGTATAATACTCAGCGTCCTAGTCGCAAGCTCGACAATGTACGAGCTGGCCCCTTCTTGATCCTAGAGAAGAGAGGACACTCGTACAAGCTCGACTTGCCCGCTTCTATGAGAGTGCACCCTGTATTCTCATCCGACAAGCTAAGGAGAGACCCCGCAGACCCGCTGCCTGGTCAAGAAGAAGAGCCTCCGCCAGAAGTCAACATAACTGGTGATATCGAATGGGAAGTAGACGAGATCTTGGCCTCCAGACTAAGACGAAAGCAGCTGCAGTACCGAGTGAAGTGGCTGAACATGGACGAAGACCTAGAATGGTACCCGGCGTCCGACTTCAAATACGCTCCTGACAAGCTGATAGCGTATCACATGACTAATCCAAGCAAGCCTGGTCCCCCAGAGGCCCTTCCAGCTTGGAAGAAACAATTCGACGATGGAATTGACAATTATGATCACTTGGATAATGATAATTGGATGGATGCAACGACGAGGACGTCGTTCTTCGGAAGGGGGGGGTAATGTCACGGTTATGGAGTCACGTGCCCGCTACGAAATACTCACGTGACCGCTCGCCTGTATATATGCCCTGCCTTCCGGCGCTTCCTTCCTTTCTTTCCTCTTTACCTTTAGATTCTAAGAGATAGCCGAATCGATACTTCGTCTACGTACTAAGCTTCCCACCGTGCTGTCACAAAAATAAAGTTATTAATTCTGTCTCGATATTTTACGTTTTAAAACTAATTATAATAAAATATTTAAAATATTTAATAAAAAAATATTATAAATAAATCTTTCTAAATAAATAAAATAATATAAAAATAAATATTGAATTTATATGGGATTAGGGAATTGCTTAAAAAAGTAATAACACATATTTTCATTGTGTTGTTCAAACTATTTGATTAGTAATTTGATATGCTTCTTTTATGTAGAACGTTTGGAACGGTGTGACACATCGCTTAATAAAGACGGAACAACATGTCCGTGGTGTCACGGGCACGTGATCAGCATACCATGGGCTCAGGGGCCCAGCCGTTGGTCCGGCATTTGTGGATCCCGGGTCACGTGTTGGATCCCTTGGGGGCCGCCGCGGGCTCTGGGGGATCCAGGGGGACCCTGGGGGATCCAATCAGAAGCATATATACTGGGCTTGAGGCCCTTAGGTAGGAGCCTTGTGCTCAACTTGATTAAGTTTTCCTAACTACTATATCATTGCCTTACTTTACTTCATTCACCATACCAACCCACGTGACCTTACCAGGGTAAGGAGAGAGTCGTGACACGTGGCTGTATTCGGCCATTTGAGATCAAGCGGCTTGAACCAATTTCTAAGTATCATTCGTACGGTCGGATGAAGGTTGAGACTGGGTGAGTTCATTTTCATCTGCATGAACAGCCGCAAGCCAACTGTGCTTCAAGTGTTTCCACATCCGAGACCACGACATCGCCATGATACGCTTGGAATTCAACCGATAATATTCCTCGCGATGCTTCGTTATACGGCGTCACGTTTATTAATGTTTAGCACATTGAAAATCCTCTTACGGAGGCTACCTCGCAGAGGTTTCTCTACATTTGTGGAAGACTTAAAAGTATACACCTTTATATAACAAAATATAACGTTCTAACTAACAAGCAACCGATGTAAACCTTTTTTTTAAGTAAAATTGACCCAAAAGCATATAGCTTGATGGAAGCGGTATGTTCAACAAGATAAAGCGTGATAATTACCTAATTCGTAACATGTCTCCAGGAGAAATTGCGGGACAAGTTTTTTATAAATCTTATTTGTTCTGAGAATTATTTTTTCGAAGCTGTAACCCAAGCTCTTAGTGCATATATTCTAAGTAAATATTTTAATTAGCATTTAAAAGTTTTGTAGTGTAGGCGTTGAATTATTTTTCTAAAGGCATAAAAGGATATCTAAGTAGTCGTTTTTATGGAGGAAAATAACATATTGATAATATTGAAAGATTATATTATAAAAAAGCTTTCCAAGCGTTTAACTTAGACCTAAAAAAAACAGGGAATTAATGTTTAGCGTAAGCATCGTTTCCGTCATTAATGTTAAAAAACTAATTTCTACTTATATTAACTTTATCGGGTGCTTTAGCAAACTTATACGTTTACACTACTCTAATAGAGCCAGGCGATAAAACAATGGGACTAGATCTACCACATAGAGGTCATCTCTCTCATGGATTTCAAACAGAGAGAAAGAAGGTTTCGGAGGTTGCAAAAGGAGTTCCTTTGTGCTTACCCGCGGATAATAGACTGGCTTGCATCTGTAGAGAAGAGTGAAGTTCTGGAGATGTATGTTGGGTCCAACCCGAAAATCCTCGCTATAAGCGAGTAAGCTTCTCCAGACATCCGCCTTGAGCTGTAAACAGAAAGGGAGGCATCCTGACAGAGAAACGTAGCAAAGCGAAAGAAGTCAAGCGCTGGCCACTTCTGTACAGACCGCCAAATCCAACATGGCATAAAGGCAGGATTGTATTGACAGGTGACGCTGCTCATCCGATGCTTCCCCGTAGTTATCCTTTTTTTCTATTTACTCTGCTTCAGATGGAATGCTAAACTCTAGCATATCACGCTCAAGGTGCTGCACAAGGCATTGAAGATGGCCTAGCTCTCGGGCTCGCAATGCACGGCGTAACAAATTCATCGCAAATCGAGAAGCGGCTTGCTCTCTATGAAGACATAGGACGGAATCGTGCGGCATCAATCCAGGTACTGAGTAGTGTTGGCTATGATGAGCCGGTCCCGAAAGCGGTGGCAGAGTACTTAGAAGGACGTCCTGTTCCGAGTCAGTAACTTTTCTGATACTTGGCTGACGATGAACGTATAGACAATATGAAGGAGATTATTCAGTTGGAGTATGGCGATGATGTGCTGCTTCGGACTATTGAGGTTATGACCGAATTCGATCCGACATGGAATATTCCGGATGGGTCTTTTCCAGCTGGATACAATAGCGAAGCATACAGCTAGTGTACCAACTTTTGAGTGAAGCAATGGGAGTTCTGATCTGTTTTTGCCGTAAATCTCTTCAGCTGGTTGAGCTTCGCAGTTTGATTCGTAAAGATTTTTGAGGCGAGTCTGAGTCTCCAAGTATTGTTCCAAGCTATTGCCATGGGGGAGAGGCTCGAAGGGGTCAAAAGAGCATGGGGAAAGCACAAGGCGGGAGCTACGTCCGTCGAGACTTGCGCGTGCGAGGGGTCCAGAGCGTCTCGCTAGTTGCAAGGGATTCTTAGGTCATGGGGAATTGGATGATCGATAACTCTTCCCTTACCCCATCTCCTGGTCTTGCTCCTAGGATGACAATTTTGACTGCTTGTTGATATTCACCCAGCTGCTTGTTCACTATTGGTAGCAAGGACTTGGAGATAAGTCCGTCTGATGTATAGGGTTAATGAGATCGTTGACTAGGTGGCGGAACCAAGCTTTTGGCACTCGCATGCCTCGGTCCTGGTGCGGGAGCGCACGCCAGGCCGTTCTGGCTGCATGCTTAGACAAGCGCCATAATCAGCCTCACCCAGCTAAGGCTACTAAGCTCGTTCCTGCATTGGTCGCATTTCCTCACCAGGTAAGCGGGTGGAGATCTTCGCTTAATTGGGGCTCTGGAACGTTGGATTAGGGGGGGAATGCGGGGGCGCTAACGAAGCAGAATTTCCGAAAGAAGGGAACCTAACCTGACCTAATTCTTGGGGTCTGGTAAGCTTAAAATTTTAAACTGGAGATTGGAAAGGGTGACCGAGGTCTATCGACGTGCAACAATTGATCATGAGTGACAAATGTCTGTCTTGATCATGCATGATTTAGAAGAAAGAGAGATACCATCCGGTCTAGGCCGCTGTCTACTCCAAACTCGGACGGACCAAAAGTTCATTGCAGAGAATATCTCGAAAGATCGCCAACAGCCGAGCACGTAAATAGCTTGGGACTAGGGATTTTATTGAACGCCACATTTATCGACACCGTTTATTTTCACTTGACAGATTCAAATATGGCGTCTCGACTCTGGCCTATTCTGCGTTGGAAGACCTGGAATCAGATGGCCACTGTGACTAACTGGCTAAGATGTCCTGTACAGTTACATAAAAGGTAGTCAGGCTCCTGCACTTTATATTCCAGTACCACACACTCTCTTGTCAAATTTCTTCTCAGTCTAATTTTTTGAACTTCAAGATGTTGAGATCGATCTTAGCAACCAGTCTTTACCTTGGGTCTTTCGCCCTGGTTCACGGAGCGAAGATACCGCACGTCTTCGAAAGAGCCGCAACATCCGCATGTAATGCTGATAACTGCTTGCGAGCTGTAAGTCAACGCATCAAGCATTTCATTTACAAGTATATCCACTAACATCAACACAGGTTCGTGCGACTGGCACGCCGACACGTCTATCTACTGCGAGCGCAGACTGTTCATCCTTCTTCCAAAGCACTGTTACACCTTGTCCAACGTATGCTCAATCTCCAGTTCTTATACCGCCCCTCTAACTTCTTTCGCAGCACCACCACTATCACCATCTCTCAAACAACAACTCTGACGGATCCAACTGCCTACGCTACAGCTTCAACAACCACAGTCTCAACAGAGACTGACACCAGCTATTCCGTCTTTTCAAGCACAGTCATTATCTCCGAAACAACCACTTTAACAGACCCAACCGTCTTTATCACAACGTCAACTAGCACAGTCTCGACGGAAACCGACACAAGCTACTCAACCGCCTACACAACAATCACTAGCAGCCAGATTCAACAACGAGACAATGAACGTTTGAACGAACGCCAGACTATTTGTCCAGCAACATCAGCACCCTCTGCAGTCCCAACCTACGCCACCGCCTGCTCAGGAGCCGTTCGCTACTCATCTGCATGTTCCTGCCTCGGCGTCACTGCTTCAGTAACGACTCTTCCCGCCTCCATCCAAACCGTCTATGTCACGGCGATATCAACCTCGCAAACCACGCCGCTTGCCACAGTAACCACTACGTTATCCAGCGCCACAACAGAAGTCACGACCTCTGTATCGACCTCGATTAACGACGAGACCTCCGTATCAACCGTAGAAACCACTCCGTATGCCACCGTCACCGACATCATTTCCACCGCCACAACGACAGTAACCACCCTCGTATCCACCTCCGCCATCGAAGCCACGCCATCTTCGAGCTGCCTAGCCATATCTTCCAACTGCAGCTCACCCACCTTCATCATCCGATTCGCCAACGGCACCTACGCCGGCAGCTTTGTCTACATCCCCTACATCGGGCCGACCATGCCTTTCACCTATGTCCGCTCCACCACCTCGCAATCTCAGGCGGCTCAATTCACCGTCGACTCCTCCGGCCGCCTAACGTCCGTCGCGCACGGGCTAGTCTATTACCCTACTTCGAACACCGAAGCCGGGACGCTGGTGTTTGGAAGTACGGGACGCGCGACAAGTAGTTATGATCCGGTGTATGTGCAGTTGGGCTGTGGACCGGCTTGTCCGGGGGCGTCGGGGAGTCTGCTGTTGACGGCGGCGAATGCGCCGTATAATACTTGGGCGTATTGTAATGGGGTCACGGAGGTGGTTGTCAATTCGCAGAACTTTTGTGGACCGCCTAATAATATTGGGTATTTGGATGCGTTGAATTTTATTGCGGTTTGAGGGGCGTGGGATTGTATTTCATGCAAGATAATTAATTACTAATTGATGTTAGGATTGACGCTAGAGAGCTTGTGAAGTGGTATTGTTGATTTCGATCGGTGGGAGTTGATGTTTCCTCGCACGAATTCTGCGCTGCTAAGGATACTCGTGGACCAAAAAAACTATTCCATCTAGAGAGCAGCAGTCAAGTACAACCAAATGGCTTGGAGTGAAGTAGTCGGAGTTCAGTCGACAATTGCAATGAGCCTTACAACACAACCAAACAACAATCCCATCCGTTCTCCCTCCTAACCACTGCCAGTCGCTCGTTCTACCTAAGCGAGAAAATTCAGGAGAACATCTCACGCGCAATACAGTGCGTAATACAGTAATTCCTAGGTATCAATCTAATCCTCTTGCCTCCTCATCTCGCCCCTAAACCACACTCCCTCCATCCAAACCCCAACACCTGTCCCATCCCCCTTAACAACCAATCTCACCTTCCATCTCGCGCACGCACGAGAGCGCCCTACCCCGCTTCTCGAAACCCCAATATGCGGGGTGAACCAGGATCCCGAGACCCCTTTCCCGAAATACCCGGCGCTTCCACCCAATCACTCCCCTCACTACTGCAGGGTCGAGGGTATCGCACCAATGATGAGACCTTACTGTCTTACCGACCAGAGGATTCATGCGGGAATCAGCTGTTGTCGTTATTGTTACAAAGCGTGGGTCTTTGCTTCGTCGACTTCTTTCTTTCTTTCTTCTTTTTTGTTGATATTTACTTTGACGTTGAGCAGAATCTTCCTACATCCATAAGAAATACGAGTATCAGCTTGGACAGTAATCCGCTTACTGCACGTTGAATCTGCCAGTCAGACAACCCCTCTCTCACGTCCCACAAACCCCGCGGCCCTCCTTCTCTTCTGAAATCCCGAACCCCGGCATCCCGTTCATTCATTCAAACACCAACCTCGAACTCGCTCACTCTTTCATAGACCACTCCTTCCATCCCTCCTATCTACACACCAACCCCAAATCTTCCCTCCAAACCATCGAAAATGCCACCCATCACCCGCACAGCATCCCCCATCCTCTCAGCCCTCGCCCGACGAAACCTCCAGCGACCAGCATTCCGCCAAGTCCGCTTCGCATCGCACGTCGGCACCGTATCGGCGTCGAAACTCGGCGGCAAGGCAGATTGGGGATATCAGTGGAAGCGGGTTGGGGGTGTTGCTATGATGTGAGTCGCATTACTTTTCTTCTTAAATAAGAATGGGTAGGGATGGAATGCAATGGAGGATAGGTTTGCTGACAGCGGGTTGGTGGGGATAGGTATTTCCCTGTTGTGGCGGTTGTTATGTTTTGGCCGTATGGGGTTGAGCCGATTATGGCTGTTTTTGAGGATAAGTGGTAGGATGGGGTTATGGGTGGGATGATAAGATTTTGAGAGGAGGGGGATTGGATGGGACGGGGAGGGCTTGTTGTATATGCTAGGTAGTAGAAAGAAGACGAGATGGCTTCAGGATTGAGGTCGGAATTAGGGCTTGAGTATTAGAATGCATTTTTAGCTTGGGATTCACAATGAGAGAGTCTATTGTGGTTTATTTCCTATTTTGATTTTTGAATTCGATTGGAAGGCCCTAGTCTGCTTACCTCGGGTTGCTTGTTGCTCGGCTTCGATATGAACGAAATATCTGTTGAAAGAAACTACTAACTTATTGTAAATTTTTCATAAACATGTGTAGCCCAATTGACACCATTTACAGCAGCCCAAACACCCGTGACGCTTGCAAAAATTACTAATTCCAAATCAAGAATCAGATTTCCTGCACCTGGCGTAATTGTAGTAAGAGTTGATGACCTTAGTTCTGGTTATTGCGCTCCCTAAAAAAACGAAAGATACGTCTTCAGTTGGATTTTAGTCTTGGAGTATTCGAATCTAAGCAATTATATCTGCAATTAGAATCAGAGGGATTGAAAAAGTGCGGAAATCTATGGAAAACTTCTCATGTGAAAGATGACACTCCATTGGACCGTTCGGCCATCAACAAACAGTTTGGAAATCAGCTACTACGTCACCGATGCATACTTTCCATTCGACGAATATTCCCATCCCCACAATTGAATCCCCACAACTAAGTAACGTCTCGTCCCCAGTAAACTCGCATTAAGATTTGAGGAGGGCAATGCGACGCAACAAGCCCCGCTCCTTAGCCACTCGCTCGCTTAACCACGAGCCGCGTAAGCCCCTGAAGCCACAGCGTGTGGATCCCCATATCAACTGCCGTCGGTACCGGTAAGATTTACACTTTCTCCTAACTTCAAAAAGTTGAAATCCTGTGCTGCTTTGACATTGTATTTCCTGTCACTCAACAATCCTAGATCTTTATGCATTTCTAGCTGTGGACTTCCTCTTATTGTTCAAGCAGCGAGTTCTCCAGTCTTTAGATTCAGGGACAAGGACGGACGCTACCACGAGAGAGAGAAAAATATTTTCCGTCCTACATCTTTCGGTCCCGAGATTCACAATTTATAGTGTGGGCCCATTTGTCGATGATTCTCCCGCGAGAGGAGATAATTGGACGGTACCTGTTTCGTTTCAATATTTAGAACTGGAATGTTGTGGATGTAGTACGTCCTCTATTGAGCGTCATTATTCGGATCGTCCTGGTCGTCCAGGGCCGGATTTCTTTGAGCTCCTGGGGGAGAATATATAGATGCCACAAATGTCCACCTGAATGATGGACCACCCAGCAGGTTTTGTCGGCTTTCGTTGGTTCTTCCTTAATCGTTCATTATGTTTTTCCGAAATGTCCACTTTTCGTTGCTCCTTGCTGCTAGCCCTATCGCATGGGCGAGCTAGCAAGTGACAACTTCCTACGGTACGGTCTAGGGAGCTACATCCGACCTCAACAGTGCCGTCAATGTGTATAAGGGCATTCCATTCGCAACACCACCAATCGGCGATCTGAGATGGACAGCTCCTACCTCGCCATCCAACTGGACTGGAGTCCTCAACGCAACATCTTTCGGGGCTGATTGCGCGCAAAGTTATTCAGCTCTTGGACTCTTCTCTTCCGGCAGCGAAGACATCTCAGAGGATTGTCTGTACATGAATATCTGGGCTCCTGCAAATGCTACATCGACTTCAAACCTTCTAGTCTATGTCTGGATCTACGGTGGGCGTTTCGAGGGTGGTGCTGGTAGTGTACCAACTTATGATGGGTCTCATCTTGCGTCAAAGGATATCGTGGTTGTTAACTTCAATTACCGGATGGGTCCTTTTGGTTTCCTAGCTCATCCTGAGCTTGATGAGGAATCTGGACACAATGCTTCGGGAAACTATGGTCTTCTTGATCAGATTCAGGCTCTCGCCTTCGTGCGAGAGGAGATAGCTGCCTTTGGTGGTAATGGAAGCCACATTACCGTTGGTGGACAGTCAGGTATGTTTGAATTCCAGCTACTTTTGACTGATACTAATCCTATTCCTAGCCGGATCTGCCAGTGCTCTGGACATGATGTACAGTCCTCTCTCCAGCGACAAGATCGTAGCAACCATCGCAGAGAGCGGAGCCCGTGGTCCACACGACCCCGAAACCTACGGTCTAGCCACCGCTCACCGATCCAAAGCAGCAGTTTTAGCAGCCGGTGTCTCATTCCTGGCCGAAATGAACGTCACCAGCATCGCCGAGCTCCGCAACGTCTCCATGGCCGACCTTCTGATCTACGGCAACGCAGCCGACAATGTCCTCACCGGCACCGTCTTCGAAAACAGCACTGAAGTCACCAACCCCCCAGCCTGGCGCCCTGTCATCGACGGCTACGTCCTCCCCTACCTCTACGGCGAATCGCTTAGCCTAAACGCCCACGGCGACATCCCCATCTTCACAGGCGACAACCGCGGCGAAACATCCGCAACGACATTCACCTCCCTCGCCGCCTACCAATCCGTCTACGAAGAAATCCTGCTCGGCAACCTCTCCGCCTCTTTCTTCGCCTCGTACCCCGCGACCGACGCCGCGACTGCTGGCAACCAAAGCTTCGCCTTCTGGGACGACATCAACCGCGTCTCGACGTGGGACTGGGCGCAAGCCTGGTCCGGCGGCGGCGCTACCCAGGACGTCTTCCTCTACTACTGGACGCACGCGCCGCCTAACCAGACTGCTGGTGCTTACCACGGCTCCGAGCTCTGGTACGTGTTTGGCAACCTGCCGACGTACTATAACTACACGTGGACGGCGCAGGATGAGTTTCTGCAGCAGCAGATGGGCGAGTATTGGGTGAATTTCATTAATACGGGGGATCCGAATGGGCGGAATTTGACGAGCTTTCCGGCAGCGAGTGAGGTGAGGCAGGTTATGTGGTTGGGGGATTCTACGGGGGCGAGTTATTTGACGAATGGGACGGGGAGGTTTGATGTTATTCAGGAGTTTTTTTCGCAGCAGATTGAGTTTTAAGGGGTGGTTGGAAAGACTTTGCGTGGTTGAGGCTGTGTGATAGTACAATTGAGAAGGTGTACCGTAACTTTACAATTGCGAATCTGTTGAACGAAGAAACTTCCTCTCTTCCTTCTTGGCCATAATGTTCATGAAGGTACCTAGGTAAGCACTCATTGGCTAGACTTTGGGACGAGAAGTACCTATGTACCTAGGCATTTTGTGATAGGTCCGCTTACGACCAAACCCACTAGATCTCAAGACCAAAATCTCACTCACTACCACTACCATATCATCTCGATTCATCAAACATATGAATCTTAGAATCCTCGCTCGGGCAGCTGAACGAGAATTTGTTTGATAAGCAATATAACACATCACTAAACGGAGTTCTCAACGCCCGGACTAACATAATATCGATGACCTAAGCTTTAGTATCTCAAAGTAACCAAGACTTCCCGAATCCCATACCCAAGAAAACTCATTCCTCAAAATGCCATCCCCCACCGACCTAATCGGAACCTGGACTCTCCTCTCCTTCGCCTTCTACACCTCCTCCTCCTGTACATCCCTCCACAGCCACCCCCTCGGCCCGCACGCCCTAGGCCGCCTAACCTTCTCTTCGGATGGCTACATGAACGCATTCCTCTCGAATCCCGACATCGCAACCCCTTTGTCCGTGCCCTGGATGGCGGCGCCCGAGACGGACATCGGGCGGGTGGCGCGCGTGCAAGCGGGCTATTGTGGACGGTATACGGTGTATGAGGAGGGCGGAGAGAGCAGGTTTGCTACGGAGGTCGAGATGGCGTTTGATCCGGGGCTGGTGGGGAGGAGGATGGTGAGGAGGTGGGGGGTTGAGGACGTGGAGGGCAGGAGGTGTTTGGTTTTGAGGCCTGTTGAGGGGTTTGTTTTGAGTGTAGGTTGTGTTTTTGGGGGAAGGGGCTGGTTTTTATGTGCTAATTGGTTGTAGGATGGAGGACAGGCTTTTGCGGAGCTTAGATGGGTGAAGGTGGAGCTGGATAGTGATGCTAAGTCGTGATTGTTCCGTGGTTGATGAAGCTCGAGAAGTGGAGTGCCTCTTATTCATTTATCTCTCGGAAGAACCCTTGCTTATAGCGATGTTTCTGGTCGGATTGGTCCCCATGAAGAGGACTCAGAAACGATAAGTAAACGACTTGTAAAAAGGTAGCGGAAACAAATGACCATACTGAATATAGTTTTCCTCTGAACACTTGCACTTGTTTGTTGTAGTGGCCAAAAATATATAAAGACAAGCAAAATGCAGGAAAACTCAAAAGCAGAGATGAAAGTTGCAACTGTGGTCCAGCAAGAGGGTGGATGAGGATATTAAACACGTGACTCTCAATTTTCAAATTGAAATGAAGCCTCATAAATTGCCCGAAGAGCGTAATAACATAACAGCAACAGAACTTGACATATCTAAGAGTGATGAGACGTTCTTTCTGAACTTGTAGAAATCAAAGGAAAACCTTCCTCTTCAAAACAAAAATCAAAGCTCAAGAAGGCAGGTAAGCCTACTCAAGCCGCTATCCCAAAACAGTTACTTCCCGAGCGACATTAGCCAGGGGAACTCTCCCGACAGGACATGGAATCTAACCCGAGACGACGAAGTGCGTGACTTACTGGCGGTCCATCTAAACTCTTACAACTCTCTTTCTTTCCTTGCAAAGTTCTCTCTTTAAATAACTTTCCCAACCATAACATCCCACCTTTCCCCAAACCCTCCCACATTTGAAAGATGGACAAGAAAATCTACCTCGTCCGCCACGCCCAAGGCGAACACAACATATCCGTCTGTCCCTCTCCTCTCCCCTCCTCCCTCACCCAATCCCCCTAACCACTAACCACTAACCAACACCCCAGGACAATTTCTACGTCCCCGACGCCATCCTCACACCCCACGGACACACGCAATGCCAAGCCCTCCAAGCAACCTTCCCACACCACTCGACCATCGAAATCATACTCTCCTCTCCCTTGCGCAGAGCAATTCAAACAGCAATCCACTCCTTCGCACCCGCTCTCCTGCGTCCAGACGTAAATTTCCTCCTCGTTCCCTTGGCACAGGAGATTAGCGCCAAGCCATGCGACGTCGGGCACGAGCGGGACGAATTGCGGGAGGAGATGGGGCGGTTGTTAAGTGCGGAAGGGAAGGAGATCGGGTTTGATGGTGGGAGAATCGATTATTCGATTTTGGACGAAGGGTGGAGTTCGAAGGTTCGTCCTTTTTCTTTCTCTCTATGCTGGAGAGAATCAAGTGAAGAGGGGTGAGCTGATGAGAGGTAGAAAGGGTTATATGAGGATAGTCTGCAAGCTGTAGAGGCGAGGGCTGCGGAGCTGAGGATGTGGTTGTGGAGGAGGCCGGAGAAGGAGTTTGTGCTTGTGACGCATGGGGCGTTCTTGCATTATTTGACGGAGGATTGGGATGGGTTTCATGCTAGTCATGGTGAGCGTGCCTATTTGCAATTTGAGGATGATGGAGATTGACGGTGATAGGAACTGCGTATAAGAATTGCGAGTATCGATGCTTCACATTCACCGAAGACTCGGATGAGAGGGAAGCACATTTGACGCAAGTTGGGAAGACGGGAGTGAGAGCGACGAAACCCCTTGGAACACATGCAAAGGATATCACTGGTGTGCATCCAAATTGATAGAAGATACTGGGCTGAAGAAATGGTTGTCTTCTTTCTAGCAAGAATAGATGTAGATGGTATAGACTCTATAGAAGGCTTGGCAAATTATGTATGACGAAGGACGAAAATTTGCTACTCTCATGGTGTGGAAATTGTCCCTCCAGTTGTTGAACGCCCGAAAAGAATCTAGCAATTAAAGAACATGGAAGCCTTGTCCAAGTCGCTCCATGGGCCAGTGTTGGGACAAAGCAGAACAGCACGAAACCAAACATGGAGGGTAGATTCTAGAAAACCTGGAAAGCATACTCAGCGTTCTGGGCAGTACATGTACTTGATTGGTAGAAAATTATCCTGTATGTCTAATAGTCGAATGAATAAAATCAACGCAGAAAAACGCCCACAGCATCCCACAATGTCTGTCTGTAGTTATCCAAACTCCAGTAGCCAAATGTCGAATGAAAATCATAAAACAGCGCAGAATCCTAGTAGATAGAGGGTCGTGGCGTTGGTCAAAAGTATCTCGGACTAGGATCTTCAAACTAAACCCGCAAAAAAGGCCTCATCCCATGTAAAATCTGCGGAAGCATCTTCATCAGACTCATCCTGACCTGCCCGCCCCGAAGTGGAGGCTTCGAGTGCTGATTCCTCTTCCGCCTGTCGAAGCTCGACCTCTTTCAGGAGATTGTGCCTATGCTGCCTACTCTCCTCTTCATCAACAAAATAGCTTTCGATTAAGTCGTCTTTCGACATAACCCAACGATTTGTTCCTTCACCATCTGTCCGCTTCTCTGCTCGAGTGCCATTGATAATATCAACGAGCAGCTCAGCTGGATAATGCTTGGGACATTGTATGTCGCGCGTAGACTTGATACAGTAATCGATCAGATATCTCCGGAGCGGGCTTTCTGGGGTCGTTCCTTCATATATGGTGTTGTAGAGACTAGAGCCGAACTGTCTAGCTTGTATTCGAGCCTCATTAAGAGCCAGAAGAGCTTCATTCTGAAGGCGAGGCATCAGGTATTTGTCTGCAAATATCCACAAGCTGACCAAAGTGGAGCTTGGTGGACGCTCTCCGGAGCTATCTTGGATCTTCTGGGAGTAAAGCCAATTCACGAAGACTCCAAATTTATGTGGGGTGGGGCGTTGGTGTGGTCTGCGAGCAGTTACAGCTGGCTGTAGCCGTATGAAGTCAACCTATTCTGCAAGAGATTATTGGTACGGAGTTGCTGACAATTGATGGCGCTGCCAGATCAGATCACGAGCAACGCTTGCTAGTGTACAAGAAGGAGGGCAGGTCTTTGAAACACCACAAACAAACGAAGTGGAGAGATTGACATCGGAAGGGGACATGAGGTGCAACGTCTTGATCGGCAACAATCTTTCTTGATAAGATATGTGCAACAAACGACGAGCTTGAGAGGGGACAATGCGACGATGAAGTTGACCCGCGATCCTCTTCAAACGTGTGGCTTCTTGATAGTGGCTAGTGTGCAGCAAGCCTCCAGCTGCCTAGCGAGGCTGGCAATACGTAGGTAAAGATTGCTAGGCCGAAATACAAAATAGTCCAGGCAGACACGGAGTCACCGGTTACCCACCGAGAATTGAGACTACAGGTTCTTCTTCTATCAAAACCACGGATTCGCCCTCGACTTGGTCAAAGATTTCGAAGACTTACCCAAGACCAAGATGAAGGAAGAAGAAACATCCCGGCTTGCGAGAGGTCTATCAAAGGAAGACTTCAAGTCAATCGAACCTCACCTCGCGTACCTGGAGAAATATCTCACGTTGCGATCATACATCGATGGTTATACCCTCAGTCAAGCTGATTCGACACTGTGGGTTGCCATTCGGGGCAACAAGATCGCGCACTCCTTAGTAAAGAGAGCGACTCTGGTGAATTTGAGTCGTTGGTTTACATTCGTTGAGCAGTCACATCCAGAACTCCAGGAAGAGTTCGTCGCCAAGGACGACGCGGCAAAGGCGAAGAAGGCTGCTCAAAGCAGGGCTGGTGCTAGCTACAATATCGCTCTCCAAGATGCTGAGATGGGAAAAGTTGTCACCGGGTTCCCTCCCGAACCATCGTATGTCTCCTTGTTCAATACCTGATACCCCAGCACCTGGTTCTTAGGGCTATTGCTGATTTCACACAGTGGATACCTTCACATCGGCCACGCGAAGGCTGCTTTGCTAAACGATTACTTCGCTCACGACCTATACAAAGGTACTCTCTTATTTCGATTCGATGATACGAACTCCACCAAGGAGAAACAAGAATTTCAAGATTCAATTACTGAGGATCTCGATGTTTTGGGCATCAAACCGGACAAAACGAGCTATACAAGCGACCACTTCCACACCCTATACGAGTACTGTGCCCGAATGATCAAAGAAGGCAACGCCTACGCAGACGATACCGACCAGAAGACCATGAGAGACGAGAGAATGACTGGCAAGGCGAGCGTACGGCGTAACAGAACCGTCGAGGAGAACATGGCCATTTTTGAAGGAATGATTGCCGGAACACAGCTACAGAATTGCATTCGCGCAAAGATATCTGTGGACAATCCAAACAAGGCGATGCGGGATCCGGTCATTTACCGCTGCAATCATACACCCCATCACCGTACTGGTACTTTGTGGAAGGCATATCCAACCTACGATTTTGCTTGCCCTCTCGTCGACTCCCTCGAAGGCGTGACCCATGCCCTCAGAACTACCGAATTTGCCGATCGTAATCCGCAGTATCAGTGGTTTCTAGAATGTTTCAACCTTCGCAAGGTGCATATATGGGATTTCGCTCGCTTGAATTTCAAGCGAACGTTCTTGTCAAAGCGGAAGTTAACTAAGTTGGTAGATGCTAGTAGAGTGTGGGGCTGGGACGACCCTCGTATGCCAACGATTCGTGGTGTCTTAAGAAGAGGGATGACGATCTCAGCACTACGAGATTTTATTCTCAAGCAAGGCCCTAGCCGAAACATTACTCTTATGGATTGGACAATCTTCTGGAACATCAACAAGAAGGAGATCGACCCAATTGCTCCTCGACATACTGCTGTTGACCAAAAGGAGACTGTCAGAGCTACGATCATTAAACAAGGTCCGGAGAAAGCATATACGGAAGAGAGGCCAAGACACAACAAGAACCCTGGTTTAGGAACGAAGAAAGTTGCCTATAGCAGCCATTTAATTCTTGATCAGGAGGACGCCAAGCTATTCGAGCAGGACGAGGAGATCACTCTCATGGCCTGGGGTAACGCAATCGTTCCGAAGATCAATCGCTCCTCACTGGACTTTCGTTCTCCGGTTGTCGACATTGAGCTCGAACTTCATCTCGAAGGTGACGTCAAGAAGACTGAGAAAAAGATTACATGGCTCTCGACTGAGGGACAAAGTCTTATTCCAGTGGAGTTGGTCGATTTCGATTATCTCCTCACAAAGGACAAGCTAGAAGAAGATGATAACTGGGAAGACTTCTTGACCAAGCAGACTGAGTTCAGGAGTGCAGCCTTTTGCGATGCTAACTTGGCCGCTTGCAAGACGGGTGATATTATCCAGCTGGAGCGGAAGGGCTATTTCAGAGTTGATGCGCCGTACAAGGATGGCAAGGCGGCAGTGCTATTCAACATTCCTACTGGAAAGACTAGGTGACTTGCGAGCTGTCGACGTTTTATCACATGGTTAGATGTCCAATTGTTTGGTCTGGATTGTAAATCAATAGTTTCTTAATAGAAGTCGGAAAGGCTTGGATTAGCTGAATAGCCAATCGATCATGGTTACCCGTAGTCTCTTGACGAAAGCTCTATTGGTATTGACGATCGTCAGCCCCACATCTGCTACACACCAACATGTAAGGCATACATCCTTGTGCCTTCACCCCTACAACGTTGTGGTAGTAACCTCCAGGCTCTCGGTTGCTGGAATCCTCATGCTTTTAGTGTTACCGTTGTGAATGCTCACAAAGAGGTCTCTTTGACCAAAGTAAACTACCAAATTAATTATTCACAACAAGATTCTCTTTATACTAGACTTCTGAATTTTTCTATGAAGAGTGAGCGGATACTTCTTGCGCTGGAGTCCCGACCCAAGTTTGAGTTACAGCTTAAGATTGTCCCCAACGCAAAACCCAATAGCATAACTCAACCACCTCAAATCCAGTCAGTCGACGTTGGCAATTTATCATGTACCAATCAGCTCTGCCGAGCAGCACCTGACTGTACTCGAAATTTGATTCAGACGTTTGTCATTAGCCCTGCATGGTGAATGCGCTTTCACGCAATCATTATGACGACAAATTCATGAATGTGTTTACATTGAGTCAGGTACATGCTGTTGGCTAACTTAGCAAAGACTGGTGTATTTGGCTTCAGTACATCACTCCCTTGTGACGGACTCAAAATGATTCTAACTTGCTCCATACAAGACAGCTAAAACTCAAGTTTGCACCCTTACCTTTCTAGCGTGTAATCCAAACGCAATCATATTCATCATTCCAACCCTCGATTTGTCTCGCATATTGACATCATACTTGCCATTGTAGAGTTTCTTCTAGCCAAGATGAAAGTGCTGTGACTCTAGAGCCTTGTCGTCTGGTTGACTCTAGTGCCTTCCCGATTAGTCAAATAGACAGCAGTTTTGCTCTGAATCACTGCGTTCCTTCCTAGCTTGCTGCTTGTGACGAAAGCCCCAGCCTCATCTCCTCCCATCTGACTCCTCCCCAAGTCTATATATACCCCCTCCCCACCACCTTTCCTCTCTTCTCTTCTCTTCTTCTCATCAACAACTTCAACTCACTTCATCTTACTTCAACTTACTTCACAACATCTTCAACTACTACTTCAATCAAACCTCCAACATGTCTTCCAACGTCTACCCCACCCACCCAATCACCCTTGATGCAACCATCCCTCTCTTCAAGAAGGACCTCGAGGATGTTCATATCATCTACGACTATGATGCCAAGAATCCCGAGACTGGGGTTCCTGAGAAGTGGCAATATGAGATGTAATATCCCCCTCCTTTCATCTCTGCACATTCTTCCGCCAGAGTTTCAAAACTGATATCTTGATCTCCGTGCTAGTTGGTTCTCCTCTTCTGACCGTATCGTCTACGCCATCCATGGTGGACCGATGGCTGGTCGTGTCAACTTCCAAACCGCTGGCTACCAATGCATCCGCGAGGGTGAACTTTGGCAAGTCAATTGGCTCGAGGGTGTGTACTCCCAATCCTACTCATTTGAGACTGTTACTTGGCAAGAGCGACGACAAACTGACACAAGCTGCTTGCAGAGACTGGTACTATCTGCTCTATGGTCTACGATATTACCGCTGTCCCAGCCGAGGGTAAGAAGGGCAAGGTCACCACTCTGATCGCCTTCAGCAAGGGTCACTGGGACAATGATAAGGGTTCAGCTCTCGGCGACAAGAGAAACGACCGTAAGTTTTCTCCTTTCCACTCCACACTCCATTGACATCATGGCACCTTTCACATTCTCCGTTCGTTGATTGACAATATCAAAGCCGACTTCTATCGCTGGCATGAACTCTCCAAGGAGGGTACCGCGATCGATCGCTGCCTCCTCCAAGAACAAGCCGATGTCTCTCATGCATTCAAGGGACCAGGAGACAAGGCTTTATACGGACTTGATCCACTTGTGCCAATCGAGCATGAGTGGCAGACCATCTTCCCTCCCAAGGATGGTCCTAAGCTCGAGCATTAAGGGATCATGTGACGATTCAAATATGGTGCATATTTGGGGATATGAAATATGGGGGAAATTGATACAAGCGGGTTTCTTCACAGAAAACCCTTGATATCAACACATAATGCCGCAAACGATGCCTTCATAACGCATGTATTATAGCTAAGCACTTGCGGGAATGCGCTGGATTTCAACAACTTTTAAAAAAAAACATAATGCACGCTGGTTTTCCAAACAATCATTTCGTCTTTGATGCTTGCTTGTGACGTGATCTCCACTATTCTCTGATTTGAAAACCATACACTGAGATGGCGACTGACGTCCTTGATTTCTGTTTGACAGACGCACACACCCATGCCGCCAACTAGATGGACCCTTACTCAGCTCCGCTTCGAGGATCTCCTAGCCTTTTCTCTTGTAGTCATATCTATAGAAGCACATTCTCGATCATACTAAGCCTGATCCGATGTCGTGTACAAACAACAAGATCCATTCAATTGAACGCAATGAAAGAAAAAATAGTAATGCTTTGCTCTTCGAGGGAGATGGGCGCCAAAACGAGCGCATCGCAAACTGGCTTAGACTAATGCCAGAAGACTCTCAACAAGTAACAACAACACTCATCGATAACAGCAAACAACACAAGGCAAGACAGTAATCATATTTGATTCAAAGATACCAAAAATTTGGAACGGTTCCAGCCCCACCAAATCAAAACCAGATTACGCCAAACACCTGCCATGTATCCCAAATCTATCGATCGCTTCTTGCCAGACTAGTAATGTATCGTTGTCGAGCACTTCGTATATTCGATACATCTTCATCTGCAAGCAAATTTCCCCGTGGACTCATCTACCATTTACTAAACCGACTTGTTTGGTTCCCCCAGAATGGATTCGGTTGGAAAGAGCTTCGAACAACACCCAGCTCATTGTCCTTCCCTAGCAACGTTGCAGAATGTTCATCTGCCACCGGAGACGGGACGTTCATTTCTCCTGCAGAACCGTCAATCATGCTTCTCCAACAAGAGCGGGACAACAAACCTCTCAAAATCTCCACCGCAGAAATACACGGCAGCACAAGCAACAACAACGTCAACAACTGCCCAAAATTCCAATCCCTCTCCCCCGTATCCGCCAACGGCACCGACGGCGTCCCGAACGCCTGCGACAGCAGCACCACCCTCACTGCAGCCCCGGTCCCGATAACCAGCAGCGTCACCAAACCCCCCAACTGCACCAACTTGATCCATTTCCCGCCGTTGACGTGCAGATACCACACCGCCATGGCAAAGAAGACGCACTGCCCCGCAATCACCGCAATCGTGCCCGCGATCGATATCCCCGCATTACTGGGCGTCCCCCTGCCGGCGACTTCCCACACACACGCAATGGGCAGCGTGGGCTGCAAGTTGCGCATCACGGCCATCAGGACGAAGATCCCGGACACGCAGCTCAGCACGAGATTGACGAACATGAAGAACTGTCTCAGCCATCTCAGGACCCAATCTCGCTTGAAATCGTTGACGAGCGCGAAGAGCGTCGAGATGTGGGTTGCGGTGGAGAGCAACGAGAGCATCCAGATGATGAAGAAGTGGTAGGGGACCATGGACTTCATTTTCGCGAGGCCGACGCATTGGATGCCGATTCCGGTTATGACTTGCTGGTCGGAGAGCGAGAGGAGCAGTTTACGGATTACTTTGGCTTCGAGGTGCAGGTGCATTTCGTGGAAGATGATGGTGGCGGAGAAGATGAGGGAGATGCCCGCGGTGATTATAAAGGAGAGGAGGACCTTGAAGAAGGAAAATGACGGTTAGGGCTGGATTGGGTAGGAGTGAGGATATAAATTTACTTACGCCGGCGCCGGCGACCCCTGCATCGGTCGCGGTCTCGGTTGGGACATTGGAGCAGTTGAACGTTGTCATTTTTCCTTCGCTTTCCTTCCCTTTCCAACTCCGCAAATTCGCAAAGGAAAGCAAAAACAGAAAGGATAAATGAATGAACGATAGAAGAAAAGAGAGCAGATGTGTTTAATTGAAATTACGATCATCCAAGCAAGACCTTGTCTCGATTGCCCATCGATCTGTTTGACATGACGGATCTGTGGCTGAGCGATTCGCTACTGGGATCTCTTTCATGCGAACTGTGTAAGCGCCGTGCGAGATTGGCGCTGATTCAGGTTTTGGAGGAGATGGTGGCGGGGATCCAATGATGGGGATGTGTTGATGATGGGATGGGATGGGATGAGGCGAGCTTCTCGTCTGTGGGTTTGCAATGGGAGGATAGTGGGGCACGTGATTCAGGGGTAGAAACGTGGTGGGAAACATATTTGAGAGTCTGTGAATAGGTTGAAGGGGATGATTTGTTGGCGGATGGTCTCGGTGGTGTAGTAATAGTGTTTCTTGTGTTTTTCATTATTGTTGCAGGAGATGTTTGTGATGCGGTTGTGAGGTTATTGATGCTTTCGTTGGACGGGATTTGGGGCCTTATATACCGTATCAAACTGGATATTGAGCTCTGTGTATCGAAAGGAAATTATCTAATAACTTTTCATGCTACTGATCCTATGCTAGCGTATCCATAGCAGAGGATGTTTTAGAGGTAGATACTACTAGTCACGTGACTGTCAGTATTTTATAATTGAAGATATATTTTACAGCTATGTAGCTTGTTTGGCTGTTCCGTCGTTGGCACTCCGAAGAAATATCATTAAGAAGCCTGTGTAGCTGTGGAAGTTTCCATTGTGTAATACGTTCAGAGACACTTTCGAGACTTTATTTTTTGAGACTATGAGTCGACTTACCGAGATTGATGTACAGTAACAGATCTGGAACTTGGTAGTTGTCTACTGCACATATACCAAAGCAATGTTAACAATCGGTATATTCTCTTGTGTATCTATTTGTTTTATCTCATTAACATTACCTAACTCCCAAATTTACCTTCAAAACCCCTCAAAAGCAACAATCGGATCAAAAACCACACACCCATAATCCGCCACGCTCAAATCAATCAACTCGCCCCCCTCCGGCGCACCCGGGCCTCCCAACTGCCATAGCTCCCTCCCAGTCCCCGTACTCCCCAACCTCGGCCACCCCTGCCCAACCGCTGGTCCCTCCGCAGGACTTTTCGCGAACTCCGCCCACGTCTTCTGCATATAAGCACTCAGGCCCTCCTGCGTCGCCGTCGCTCCCCCAAACGACCCATACGTGCCCCAAACCTGCGGGATCTCGGAACTATGATATGCGCCCGCGTCCGTGAACGGACTCTCGTTCGGGAAACTTGCGTTATAATAATACCGCCACACATCAAAGCCGTTCGCCGCCGCGAACGAAGAAAGAGAGGATGCCGGACAGGTGAATTCGAGGTCCGTGATGACTTGGCTGGCGAAGAGATATGTGTTGTTTACTAGGCTGGAGTAGACTTGCAGAGACGCATTCTGGAAATCGGTTAGGTTGGGGAGGAGAGTTGCGATTACTTCCCCGGAAGTGATCGGTAGGTTGGATTGGTCAAGCCCGGCGGCGGCGGCGAAGACGCGGCCTTCGTTGGCGTTGGTTCCGAGGAAGAAGGGGACGGGTGCCCATTGTTTGGAGAGGATGTTGGGACGGACGTCTGTGGTTGATGTTACGTGGTCGTTTGCTGGGGCGAAACTTAGGGCGTTGGTCGAGATGTATGTTATGATGGAGGAGGCGTTGACTTGTTGGATGCAGGTCAATGGAGCCGGAGAAGATGCGCAGCCGAAATTGCTGAGGACTTGATTGTAGCTTGCTAGAGCGGATCCCGTGAACATTGTAGCTTCAGATTCTAGGATAGCTGCTCGGAATGGAAGAGGCGATGGAGGTTGGGCCAGTAGTTGCTTTACTGACCAGCCACCTGCTGATTCGCCGAAGATGGTAACTTGGTCAGGATCACCACCGAATTGAGCAATGTTGTCTTGAACCCATTGAAGAGCTAGTCGCTGGTCAAGATATCCGCTATTCTGCTGACCGACTGGGATTTGTGGCGAATTTGAAAACCCAAAGATATTTGTTCTGTTGATATTCAGCATTGTTACATGGGATTTTTGCGGTTCAACACTCACCGGTAGTTAAATGTAACCACCACTACATCTTGAAATCCAGCGAATGAGGACCCATTGTATGTGATGAGTGAGCCACTACCAAATTGCAAATCGCCCTAAGCACCGTCAGCAGAGTTTGGCAACAAGTTCACTGTCACATACACCATAGATCCAAAATAACACTGCTTTCTTGTTTGTCGTCGATGCATCAGTCGGCGCATAAACGTTTAGGTACAAACAGTCTTCACTCTGTTGTAAAGTTGGTCCACCAGGATTGGCAAATATTGCCTCTATAAAGTCGGCGGTTGGAGCTGACTCTGGTTAGCATCCTTCACATTGCTAGACAGGCCTTCACTCACCATTAAACTGCTCGTAGCATGCTGGTGGAAGTTGCGTTGCTTGCAAAGGTGTCGACCATGCTGTGGGCGTTGCAGGAGGAGCAAATCGCAGAGTTCCTGTGGGCGGTTGGGCAAACGGTATGCCTAGATAGTTGTATGCTGAAGCAGTTGACGTCGAAGCTGAGACTACTTCTGTTGCAAATCCCACAACCACTCCAGATGCAATTGTCACCGTTGGACCAGCTTGAGAAGCTCCAGTCGCCGCGATCGGACTGGCACTCACGCTGGTGAGAAGAGCTGCAGCTGTGGCAAAGTATCTATAAAACCGAGTCATAGTGATTGATCTAGACTTTTCACATTTGCGCTCAGCGAAGGGATCTCGACTGGACAAAAAAAAGAAAGAATGCTACAGATGATGGTCAAGAGCGAGAGAGGGGAGATGAAAAGATTTCCAGGAAATAGAACAGAAAAGCAAGACCTCATTGAAAGCTTATACTACAAGCTCTGATAGCTTCGACAGTGCATGGGTTCCACAAGCACGTTCCTCGGTCCATCAACCGTCGAGAGCTTCTGGCGTCATAAAGTTCCTTCGAGTAGCACTAGAGAGCTCTGCTAGGGCATTTTGGATGGCAACGGCACGTTGTTGAGTCCGTGCAACAACAGCATTTGTCAACATGCATGGCCATGTTGACATGGGACGATAGATTTCCCGTTGCCATCTGGTAGTAATTCGGTTTCCTACTAAGTTGAGACTCGGAGAAGGTTTTGCCTTCATTGGATATCGGATTTTAGTCCCGTGATGCTATACCAAGGCTGGTTAGCATCGCGAGAGAGCGGAGACGGCAGGATGATTAGCTTTGCGGCATGCGGGGGTGGTCCACCTTCCCCGCAGAGGAAAATCGGCAGTACCTCGAAGCTCTCGCGAAAGAGTGAAATGTTCGTCGCCACATTTATCAGCGAAAGGTTGGTGCCGAGGCACGAATACGACAGAACACAGGAGCCACAATGTTAGTTGGGGTATTAGCGTCTGGGATTCGGCGGAGTCGGCTCCAATATCTATTATTCTCGAAAGTTACCTAGCGACTCTCAAGACTCGAACATGGACGTTCGGAATTTGCCAGAACAGCAGCACAACAAGATATTGTGTACAACATCGACTCTTCGAACTCCTCAATATCAATAAATACAAGCCGTGGGGCGTCCTTGCTCGGTGGTGCTTCTTTGTATTCCCTCACTAACTCATGAACTGAGCTGCGGTAGTCGTGTGCTCCCTTTGCAGACTCGTAGGCATTCTCGAGATAAGAGTAGCTGGGGTTGACAGCCCAGTATTGCACCGAAGCCCTATCGATGTGGCGTACGCCTCCTACGTTGTTGTGAATAGAGACGAGAGCGTGGAAATCGCGAGAAGAGCAGAGCGTTGCATTGAAGAAGTAGGCAGTCCATGGAGGATCGAATGGTCTGTCATCGTTTTTGGTCGGATTTCTAGAGCCAGGATTTGCCACCTAAAGCCCATTCTAGAGCTAACGGAAGTTGGTATTTCCGTCGTAGTTGATCAGGAACGCAATCCCCATCAAGTCACAAACGACGCCTTCGCGAAAGCAGGGTGCTTTGGCGCATTATCATGATGGAATTTTAGATACGCCACAAGTTTTGTATGAAGGCAAGGGCATGTTTGGTTCCGAACCTTGAGCGGGAAGGAAGAGGAAGAATCCATGAATCCAGGATGTTTTGACAAAGCTCGCTCAGAATCTCTGCCTCCATTGAGCCATCAGCCGCGAAGTCCCAGATTCGCTGGGACTCAATATGGGCGGAGACGTCGTTTGAATTATTCGTGAGCCGTTCGATTTGCTCCGGTGTCGGGGCAAAGCCGACGACCTAGACCAAGGATTGCGATTAGATTCGCGTTGTTCATCAGTCCAATCCCTGTGGGGACGTTTCTGAAGGACATATAGCTTTCTTCTCGTCCCACACATCCTCCTCGGCTTTGATGAACATGTCAAGTGTCCATTCCTGTGTCCAATATTCCCATAAACTGTTGGAGAATTCGAAATCTGCCGTCTTTGGACAGAAGATGGCCTCAACCACATCTGTAGGGATCAAAGTAACCGCACCCTTGAACGCATTAAAGAGCAACTTCCAGGGTATGGTACCTCCAACGGCTAGCTTCCAGAGTTCGGGGACAATGTAGCCCGATCGACCAAGCAAATGTATAAGGTCGTTGCAAATGACTTTACTCAATGAAGCGTCCTCAGGAACTTGATCGTAGACTTTTTGGAATACTCGCATAGATGCTTTGAATCCATGTCGACAACACATGTGTGCAAGAAGGACCCCATAGTCATCCTGCAGCTCTGCAATCTGGAAAAGATATGCGAACGCCCACAAATAAAAATTCCGTCGTATAGATTTGCGTGGTTATCCTTCATAGCTTCCACAAATTTGGTGGTCGTACATCCAGGTCTGAAAAAGATCAAACATCATTGGGGAGTATTCAGACCAGGTGATACTACCTGAAGCTGACTCGCTCCAAACTCCATCAAACAACAGTTTTGAGAGCAGGCGAGTAGTGAGAACGTAGTTCTTGTCAATGTAGAAAAGTGGCTTCTGGAGACCAATTTCAGCGACCAAATCAGTGCCACTTATATCAGAGGTCAGCTCGGGAATGACTCCATGAAGAATGAGCGCTACTTACGCCTTTTTCGGCCTATCTTCAGAGGATTTCTGACTCGAAGGGCAGTTATAACGATGTGTCTCCTCCTCACGGCCACAACAAGGGCAAAATGGATTGGACTTCTCCATTTTCAATGCATCAGGGGCCTCGGAAAGTTCGAAGGTTATTTGAGGAAGACCTTTGTTAAATGCAGTAGAGTACCTAACTGTCGCAGGTGCAGAAGATTTCGAAACAATACAGAGTACTGATGAATCAAATCGAAAGCACGATTGAAATGCAAGGAATGTTTTGATGTGAACTACAACCTGTGACTATAAGGTCCACCTAATCCAAATCGAAATGCAGTGCTTCCAGACCAATAATTCTCGTCGTTCGTAAGCCACTAGGATCGGGCTGCCCATATTTTGTCCATGAAATTAGTGAGAGAGTCCCTCATGTATTCCGACATAGACTCAACACGAATCATCGATGTGCTTGCCAAGAGTGAGTCTTGGTGTCTAACTGGCCGAAATGATTGCTGGTTGCACAGTAGACTCAGCAGTTATTCTAGGAGCCACTAAGCTCCCGCGGGGGGGTATGATTTGCATGAAATGAGCATCAAGACTGTAGAAGATTCACCAGACAAGTAAATTCGGTACATTGGGAATGCCACGCAATGAAAAAGGCGACATAAGGTTCAATCGCGTTGTTCGTCTTCCAGCCACTTGTCATGAGGCCTAGCAGGCCAGATTTCCATCCGTATCCTTGAAATCTCAGACGAGATGAATTATGCTCGGCAGACATCGTCGGATATCATGAACTGGTATTGAGCTTCAAACTAAGTGAAGACTGAAGAAAAGAAATGATGAAAGATACAGCAAGAAAGAAGGGCGTTCACGTGAAATGGAGGTTGATGAGGCGGAAAAAGCCGCTAGTGCATTTGTGAGCTTCAGAACCTAGCCGCGTCGACCAAGTCAACCTGGAAATCAATTCCTCTGCAAACAAACTCGCGCACACGACACACGACACCTTCTCACTCTCCTCCTTGAATCCTGATACAACTCGAACCCATCATGTCAGAGCAGCAGGTTCTCAAGCCCGAGAAGGACTTTTCCAAGGAGGTTGATAAACAACTTCCTGAAGCTGAGAAGCTCGCCCAGGCACGCAGCCCATCAACAGTGGAATTTTCAGAGCTAACCTTCACCTAGACTAATGTTCAAGGTGCAATCGAGAAACTCACAGCTTTGGAGAAGCAAACAAGACAGGTAAATAACCAACGCATTAAGCTTGCTCATGCTGACATCAAGAAGGCCTCAGACCTTGCATCCACATCCCGAATTCTCGTCGCAATCGTCACAATCAGCAAGGACTCAGGGGACTGGAGTTTGTTGAATGAGCAGGTTCTTCTGCTTTCCAAGAAGCATGGCCAACTCAAACAAGCGATCACGAAGATGGTGCAGGTGGTGATGGGATTCCTGGATGCAGCCCCGAACCTGGAGACAAAGTTGACAGCCATCGAGACATTACGGACGGTCACTGAGGGGAAGATCTTTGTCGAAGTCGAGCGAGCTCGTGTGACTAAAATTCTCTCCGATATCAAGAAGGAGCAAGGTGACTTGAAAGCGGCTGCGGACATCCTGACTGAGCTACAAGTAGAGACCTTTGGATCTATGGAGCGCAGAGAGAAAACCGAATTCATCTTGGCACAAGTCGCACTCTGCATAGAGAATGATGATTGGACACAGGCTGGTATTCTGAGTCGAAAGATCAGCACAAAGTACTTGTCAAGGAAGCCAAAGAAGACTGAGGAACAACTTGAGAAGGAGAAGAAGGATCGTGAGAAGAGACGAGAGAAGGGCGAGGAAGTACCAGAGCCAATTGAGGACGATGTTACAGACCTCAAGTTGCGATATTACGAACTGCAAATCACCCTTGCGAAGCACGATGACAAGTACCTGGATGTCTGCAAACACTACAGACAGGTTCTAGACACTGAGGCTGTTGAGGAGGATCCACAAAAGCTTCACTCGGTATGTTCTCTCATTTTCCTCGCCAAGTACTTCTCTAACCTCAGCAGGTCCTGCAACGAATCATCTATTATGTTATCCTTGCTCCTTACGACAACGAACAATCCGATCTCCTTCATCGCGTTCATAAAGACACCCGAAATTCCCAAGTCCCTGCCGATGCTCAACTCCTTAAGCTCTTCACAGTCCACGAACTCATGCGATGGCCTGAAGTTGCGAAACAATACGGTCCACATCTCTGCGGTACTGATGTGTTTGATGCAGCTCTGGGGCAATCGGCCGACAAGAAGGCAAACCAGAGATGGGAAGACCTACGCAAGCGTGTCATTGAGCACAATGTTCGTGTCGTTGCCAAATACTATACCCGCATTCGGATGCCTCGTTTGACTCAACTGCTTGATCTCTCAGAAGATGAGACTGAGAAGTACATCAGCGAGCTTGTCACCGCAAAGACTGTCTATGCCAAGATTGACAGACCTGCCAGAATAGTCAGCTTCGCCAAGCCCAGAGATGCTGATGATGTTCTTAATGAGTGGAGTGGGAACATGAAGAGTTTGCTAGGTTTGTTGGAGAGAATCGACCATCTGATCACCAAGGAAGAGATGATGGCCAGAATCCAGCCAGCAAAGGCTCCAAAGGCGTCCAAAACTGGGAAGGCACATTAGAGGAAGATCTTTGTATGTGCTAATAGTCTGATTTCTTCATGATACCGTTGTACACTAGTCTAGATTCTAGGTATCTCAATGGATCGACATGACCCTTTATCCATCTATGCCACGACGCCGTGCTATGCCAGAAAATATAATCTATATACCCATACGCTCTATCCCTTAGCCTCCTCTTTTTCCAAGTACCTCAAAACGGCACATCCATATCCTCCACACTCTCCTCCACCTTCTTATCCTTACAACACTCCCTAATAAACCCAATCAAAACCCCCATCATATCCTTCCCAACCGGCACAAAATGGCCCCCAGGATGATAAACCACCTTTCTTGTCCCCACCGCACACCTCTCCACCAACCCCGTACTCCTCCCCTCGTCCACGACACTATCCAAACTCCCAATAACATTCAACACCGGCGTCTTGATCTCCGGCTCATAAAACGACCTATAAGCCTCGTGCGGAGCATAGAACCCACTGTAGCTCACGCAGAACTTTAGTGGTCCTTGTCCCAATTCTGTTTTCAGCTCTTTCCAACCAGCGGGATATTTATATGCATTAGCATCTTTTGCAAAGAACTCTTCACGTCCATCCTCGAGCAGCGAAGCCACAAACGCAGCAGCTCCAGCCCCCTGACTGAATCCTATGACTCCGTCTATACCGCCCATCTCCTTTATAGAGTCCCGGATGGTGGCGAAGCCGTCATCGAGCCCAGTGTAGAGCCCCGAACCCGTTTCCCGCACCCACCATCCCCAGGCGTCGGGCTCGGTGTCGGAGCCATGGTCGAAACCGGGGATATCGGCTGGACGCAGTTTGAGCGGTGCGGTGGGGTAGAGGAGCTGGATCCCGCCGGGGAAGGAGGAGAAGAGGGGAGAGACTTTGGTCGGTGGGAAGGCTTTGTTGAGAGCTTTTTCTAGGGCGCGGGTTTTGGAGTGGAAGAGGGTGCCGTTTTGGGTATATCCTGTGTACAAGTGTACCGTTAGTCAAAGTAGTGAGAAGAATGGAGGGAGAGGAGGAACTGTGTGTTGCGGGGGACAACGAGAGTTGCCAGGGTACGAACCGTGAAGCATTAATATCTTCAGCTTCCTAGGAGCGAGAGAAGATGCATCTGCCGGCGCAGCAGCACCGTTAACTTTCGCAGACATATCAGATCTCCGTCTCTGCCGATGCGTGAGCGTGTGCAAATATCTCACGAAGTGCGTGTTGAGGGGCCGTAAGGCGAGCATGCAAGGCTGATGATTGATTGGGTGTGCATTTGTGATGAGGATGGCGGGGCTAAAAATCCCACTCTCGCAGTCTCACTTCTCTCCAAACATCTTCAACTGCATCACGCAAGATTCTCATTTGATCGTTACAGATCGCGGGGTATGTTGTTGATTGGAAGATATAATCTTCTTCGTATTGCAGTCTGGTCTGCTATTGATCGCGATGCAGCCTCATTCACGTCTTCAGCCAATGAAGGATGCAGCGTCACTCTGAGGCTGTAAGCGGTTGGATACGAGGGCGAGGTCTTAGTACTTTTCGATATCAGGTGTCCATGCACATGATGTATCGTTCAGCCTCAACTTGCTTTCGTTTCTACTTGTGAACAAGATTCCATTTCCATTTCTCTGGTACTTCTCTTCTGCTCTTGTTTTTGTTTAGCTCTCACTATCTTCAGTCCTTCATATTTGCACATTCATTTTGAGTTCTTCTTATGACTACGCAGGAGCACGACCCAAATGGAATCGTCCAGTATATGTCATATTCTCTCCGTTACAGTTCGGTGCGAGCTCGTGTGACATGGACATGCCCATCCAGACCGGAGGAACCCCAAAAGAGAGAGGTCCTGATCCAGTACCATACTACCTTTCATCCCTTCTCTAAATTACCTCTCGAACTCCGCCTCAAAGTCGTATGTCGCGCGCTCTCTTGTTCTTCATCCTCGCTAGTTGTTGAATTTGGTGCATTAGCATTTCAAAGAACATTTCTTTTTAATTCTTATCCTCAAGAGAAAATCTAGTACTAACTTGCTATAGTGGAACTATGCCTCCCCTCCTCGAGTCATCGAAATACGTTCCTGGGGAGATACATCAAGAAATCCCCTCACGCCAATCAAATTCAGCACCCCGCCCCAAAAGCCTCCCGTCATATTCCGTGTCAACCGCGAGTCCAGAGAAGAAGCTCTTCGACTCTACACAGTAGTTGAGATTGGTTCCTCTACATCTGCTCTTGAACCGAATCAAGAGTATTTAGACTGGAAACATCATCCTTCGAACCCTCATCGCCAATTCCGCGCTTTCATGTACGAAGCAATCCCGTATCGTCAACCTCTCGTAAAACCATATCCTGCGCAGAAAACCTATGTCGATTTCTCTCGCGACACGATCTATCTGGGACCAGAGTTCCAGTCTCGGCATCTTGAGGGGTTCTTTACTGCTACAGGCCCGCGGATGGAGCTAGCTGGTCTGCAGTATTTGGCGATCGACAGGAAGTTATGGATGAGCAAGCTAGACAGCAGAGCAGATGCTTTTCGCTCTGCACTTTACTCCCTCAAGTCTCGTCCCATCAAAGAAGTCTACATCGTCCCCGACGACGTGAAAGGGTGTCTAGAAGACAACTTCTACTATTACGAGCACGATATCACGTTCCAAGAACCCCCATACAAATATACGTTCCGTCTCGCCGGCTCGGAAGAGCAGTCACAGACCGTGACGGATAATCTTCGAGTTTGGTTTGAGCGGCTGTGGAAAGATGGAGAGCAGAAGCCTCCCAAAGTTGAGATCAGGAGTGTGAGGAGGAATGGAAGGTGTTTGGCGAGTTTTAAGGATGGCGTTTGGGAGGTGCAGAAGGTGATGGGAGATATGCAGGATTGGAAAGAGTGGAATCCTCCTACTACGTTGTGATCTGGGCGATGACTCTTCTAGTTGAAGAGTCGGCAACTTGGACATTTTATACGTTATTCTTTCTATTTCGTTTGTCTTCAAGTCTTCCTATGTTCATTTGTTTCATGATTGTTTTCTTTCTTGTCTTCATGTAGCACAGCATTCACTGTATTGTTGCATCGTTTCCATACAAAATCTCATGATAGTCTTCTAAAAATACGAAACAATTATTGCTATCGTCATTTTATGTGCTCCGCCGCGATCTTCTCTTCGTCCTTACGTGCTCGTCGCTCAAAATTTCCCTCCCGAAGGCACGGTCTTGGAACCTACGATCATTTCCAACCTTGCAATCTTCAGCTGCCATATTTTCCGCCGTTGACAAGCTAAATCTTGATAAGACTTGGGTCTTGGCAGGGGCCGGGATATAGATATCCGCCTAGCAGTTACCGACGTGATCTGCACTAATAGTCTTTTCTCGTCCCGCACTGTCGATCATAACCGTACTTTTATATCTTAGCTTTTATGCAATTTTATCTTTTTGGTATGACAGACAAGGATACAAAATTAGATGGAGATTAGATTTTCAGAGCGGACGACCTAGCAGTCCTTGGCCGGGTTGAGATTATGACATATACATCGGTGCTTGTCATGTCAAGAAGACGGAACAGCATTGGCAGCTGAGAACGCTGCCGCGTACCATGGTGATCTTTGGCATCATTCTTCCCGCAGTTCTCCATCTCTCCCATCCTTCATCATCGCAAAACACCACTTCCCCCTCCTCTAAACTTCGCATGTTCTTCTCTCTAAGCATTCTATATCTCCAACTTCATCCACCATGAAGTTCAAATTCCTCCTCCCCATCCTTCTCCTCACCACCCAAGCATCAGCCTACTGGCGCGGCTTCTCCGTAAAGTCCTACCTCGCCGACGGTTCAACATGCAAATCCCCCAGCGACTGGGCATCCGTATTCGCCCAACTCAAAAAACTCCCCAATAAAATAAACGCCGTCCGTCTCTACTCCTCCTACACCTGCAATACACTGGCGAACGCCATCCCAGCGGCCATCGCCTCCGACACCTTCCTCCTCGTCGGCATCCTCTCCGCCTCTTCCACCTACGACAACGAAAAAGGCGCTCTGCTGCAAGCAATCAAGGCTCACGGCTGGGACTGGCTCCTCGCCGTCTCGGTGGGCTCAGAAGACTTATACCGTGGAACAATAAGCGCAGCTTCCCTCGCGCACCAAATCTACGACGTCCGAGGCATGTTGTCCGAACTGCCTGGCTGGAACGGGACGCTGAAGATCGGACACGTCGATACGAATAACGCGTGGAGCAACACCTCGAACCACGACGTGATCCGGGCCTGCGATTTCGTCGGGACAGACGTGTATCCGTATTTCCAGACTTTGCAAAACAACTCTATTTCGAACGCAGGCGTGCTGTTTGAGGATGGTGTCAAGCAGGTGAGAGCAGCGGTTAGTAAGGCGGGGAGTTCGGCCAGCGTGTGGGTTACGGAGACGGGGTGGCCGGTCAATGGAGCGACGAAGAATTTGGCGGTATCGGGAACGGACGAGGCGAGGAGTTATTGGGAGCAGGTTGCTTGTACGGCGTTTTATGCTATGAATACGTTTTGGTTTACGTTGCAGGATTTTAATGCCGTGCCGAGTTTTGCGGTGTTGGGGGCTGATGGGAGTCAGTTGTATAGTCAGAGTTGTTAAGTGCTTTTAGAGTTGGGATAGAGAGGTTTTTCTATGATTGTATTGCATATTTCTAATGGCGTTCTTGGTAACTTTGTGTAAGTGTTCTCAGGTCAAGAAAATGGCTAAAATACATCTGAATCGTATCTCGTGTACAGCATACAAACTCCAACCACAATATGTATCATGCACTCCCTCCCTCTAAGTGTTCTAACCTCATATCCTACAAGAACCGCTCCAAAGACTTGGTCAAACTACAAAAACAGGGTATGTATCTATCATCAATCATAATATCTCTCCTAAATCCTACACACTCCCCCTCATCTCAATCATTCATCCGCCGGCCAGTCCCGATGCGCAAAAATCAACACCTGACTACAACCCCACCTATCAGCCAACTCAAACTCAAGAAATCAAAGGGGAAACTCACAACAACCACATACTCCCCAACCCCAAAATCGCCGCACAAGCAAACAAAAACATAAACCAACACCAGAACCCACACTGCCGATCCGGATCCCCAATCGTAATCCTCGACAGCCGTCCCGTCGATGGTCCTAGGTATTTTATCAACACACCTTCTTTCACATGAGAGGAAAAGAAGGGGAAACTTACGAGTAGGCGTATAAGCAAACCCCCTATACGGCGTAATCCTCCTCGTACTCTTCACGTAGCTAAATCCCCCACCACCGACGGCGCCCGGGACGGGCATTCCTCCCGGCAAAAGGTGAGAGGGCGAGGCGAGGGGTGAGGAGAAGGATGATTGGGAGAGGGTTTGGGGTTGTGGTTGCAGTTCTTGGTCTTCTTGGCCCCAAGGGATGCTTTTCAGGATGCCGCGTTGGGGAATCAGGGGGTTGGGTTGGTAGATGAATGTTTGTGCTGCTCAACATGTCAATGAGGGAAGTATGGGAGGGGAAATGATGAGGGGTAGATACTTGTGGGAGAATTGCTGGTTTGCGATCCCGTGATCGTGAGTTCTGGGTTTGAGGGGTTGGAAGGAGAGAAAGAGCCTTGATGGGCGCGGAAATGGTGTAAATCCATCTTTCTTTCTGTTTCCGCATCAACAATCGCAAAAGAAGAGTTTTCGAAGGATTGATAGATAGATTGTGGTGGTGGTGTGAAATGACGTCGAGTCAAACAGTTCGGATTAATGTAGCGAGGGTATATGAATGAGAGACAAAAGAGCGTGTTAAATGTCGCAAACGGAAAGAACAATTGAACGAGTGTGTTAAGTTGTTGCTTAGATGGAAAATACTACAAAGACCAGAATAGAAAGGAGAAATGAAGTCGCAAAAAAATTGTGAGAGAAGAGGATAGGAGAATTTTGCTCTTCCCGCCCAGAATGAAAAAGGAAGAAGATATCCAATGTTCGAAAGTGAGACTGCGCCCGGAGGCTGATACGATGCCATCTGCATGTCTTAGGTTTTGCGCGCGGAGAATTGATTGTCCTCAATCCACTTCAGCTATTTCTCTCCAACATATCGCCACATTGCGGGGGAGCGACTTCTCCGGATCCCAAGCTCGAGTTACCGACCTTGATTGAACGATGACAGAAACTTGTCGTAGACAAGCTGGAAATATTGCCAATAAAAGAAAGTCAAATATAGTTGACAGGAACCCCAAGATTGGTGAGCCTTGTGAAGGATTTGAGGCGTAACGCCACTGTTCCATGATGTTTTGCCTTCGGAACAGCTGAAGAGGCCCGTGATTGGACTTCAGGGGTGACAACTCAATTGGGATGTTTGAGCATCGAGCCAACGACATCTCGAGACGGATCGTCGGTGATGGGACGACGACATGTGTTGGTTCTCGAAAAAGATCCCCCTGCATGATGCTTCCCGCTACGTCCGTGCGCATGTGAGCCGCTTTCACACGAGTTTCTTGTTCAGAGCTTTCTGTGGTCCTTTTCTGTGAGGTTAGAAGACACGCTTTCGAGGTGGTCAAGATCAAAGGTGCATCCATCCATTTGCAAGCAAAATCTGCATCTCGTCCACCAAACATATCCTGCCTGGTTCGTTCCGCAGCGCTTCTCCCTCAGCCTTCTCCCCAAGTTCCCACGCCTTCAACTTCCTATCCACTTTTCTCTCCGCATACCACCTCCAAGGCCAGCCGGTCCACCACGCCCATCGGTTCCTCCAGATCCCCTGTACTTTCCCGCTCGAAGTGGGCCAACCGCCTTTCTCCGGGTTCACGACATCATTTGCTTCTTCGTTGTAAGTAACCCTGACATTGGGATTCAACCATACGCCTTTATCCTTTGACAGGGTATTATCAACATGTATCAAACAACACTCGCTACCTTCGACATGCATAGCTGCTAGGGTATCGGGTATGCCTCGGAACTGTAGAGTGGGCTCGTGGTAGAAGGGCTTGGCGTCAAAGACTACCATACCGTTCCAGCAGGATTGCACAGGTACAGGGGAGTATGTCGAGACGGCTTTGTAGGATTCGGGAGCGTTGAACAAGGGCCAGAAATTGGTGACTGGCGCTTGTCCTTTGATATCTCGAGTTGCAAAGGAATCGTAGAATTCAGGAGGGTGGGAGAAGTCTATCGAGCAGACTGCTGCGTAGTCGCCATGTCGAGTATTGATGAGGGCAGTAACTTGATCAGTCTGCAAAGAAAAGCCGTTAGTGTGTTCTTATTTGAAGACAATTGAAATGGGAAGTCCTCAATACCTTGAAGATGACATCGTTCAACCATAAAATCTTGTCGAATACCCTCGGATTCTCGGTCCTGGAGGCAAGTTGCTGAATCTTTTTCATGGCTTCATTCCGTTGGGCTGCCAGGAATGGTATTCTTCTCATCTCCAGCTCTCCTCTTGGGGTCTGGATCCATCCCGTCTCATTGGCAGCCGGTTTGCGAGTGACTTCATCCTCATGAGTACGATTTGACACGACGATACTTCGCTCCACACCGAGTTTCTCCAACTCATTATCCAGGTCCCTCAAAGCATCCTTCGTCCCGTCCCAGCTTCCACTCTCTGTTATCGATACATAGACATTCTCAGGATCCCAATGCTGAACCAAGTCCAACAAGCTCGGGATCCAATGCTTCCTCAGAAGTTCTTCGTCATTGTAGTGTAGTGCTGCGATGTAGACGCGTTGCTTGTACGTATTGGTTAGCTCAGATCCCCCACCTCCTTTCAATATTCTCGTCGCCGGAGTAGACCTTGAGCATGTCCAGAGTATTTCCAGGAAAATCAAAAGTGAGAGGAACAACAAGAGGGCGCGAAGCCTACGACTGTATTGGCGCAAGAAATGCGAAAGACAACCACTCAGGGCTCGAATCAACCCTGTACAAGTGGTGCGAACATTCATGTTGGCATGGCTGTCTTGAATTGTGGAAGTTTATGATGTTCAAAGGTCAAAAGAAATCTCGTCACACCTTGTGTGGCGTGTGACTTTGCGAAACCTCAAGGTGAATGAATACTTTCTCCATGCTTCAGCCTGATTTTCAATGTACGTGAGTTGTACGTACACGCCATGCAGATATCCGAATGGTGAATCTAGGTTTGCTTATGCTAGGGACGTCAGTTCGTTGCAATACGAGAGCTAGTTCATTCCTGAAATTCGAATTCGATCATTGGCACCACGCTTGCGGCAACCGGCATTTTGCTAGCAAAAACCAAAAATCCTCGCGCGAGAAAAGCAAACTCCCAACAACCATGCTCAAGAATGAAATCATATTCTTCCAAAGCACATTTTTGACTCTCCGATATTACTGAAAGTTTCGAAGTGATGCACCGCCACGTGCCTTCAAACGATCGGCATCACTACCAGTATCGTTAGGCATAGCTTCCTGCCACGCCGCTGGGCGCAGCATGTTTGAAGAAACGAAGAGTGCAGAGATCGAGGATTTCCATTAATCATAGTCTCTGTCTGAAACAGCGCACTCGAAAGGCGCAGTCCTCTGTACTGGCTGCCTAGGTACTCTTGTCATCCAAGAAAGAGTTCATTGGACATATCGGATCGTTTTGACCAATGTCATGAATGCCGAGGATTATTGCTAAGCATTGTTTCATCTTTCTAGTTCAGAAGAATGGAGGGTTTCTCTTGAGATGAAAAGATGCAGAAGAGAGAAAAGAGCAGACGATGATACAAGGTTAAGGTTATCTTAGGAAACGGCTCATTTCTCAAATCGGATGGTCACGTGGAGCTCCATTTGGTCCTCACTCGGGATGCCAAGCTTTTCAAAGCATGTTTTGGCCTTTGTCTCTAGAGAGAGAAGTACTGCTTAGTGTTCTGAGAGATTTTTGTGCTGCATAAGTTTTGTATTTGCATATGGTTCGTCATTGTTGCCTGATTCAGTATTTGCTGTTTTTCTGCATTTCTAGAGGCTTGAACAGAGAAATTTACTAAAGTCGACGTTCCCGTGATCGTTTAGCACCGTTCAAATGTTTTCCATCAGTCAAAAAGGTTCCTGAGATAATTCGCTGTTGTTTTTGTTCTTGGCCAAATGCACGTGCTGTCTCACGAAAATGGGAACTCTCTCACATACTCCAAGTTTAGCTACTTAGACTATGCTGCAGATGTCATTATATTCTTTGTGATGCGTTCGTTACAACAATGGGATATGTGCCTAGTATTCGATATCATGGGTCTTCAACACATAGTGTTAAGAGCGTGCCCAGCTCTGCAATTCGAAAACAAGTGTTTCTCTTGGAAATGAGTACCCAGATCATGAGAAGAACATCAAGGAAGATATTCCTCATTACAACAAGGAAGATGATAGTCACCAAATGGCCATTAGGCCTCTATTGAAGATTCTCTCAAGTAAACCTTTAGATGCTTTTCTCGGTCAATCAAACTTTCTACCTAATCATTATGCTCTGCTCCTCCTCAAGTCTCTAGTACGTCGTCACTCCCATATCTCAAACAAGTAACTCATCAAGCCGCGCTCTCAGTACTGACACCCACATCCTTAGGCGTAGCAATAAACGTTTGACCAGCCGACATCGGCGCCCATGAATACGGCGTCACCTTTGGCGTAACCTTCCCCGTCCCCGTATTGAACTTCTCAATCGCCGTCTCAATCCTCTTCAACATCGCCTCTCCATCTGGATCCTCTCCACTCGCATCCTTCGGCCAATCAAGAGTAATGGCCTCGATCTTCTTCGAGCCGATCAATTTGCCCAACGCAGCTACCGTTGTGGCCTCGTGGTTCTCGGAGATGTGAGCACAGTACACGTTACCCGCGGCCCAGGCGAATACGACGGCGCAGCCGTCGACGAGGGCTTCTATCCCGTCTGCGTTTCCGGTGCCGACTTTGTCTTGTTCGACGCGGACGCGTCGGAGAGCTTCGTCGTCAGTGTTGGTGTCGGGGGTTCGAGATTCGAGCGCGTCGCTGGTGATGGAGAGGAGTTCGAGGTCTCGGAGCTTGAGGGGTGCGAAGTCTCTAGTGTGGCTGCGCACTTGTTGGTCTGTGATTTCGAGGCTGTCATCTTTGATGAGATTGCTAGAGACTCATTAGTGTGGGGCTTTGAATGAGTGTTCATGTGATTTACCTTGTGGTTGAGAGGCTGTTTGCAAGGACGCTGCTGGCGCAGAGACCAAGGAACAAGTTGAGGGTGGAGAGGAGACGCATGATCGATGAGACTTGAAAGACTACTGCTAGTTGAAAGGTGCAACTGATCTCAAATAGTAAATAGAAGAGAGGACGAGATGAAAGAAGATACTCTTGCGTGTCGGATGGAGATCATCGTGGATGTTGACTACGACTTATATACCTTTTCTTCACGTCAACTTCACATATCTTGTCTTTGACTACGCCGCGCATTTGAGTGTTTGTGCAACTTCAGATGTCGCTGCCAAATGAATGCTGTCAGCAAATACTCGCGATCATGGTGAAGGATGAATTTAGATGAACTTCTGAATCTCCACACCGCTTCGTTCTCGTACTGGAAGAAGTCTCTTCCCACCTCTGAAGACAAAGATAGGTCGGTCTGAAGCCAATTTAGGATCTAAGCCTCAAGAAATTCTGTTTGCCCATGAGGAAGCTCGAAGGTGTGCTCGCGCTGGCTTTTGGAAATAGCATGGGAATCCCAAAACAATATAACCACAGTAGACTGCTCTAGTAAGCGTACTGAAAACTTCAAATTGTATATTCGTTCCGCGCGTGGAAGAATCACGGTTGTAACAAGCGAAGCAACTGACCCTCAAATGGTGGTGGCTTGGCGAGTTTTTCTTACATAACTCTATGACCTCTTACAAGCTTCTTTACCCGCTACTGGATTAAATGAGCGTCAATGAGCTGTTTAAATCTGCTTTTCGCTTGACCAGCCTAACGAAAGATCCGAATCGTATGAATAGAGTGTTTTCGATTCCTATTCTGGAAGCGAGTAAATCTGGAGATTAGCCGAATGCTTAATCTCACTTCAGATGAACCGGGCACTGCCTGACTTTGGGGAGCAATAGTTTGTCATTAAAGTGAAAAGAATGCACGATTGAGATGCTCCTATTGGACATTTGAGAGAAGTGGGATGGACCTCGATGTATGGATGCTCCATATGCAGATTGCCAGATGGAGAGAACGAGGAGGCAGTTCGCGGAGGGAGGTAAAAGAGACACAGAGATAGTTGTCTGTCATCAGCAATTCCTCAAATTGCTCTTTTCACATGTCCTGGCGTCATAGACCACTCAGCATGGAATGTGTATTTTTCTACTCGCTTGAGTTACTCTTTGAAGCAGGCCTCGACGCCTCTGCTTCCATCTTCCAAGCATCCAAACGACTCTGATCCCAAAATATATACCCCCAATCCTGCAAGGTCTCACGATCATACCCAACAAGACCTCTACCTGAAGTCTTCCACCATTTACCAACCCTGAACCCCTCATTAGACTCTGTGGTATGATCATAATCCATTCCGTGAGCCGAGCACTGCCATCGCCTTCTTAGGCCAAAACACTCCGCATTGACAGCTTTCGAGATGAATTGAGTCCGTCTCCACGGATTCTGGTATAGAATTTGCGCTTTATCTTCGACTGTCGGAGCTCGAGAGACTCTTTTGAAGAAACCGAGGCCAAGGGACATCCAGTAGTCGATTTTTTCTTCTTCGTAGCTCATTGTCCAACCTCTGAAGTTAGTCTCTTCGCTCGAGTCGACGTCAACTGCATTGGAGTTAGTATTAATAAAGTGGGAATGGTATTCAGAATCCATATATGCCTTTTGAAATCGGATTCCAATCAGGTGGATGGTCTTCCAAGCGTTGAAGCTCCTCTCTGCAGTCTGTTGTCATCCGCTTCATGTACTGACTAGAGAGAAACTTCCGCACACATGCCACTCCTTCTGCGTCGCAAACATCAATATTCGGGAGGTATCGCATCGATGTCCCGTATTCCCAGCCACCGAGCTGCACTCGTTGTTGATAATAATACGCATCCTCTGTATCGCCCGTCAAAGTATAGGACACAAATAAACAACGATAGATCTCGAAGTGATAGAGCGCGCGATATTTACGGCGACATTCTTCCGCTGTAGCTGGTTGACCATTGCGCACAACATTGCCGGTCAAAGGATTGACCTTGATTTTATCTGCGATATATTCAAGAGCTACAGAGCGGATCAGCCAATGGCGTCGACAAATCCACGTCAGTGTATCGAGATCGGTGTCCGGCGTCCAATCCGTCGTCGCAGAGTCAAGAAAGCGCTTGAAAAAGTGCCCAAAGAAAGATTGGTGGAATAGATGAAGCTGCTCTTCGTAATCCCGTTGAAGCCAAGGGAGAATGCAAACTTGTTCTAGCGCGAAGGCAAGATACAACCCATCGAGACCCAGCTCGTTGAGAAGTACTCTCGAGAGAATGTGTTGGCGTTGGCTGATGTAAGAGGCGTGGTACGATGGTGATGCCTGGACGAGTGCCTGGAGAGATGCGCAGTCGGGCAAGGCCTGAAAGATGAGACTGTGGAGTTCCTTGGGTAGGTTTTCTAGACTTGAAGTAGAGACGAGGTTTTTGTCTGGGAAGATTCTGGTTTCGGCCATTCTGCCCAAGTGGAAGAAACAATGCTTGGAGAAAATTTTATGACGAGGCGGGGTAGAACAAGTAGGCTTCGCCCCAGGATCCGGATAAGTTGTGATGTGTGACTTGGTATGCAGTGGTGAGCTTACCCCTGAGATAAGCGAGGACTCTTTCACTACAAGAGGAGACCGAGCAGTTACTTTATTCAGCGAACGTTGTGTCTCGTTGCTGACTTCTGACCACGATTCCAGTTTTAGTCAGCTTTGTCGTGGTTATGAAGTATTTTGGTTCCCAAGAATGCCCTTCTTCTCGGTGAGAGAAAGGGTACATGGCTGCAGCCGGAAGACCCACGCGAAAACAAACGCGAAAATGCATGGCCTGTAAGAACGTGTGCTGAGCAGTTCGTAACGAGCAAATGCTCGTTCCTGCGTTTTGGCAGCTCGTTGCCGGGATCTAGCTGGTACTGGATCGGTGCATTTTGATGAAAGGGATCGACTTAACAAGAGAACTTACTCTGCAAAGTCGCTCTCAATCCAGTCCAACTCTCCAGAGCCAAGATAACGTAATCCGCTTAGATGGAAATAAGTATGCAACTTTGGGGCATTCATGGCGTTGTGGATAATCAGGCAGTCGCCCTCCCTGCTACCCCGCCAAAACCAAAGGACAGGGTCCTTCGTCCACTGAGAAGCGCGACCGAGCCGGAGAAGCTCTCCAAGAACACGCAAATGCTCATTACAATAGATTTTGGGGTTTCTTGACAGCAAAGAACCATGAAGCTTAATAAAGTCTCGAGAGCCTCATCTGGTCCGTATATGAACTTTGCGACACCAAGACCTCTACGGACATATCCCACCAAAAACATCACTGCACGCTGCAACCTCCCGCAACGCCCGTCCAACGTTACTGCTGCACAAGTCACAATCACCAACAAGCCACCAACTGATTCGGTCAAGGAGAATATATTGGATCGTCCCGAGTCTGTCTACTCGTATGTGTTTGTTCCTCGTCACAATTTTGGATCAAGGGACTCGTGCGATGAACACGACTGACACGATGTTTCTCCAGTGTAGTCAACCCTTGCAGCAATCATGGCTGGCCGCCATGGTTTCGAGCAAACGGGTGATCGTCACCGTGCTCCAACTTTCTCTTTTCCCCGTAACGCAGATCCCAGAAACTCTCCACCACTACAAATCAGAGGTAAGTCGTCTTCAACGATTATTCTTCTATCATTTGGACGTGCAAAGATCCAAGCTTGCTGACAAATAACTATATAGGAAGTACTATCACTGCTTTCGCGGAACCTCGCAATCTTTCCCAGTCGGCAACCCTCAATCACGACGACTTCGAGGACGAGGAAGACGATGCCAGCGAGAACTATACTCACACCAGCAAGACATACTCCACCAACGACGGAGACATCGAACAGAGACTGAGGGTCATCAGCCTCGAGGATGGGCCCTCTCGAGGCTTGGGAATTGATCCTGGAAAGAATGACAAGGAGATAGCCAGATCGTATGCCGAGGCCGTGAAGTGTTCCCCTCGTACAAGTCATACGCAACCGACCCAAGAAGCTCCAAGCTCTGATCATTCAAAGCACCCTGTACGAGATTCTGCGACACTGCAACGTCGAGGACCTGCATACAAGAAGTCGGCACAATCGCTGCAAGAGATTGTGGGGAAAGCTGTGAGGCTGAGGAGCAACGTTCGACAAGATACTGCCACGAATCGGACAGAAGTAGGCATTCGAAATGAGGGGATAGAGGGCACCAATCGGTCAGTTGCGAGAGGTGGACCGCTAGAAGAGAAGAATAAATATCACACGATTCGTCACGGATACCCTGCGAATCGAAACCATACCTACCCGACACCAATCGCCCATGATTATCAGCACAGTGATAAGTCTGCCGCACATCATGCTGTGCGACGCTCCAATAGCGTCCCTGGTGAAGAGTCAACATCTTCTCTTCTGGGCAATGTCCTGCCAAATAGCTGGTTGTTGAATACAAAGGGCATAGGCCACTGGGCAGACGAACCATCACGATGGTATGACAGGCCATCTCTTAAGCCTGACATACCTCGAATCGTTTCCACAACCTCGCCAGAGTACCGAAAGCTCATCACGCTTGAAGCTGTCGCGCAATGCGCATCCGGCAACTCGAACTCGGCTGGATCCAAGAAGCCGTCTGCTCAATCTTCGAAATCTCGAGTAGGTAGACAACCTGGATCTGGGAAAGGAGGGAAACGCCCAGCAGGCAATGGGCGGGATCGCAAGGATAATGCTGGTGAGGATGAAGGCGATGGCAATGATGGAAACAGGAAAAAGGATTCTCAGAGCCCCAGAGGCGATTCGCGCCAACCCAATGGTCCCAAGAAGTGGTATGCCTGCCATTTCCACAAGCATGATCCGTTATACTTTAGCATCAACGACTTTACTGGGAAGCAATATAAGACATGCGCCGGAAAATGGACAGACATAAGTCGTCTGAAGTAAGTCACTCCTGGTCATCACTTTTTATTGCATGCTGTTACTAGCTTTCAACATTGTATTTGCTAGTGTAGCGTTGACTAACCAAACCAGGGAACATCTATATCGGGTGCACACAGATCCTCCCACATGCGACAGATGTCAAAAGAAATTTGCTGACGAAGGCGAATTGACGGCACATCTGCCAGAACAAGGTGCTCTTCGATGTCCGTTGACAGATAGGACATCCAAGGGCATCCATCGTAAAGTCGGGGAACAGCTTCGGAAGAGGCCACAGCGCAACATGACAAGCGAGGATAGATGGTGGGCGATATGGGCTTTGTTGTTTCCCAAGGAAGAACGTCCAAATTCTCCATGTAAGACACATTCCTGCTACTTAGGAAACCGATGCTGACATATTGCAGATTCGGACTTGGATGGACCTGCCGACCCGGCGGAATCCGACACCTTTCATCTCTTCCTCGAGCAACGAATGGCTCGCCAGCTCGGTGATAACTTTAGCGCCTCACTGAACAACCTGAATGGCTTAAACCTGACTCTGGACCAGAAGAGACTCTTGACAGATATTGCTGTTGAACAAGAAAGAATATCACGCCAACAACTTCTTGGATGCTACGAGGTCGGGCAGACGCTTACTTACAGTCATATATCGGACAACGACGAGAGCCAACAGCTGACCACTGCTTTGACTATCACGGATTTCCCTTTAGAATTCCAATATTCCAGCTCATTGTACTTGCAACCTACAGCAGAAAGTCAAAGCAACGCATATTATCCCACTGCGCACCGGGCTAGCCAATCTTTCGACTCATTACAGCCAACCACGCCCTTCTCACAACTCCCAAGACCATCAACGCCAGCACAGCACTCATCAACAGGCAGCGGCAAGTCCGCTGACTCCGCCTACTACTCAAATCTCAGTAGTGGCGTGCATTCCGCTGGCCTGAGCGACGATGGCAAATTCGTTGACCCTGCGATCTTTGCGCATCAGAATACACCAACGCCACAGATGAACAACTCGAGAAGGAACATCGCGCCTCTACCTGCTGCGAAACCGTTCGATTTTCATAGCTCGAACACAAACAATTATGGTCAAAAGCCTACCCGTCCTTTTGGTTGGCCCTCCGTCCAGGAACCTGTCGATACGACGATGTACGATGGGCTTTCGGATAGAGATGCACCGCATTATACAGATCATACGTCTTAGTGCATCTTTCGATCGAGCATGACGGATGATGCACCTCGTTGCGACGATGTATTCGATTTCTTTGCTTTTTTCTTTTCTTCTTTTCTCTTCCACCCGTCAGATAATGACCAGTTTCCTTCTATTTCTGGGACCATAGGGGAAAATATCTTTCAGATGAATTCTTTTCTTTCGGCTTACGGCTTCGAGGGACAGGTTGGAATTTATGGGTATCTAAGGCACGAAGTTAATGGTGCATGAAGATCACGTCTCGAACGGCACGAATGGATTATCACGATGTCTTGGATTGCATAGCGAAGGATTTTGTATCTCTTGTCTATACATACTTCATTTGGTTGTGGATCAGTCACTACGCTCGGTCACGAATCTTTTTCAAACTTCAACATTGTTTTATGTTCATACCACTGCGCATCTAAACACGCAAAATACAAACATTCCACCCATTGGACCTCGATCCTTGCCCCAATAAACTCTCCAAGAATCCTCACAAATCAAGTTTACTTACTACCTTGAGCGTGGCTTTCCCTTTTCTGACTCATTTCCTCCTCCAACCCCACCTATATTTCTCAAATATCCTCATTTCTTCGCACTATCTCTAACAGACGGGACCGGGAGGTTGCCGCTCTTCCGCTCGATCGATCCACATCAGCTCGCAGTCCAGAGCTTCCTATTCTAGATATCAATTCCCGTGATTAGAGGTCTTTCGGAATCCCTGGAGGAGGTGTTGTGATCGATTGACTGACCTCGATTGGATGGACGCCGAAGTCGATACTTTGGATGCTGCGATTTTTGAAATTTGAGATGTTTTGGAATGTGTTTGAATTCTCGAGATCTTTTTGTGATTGAAATGATGAAGTGAAACTCAAGACACAATAATCAATCAGGAAAGTTGAGCGAAGACTTGCATTTTCGATATCGCTGACGCGCAAGACAGACGAATGTGGCTTGCCCCTTTTCTATCCCGCAGCCTAAGCGAACATTCAGCCTCCCAACGACAACCCCCCTGAATGTATTGCTAAGAAACACAATTGCCAGCAACGCCATCTCGAAAACCTTGCTAAATCTATCCGTTATGGACCAGTGCCTCCAATGACTTTATTTGCACGACCCGCACTCAATGTCCGCCAGCGGAAGCCATGAAGCGACCAAAGATAAAGCTGCCCAAGAAAACACCAGCGAGAACAGACATGAAATAGCCAACGTTCATCGTCATCACAGCAATCATCCTATCTCACAGCGTTAGCAACCTCTCCTACCCTCGCTCAGATACTCGATACTAACAATAAATACCCAATCCCGGCAAGCACAACATCCATCGACCCCAACATCACCGCTTCATTAACCCTCCACGGCCGCACCGCGACCTTCTCCTCATACCCAAACTTCACCCCTCCCCCTCCCTCCCTCCGATACTTCAGCACCTTCAAAAACTCAAAGAAGTTAACCCGGACCGCAAGCAGAGCCCGGAAAATGGTCGCGAACGCGATCAGGAAGATGCAGGTCCCAGCGTACTGGCCCGTCGTCATGGGCATCCAGGACATGGAGTACAATGGTGTATCGGTTGCGGTGAAGAACGTCATGGCCATTGAGTCCATGCCCATCATGTCCGAGGAAGAGGAGGACATCGACATTGAAGAGGAGGCGGTTGAGGAGGCCATTGCCATTGTGCTGGAGGCTGCCATGTCCATGGCGGACGTGGTGGTCGTCATTGTCATGCCGGACATGCTGTCCATCTTGCCGTTGGTAGTACTTTGTCGTACGAGAGTTTGGAAAGAAAAATTGAGTATAGTTTTTGCTATCAGAGACAGAGCTTAAAATCTAGTATGTAGAGATGTATGTGTGTACTGCACTTTATTTTTTTCTTCGTTGAAATAACTTGTAGTGGAATTGGCACATTAAAGTCCACTCGCTGGACATCCCCTTCAGTTCCATCACCATGGGGCACAAATGCAACCCCGTCGCCCGCGAGTGGGGTTCCGGACGCTGCCGTTGGACGAGTCGCCGCTCTTGGCACGCTTGGCACGTCCGCTACTGGGGATGTAGCTCAAATGTGCTTAATTACCGTGGGCTTCTTACTCGTCCCGGGCTCTCGCTTGTAGCTTTCTCAGCAAATCTCTTACGCTGACGCGAGTCCGTGCCGTGGGAAAGTTGCTCAAAAGTGCTCCAAAATGCGCAAACCCTCTGAAAGCTATCCAGATGGTGACCATGTCCACCACGGGACTTTTGCTCTTGTGAGGAGATCCTCGGATTGATAATGTTGAGAAGATTTGGGATTTGTGGGTCGTGGAGCATGTTGCCTCTTACGTTCGCCGAATGAGATGGGCTCCATTACTGGTTACATGGAAGGACGCTTCCAGAGCGAGTTCGAGAACGTAATAATGGTGACAAGCTCGAGGGTCTGGTTGCATCGAATCTTGCCCGTCTTTCTTTTCGTACTTCTACTACCATCTCACGCAAAGTCTGGCAAGATTGATTGTCTTGCCTCATTCAATATACCGTGAACAGGAACAGAGTAATTCGGATCTTCGATACCATTCAGCACAATGGCCGCCTGGCTCTCTCAACCCCTCCAGTTAGATGGGAGTCGTGACTTCGAATGCGACCCACTGACCGCTGAACAATGCGCGTGGTACATGGAACGTTGGCATTTCTGGTATGAATTTGTCCATCAATAAACCCTTCTAGAACTAACAATCTGGGTCAGGTACATAGCTGACTACGTCTTTGCGCAACCAACCGTCTATTTTTTCCTGTCCGCCATTGGCATTTTCATTATCGGTCATGTTCTCTCGTCGTACGTGCTAGGGTATCGCAAGTTTCGAGGGCCACCAATATGGCAGAAATCGATCGCAGCTGTGCGGTACCTGTCGTACCGTGGCTTTCACGTCAAGGCAATTCGGTGGAACTCGGCTACGGTAGGAATCTTGCTGTTAGGATTTGCTGGGACTGTATTCTTCTTCTGTAAGTTGTGGAAGATATATCCAAATTTACGTCAAGCTTGGCTGACTGTGGAAAAGGTATGGAATTAGCTCCAGGAGTGTATTACTGGTCAAGTGGGCTTTATGGAAATTCGCCAGCGCTCGCTACGAGATCTGGATGGATGGCTACGGCTTGTATGCCGTTTATCTTGTAAGTCAAGTCAGCATCAATATCATTTCGAGACTCTAATATTGTGTAGTGCGACAGCGACCAAGACCTCTTGGATTACATTGGTAACGGGAGTTTCGTACGAGAGACTTCAAGTCTTCCATAGATGGATCTCCTATGCTTTCTTCATCCTGGCACTCTTGCACACGTTCCCGTTCATCGTGTTTCACATTCGATCCCATGACATGGAGTACCATTTCTCGTCTAACCTGCTATTCTACTGGACCGGCATCGTGGCACTCATTTTCCAAGCGTGGCTTACCTTTATGTCTCACAGCACCATCCGGTGTGTAAACTCAAAAGTACACGAACGTGGAGAACATTGCTAACACAAAGAACAGGAATCTTGGGTATGAGTTCTTCAAGCTGACCCATTTCTTCGCTGTTATTGTATTTATGATCACTTTCTTTTGGCACTGCGACTGGACCCTCACTTCATGGTAAAAACACTAACTCCTTTAACATACCAAAATCGGCACTAACTCTACAGGAACTATTTCGTCGCCACAGCGGCTATATATGTTCCCTGTTACCTCTACCCCTGGCTCCGCACATGCTTCGAGTACGGCACCAGCCAGAGAGCCCAGATATTCGTAGAAGACAACGGCTTCACCCGCATCGTCGTCCCAGCCAAATTCGACTGGACACCCGGGCAGCACTGTTTCCTCCGCTTCACGAGTTTCGGTCTCGCGCAAGCCATCTCCGCTCACCCATTCACCATCTGCTCCTCTCCATCAATAAACCCGAACGAGCCATCCGAACTCGTCTTTTACATCCGTCACCAAAGGGGTTTCACAGCCAAACTATACCAACACGCCCTCGAACAACCCGGCGTCTCAGTACCCGTCCTCGTCGATGGCCCATACGGAGGAATCAACGTCCAGCGATACAACGAAAGTGACCACCTCCTCGTGATCGCCGGCGGTTCAGGCGCAGGCTGGTGTCTCCCTTTCATAGAACGCTTCATCCGCCACACCTCCAGCTCGCTCTCCACCGACACAGGACACGGCCTCACCCTCACCGACGACAAAGAAGCCCTGCCCATGCATCATACCCCAACCCAAGCAGCAGGCCCGCTCTCCCTCCGCGTCATCCTCGCAACCCGCGACATCGCCTCCCGCGTCTGGTTCCTCCGCGCCGTCTCCGACCTCCTATCAAAATACCCGACAGCAGCAAACTCCTCATCCCACATCCGCGTACAAGTCTACCTCACCGGCTCCGCAGCCGAAGAAGCGGACCTCTCCCACAGCCACCACCCCGTGAGTTCGAAAGGCTCCACGTCCTCCGCCGACAAGATCGACGTCCCGGTCAAAGGCGCCGATCTCAGCGTCCCCGGCAAGGAATTCGAGGGTCGACCGACGCTGCCGTTGATTATTCGAGAGGAGGCTGCGAGGGCGGGGATGGGTGAGGTGTTGAATGTTTTTGTGTGTGGGCCGACGACGATGCAGAATGATGTGCGGAACGCGGTGGCGGGGGAGAATTTGGGGATCTTGCGGGGGAGGAGGAATGGTGGGGTGTATTTGCATTCGGAGCACTTTTCGTGGGCGTGAGGGGGGATTATTATTGTTTTTGTAATTTGATGAAGGTTTTAGATGTTGATGTTTATGATGAATGCATAAGTTTTTGAAGAGACGATGGGTTCCTATATTTGCATTTTGTGTGTTTATGATTTGCGAAATGTGAGGACTGTGTCAGGGACTAGGTAGGAGTTACTGGTTGTGGGACTTCCGCTAACAAGACCTTCAAGATTCTGGATACGTTTCTTAAACCCATGGTATAAAGATTGAAATTCCACACCTGTTTGAAATCTGCAATCGATAATAGACGTAACTTATCCATGCCTACCCATCCCTCAAGCTATTTCCGCAGCTACCCCCACCCAATTTCTCCGGCAATATCTCAATCCATCCTTTATACTCAAATCCAACATAAATAGCGCTAAGTTGCATTTCACATCCGAAGCTCCTCGCTGATAAAGGGATGATTTATATAGCATGAAAAAAAGGAGTTAGTTACCTTGCCCCTTATTAAGCGAGGCATCTTGATTCCGCGAATGTTCAGCTCTGACAACCCTATACAACCACAAATCCAGGTCAAGGTATTAGTCAAAAGTCACTACCATCTCACACAGCCCTCTTCAAGTACTTCGATTTTATGAACAAAGCTACCAATGCTCCTTACTTTCTCGATAGCGCAACTATCAATGAAAATAGATTCCTAGAAAAGCTTAACGAAGAGACAAAAGGGACTCGTTCGATATCGAAACTCTCACTGACGACGACATGTTTCGGAAGCTGATGATTAGCGTGAGTTTTGTCTACGGTATATCGTCATCGATGCTAGCCGTTGACGAATGCCCTGAAAAAGAAGAAATTCTACCCACTCTTCGTCAAACCCACCCCTTCCCTCTCAAGACTTTAAATAACTTCGCACTCTAATTGCTCGCAAGACAAGACTAAACCAATTTCGCAGCATCCTTTTCAGACCTACTTCTCGTAGAGAAAATTATAGACATCGCTCATGAACTTACGAAACGGGTTGCCTCCTGAACTGAAGATTGACGCCTAGCTTCCTTTACCCCTAACAGCACGTGCATTGTCAATATTGCCTTTCTTATCCTCTCTATTTCATCTTCTCCGATTACAAGGCTAATGTCTCGTCTGTATAGTTAGGTTTTGGTGAGTTGCATGCCATCTTCATGTGCAATCATACAACAATGGCAAGCAGATAATCAAAAAAGTCCCTCCTTCAACCTTGATGAGATGTAAGTGCAGCTGCATGTATCTTCGGTGGAGTGACGATATGTCCTCGAAAGATGGTACTAGAATAAACTTGGAATAACATGGCTCGCTTTTTTCTGGGCGAGGGCTGTGCATGGTTAGAAGACGTTTCGAGGTTTTCGATGAGCGGACTTTCTCTTTCTACCTATGATGCAGAACTTAGAATGAGTAGTCTAGCAATCGTCAACGGTGTCTGTTCCTCGCTGGTGGTAACAATGGATACGAAGATATACGAAGGACGCCACCGAGGTCCGCGGCTTCTACTCGCCCATGAATTTCTCTTTTCCAGCTGATTAAAAAGCACGCTCAGACGTCGATCTCGGATTCAAATTCTCTGAAGAAGATTGTCACAAGAAAACTGCTTTGTGCTGTATAGCATATTTGAGTGAAAGTCACACAGATACCTAGGATCCCTTACGATGTACCCCCTCGCAGACTGTGCTCTACAGATACATGTAAGTTGGACCAAGGAGCCTCCTCAAGTAAAGAATTTTGGAGTACACATTATGCGATCCTGGCAAGCTTTGCGGCACGAGAGCATAGAAGAGAATATGAAATGGAGTAGTCGAAGAGAACTCGCTATTGCTGGCCATGGAACACAGACTCTATATGCAGCACTCTACTCTGTACAAAGTATACTAAAATTAATTAACCCCTTCTAAAGAAACAAAATACATTACTCATACATCCATCCATCTCGACTCTACCCATCTACCTTCGAACTCGACGCTAACTATCTATCTACATTCAAATCCAACACCCTTTAAAACCCATTCCCCCCCACAAACCCCTGAACATGCCCAAACATCTCCTGCGCCTCAAAATGCAAATTAATCGCATGCCCCGCGCCCCCGACAATCAAACTCCTGGACCCCTCCCTCCTCGCGCCCGGAAACAGCGCCGGCTGCACCAGCGCCGCCTGATCCGTGGGATAACTCGCGTTGCCCTGCGCGAAGATGAAGTCGAACTCGCCGATCACGGCGTCGACGGGGCCGGTGAAGTTGGGCGAGGGGGCGATGATCGAGGTCAGGGTGAAGAATTCGCCGAGGGTGAAGGTTTGTTTGTGCGTGTCGGCGTTGAGGAAGACTGTTTTATTTGTCAGAGAGAGGAAGAGAAAGGGGAAGAGGAGGAAAGGAGGGGACGTACGAGCAGGGTCGAAGTTCGGGTAAGCGTAGAAGGCGGTTTGATCACCGATGGCATTATCAACGACGAGATACCCGTTCGGCAACCCCGCGAACCGTGCCGGCTGGTTCTGATTCGCAATTGCAGAATTGAAATCCGCAAACGTCAACGGGATGGCTAATGAACTGGTTGAGAAACCAGTTAACACCACGGCATCGAAATCCTTGGGGTAGATGGACAGGAGGCCAACGGACTGAATGGAGCCGAATGAGTGGCCTACCCCGATGACGTTCTTGAAGGCTTGGTTGGCGAGCTTACTGGCTCGGAGGAGCGAGACGAGGGAGTGGATGATTTGGACTTGGATGCGGGCTTGGACTACCTGGATTGGGTCGGGGTGATCTGAAGCTCCTACTCCAAGGCGATCGAAGGAGAAGGTTGGGTAGCCGGCTTTGGCGGCGACGTCGATGAAGCTGTAGCCCTCGGCGAAGTCCCAATACGATTGGTTGAACCCGATACCATGAGTAAGGAACTGGACCGTTGCGTTACCGCTTTCGCAAGACCAATTCTTCGGGTAGCAGAGTTTGGCGGCAATGTTGAAGTTTCCGGAAACGGTGGAGGGGCCTCCATTGATGGTTGTTGCTAGCGAGGAGTTGGCTTTTAGGAAGTCGAAGAAGGTGGCTGTGAGCGAGTATTGGTCTTTGGGTTCTGTGATGAGGAGTTTCGTGGATGGAGAGGTTATGGGTAGGTTGATGTGGCCGGAAATACAATCTGCGAATCCTCCAGCAGAGGTCGAGAATGTTGGATTCGAGAATCCCGTAGTGCTTTTGAAGGGGCTGTTTGCTGGTTCAGCCCATGGTCTTGCCAGTGAACTGACAATGAAGAGAGCTTGGATAGCGGAGACGGTTGAGAGAGATGGGAACATTTCGGTACTGTATTGCTTTGCTGGATGCCTTTGGAGATGAGCTGATGATGATACTCATCCAAGGTCCAAACAAGACATCTTTATACAATCTCGCTCCATCGCTGATTCAAGCACGATGTCGTCGTTGTTGTACCTGCATCTCTATCATCGTACAAAATGGCACTTGCCCCACCACCACGGCTCGGTGTTCACTCAACTACCACGACCGACGACAACACTGACCGCTTGTCCCCTCTCCCGTTATTTGGAATGCAAAAAAATCTACCTTTCCAGTACCTGAATTGAGGTAAAAGAACAAGGCGTGGTCCCAGCGGCCGCTCGGCGAACCCTCGGTATGAGTAAGCACTCTGCATTGTGGCACAATTACATAAGGACCTTGCCTACGAGTGGCTGAAGCTATTTGGAACCTCAGAATTACCTAATCCAGCAATTGCGGCCGCAAAGAAAATGTCAGGAATAAATCTCCTAACCCCGAGTGCGAAGCGTCGGCATTGATTAATAACATGACCAAGGGAGCAAGGAAGAATAGTTATTTGAGTTATCCCCATGTTAAAGTTTGATGATGACTATCATTAGACTTAAGGCCAAGCACAGCCGAGAAGAAATAAAGTCCGACAAAGGAAAGAAACATGGCAACCAATCTAATATAGGACCACCAAGACTCCACAACGACAACCCAATCTATCAACCCATTACTGTCTCTCGATGACCAACACTCGTCAATTACCTATCAGCATCAAACCCTATTCATCAAGTTAGCAACGACTCTGCACGAACAATGATAGAAAAACACTCACCATGCAACCGACTCCTACTCCCACCAGCCGCCTTCCCAATCCCCTCAACCCTAAATCCCAACTTCTCCATCCCCACAACATCCACCAGCCCCCTCCCATCAAAAACCCACTTCGGCTTCCGCATCCCATAGCTAATCCTCTCCCACTCGATATTCTCATTCGCAATCACCTCCTCGACCTGTCCCCTCTCGCAATCCCTGCATCCCGCTGGACACTCCGGTTCCGGCAGATAGCGATTCAGCGGATCCGTAGACAGCGGTGGTGCGAGCTCGGTTGCGTTGGGGGTCGGCGAGGGAGAGGACGGTTTGGTGTGTCGGGATGTGGTCATCATGTTCAGGATGTCGAGTTCGGAGGGGGTGCGGCCTAGTGTTGGTTTCGTGACTGCTGCTGCTGCGATAGACTCCTCTTTGTGGAAGGCGGATTCTTTTTCTTTGAGGGGTGGGTAGCGGAATTGATCCCATTCCGTTAAGATGAGGACTGCGCTTGCGTCGTGGCAGGCTTCGTAAGAGTCCTTATATACTACTCTCGTGTTAATACAGAACTTGTGATATGGAAAGGGGGAGGACGTACCTTCGATCGGCCCATCAGGCTTCAAGAGCTTCAATCCAGTGGTAGCGAAGAGTCTCTTGATCTCATCCTTCACATCTTCAGGATTACATCTAGGATCAAAGATAGCAATCTCAGCCGGATTATCAGCAAGTAAAGACTTCACCACTTCAACAGCAGGACTCTCTCTGGTATCACTAGTATCCTTCTTAAACGCATACCCCAGAATACTAATCTTGCGTCCAATAAGTGTTCCATGCAGATTGGAGACAACACGCTTGACGAATCTGTTGCGCTGGAATTCATTGATAGTGATCACCTGCATCCAGTAATCGGCCACTTCCTCGAGATTGAGAGTCTGGGCAAGGTAGACGAGAGACAGGATATCTTTCTTAAAGCAAGAGCCGCCGAACCCGAGACCGGCTTTGAGGAATTTTGACCCAAGACGAGCGTCCCGGCCAATGGCTTTCGCAATCTCGTCGACGTCGGCGCCGGTCTTCTCACAGATGGCGCTGACGGTGTTGATGCTGCTGATGCGTTGCGCGAGCATGGCGTTGGCGACGAGTTTGGAGAGCTCGGATGACCAGAGGTTGACGATTACGATTCTGGAGCGGTCGACCCACGCGGAGTATACTTCCTCGAGAGTTGCTGCGGCGGCGAGACCAGCTTTGGTGCGAGAGCTGCCGATCAGGATACGATCTGGGTTGAGCAGATCCTTGATGGCAGTGCCTTCAGCTAAGAATTCGGGATTTGAAAGGATCTCGAATGGGACACCTGGTCTGTGGACTTCGAGCTGTGAAATTGTCAGTGCATGACTTGAAATGGGAAATAGAGTTAGTACGTACAGTATCGCGGACAATCTGAGCAGTCCTGCAAGGAACAGTGCTCTTCTCAACAATGATAGCACCAGGCTTAGCAGCAATAGCAATATCTCGAGTTGCACCCTCAAGAGCAACCATATTTGTAGCTGCACCAGCACCGATACCAGTCATCTTGGTAGGGGTGTTGACGCTCAGGAAGACGATATCAGCTTCCGAGACACACTTGGCAACATCTGTAGAGAAGAACAGATTTTGCTTGCGAGCAGGCATCTCAACTGTGAAGTCTCCTTCGACGTTGACGGTGGTGGCGTTGGTGCCATCACGAGCCACTCGCACGATCTCGCTGAGACCGGGCTCGTGGATGGGAGGATGTTGTGAGTTCCATCTCCGGATACGTCCAGCATCTTTGTCAACGACTGTGACTCGAATATTTGGGTTGTGGAACGCAATAACAGCTGCTGTTGGGCCACCTGTGGAGAGAAGTGTCAGTCAGAAGAATGAGACTATGATGTTCTGGAAATGAATATCATATAGAGTAGAGGGTCTTGGAAGGTAAAATGTAGCCCAAAGCAAATAAGAGGCAACATACCAACATAACCAGCTCCAACGCAACATATATTCTTTGCCTTTGGGACTGGCAAGATCTCTGTGACTGACTCACGAGCAAGCTTCGGTAGATCTACCGAGCTCGTAGTTGGAGGCGTAGAAGGGTTCGTCGAGATAGGACTTCTCTCCTCAGAGGTATCACTTGCAGCCGAATCCATCATGGGCGCCATATCGATTGTCCAAGCGTAAGGAAATTATTGAAGACGAGGGTAGAGCAATTCTAGAAAGAGAGAAAAAAGGATGGTGAGAACTCTTCCAAAGAGTGAGTGCCAAACGAACTAGTCTATTGATATAGAGATCCCAAATCGAGAGAGTTTCAGTGACGCACGTCACGCACAGGCTGCCTCGCTCCAAAGAGACGACAATGATGCGATCTCCAAAGCCAAATCACCCATGCTCATTCCGGACTCCGTTGTCGTCCAGAGCTGATTATTGTTTGATCATCCGAACTTGACATGTTGGATCGGACAAGCTTCAGCTATCACCACTTGCAGGAGCCAAAGCCACATTAGGACACGCAGTTTTCTTAGAGATACAGATCGACAATCAGAGCTGCACGCAAACAGTAGTCAGAATAATCACTCCAGGGATTGAATTTGTACAGATCCCATCCTTGCCAGCATGGCCGCGGTGTGAATCCTCGAGAGTTCGAAGATCCTATCCCGACTGACACGTTCGGACCGAGTCTACCCTTACAAGTAACCATGCTCTAGATGAAAAATACACCAGAAAAAAAAATAAGAAGATAAACGAAGAAAATGCCAAGGGGGACCCGATAGGGGAGCTTAGCGTCTTTTCCCCCTGAACGCCTCTGGTGCTTCCCTAGGATCAAGGACCGAGCGCCGCGGGAAACAATAACAGCCCTTTTAGAGTTTCCACGCCGGCGCCAGCACCAACAGCGGCTGGGGCGTCCATCAACGATCTGCACGAAAATCAATACAGCCAAGCCCAACAACGAAATGACCAGGGACACCGATTTGGGAGATCAGCAACGATAAGATCTCTGCTGGGGTAGCGTAATCCCATCCCATGTTTCTCGCACCCTGGGCGTGGGAAACATGCAGAAAGTATCACAGACGTCGGACTTGCCCGAATAGGGACGTTGAGGTGGTCGAATGCTCGCGCTTGAGATAAGACATTTTGAATCAGAGGTTCAACGGCAGGGAGGATAATGTGCCACGCGGCTCACGTGGCGGACGGGATGACTTTTGTTGGTCAAAAGCCACTCGGGAAGATGTTTGGGACTTCCATTGTCTCTTGGCGGCAGGAAAGGAGGCGGGAGTTGCCAGGCTGCGTATGTGGCTGCAGGAAAGAAGCTGAGGTCTGTTTGAGGATGGGGCTCTAATCTACAGTACTGATTCTTTGAGAGCGTGGGATGAAGATCTGATTTTGAGTTCCGAGGTAGAAAATTGCTGAGATTTCGTGGAGAGAGAGATCGAGATGAAGATGCCGTGTCTTCGTGCCGAAGAATATTGCGGCGAAGTTCACCTACGTACCTAGGTAGATTTGGACGGAAAAGAGGTAATCACATGATAACCCAACCTCCTCCCCAATCTGGCGGTGACATTCTTAGGTTTGGAGGCGAGGTCGTTGGAAAGGGTTTTGAACCGGACGATGTCCTCTGATGGAAAGAAGCATACTTGAGTTGCTGGATGTGGTTTTAGGATGAAGTATAATATAGTTTGAAACGACTGCCGACCTTACTCAAGTCCGGGGTTCAACACTCGAGGAAGGTGCTCAAGCGCGATTGACTTCTCGTGAAATTGTGGCGAGAACTAGATTTTTGGCTTGTGGAATACTGACCTCCTTCCATATTCAGTTTTGAGATTTGTCACAAGTGAGTATGGACAAGTTGTACATAGCACGCATTTGCAGACTTTCTGTAGATGAGAAGACATGAGCGAAGAGATGGTATGAGAACAATGTTGAGAGAAAGCCCAAGACTCTGTGTAAATGATCGTTGAAGATTACTCTGATTACTCGCACCATCTATATGACTTCTATACTCCACTCCATATCTATATTCCCCTTGCCCACCAAACAATTACCCCAAAATCAACATTATGTATATTTCCAGCAGAGCGAACGACAAGAATCCAAAACAAAGGAGAGTCCCCAAAGATCCCAGCTCTCACCTCTCCTTCCCCAAACTCATCTGCTACTTCTTCTTGACACAAAGCAAAAACCGATGCGCGAAGAACAAATTCATCGAATCCAGCACCATCAACGGCACCGCATTGTAGATATGAAAATCATCATCCTTCAAACACCTATACACCAGTGCTCCCGCCAGGGCGCCCAGGTACGTGATAATCCAGCACCAAGCCAGAATCCGCATATTGCGAAACTTATTATTCTTGTGCCCGGCATTATCGCCCGACGGGACCCAAGCAAGCGCGCGTCCGAACAGCCGGTCTTTGATCGCGGTGAAATACGCGTAGGATTGGATCACCATGATGAATTGTACGTTGAGGGAGTACTTTGCCTTAGCCCAAAAGCGCAGCGCGAAGAGGGAGTAAAAGATAGACGGGATGGCGAAGGCGAGGTTGTAGTATTTGAAGTATTCTGGGCGAACCCACAGGAGCAGGATACCCGGGAGCGGGTTGAGGAAGATGGTGAGCGAGATGGCGGAGTAGTACATCATGCCTGAGCAGTAGCAGAGTTTTTGCACGATAGAGAGCTTGGAGCGCCAGAAGTCGGGGTTGGTGAGCAGAGTGGTGGAACCCATGCACCAGCGCATCTGTTGCGAGAAGAAGGCGTGAGGAGTGTCGGGGCAGACGCCGCAAGCGAGACAGAGAGGGACGTATTTTACTTTCCATCCGCGGTTGACGGCGTAGAAGCCTGTGTGAACGTCTTCGGAGAAACCGATCTCGGCAGTACCGCCAACTTCAACGAGTGCCTCGCGACGATAGACGGCGTTGCTGCCAACGCAGATTGAGGCTCCCCATCGGTTGCGGTTGACTTCTACAACGCGGTAGAAGAGTTCTTGGATACCGCCAGCGCCCTGCTCAACCCAAGTCTGGTTGTCTGTAACTCGGAAGAATTGAGGGCTTTGAACGATGGCAGTCTTTGGATCGGCAAGGTGCTGAGGAATCAATTCATGGAGGAAGTCGGGACGAGGACAGAAATCGGCATCGAAGATAGTGAAGAAATCGCCTTGAGTGCGAGAGAAGGCCCAGCGAAGATTGCCAGCTTTCTTCAAGCGAGGTCTATCATCTCGGACGATGTAATTGAAGCCAAAGCTTGTTGCAAGTTCCTTGACAGCGTCCATTCCGCCATCATCCAAGACGTAGACTTTCAATTTGCCTTCTGGCCATTGAAGGGCTTGGACGTACTTGTAGGTGTTGGCTAAGATTTCCATGGGCTCTTTGCAGCATGGCAAGTAGATATCCACGGTAGGCGCAGTCTCTGGGAGAATAGGATGATCTGCCAGAATCTTCTTGTGGCCTTCGAAATCGTAGTCTTTGCCGACAATGGTGATGGTGTACGAAATGATGAGATAAATCTCGAGAAGTCCAACGAAGAAACCGAACCAGTAGAAGTACTTGGATGTAATAACGAAAAGCCACATGCCAGCCGACAAACTCAGGAATGAAAAGACGCCAATGATGTAGAGAGGCAGTCGATTTGTCTTTAGGTACGAGTATTTCTCTTTGTCTGTGGTGCCGGATGGGAGAATAAGAGGAGCATCTTCCACAGGAGCATATGTCGCTCGGAAGACCGCCCATTGTCGTGCAAAGAAGTTCTTCTTTTTCCCTGACGCCGGCGCAGGTGTTTTTCCTTGTTTTTCTGGGTCCTTTCCAGTAGGCAAGCCTGGTGGAGGTTGAGTGTACTCGATCTTTTCATTGAACTCTTCCTGTGGTTGTGTAGGAGCTGGAGCGGGAGTCTATGGAGTGTCAGAAAAGATTGCTTAGACTTTTCTCCTTCAGTAATACTCACAATGTCATCTACGCCTCGCTCTCGCAAGTGTACCTGGGCTGGTGTTGTAACTTGGCCTGAACGAATAGATGAGGCTCCAGAAGAAGAAAGACCCTCAGGGTCCGCAAAAGGATTGACATATTCAGAACTGGGTGAGCTTGGAGTCTCATCTCCAGCAGCATTTCGAGACAACTGAAGTCGAGGGGGTTGATTTCGTGCAGCCATGTTGACAACAAAAGAGTGTGTTTACTTGCACTGACTGATCCTCGAGAAAGGGGGATAAAGGTTGAATTACCAGATAACCAACGCAGCGAAAAGTTCGAGGATAAGGATTGAAGACTTAGAATACACCTCAGCACGTTGAAGGTTGACTCTACCGCGTTGTGGTCATTGTGGATATCGACGTAGGTGGATCTACACTTCACAACCCAGGTACCTTGAACTCTACATCCTTGGTACGCGGAAGTCCGTTGGGAACATCATCTCAGGCTTACAAGCCGCTTGGCTTGCAGAGACTTCCCGATAATGCAGCTGCTAGAGATTCCATCATTTCGTGTTAGAAAGATGTTTGTACCTCAGCTGGTATCCTGAAAAGATCTGCTGCCAGAATTTCCCATCTCTGAAGTGGATCTCGACGATAGACAAAATTCAATAAATGCAGCCAAGAAAGTCGACTTCCAATCTTGGACTGCTTGCTCAGTCCACTTTTGCGGCCTTCCTAGTAGCCACCAAAGAACATGCTTGCAATCATCGGATGCAGGCGACGTGGCCTGGAAAGGGTCCAAGATTTGCACCAGGAAATGAATGCACGTGCCGCCGGGGACCTCAGCGCACCTTGTCTGCCAAATGCCGATCCCAATCGCGGACCGTAGGACTCTTGACGTCGAAGGCCTTCACCAATCTCCAATCTGGGAAGCGGGATATAGTACAAAGTGCGAAGCGTAAAGCGTGGAAGTGAAGGAATGACAAGCTTTTTCCAATGCGCAGGTACAATGATGCAGGGGAAGGTATCAAAAACATTGCCGTCCCGTCACTAATCACGATCAAACCAAGCTCATCGAAGTTTGGAGAGTTCAAGATAGCGCCCGGAGATCAGAACTTAATCCGGCGTCTGAGCGCGAAATCCCAGTCGTGACAAGAGTCAAAAGTCCCCCAGGTGTCTAAGTGGAGCGGCTGCCCTTTGGAGACCTATTGTTGAAGTGGAGAAGGCCACGAAAATATTCTGCATGTTACAGTGTCCATTTTTGATAGATGCCAGAACCAGTGCCGGTTGTGTAGCTCCAACGACGTGGCTCGCTGTGTTGTATGCATGCATTATCCATGCATGATAAGACGGCTGAACAAGCTGGCTGGTAATTTTTTGTACCTGCATATGAGCATTTATGATGGGAAAATTGGAAATACCGTATTGGGTTTCGGCCCGAAGCTAAATGTTGATCTGCGTTTCTAAACCCGGTCGACCTTCTACGAGCGGCCACCGCCCGCATCAAAATCATTTGTCGATGCAGCTGCGGCTGAGAAAGCCAAGATCTTCGTTGCGCCCCATAAATTACATTAGTTCCAACCTTATTTCGAAGCTTATCATGCCGTGGATTCGCACGGAAGACGAACAGTTCCGAGATAACACGGCATGACAAGCGTCGGCAGCTGAACAACGGTGAAATTGGGCGTGCTCTAAGTTGTGAGCTTAGCAATCCCGGTAGAAATTTCTCGTAGGAACGAGGGCTGTTAAATTATGATCGATGCTAGGAGATAAGACCGATAACGTGGGGGCCCGAAATCCTCAACACCATGCTCCATTGACAAGATAGGAAATCTATATCGACCCGTCTATTTGCGCCGTACCCTTATCTGCGTGCATTCGCGTCTCAACGGTTCCGCCACAGCCTTGTCCAGAGCTGACAGGTCCAAATACGACATTGATCTGCCGATTGCTATCATGAACATGTGAAAGTGAAGAAGAATGCGAGTGGAAGGAGAAGCAGGACCAGGTTGGGGAGTGCCCCTCCAGCAGCTCTCGAGTCCACAAGCGGTTGTCCGGCAGCGACACTGATGTTGAAATCCTGGGCAGAGAATGTGACATTCGAGCTTGCGTGGAAGGTTTCTGTCCCGAATTGGACAACACCGAGATAGTTGGACTCCGATATTAGCTTGTGCTGCCAGAGATAGTGTAGCAGTGGGGAGATATCTCTGTCGAAGGTTGTCACATTGGATGGTGCCAGCCATGAGTACACGAATTGGCCATTGTTGTTAGCACCAGAGTAGAGTGTACTATTTCATAATTAGTATATCTTCAAGTATGAATTAGATTGAACATACTATATCGTCCCATTGAGACTATGCGTAGGCGGGTTTTTGATGGATGAGCTGAAACCAACTGTATGAAGTGAGCCCGAGATCTTTACAATAACTTGATGCGGAGAACCTTACTTGGCTTCTTTCCACCGTAAGCTGCAATCCATATCATAACTTCATACTTTGGCAAAGTGGTGCTGTTTGCCGTCGTTGGATCAGTGTCCAAGAACATATCAACAACAACATTTGCGGCAGCGTCGATAGTGTCCAGATTTTCAACTGAACTGGAACTCGGGTTCATTGACCATGACGCCGAGATGTTCAGATGAGAAAGGTTAGATAGCTCGATTGGGAGTAAATCAGACTGCAACTTGATGTTGGGAAACGAGTGAACCAGAGTCGGGTTGTCGCTCCATGACCAAGTAGCATTGAAATCGGTAGTAGCATTGTTGACCTGAAAGAGATCAGTTTGACGTCTCGTGACTGCTGAAAGACGGGAAGAACATACACTGATGCATTGAGCGCCAGAACCATCATCGCCCCATTCGTTTGTGTTGACTGCAAATGTTAGTCGTGAACTCAATCTGGCATCGAATGTAGCTTACACGTGTAAGATTGATTTGCGCTCCAGTGAGTATCGTACTGGCCACATAAGACGGTGTTCTTGGGTGCTGAAGACTTTGCTTGAACCATGGCGGCACCGAAAAGGACGGGTGCGAGGAGACGCATTGTGAACCTCAGGGCTGAGCTTCTGTCGAACATAATATGAATGATACAACGAGAAAGATTTTAAGAAGAAAAACGAAGCTGGAAAGAGAACTGAACGATGAGGAGTAGTCAAGAGGACGCGTCAGGCTGTGACATACCGATAAAGAAGAGGACATGTTGAGCAGAGAATGCATCTTATCGGACGAGAAGGGAAAGGAGCTGCAGCTTTCACGTGTGGGTGTTGAGGCTGTGATGTGGTTGGCTGACCGGAGGAGCCAACACTTGCCTTAGCGCGAAGAGCACGTGAGCTACAAATCTTATGCTCGATCAGACGCCTGATATTTGATACTTAATACTTCATTACCTGAAGGGGCCTCTGAAGCAATGGGCTCGGTACATTGAATGCAGGCCAACGATAAAGCATGCCGTAGAATCTTTGTCGTCCAAGCATCACGTGATATGGGTCGAATGATCTCCAGATGTGGCCATAAGAGATTTTCTCAGCACTGTAAGGCATGGCTCGAGCCGACAATTTGTTTTGTTCCGATCCGTGAATAGAGTTCTCATGGAAGGTGATAGTTTAAGACCCGGAAACCTTCGGTGGCTTTCGGCTTCGATTTACGTATTACTTTTGCAGCCTCGCTTGTTGCTAGTTCTTCTGTCAACGACACTTCTCTAATTCCTCCAATGTATACATTACAGAGTCTTCTGCTTTCAACCTTCCCTCATCGATTTCGAAGCCTAGTCACTCCTGCACCAGGAACGGGCAAACACCTCTCTCGCTACTCCACAATTCCTCCAACCGACTCCTCTCAGCACCCATTTCTTTCTCGCCACGTCCTCTCAATCCGTTTGGTCCCAGCTCACTTGCTCTAAATCCTTCAGGAAAATATTTCCCTCCATCATCGCCGGGTAACACACCTCCTTTCCACCAAGTCCTCCAGGCCTTCAATCCGTACCGGTTCGAGAAGGTGGGTTTCACGTACCAAGGCTGGATGTTGTATTTTCGGGAGTGGATACGACCGGATGAAGAGGCGATTGGGAGACGTTTCTTAGGTCTCATTCTGGGAAGAGAGAGGTGGAGGAGGATGAATTTGCGGGCGGAGATGAAGCGATTGATCAAAGTGTAGTAAGACTGTGGTGGTTTTGGGATCCTGTTCTCAGGTCAGATATCTGCACTATTCCCTCGCAGGAGACGACCTACATCATAGCTTCCCTCAATTTATCCTCCAACAAAGCCGCGACGACTCTATTTCCCACCGACTTCATCTTCTTGGACAACTTCCACGTGATATGATACAAAGTTGCATCAGCGACCTGCTTGTTTGATTCTGCCGGAACCATGTATCTTTCCTGATACTCGCTACTCCAGTCGTCCAAAGCCTCCAACCACATTAACCCATCATTCAGCTCTGCTCCATCTCCCAGAACATCATACTTGATCCCAAGAGCCTCACCCAGCAACTTCCACAGCGTACCAACAGCACACATCTCCAAATTCGTCAACTCCCTCCATTCATACTTTTTCACCCATCTCGCAGGCTCCAAAGCAAACAAACTCAAAGTATAAAGCAAGTCATCATTCGAGATCTTCCCTGATGCCATATGCGGACTATGCAAATAATTGATCCTCGCAATCGCCTCTAAAGCCCTCTCACTCGCTGGAGGGTTCAGCACGGCTTCCAACAATAGACATCCCGTATCGGTGTATCTTTTGTCAACGGTATCTTTGGAGGAGAATTGGCCAGTGGCGCGGAGAATGGAGGAAATCGTGGGTATGCCATATGCTTTGAAGAGGGCGAACATGGTAGCTGCTGAAAAGGTGGTGGGGAATTCGTACTCGATGAGTGAATTGTGGATTTCCCAGGCGTGGCGAAAGGTCATCTTGTTGTATGATGTACGATCCGGGTAGGGGTACTTATGAGGGAGGGAGGAAGAGCGGCGGAAGCGGAGGTGGTGGACCAGGTAGAGGTATAGAACTGTGCTGGGAAGCAAGACGATCTTCCATTGAGAGAGGATCGAGATCATGATGGCTATGGTGGACATCTTGAGCTTGATCCAGTGATGATCTCCTCTGGGAACTTTTTCTTCAATTGAAGTGAGGGTGTGTGTTGAAGGAGAGTGGGTGACTTGATGTTGAAGAAGAAGTGTGATCTGCTCAAGCGAGCTCCTTCCGTTTCGAGACGAAGACAAACAAAACCTTCTATCAACCCCACACTTGCTTGCTCACCACTTTCAATTAGGAATACCTTCAACAACTTTCGCTGAACATTCACCTTTACACCGAAAACCAATTGAATGCACGTGGAATCCTCAAGCATCCTATAACCAACCTCGAGAGGCACAAAGCTACTTCAACAAGATATCGCCATGCTGCGCCTCAATATATGCAAGCGAGCAGTCCCACGTTGGTAAATTATTCCACCAACATCACAACCTCTGATGGGACAATGTGGTACAAACAAGCCAACTGATCTAGATCGGGCGACACGGCCGATAACTTAGCCTGAATAAGAGGCCAATCTGAAAGACTTGGAGCCGCATCAAAACCATGTACGAACCCGATGGAGCATTCTGGCTACCTGTCAGCATCACACCCCACTGCACGATTTGGACAACCATATGGACAGTGCATACATCATAGAGATATTGGTGAGAATTAGTGCAGTTAATACATACGAAAGCCAAGCTGGCTAGTTCAGACTACGATCTGTTTTGGTGAAGGTTTGTGAAGCAATGGGGTCGGGAAAACATTTTGATTTCTTGCACGATGTATTCGAGTGCACCTTCTTTATTTCTGTCAGCAAATGTTCTTTTCAGCTCTGTGCCCGTTTCGTGTCAGAATACGAGCTGCGTTACGCAGGTTTGTCTTCGTGTACTGAAAAGTGGCTGAGTGGCTATTTTCAACCACATCGATGACGGATAGCTGCATCTCCAAGTCCTTTTGTCAAACGTCAAATGAGACGGTGGGGACGGCTGCTCCCGGTCACCTTCCCCATTCGAATAAGTATACCTAACAGCCCCTTAGTCGGTACCAATCCATCTTTTCCATCTGGACCTCTGGAACACCAGTATTTTATCGTACCAAGGTCCTCAGTGGCCGGTTTGAGCGGGATAGTACTCAAGGAACCAAGATGCGAATACAGATAAATCCGCCGAGAGGTACACAGCGTTTCCAGATCCCCAGTTTACATTTATCCTGGTGCATGCAAGGCATGCAATTAGAGATACAGCTTGGCATCTACCACCCATTTCTATGACCAGTTTCGCCCTGCGAAAACATGTTAGACAGACACACCAAGTCGTTGTTAATGGTATTCTGTACACAAGGTCACTGTTCACAAGAGAGGCACAGCAAGATTACCTACAACTTGGCACTTTGTTGCTGCTTGCTTGCCCCCACCCCAGAAAGAGACTTTGAACTCCCGTTCATTCTTCAATATATGGTCCATAGACTCACCATGGCTTCACTTCCTCTCCATACCTCTTCCAAAAACCATCAGCCAACCTCACAATGGCTCCCTCGCCTATTCCCATCACAATCGACCACGGCAATGGCGGCATTCCCTACACACCCCACAACGCTACCACTCTCTCGAAAGGATGGGTAACCCAGCCCAATAACCGTGGAACCCTCGATATACTCTGGACCTGTGCCAGCACACTATTTATCTGCCTATGGGTACAACTGCATCTCAGTATGTTGGAATCTGCCTCTTTTAAAGGAGACTCCATGAGCCGGCTAGGCTCTTGCTCTGTTGCCTCCAATCTTCCAACAAAACACATACTGATGTTACGAAAGACGTTCCAGGCCCCCACGAACGCTTCTTCACGCAATCCCTTCGCCGCCTCCGCTGGCTCGTCATGGGCGCACTCGTTCCCGAGGTCCTGCTCCTCTCCGCAGGAGGCCAATGGGCCTCTGCCGAACGTTCCGTCCAGGACATGAAACGCCTCTTCCCAAATTCAAACTCCTGGACTATAGTTCACGGCTTCTACGCCGATTCCGGTGGTTTCGTCTTGCAACCTCGAGATAGCGATCCCTTCCCCGTATCCGCGAAGCAGGTTCACTACCTAGTAGAGAACGCTTACATTGAGCTTCCCTCAATAACCGAGAAGGAGATCCTTGACAAGTCAAAAGGAGACAAGTTCACCAAAACAATAGCTTGTCTTCAAACCTTCTGGTTCATAACGCAATGTGTAGCACGGCTTATACAGAGACTTCCCGTCTCCCCTCTCGAACTCCAAACCTGCTCGATAATCATATGCACTGTCACCACATACTTTCTCTGGCTCTACAAACCGCTCTCCGTACAAACACCCACCGTGATACCGATGTCGATCCCTATCGGCCTAGTCCTAAAATGCGCCGGCATCTCGGCCTCAGACTGATGGCGCTTAACTCCGCTAGATTTCATCGAGCCCGAAACTCATATAATGAGTCTCTGGTCCTACACCTGTCGTTCTTACGGCCCTTTCAAGGGGCCTATACAAAGACTCCCAAATGATATGAATCCCTGCCTCTACAATCTCTACCAACGCGCCTACCTCGGTCTCAACGTCATCGCGTTCTCCACTATCTCTTTTAGCGAATGGTATTTCAAATTCCCTTCCCGCATTGAACAAATGCTGTGGAGAATCGCTTGCGCGACAGCCGAGAGCAGTCTCTTCATCCACGCTGTTGCAGAAGCGGTCGGGAATAGGAAGAGGAGGCAGATGAAGGCGGATTATAATTATATCGAGGGGTATAAGTTGCTTTTTCCGAAAGGGGTGTTTTTGTTCTGGGTGCCGTTTGTAACGTATCTTGCGGCGAGAGTTGTGATTATTGGGCTTGCGGTGATGAGTTTGAGAGATTTGCCCGAAGGGTGTTATTGGACTCTTCCGTGGAGTAATTTCGTGCCGCATGTTAGTTGATTGAACCCTTGTCTAATTGAAGAGAAAACATTAACAAAGCTTGAACTAAAGGGAGGATCGAACTCAGTCCAGAGCCTGATGAACGAGAGAGTATGGATGAGAGAAGCAAAACAAGTACCAATGAGAAGCACAAGCTCAACGAGACCGAACCAAAGAGTCCTCTCCCTGTTCTCGAAAGGTCCCCACCCAGCAACGTCCAATGCATTCCCGTGATCAAATATCATTCCCTCGGCAGGTACGTTGTCTGTCATTATAACTATAACAAGCCCTGAGTAATTTATCCTATCTCCATTGTTGGTCAGCTCATGACAAACCATTGAGTAGTTTTCCTCATAGGAATTGAGCGAGGCAGGGGTATACCCCGTGCACTCTCAGTATTATTGAAATGTTTCTTGGGGTATATGGAAGGATGAGATCTCGATGTTGGATGTTGTAGCAAGCGCTGCTGAAACCCTTTAATCAAGCGTCTGTGATGCGAAAACAGACGCGGTGGAAAAGCTTTGGAGACAAAGTGCAGAATGAAAGTCAAGCACTGGTATAAGAGCCACTCCAAAAGTTGTATACATAGCAAGTATCACAAGAACATAGAGTCTCACAGCCCTTGGCCGATCGAGCGACCAAGTCAAAACTGGTATCCCCATGCACTAGCATCAAACTCCAACCCCAGTTCCAGTCCCTCGTTTGTATCCATAGAGCTTTCTCTTTCCATGTTCATCACATCATCGACATCATCTCGCGATCCACCGTCTTCAGGTACTGGCATAGTTCCCATCAGCACGGTTTGCAGCGCCTTCAGCTCGTTGACCTGAGTATGGAGAACGTCGATACAACTGTCGATTTTCTTGTTGCATGCTTCCGCCATCCGTTTGCGGGACCCGATCTGGGCATCGATTTTTAGTTGAAGAGTCTCAATCAGTTTGTCTTTTCGTGATCGGTATGCCCGTTGCGAGAGGCGGTTTTGCATACGTCGGTGCTGGGATGTATCAGCTGCGAAGCATGACTAAGAATCAAGAGACAGACAACTTTCTTCTCATGTGATTCGTCTTTCGGACCAGGAATTGCAGTTGTCGGCTTCGCTTGCCCTTTGCCGTTCTGGAGCTGTGGACTCGTGAATGTTGTGGCGCCATAGATAATTCCAGGATCTGTTGGTTGACTGTGTTGCTGTAATCGGTGGACAGGATGATGGGAGACCTCTCCGAAATCGCCTCGTCCGGTTTCTGGATAAGGTTCATAGTCTAATGGTAGATCGAGTCCCTAATCTGTCAGCTACTGGTAGATTCGTAAATTGGTTCTAAACAGGTTCGGAGCCAAGCTCACCTGAAAGGGGAATTGGCCCAGAATGGTCGCATCCGGAGTTGTACTGTACTGAATCTCCTTGTGGTTGTGCGCTAGCAAAGGATAATAGGGCGTTGTTGATTGGGAAGAAGTTTGCCGGTGCTGCTGAGAAGTCATCGCGAGCCCTCATCAGTCTTTACTACCATCAAGAGGCTGATGACGAAGGAAGGACCTCAATTGAATAATATTCTTTTTGATTACATCTCTGTCAGTGAAAGATGTTTTACAAGAACATGGTGTATTCTTGGAAGGAAGCAGGCCTCGCTTCCAAGAGTCTGCAATCTCGTTGTTGAATTCTTGATTACTGCTCTATAGTATTGTTAACATGGGTTGCCACTCACGGGTACCAAGACCCACGAACGGAAATCTGTTAGTCCATGGAGATTGGTAGGGAGCAGAGAGCCACATTGAAGCAGGGGTGGAGGGAGCATGGAGCTAGGACGAAGGAAGGGAGCTATTCTCCACTAAGAAAGTTTGTAGACCAGCCCCGAACACCATGTGTCCAATCTGCCTTAGTCGATTCTGAGTCTTGTCTTATGCTGTCTCGGTTGTCATCTTGACTTTTCGATAACACGGGACGGGACGTTTGTCATGAAAAATGAGCTGACTCAACAGGGCTTACAGAAACTAGATTGGTCCGTCGAGTATTCCAGGATTACTAGCCCCACCGAAGGTGATTTGGCCGAGAAAGGAAAAGTGCATATGAAGATAGCAGTTTCCGATAGCTTGAGAAAGCGGTATCCACTCAGATGACAACTCTCTTAAGAATTATCTCGTCAATTCTTTCGAATAGCTTCACCCCTTCACGACGAAGCTATCTGTCAGCCTCTGCAAACAATATGCTTTAGCATCGCGTGAATGAGCTCTCTTTCATAAAGATCGGAGGTTTCGCCTCGAGGGACCATGAAGATCAGGCCACATAGAAAACTTTTATACGTGCCCCACTGCTTCCTCACCTCCAAACAAACTTTCGTATTTTGGCTGTAGCAGCTATAGGATAGATGAATCAGCTTCTCAGTAGCAGGTGTATTTGTGCATAACTTCGACCAAGTACCTAGCCGTGCATGCAATCAGTACTGAGGCACAAGCTTCACTGTTCGTTCGGGGTCGGTCCTGGGAACTAATTGACATTTTATGGGTAGCATCGTTTATGCGGCCGTTTCCTGCGCTACTTGCCGTCAAGACTGGTCTTCGGGACCAGTTTGAAATTGATTCGTCATATCGCTCGTGCGGCCGTATAGTCCGTACGCACTGAGGTGACCATGTTCAATCTGTTGATTGGTGGAAAGTGCTGACACAGCGAAGTGCATCTTGCCACGAGAGTATTGACAGCAACGTGTAATCCGCCACCGCCTATGCATAATGTAATCCTCCTCTCGTATTGGCAGACCACCTAAGGCAGAAGCCTCCTCAGAAACAAGCTTCGCGACATTGGTGCTTGTTTCCGGAAGGCCCATCGTGGGATCTATTCTGGGATATTGGTGTAGGCCGAAACCTGCCTCAATGGAGACTGTTGCTTGAGGCATCGATGTAAAAATCTTGAAGAATCGTAAATTTACTGATTGTAATATTCGAGGAGGTTGTATTCGTTCGTCAGGATCGAATCCGAGGTCTTTCGCGGAGGGTTGGTGGGGTGGGATCGATCATTGTCCTGCCAGGGTGTCAGATGTTGTTTTTCCAAAGTAAGTGAACTTTGGATGATCCCACCCACTCCATGTACTGATATTAGAAGAATTGGAAAAGAAGTTCAAAGTGTATTGAATATTAAACATGGAGACGGTCAAATGTTGGATGTTGAGACAAGGTTTGCTCCTTCTGACGCGCGACGGTTTTAGCGCGTCACGCTAGCACGTTACTTTGACTTCACTCCTTCTCAATTCCAAATTGCACTTATAATTCATTGCTGTCCTGAATCAATTCGAAGATCCTGAATACACACATCTGATCTGATTCAGACTGAATTCAATCGACCACCATGAGTCTCGTTCTCAATCTCAAATCATGTTGTCCAGTCTGCAACTCAACCGAGAGACTGGCACGATGCAGGCCTGCCATGTCATGCCGTATTGTAAGTCAATTGGACCGAGACATTGAAACGTCGCTTTCTCCATCCCTAGGCACTCGTGGATTGTTATTACTAGTCCTTGTTGCGACGTCAATGAACAAGATGAGCTGCTAACGTCAATATTCAATACTTAGGTGGCCCTGAGCACCAAGTCGCCCATCGGAATGACCACAAGAAACTTTGCAATGCTATCAAGGAATCCAAGGAGCACCTTGATCTGGAAGAACAGAAATTGCGTGATCTTCCACCCGACGCGTTCCATCCAGCCAAGATCTTCGAGGAACATGCCGGCGAATTCTGGGGCTTGATGGAGACCAGACCCTACATGCAAGCGAGATTTGGTTTTGTCGATGCTCTCACCAAGATCAAGACCACAAATTCCGTTCAACTGGCCTTCGACAATGCCTGGGACATGCTCCGACTTTGTCGTAGTGACAACATGGGGCTGCGCGATTTAGTTCCAAGCCTCTTTCTTCGTCTTGGAAGAGACCAGGAGTGCTACGATTTCCTCAAATGGTATGCTGATGATGAATATGATTGGGGCGATATGTCTCTTCCGTTCCTCGATCTCAAGGACGCCGATGTCTTTGAGCCGGTCGATAAATTCGTTGAAGAATTCGCCGATACCTCTCATGCTATAGCTCTTACGCTGATCAAGATCCGACTCCTCCTCGAACTGCGAAATCTGAAGGATTTAGAAATTGTGGGCGAGAAGCTGCCAAGAGAAATGCTTGACAACGTTCAGGATCAGCTACTCAGCCATGCCATCTCAATCAATCCCAGGAAGAAAGTTATTCTGGAGAAGGGTGACGAATTTGATGACTTGATGTCAGAATTGAAGCTTCAGATCAATGAGCTTCATGTGGCTGTCCACAAGGGGAACAAATACTTCTGGCGATTCCTTCTGCACCCTGGACAGGCCTTGACATCTCCCATAAGTGCATACTCCAGCGACTCATACGAAGAAATGGTGCTTTATCTTCAGTACTGCTACGATTCAGTAAGTAAATACCTCGTCTGTCTTTGCCTCCCCTAACGGTTGACTAACTCACTGCAGTGGGTAGAGACGCCTGGTGCTATCACCATTATTCAGCAACTCGAGGACGACGAGTTTTTGGATGAGGATGATGATACTTACGAGGTTATAGATGAATAAGTGGGAAATGCGTCTCCAGCCTGTCGGTCTACACGGTGGAGAGAGCTAGCCAAGGTTTCTCTCACTTGCCGAAAGTTAGGACATAGATCATTTTCGAACCATATTTCGCGGAGTTTCTGGAAGACATTGGTTGTCGGCGATTTTGATTCATCACAAACTACTGTACAATAGCCAGCTATGAACTCTCAACAAAAAGACCCTATTGAACCGTTTCCGTGACCATCTATGCCCAGCATAGGAAAGTACGGTAGAGCTGATCATTTTTCTTAAAGTGCACGAAGACGGATATGATGGAAAAGACAAAGCAAGGAGAGAGGTGAATAGAAAGAAATAGAACTTCTGCATTCGGGGAAGGAGTGCTGGAATCCACATGAGTGATGTGATCACGTGCAGTACGTCCTCCCCCCCCCCTCCCCCCCAAAAAAGGAACTATTTGGCCTGCATTCTATGGCAAGTATAATCATACTTTTATTGAAAGCTTTTCTCGCTTTGTCGTGCCATCAGCAAAACCACTTATGAAGTAATACTGCAACAAAGTAAACGTGACTTTTCTGCCGAGGTAGCGAACGGGGAAACTTCGGGATGACGCCTGATATGACCTAAACCTCTTTCCTCGCAGCCTTACACCACTTCGGAACATCAACACCACGAAACACATCTTGAACTTCGAAACCAAAACTTCCGAACCTTTCCGTACCTCCACTTTCCCTTTGCACAGAATACCACCGCAACCATAAGTCGCAAAAACCGAAACCGCCATCCAAAAGGCAAAGGCTCCCAGCACGGCCACCAAAAACCACACAAGATGGGCCAAGCCGAGTCTCGCGAGCCGATCGACCCCAGCCAACCTCCCGAGACCCTGTCCTCCCGAACCCTCGAAGGAGTAGCCGAGTACATCAAAGATGGCCGACACAAGAGAATCGTCGTCATGACAGGAGCTGGCATTTCAACCTCAGCAGGAATCCCCGATTTCAGATCACCTGACACAGGTCTGTACGCCAACCTGCAGCGCCTCAACCTCCCGTTCGCCGAAGCTGTGTTCGATATCTCGTATTTCAGACAGAATCCCGATCCCTTCTACGTGCTCGCCAAGGAACTTTACCCGGGAAAGTTCTATCCGACGATTGCTCACGCTTTTATCGCGTTGCTGGATGAGAAGTTCCTTTTACAGATGCTGTTTACGCAGAATATCGATTGCTTAGAGCGCAGGGCTGGGGTACCGGGCGACAAGATCGTGGAAGCGCATGGCAGTTTTGCGACGCAGAGGTGTATTGAGTGTAAGACGGAGTACCCGGATGATTTGATGAAGAAAGCGATTGAGAGGGCGGAGGTACCGCATTGTGTGGTTCCGCAGTGCAATGGGCTGGTGAAGCCGGATATCGTGTTCTTTGGGGAGCAGCTGCCGGAAGCGTTTCATAAGAATAGACATGTGCCTGCGATGGCTGATTTGGTCATTGTTATGGGTACAAGTTTGACGGTGCAGCCGTTTGCTAGTTTGCCGGGCTTTGCGAGGGAGGGTGTACCGAGGGTTTTGATCAATAAGGAATCAGTGGGTGATCTTGGATGCCGGCTGGATGATGTGCTGGTTCTTGGAGATTGTGACACCGGTGTTCGAAAGTTAGCTGATGCATTGGGCTGGCGAGACGAACTGGAACAGCTCTGGCTGGAAGTTGGAGGAAAGGTGCCGGAGAGAGAAGCCGCGAGGTTGAAAGAGCAGAGAAAAGCCATGACGAAAGATGAAGCGCTCGAGGCCGAGATTGAGAAGCTTACTCGAGAAGTTGATGACACTTTGAAGGTGTCGAAGGATCATACGGAATGGGTCAACAAGAACTTGGCTGAGTCTGATGAGAAAGCTGCTTCCAAAGCTGCGAAGGATTCTGGTGGAACAATCACATCTGCCTCGGAACTACCGCCCAAGACCGAGGGTTTGAAGGAACCTCCGCCAACTCCAGCCAGCAACGAAAATACCCCTATCAACACAGAGAAAGTCGATAATGAAGCTCCAGCCAAAGCACCTGCAATCGATTCGAAAGCGATTCTCGATGTCACGCTGCCACACAACAGACCGAGTACTACCGAGGACAAGAAGCCACCTTCTCGGATCTGATGAGACACCTTTGGTGTGAAGCCTTCATCCAGACTTCCTTAAATGAACTTTAGCGGAGCATTGAGGTTTTGACTTTGCTTGTCACGGAAAGAAGGCCCTTAGACTAGGGACGAGTGTGAAACTTGTACGAGATGGCACAGAACGATTGTCTTATTAACGTAGTGTAGATCAATGATGAACATGAATGTCTCTTCATACTCTGAATAGAATGACCGTTATTATGTAACCTCGCCCTGGTCAGCCTCAGACGTCTATAACCTCTTCCACCGATTGGAGAAAGTGGGTTGTTTGGCCTGAATTCTATGACATTGAATTCGGAAAGATAGCACTTGATAGATTGTGACAACATTATAGTCTCAAGATATAAATTAGACATTCATCTATTCATTTATTCAAAAGTATATAATCTTCACCTCACCAACCCCCGCCTCCTCTTCTCCCTCCCTCCATACCTATCAAGGCAACCCCAAAAACAACGCCAACAACCTAGGAAAACTCGGCGTCCCCAACCCCGTAACCGGATCCCAGCCCTCCACCGCCGCAAACCCAGCACTCCCACACCCCGGATTGCTCCCATTCACAATATCATTCAACGCCCACGCATTCGCATACAGCGTCGGGTTGATAAACCCCACCGGCCCCTTCCCCACCGCCGTCCTCTCCTCATTAATCAACGTCACGACGCTCCCCCAAATCGGCGCCGCTAAACTGGTTCCCCACCAATGCCCCAGACTCTGGTTCACGTACGCCAGCAGCTCTGCTCCGTTCGCTGATACGTCGGGAAAGCCCCTACCGACGCGATTATAGAAACCCCCGTTCGCGCCGATGTTAGAAGCGTCGGCGTTGATGTAGTAGTACGGGAGACCCGGGTCGTGTTTCGCGAAATAGGTCGCGATGGCAGACTTCTGGTATTCCGGGACGGGGAAATAATTCGCAAAGCCGCCCGCGGAGCTAAACAACTCTGCGCTCGGGCCCAGATCGGCTTGCATGGCGCTCTCGCGATCGAGGATCGTTTGGTCGTCGTACAGGCGTGTGGCGCCGACGTTGGTTACGTAGGGACAGGTCGGGAACGAGGGGTTGTAGACGGTGGAGTCGTTGCCCAGACAGCCGTTGTCGGAGTCGTCGCCGGGGAAGGAGGCTACGCCGTAGTCGCCGGAGGCCCAGACGAAGGTGTGGCCTTGGAGGCCGAGTTTGAGGAATTCGTTGCATTGCCGGCGGGTGTAGTTTAGGGGCGCGTCGTACTCGGAGACGCCGTAGGAGACGGATATCACGCGGGTGGGCGTGTAGGTCCCGCATGCGAGGGGGCCTTTGTATCCACCTGGTGCGGGATCGGGGTAGACGGCGTCGACACCGGGAGAGTCACCGGTTATGTTGTAGGCCGTGTAGGTGCAGTAGGAGCCATCGAGGGCGTCGAGGAAGGTGTTGAAGCCACCGTCGGTGAAGGCTTCGATGTTGTCGTCTACTTGGTAAAGAGTGACGGTTTGTGGCTACCAAACATTAGGAGATATCCCTAGGTATTCATGTTTTGGAAGGACTTACATAGATCAGAGAAAATGTAAGATCCATATCAATATCCGATTCTCCAGTATTATACTCGCTGCCTGGAGCCACAGGCGCTTCTCCTCCATCTATACTGTCCAACTTGGGGTGTGTTCCCTGTGGTACATTTAGCGCATATGCAGCAAAGAATGAGTTCAAATCTGCCTGAGAGTAGATGTCACCGCTTTCATACAAACCCATGATATTGACGTCATCCTTGATATAAGCATTGGGGATATCATAGAGCGCTTTGATACAAGTGGGCGTGATGTTGCGACCACATGCTTGAAGATCGGGTGGGAGAGACCCAGCTCCGGGTGGAAATGTCCAGTGCGGATCATGCGGGTAATGGGACTTGTAGGGACCAGGCTTGTTGTGTAGGGGAGTGGAGCGCTCAACGAGGGAACGTTTGAGTGATGCGGAGAGTTTGACACCTGGGGTTATGTAGTCAACGTGCTCTCGGATGTGCTCTGGGAGAGAGTATCTGGTGGGGGTCGTTAGCACATAGCTGTATACATTGTTCAACGTGGGAGACTCACTCATCACACCCAACCCTCACAGCTCCAGAATCAGAATGAATGTGCTCATGGTACTCGGTTCGGAACAGATCTTCTGCCTTCCAAGCAGGAATGTTCATTGCAAGCCATCCTTTGTTGTCGGAGTGAACAATGTCAATTGGTCTAACCCCAGCCGAGATCAGCCAATCGCGGACCGCTTGGACGGCAGCTTGTGCTGGAGCAAAGGCGTCGTGGACTTCTTCGGCTGTCCAATGTTTGCCGAAGTTTGGCGAGTCGGGGTGTGAACTGGGTAATTGTTAGAATCTTGTGATGTGAAATGATCAAAGGTTCAACGTCGTCCGAACGAGTTCTCAAGGCACGGAAATCGAAGAGATGAGAAATGATTAACTTACACGTCCATCAAGTACTCGTATCCATTATCGAGGTTATCCTGGGTCAGGCCAATTCGAACTGGTAGAATCGCATCACTCTCAACCCGGCCTCCTCTTTCCCAAAGCCGTGGCAACGAAGACCGCTTCTCATGAAGTACATGAGTCGAAGGAGTTGGAATCGCATGGCATCCAACTCCGAAAGCGACAATCGCAGCAATCAATTGACACTTCATCTTGACTCAATTGTGAATTTGCAGTCAATTGACAAAGGTTAGCAGCTCCCGTCGCTGCAGCAGGGGCAGCTCGCCCTTTGTAAACAAATCCAGCTCATGACCTCGGAGCTCTTTGACTGCTGATCCCAAGAATTCTGGGAAGCTGCACCCTGTAGCTACAGCTTATCTTGGCCGATACTGTAAGCTGCAGGACCTGACGGTCTTTGCCCAATGCAGGTTCGTTCCCGGCAACGAGCTGCTCAATTCGGCAACGCTCCCGAAAGCGGTCGGCAGAGCCCTGCTTACATTGTGGACTGCGGGGTTTATCACTGGATGCCATGCATGCGAGATTTGGTGCGTGCATAGACTTGGCTGACAGCTCCACTGCGCTAGAGGCAATTAGGCAGTCTGTAAGGTACGATCCCATCTCCGCAAGGCTTATCTTCGAATGAGAAATCCAGTGATAAGAGATGATCGAATGCATTTGCCAATGAATATGAAAAGAGACTTTCCTTTCTGCTAAATTGGATTGCCAAGTGCAATGTTATTTGTTGCGCGTTCACTTGGACTGAAATTCAGCATTCAATGAGTTCGGCTCGTGATCCGAGAACGAAGAACAAGAATATAGAATGACACAATTCAAAGTCTGTACACCCTAGACCTAGTCAAGAGACTCTCAATTGGGGTATCAAGCATAACAACTCCATCAAAGGCTTGAAAAGACATGAGCAGCACTTGACAAAACAAATAAAGAATGTTGTGGTATTTGCAAAGAGTAGCACTCGACAAAGCAAATAAGGAATGCTTATTTCTTCTGTCTGGGCTTTATCAAGAACAATGCCATTGTTGAAATTTCATCACAGGAAGGGCTGTCCTTTAAACAGGAGAACAATATAGGGAATGTGAACAATGTCGTTGTCTTGAATATAAAACATACTCCCCGAGAAGACATGAGGAAGCATACCAAAACAGACTCAGCAACACTCAACAACTACAACGTTTGATACTTATCAGACCTTACTCGCTACTTCTCAACACTTCAAAACCGCAACTTAAACCAAAAACTTACAAGATGGAGAACATGACCTTTCAAGAGTTCTGTGACACGGAGCTCAGAACTATGGCTTTCCCTTCTGCAGACGAAGCTCTTCGCATGAATCTAGACTCTTATGAGGCATTGATTAGCAGAAAACCAGAGCTTCTTCGAGACTTCCAATATCTGCGCGAACAGTACACTACCGCTGTGCCGGACCTGGCCGAGCTTCCTGCTGCCTCTTTAGGCGTGGCTGTGGGTTCATACAACCATTTGGACACCTTCATCGAAGCTTGCCGCCGGGATGAAAAGCTCTTGGCATTGATACATGAGAATATGTTCAACGACGTGGTAGCCTACAAGTGGGCAGCTGGGTTGGAAATAGAGGAAAGAGATGCACCGCCACAATGGCTGCGAAATTCATTCGAACGATCGGTTGAGGTCCAGGCCGAGAAGATCAGGCGATGGATGTATGGCCAGCCACATAGAGATGAGAGCCATGTGGCTTTTACGGCAGGCATTAGATCTCGCATCTACCAGCTGGTAGACGAGTCTGAAAACTACCAATGGAGTGACGGAAACCGAATTCCTGATGAGCTCCTGCCTCTGGTGCCACTTCTCTCTCGAGACATCGCGCTCAACATCTTGCCTTCTGTAAATTGGGTTGAACCAGAGTTGGCGGCGGCTGTGACCCTGCTGCGCGAAGCCAAAAGCGCTGGACTTCGGGAGCAACTGCCGTTTCAGCCAATGGACTTCTTCGACGATACACCCCATAGAGACTACATAGTGTTGGGAAATCTCATCGTGGACACAAGATACCATAGTCCTCAGTCCGAACGTCCAATGGAGAGTCTTGAGAGTCTTTTCGAACCTGCTACGCGCCATGATGCTGAGTCAATCATCGACCCGGAGTTTGATGACTCTACCGAGTCCGAATTTTCGACGGTGGATGATGATTACCAGTCTGAATCCCAAGAGGAGGACATTCACGAGACAGCTCTCGAGGACTGGATTGAATTCTTAGCCTCCGCTCCTACCCCCCACTCGAACGATCCAGATCCACCTCGCCAAGTTATCCTTGACCATTACTGGGACGTCGCTAACCACGAAAACACCCCTGAGGCGATTCGAGCAGTGCTCATCGACTTGGCAGACCAGTCTGAGTCCGAAGATGAGGATTCTCACGTGAGAGTCCGCGAGGACTGGTTCGAGCGAGGTAATATTCTAGAGGACCGTCGTCCACAGTATCTCGGACCTGCTCGACATCCTTGGGACACTGACAGCGAAGACGAGGACGAGAATGACAACCGTTCATACTTCGAGAATGACAGTGACAGCGACGCTTTAGAGTTCTAAGCTCCAGTGACCCACACAAAGAGAGGACAAAGTAGGACGCGGAGGTAAGTCAGACAAGCAAACATTTTCTTCATCAGTGTGATGACCAAGTGGTTATTGCGCTTGCAACGAACAACATCTTCCACAAGCGTGGATATAGATTGATAGAACAGAACCAGATTGAACAATGTACATATAAACATAAAAAAACAAACACCTTCTCAGACTTCAACAGTGAAACATGCGCATTTGATCGTAACCACAAACAAATTCGAGCCTTAGAACAAAGACGATACCCAGTGCTACTTCGAGTGATCTGCCGGGCTGAAGCTCACTATGATAACAAAGGCGCTTTTCAGCCTCAAAAAACTGCAATTCCGATGTTGCTATCTATCCTCAAGTCACTGAGTCATCAGGTCCGGAACGGGATGCGGTTTGGTGCGAAGGAAAACGTTTTTCAAACGGGTGAGGGCATTCATAGCATTAATAGAATGACATGCTGGACAAATGACTGCAGCACAGCGATATGTCATCTTGTCGATATTGATTCATGTGTTGGTATTGATCAGTACAAATTACGCAGTGAAGTTGGAAGAAAGGTAACCGGAAGGCTAGATTCGGTAAAGCTTCATATACTGAACACGTGATCTCAATGCGGCTCTTGCCACTCGTAAATTTCCTCGTTGGACTACCTAGATAGGAGCTGTCTCCGTTGACCCATCGTCTCCACTGTCAACCGCCACAGTTTTTCATACGAATCAGATTTGAAGCTCATTCAAGCCACAAACACCATGGCAGACTATAAGTGTAGCTCTGGCGATCAATCCACAATTGCTATCGAATTGAAACTCATGTTGACGCATTTGGATGTGCTTTGAACCGTTGCTCCACAAAACACTCTTCAAATTTCCTCATGACGATTCCAATGGGTAATGTAGGTATCTGCCAGGAATTCTATAAGCGGTGAGTTTCTGGTAAGTATAATTAAGAGCATTTTCTCAACATTTTCCGTGCTATTATTTTCTTCAAATTTCCTTTTCATGGAGTCTTCAAGAATGGCAGCAAGCCAGGCCAGAGAATCACAACCAAATAGACCAGAAGCCGAATCTACGAACCGTACAAACAGAAAAACACGACCATCCAATTCCTCTAGACAGCGAGAGACGACATCCAAACAGTCTACGAACACTCAAAAGACTCAAAGAGCAAGCCACTGCCCCAATCGACCAAATCATCCAACTCTCCACAGTGCATTACCTCGAAATCTCCCTTCCAGACTGCCACCTCTACAACGACCGCAATACTCACTCGCAGGGAATGTTGGTCCGCAAGCCCATGCCCCGAGCTATGTCGATCCAAGATACTACGACTGCAATCCAAGTTATCGAAAGCAGAAAGACGCACCAGTATGGGGGCTTGCAAAACCTCTACCAAGAGTCGTCCGGCCTGGGATGCGGAAAGGCGGTCATGATACACGAGAGAAAGATGGAGTGGTAGAGAACATGGATGCGGAGATAGATGCACCAGGCAGTGCTGAGGCAATTCCACAAGTAGGGATGATTGATGAGCAGAGACAAGGGGAAGGGAAAAATCCAATTGAAGAGAAGGCAAGGACTGAAGCGGACCGTGGCTATGGACATCAGATCCGGCAAGGAAAAGGCAGACAGCAAAGCAGGAGAAGTGGGAATATCGCTGGCCGTCTAAGATCCGAGACCAGTGTGGTGGATCGCTATGGTACACCAAAAGATGAAAGAAGTAATCCATTGGAAGAGTGGAGGTCTCGGACTACCTCTCCAGGCTCGGATCCATTTGATGATGCCAAGGGGGATATGGCCAATAGGAGGCTTAGCTATTTGTCAAGCTTGAGGGAAATTCCAACAGGTCAACCCTCTGTCTATGATTGTCAGGAGCAAGCAGACATTGATCTGGAAGCTGGGAACAATATTGATGATTGGCCTCTAGAAGATGGCGAGGCAGAAGAATATATAAGAGAAGAGGAGGACATGCATAACAGCTGGCCTTCAATACGAGCCCGATTCCGAGAACCACTGGCAGAGTGTCTAGCAGTAAGTTATCGCTCTTCTGTCAAATTATAACAGCTACCCAAATTCCAGACCATGATAGCCATCCTTATTGGGCTTTCCACCAATCTTTCTGTTCAAACGTCAAACAATACGAAAGGAACCTACTTCTCTGAAAACTGGGCATGGGGTCTAGGCGTCACCATTGGGATCTACATAGCAGGCGGCATTTCAGGAGGTCATCTCAACCCCGCCATTTCCTTGACTCTCTGCCTTTACCGTGGCTTCCCTCTTCGGAAAGCAGGAATATACATCTCAGCTCAAATCCTGGGTGCTCTCATCGCTGGTCTTCTTGCATGTGGAATCTACAAAGACGCCATCCTCCATTTCGACTCTGAAGCGGCGTCACAGGTGCTGAAGGAGTTTCGACAACACCAGTTGGACTCTATGCTGGTGGAACCGGATTATCATTCTACTCGCAACCAGCAGACTTCGCCGGTGCAGGAGCAGCATTCGCCAATGAGTTCTTGGCCTATCTTGTGCAATTCTTGCCTTGGGAGACGATTCAAATGCACCTCCAGGAGCAGGAATGCATGCTTTTATCGTAGGTCTCCTCGTCACAGCTCTGACAATGGCGTTTGGCTTTAACACTGGGGCATGCTTGAACCCAGCGAGGGATTTCGGACCAAGGTTAGCAACTGCAATGGTTGGTTATGGAGGAAGTGTTTTCACGGTTCGAGATGCGTGGTGGTTTTATGGTGCTTGGGGCGCAACGATTACTGGGGCTCTGGCTGGTGGTGGTCTTTATGATCTTGCTATTTTTGTGGGAGGTGAGAGTCCGATCAATTATCCTAGGGGCAGGAGGAGGAAGGTCCAGAGGAAGTGCCAAGGAGGGTTTGAAGATGAGGTGGTGGATTTTCAAGAAGGATATGGAAAGAGGTGTCAAGAGGCAAGTTGACAGGGAGGTGAAGGAGGGATGATAAAGTGCGTGTGCCATCGGACAGGTAATTACATGTTTAATGCTTTCATTAAGCCACCAAAGCCCAGGAGCACCATTCAATGTCACAATCAGCGGGAAAGAGTCTTTTTCTGAAAATCAAATTGCATGCCGTTTATGTATGGTGCGTACTAATCTCCTGCCCCAGATATCTGAGTCCACTGACGCGCAGCGAAAGTAGTGCTCAGAAATTGTCTACAAATCTGTAACCAGAGATGAGTAATGGCGAACGAAGCTTTCCGTCTTACCCTCGATGAATCTCCTCAATCATTCTCTCCGATACAAATCTCCTCGATGCTTCTCCCCGATACAAGTCTCCTCGATGCATCTCCCAATACTGCTGCCAACACTTCTCCGCAATACCAAACGTACACAATCATTGCTCTGCCTTCTCAAGGATAACCTGAACCATCTGGAACATCTCCTTCGCCTCGTCCTTGAACTCCGTGCCCATCTTGCGAACGAACTTGTCTGGGTGCCATCTGAGACGCTCTCTCTTGAGTCTCTCGATCCATTGCTCGCCCTCGACATGAACGCCGCTGCCTCTTAACACTCGCAAGACATCATGGTGACAGATGCCCAACTTCTCGCCTCGAACACAATCGCGAGTATGGCCACAGACTTCGGCTTTGATGACTGGGAAGCTGACTTCTTCATCGAACAGGTCCTTGATGGTTTCGGCGGCGAAGAACTCCTTGCAATTGGCGTTCCACTCAACATACTCCTCGCTTGCATCCGGGACGACTTGCTCTGCGACATGAGCGTTCAAAGCCTTCCATGCCTTCTTCTCTTCATCTTCAGCCTTCGTAATGACCTCTGGGGCCTTGTCCTTCTTCTCCATTGACTTGTAATCAGGCATGTTGATCTTTCCACCGCTCGAGACCTCTTCGGCGACGAAGTCACTGTCGTAGCTGGGATCATCGCGCTCGATCTTTCGCTTGTACGCCTCTTCCATAGAATACTTTGCGTCAGGATCTTCACCGTAGAAGTCGTGCGCATTTCCACCGCCCTCGCTATCGTCGTCTTCGCTGCCTTCCTCGCCATAATCGTCGCCGCGCTGAGCAAGTTGCTTGTTGCCTGCAAGTCGGTCGTAGAGAGACACTTGGCCTTCAACTTCATCATCTTCATCTTCGGATTCACCTTCGCTGGTGCGCAACTCTTCTTCCCACTCGTTCTCTTCGTCGTCGTGGAGGAACCACTCTGGGCGCTTCTCTGGGGCGGTCTTCCGAGCCTTCTTCTTGGCTGGTCGCTCGTACTCGGAGTCCGACTCTTCTTCATCTTCGTCGTCGCTGCCGGACACCCACCAGTCCGGAAGGTCCTGGTTGGCTGGCTTGACTGGTGGAGGGGAGGAGGGTGGGGTGACGTGCTTTCTCTTCGTGCCGCGAGATTGCTCGGCAGAGGAAGAGGACTTGGCCGGGGAAGCCTCCTTGGCTGGAGGAGAGGACTTGACTTGATGGAATACCATCATTTCTGGTTCGACCGATCTGGCACGCTTTGAAAGCGTGACAGGCTCGGAGACATCGTCAGCTGGCTCTGACGCAGCGCGCTTTCTCTTGAGGTCGGACATCTTGGTCCGTTGCTGTTGTTGAGGTTGAGGTTGTTGAGAATGCGTTTCTTAAGAAAGAAAGTTGCGAAAACTGGAAATTTGGAAGAAGGTATATCAAATCCACTAGCGTCGCTTAATGAAGACAATGGGAGGGCTTAGCTTCAAGGACAATGGCTTCGCTTAATGGAGACAATGGAAAGCCTCGCGTTAGCTTCAAATTCAGCCTCGCCCGTTCAATGCAATGGGATGACGTTGCTTTCAAGGAAAATGTCCTCGAATAATAAAGACAATAGCAAGCTTTCTATTGTGGGAGTTGAGCAAGCTGGTGGTGGATTGGCTAGGAGCCTAAGTAAGGAACGGACAACATACTTTCAACTTTATGGAGTATCTATGTTACCTGTAATTGGGGATCATAAACAGTTTTAAAGTACCAACATAGATCGGAGTATGGGGGTCTTTCTTTGTCAACATCAAAGTTGCGCTATCGGTGAGATACTCACGCTCGTTAATTTGGTTTCTTGGAAAGAAATGAACGAATGACAAAGGCAGAGACAATGAGCTGATGCGGTGCATTGTATCGGCTCTTTGCTTATTGGGAATTTGGGACATGTTGAGGTTGCGTTATGAAAGAGGCTTTGGTTTATAGGACTTAGTCAATAGCATGCATCTGCATTGGAAGAGTATTCAGTGTCCTACAAGTAGAAGAGTCTAGAGTACGGCCTGGACAAGATCTGTGTTCTTTGGCAGTAAATTTTCAACTCAACGGCTATTGACATCCAACTGAAGCCTCAATGGTGTGAAAGATATTGGGTAATGTTAAGTTCGACCAAGGTTACTCAGCCAAGACCTAAGATTGTTGCATAAATGTCATACTCTCTTGAGGTTAAGTATTGTTGTGGCCTTGCTACCTTTGACCTAGCCACACTTTAGTCATAGAGTAATCATCACGAAGAAAGTTGTATTCATATACTGCCTGGATGAAAACTCGACAGTTCATTCTACAGCGCAGTACGGCATACAGATTCTGGACTCGTTGAAAAATAATGTCATCTCACTGGATGGCAGAATGAGAAAGTAGTCAAATGCGCTCATCTGGTCCAAGGATGAAGCTGCTCACCACTGCACATCGCGAAGTCCAGCATAAGGACAATAGTGACACATTCTCCTCTCAATTCGTTCCCCTTCCTTTGCCTGCATAGTTCCTCGCCTCACAGCTTCCCGTCGAAGATTGTATTGTAGTACCTACATCATTTGATTTTCGAAAAAGTCTTCGAGTTCTCCAGAAGTCTGAAGGGTATGCAGCAGCTCCGAAATGCGCTCCTTGTTGTGGACGAGGCTATGCTCCCCATTTCCCTACTCAACACTTCAGCCAAGTGGCCACCACGATTTAGGTCATGTTCAAAGTATCATAGCCAGCGATTGGATCAACTCCAGTTCATCGTTTTGCGTCAGACAGACTGGAAATCAATTAATCATAAATGGTAATAGCCAGTTCCCCTTTCCTGCTCTCTCGCTCACGAATAGCGAGCCAAGAAGGAGAACCGCCTATTAGAGGGCATGGTCACGAGAAGCTTACAACTGATCAGTGATCTATGAAAAACGGTTTGTCTAACAAGATCAGTAATCATGTTGGACTAGTAAGCAAGCCGAATTAGTGATCGAATGTCAAGATATGAGATGTTTTGGCGAGATTAAGCATAGATTCAAATTTCTGGAGAAACGTGAATGCAGGTCATACGACGGTATCATTCATTGCAACCTAAGTTTGTTAAACAAGACTTTAAACTGAACGTCAACAGGTTTTTGTTTTGCTAGATGTGGAAGAAGGGACGGACGAGATCCAGATAATTGTGATTAGTAGTGATGCAAGACAGTCGGCGATAACGCATGAAGATGACAGTATTCGGACTTGGTCAATTGCACCGAGGCCAGAGCCTTGGAAACCAGAGACTAGTCGAAGGTACAACACACATATATATAGGCATAGGCCTCTTTATCTACTTTCAATTCGAAAGCCTGAGCGCAAGTTTGAACACATCACCTCCCTGGTGAGCAACGTCAGGCAAGTAAGTGCTTTACACCGGCACAAGTTCAAAATCTAAGTATTGACTGTGAACACAGAATTTATCCCAGGTCAAAGATAGCAAACATGTCCAACATCAAGTGTGGCCCCACCATAACTTCCAAAGCCATAACTCACCATGGTGAATGGAACGAAGAATCTCGCGCCATACCTGCTATCAACTTTTTCGAGAAGTACGACGCTGTTGTGACAGCTGGCGACCTTTCGGGCTCATATCACGACTGGTTTGCACCAAGTGCTCGATTCTACGCCAACACAGGTGTTACTTTGCATAGCGGAGCTGAGATTTGGGACTTTATGAAAAGCCTATCATTGTTTGGCGCTTACGAGATCATTACAACCAACCGAATTACCACAGTAATAATTGGAGGCCACGAAAGGGGGGATCGCTTGATCCATCAATCAGACACGGTTTTCTACCCTAAGGAAGGAAAGGATAAAGGCATTGGCATTCCGATTAGAAGAACTATCGAGTTCGTTTCTGGCCCGAGCGAGGTTCATGGCCAAGGAACAGACGGTTTGCAGTATTTTGTAGGGAAAACGTTCTGGGATACACATGTTTTGAAGGCCCAAGTGAACCAAGTGATCTGAAAAGGGTGGTGTGACAACATCTAATGCAAATTAAGAGCGGCAGAGCCAAGAGAAAGCAGAGAGGGTGAAGGATAGCAGACTGATCGAGTACACAAGTTGTGTGAACCAAAATATATTACACCATCAATTTGTTTCAATATTTCGACATGCTTTGATTGTTCTGATGTTAGTCATGAGTGGGGCGCTTCGCTTCCATCCATCCCCTTTTCAGTGTTCCTTGCACTTTCACAACCAAAGTCCCAGAGATACTGAATTTTTACAGCGATTTTCTGACATTAGCTAAAAGGTTCAATTCTTCCCTGATGAGTATGTTGTACAGCATATCACCATACTCTCTTGATTTGTGCCTCAGGCCGAGACCCCGCACTCAAGCCTCCACAAGCTCGAAGCGAGGAACAAGCTTGATCCACTCTTGAAATTCTCCTCTCCCAGACTCTGATCGGCAAATCGCAGGCCACAAGAGATGAGCCTCCATACTTGAGCGCTCTTTTATCAGACACTATTTAGACTACAGTAAGTTCCAACACTAACTCGTGACGACGACCATTCAATATTTATCACCGAATAAAGATGGCTACCCCTATGCGAACGTCGACAAGGATAGCCACAAGAACTACTCAATGCCTACGAAATCGGCATAAACCTCTGTCTCGGTGGAACAACACATCATCATCATCATCATCATCATCATCAGCTTCGAAAGGTACAAGATCTCCTCTTTCGGCTGCATTCAATGCCGCAGTACAAGGGATAGCTTTTGGGTCAACTCTTGGAGGAACGTTATGGCTTTACAACTATCTTGGCAAAAGAGATATTGACTGCTCTTGGGCAACAAAGTTTTCTGCTCCGAAGTACGCAAGTGTGAAAGAGATGCAGGCTGTGAGTCCCTGCCGCTCTATGTCGTAGTGGAATTTCCTGAGTCATGTGATTAGGCTATCGAAGAGATTCGGAAAGCTCTCGGCGGTGATAATGTCAGTGTAGACGATGAAATATTGAAAGCTCATGGGTACTCGGAATGGTCACCTGCGAACATTGATACTCTGCCCGTTGCTGTTGTGTATCCAAAGTCGACCGAAGAAGTATCGCAGATTATGAAGTAAGTCTTCAGGTCCTATTTCCTCCACATTTCTTTAGCTAGAGAGTGGATTATATACGTTGAGTCACACTAAAATGATGATAGAACATGTCACAAGTACAAAGTACCCGTCATTGGGTATTCTGGAGGGAGCAGTCTTGAAGGCAATTACTCAGCACCGCATGGAGGTATCAGGCACGTCCTATCTGGCCCAAGACACCCTGACTTATTTTTGGAACATGCGCTGATATCATGGCATAGTGTTGATTTCATGCATATGGACGCTATAGTGAAAGTCCATGAAGAAGATATGGATGTTGTGGTTCAGCCAGCAGTCGGATGGGTAGATCTCAACAAGAAGATTGCTGGCAGCGGCCTTTTCTTCCCCGTAGATCCTAGTCCGAGTGCTAAGATTGGCGGTATGGTACGTGTTTCTCTATTTTGACGTTGGTCAAGATTTTGTGGCACCTGAATGAATCTTATGGACGCAAAATAACTTTTCCACAGGTTGGTACCAATTGCAGCGGAACAAATGCTGTTCGTTACGGTACCATGAAAGACTGGGTGCTGAATCTTACTGTTGTCTTAGCTGATGGAACAATCATCAAGACTAGGAATCGACCTCGGAAGTCTGCAGCGGGCTACAATTTAAATGGCATATTTGTTGGATCTGAAGGAACGCTAGGCTTGGTTACTGAGATCACACTGAAATTGGCTGTCTTTCCAAAGCATTTCAGTGTAGCAGCAGCGACATTTCCCACAATACGAGATGCTGCTGATACAGCATCCGCTGTGATGCGTGCTGGAGGTAAGCTTATACGCTTGGTTGTGATTTCCGCTCCTTGGCAAAGTGTATGACTCTTCGAGAGCTCAGCTCCTATCCTCTCACATGGCTCTTCACCACTCAGAACATCTATGAACCAGTGCTGACAGAACGTTAGTCCCCGTAGCAGCCCTCGAATTCTTGGACGAGGTCCAAATGGCAGTTCTAAACAAAGGCGGCTGGACCGCACCTCTGACTTTCGAAGAGAAACCAACCTTGTTCTTCAAGTTTTCCGGCACGAAAGCCAGCGTAGCAGATAATGTCAAGGAAGTCGAAACTATATCAAAAACTCATAAAGGTGGCGCTTTCCGTTATGCAAAGAACGAGAAGGAGCAGGAAATCATCTGGTCTGGGAGGAAACAGGCTTTGTGGAGTTTACTTGCTGCGAGACCTGAGGGCACAGAACTATGGACTACAGATATAGCGGTTCCGTATTCGAGTTTGGCTACTATGATTGGTGAGTTTCTTTGCATGGAATTAAAGAGTCTCCTGACTGACGATGAGCAGAGGCATCGACAAAGAGCTTGAAAGAACTTGGTTTGTTTTCCTCGATTGTTGGGCATCTTGGTGATGGAAATTTTCATGAAGCTATAATGTATCACAAGACCGATCCTGTGGAATCTGCCGCTGTTGCAAAACATGTCAAAAATATGATAGGACGTGCTTTGGAAATGGATGGCACCTCTACCGTGAGTAAACCATACCTTTAATGTCGAGTTGGAAAAGAAACTGACAGGAGTAGGGTGAGCATTCAATTGGATATTTTAAGAAAGAGGAACTGCTTCAGGAAGTTGGACCTGATACATTAGGGGTGATGAAAAGTATCAAACAAGCATTGGATCCGCATTGGCTACTAAATCCAGGGAAGATTTTCGATACCCCAGCCTGAAATTTAAAGTCGAATTGTATATTCAAGGAAGCAATTTTCTGGATCGTTATTTTGGCGTCACCTAGAAGATACAATGTAGAATAGAGGACACAGTCGTCTCTCCATCCAACCAAGGTACGAGCTCACAACAATGGATATTCATTCGTTACTCGTTACTAGTCTTCTTAAACCCATCAAGCCTATCCACACAGCTTCTTCAGTTCTGATAGTCCTGCTTCCTTGGCCTGGGCAAACATTGACCCATCGATCAAAGACTTCTTTGACTTCAGTAACAGGCAGCTTCTGCAGCTCCTCATCGTTTTTGAATGCCACCTCCAATCCAGCAACGCCTCCAAACACTACCAATAGGTGCTTGAATTTGCCCAGTTTCTGATTGTTGTCCTCCGAATATAGTTCTTCTACATCCACCCCACGTTCTGACGTGCCAATGCTGACATCGTAACCTCCATCATACGGGCATTCCGTGAAGACATCACTCAAGCTTCCCGCCTTCCTGACATTGAAGCCCCAGTAATAGCCACTCTCTTCTCTTGGCTCATCAGGTGCAACAGGTTCAGCCAGGATGACCTCGCTCTTCATATCCTTACTGGACTCTTCTGCTCCAGGTTTGAATTTCAATGTTACTCTCGTATTCTCTGGTATTTGCTCCTCCACTGTGACTGGGATCCTCAGCCCCGCTTCCACGAATGTACCATTCTCGTCTGCTCCCGGTAATGTAACCCCCTCTCGATATGGACACCATTCGTCAGGCTTCAGGTGATGCGGTAGATCCAGACTTGGCAATGTGCCGGCTGTTCGTAGGTTGGGATGTAAGGGGAACAGTAGTTTTCGCAGATGTGCAGGTGTTTCGAGGTAGCTGAGGAGGTGAATAAGGAAGTGATCAGGGTCGGATGTGCCTGTGTAACCATCTTCTGACTGATCTGTCTGGTTGGAGTACGTATGTGATCGGTTGTGGTATCTTTTATTGGAGTTGTGTGAGTGTCCGTCAGAGAAAACAATCATTTCATCCACGCAGAATACTGAGAGAGCACGGGCTATATGGCCGGCAAGAGAGGTCCGTTGTTCGTGGGTTTGGGCACTGATTCCGCGTTAAGAACATGGAGCAGAACTTGGAGACAGAGTCCGTACTTAGATATGATGCTACCAGGTAATGCAACGCTCACCGTCCATTCTCGTCCTTTTGTTGGCAAAAAAACAGCTGTGGGCTTTGTGGTATCGACGACCACTGCGGGGATATTCGAGAGAGTGCCATTAACAGCAACTTTCGCCTCGGATTGGCGTTTCCGCTTCTGCTCAGGAAAATCATTAGTATCGTACATGTCTGTAAGAGAGATCGAATCTCACCTTCGCATTCGTTTCTCCTCTCCCCATGGTTGTGTATAATTGTTCATGTTCTTCAAAGAAATTCTTTACCGCCCAAGAATATATTCCGGCAGAATTAAAAGTGGGTCAATCCCGGCAAGGAACGAGCCAGATAAGCTTCCCCAAACTTCCCCTCCATCACCAACTTGTCAACAACACCACAAGAAGTGAACGCAAGATGTCTGTCAATATTGGATCTTCCGCACAGTTCAGCAAGCTCCTGACCACTTCTACTATCGTCGTCGCAGACTGTAAGTTTGACGTCTTGTCCTGCCTAGAATAGCTGCTTACATTTCCAAGTCTACGCAGACTGGTGCGGACCATGTAAAGCTATTGCACCTACATACGAATCTCTTGCCACGAAACACTCCAAGCCAAACCGAGTTACATTTACAAAGGTCAATGTCGATAACCAGCAGGCAATCTCACAACAATATGGAGTCAGAGCGTATGTACTCCCAGCTCGTCCCAAGACCACTGCTTACAAATATCCAACAGCATGCCAACATTCATGATCTTTCGCTCTGGTTCGGTCATCAATACTATTCGAGGTGCAGATGTTCGAGGACTTACGACTGCTATTGAATCTGCTGTCAAGCTCGCAGGCGCTGGAGCTCCAGCATACTCATCAGTTGGGCGAACACTCGGCGGGCCGCCAGCACGCGGCACATCGGTCTCGAGACCTTTTAACTTCAAGAAGTTGATCGACACCATCATTGCATTCCTTGGTCTATACTTCATTAGCTTGTTCTCGTTCGATGCTTATGCTGCGGCGGAGAACAGCCCTTTCAATGTCAACAGACCTGCTCAACCTCGAGTCACACCAGGAACCAAGCTCAGAGAGAAGATGCCAGCCCCTCAGACAGGGAAGAAGCTCGGGACAATTGCTGATCTTGGTGGGGACTAGGATACTTTAAGACTTGGTCGGCGTTTGGCGGATCTCTAGATACCTTCAGGGCTCTACCTTTTGGGGTTTTAGGTTATTTTCAACTTTGGAGGAGTTGTCTTATTAGCAGCACCTTACCAATTCACGTATCCTGAAATTCTACTTCAGATTGATACCCGTGAAAACCTCTTATGTAGATGAGGCTGATTACAACCCCTTCCTGTGTTTGAATCAAATATGGTTCCTGCTTTGACTAGGACAAGTGCCTCATGGTTTTTACGTATTCGTCAGCTTGCATATATCCGATGTCTGGTCTTGTATCTTCAGAACACAGCCTTTCTTTCTCCTCTGGGAGCTTTTACCGTGGAAGTAAATGTGTAAGGAATTGATGAACTCAGGCTCTCCCGAAATGGGCAACATCATCAGCCCTCAATTTCCTTTCATTCGTTCCTATCCGAGAGCTGTCTCACAGGCCACTATTGCATGCAGATGCCCTTTCTCGATGACACTTGATTCCTCTGAGCTTCTCTTCGAGCCCATACAATACTTTCAGACACCTCCAGGCTCTCGTTGAAGCTCCCGGCTTCAGTTTATGGAGCATTCTCGATCAGTACCAGATACCTCACGTTTCACATGCATGCAAGTTGTAAAACATGAAATCCTCCGGCCCATCAGCTTCTCTACAGAGACTTTGCTTTGAGCTGCGCCAGCCTGCTGTCACTCATAGAGTATGGGTTGCAAGAGCCAAAACCAGCGTTGATGGTTTCTCAGACTTAGTTTCATCCTGTTGCCTGCCGCGGCAAACAAATATCTCCACAATTGGGGGAAAGTCTAGTTGCAAGAGGAGACAAACACTAGGTAGAGACTAGTTCCGATGAAGATCTTCATCAATGAAGGAGTGGAGGGTCTTTCATAGAACACCAGTCACCGCATTACACCGAGCCCCACATTCTATCACCAAACCCTCTCTCTGCTCTGTGATTCAAACCTAGAAGCTGTCTCATCATTCACTCTTCAGACTTATGAGCCATGGCAGCTAGGATTCTACCCCTTTGACTCGTTCAACCTGAGATCTTAGATTCACTGTCCGATGATACTGAGTCTTTAGCTAAAAGAATCTATAGATGACTGTATTGCACTTTAGAAACGGAATCCTCTTGCTCCATCCGTGAGTCAAGATGTCATCCTCTCGTCTATAAAAGAAACAGAAAGTCTCCTTCTGCCCTTTTACTTTATCAACATCAACAATCATCTTCACACTTACAACACCTCACATCACAACACAAGTACAAAGAGCTACTACAGCCTTTCACAAGATACCAACTTACTAAGATAACAAGATACACAATCTATCAAGCCTTAAACATCATGCCAGAAGGACCAAAAGGCTGGTGGTGCTGCAAAGTGAGTGATATTCTAAGACTAACGGAGCTGGATGAGGAGCTAAATTGCTGATCCGTGCCAAAATCAGTGTCTTGATGATGGGAGACGAACATGGAACTATCCTTATGATGGCAGTTGCAAAGAATGCGGAAGATCGAACTGCGCAGGATCCTGCGGTTCCCTTTGCAGAAGCCGAAAGACAAAGACAGAGCATGAATTGCCCGAGATACCAAAGTGAGCATCAAGAAGTGATGGAGAAGGGTGTTATCATGGAAAGAATCTTGGGTGTACTTGGAGTTTTGGAAAAGCGGAGTACACTTGGATACGATTATGGTTTTGGTAAGTTCTTTCATGCGAGACTTTGGATTGTGTTTGGCTGGTCTTTCACAACTTTTGACGAGCTTGTGTCTGGTGTTTTGGATATGTAGCTGGACTACATAGCTTTTGTAGCAGTTTGGCTATTGTTGGGGAGTGTCTAACGAGAATCATGAAGCCTGATATTCTTTGATGTATTCAATGTATTTCCAAGCGTGGAACCTTCTAATATAGATCAGATATATTTAACAATTTTGAAGTGAACGTATTTGTCGGTATTTTACTTTTTCCAGCCGAGCACCTTACTATCCTGTCAAATCGGCGCCAGATCTTACCTGCGTCCGAATTCTTTCAACGTCTGTCTCATGAAAGCCCAATTCCTTTCTCAAATAGCCATCAACTCCAGGATAAAGTGAATCCGGCGCGTATTCATCCTCTTGCACGCTTGCCCACTTCTCATCCATCCACTCAAGTACCCAAAGGATTATTACTCCTTTGATTGTACACATGGTTTCCATTCCCGGCTCTTCGAATAAATCATGATTGGGCTCTCTTCCCATTTGTTTCAGAAGAACTTCCGTGAGGCTCGTACGGAACGGCTCAAGTCCGATTCTAGTAAGGACATAGTCTTCTGCAATTACTTCACGAGAAGCGCCGCTTAGAGCCAGTATCAGAGCTGAGAGCATACCAGTGCGATCTTTGCCGGCTGTTTCACGAACGCAAGATCAGCAGTAATCGTACAGATTTCAAGAATTGGCATCATTGAGAATTGGGCTTATGGAAAGATAGGCACACGAACCAGTACAATGAAACAACACTCTACCGTGGCCATCTCTCAAAGTCTTAAATACAGCCTTGTACGCATGTCTATGACTTTCCAAGATCTCTCCATACATCTTGAGAAAGCCATCTTTGCCATCATTCGCTACAAAATCCGCAGGATCTATGCGTACCGTTACTGGCTCTGGATTTTCTTCCACAATCATAGTGCTAGTCACAGCACCAGCGCCTTGAAAGCGCGAGTCGACTACCAGCGTATTAGGTATCCATACGTTTTCGATGCCAGGAATCTCTGGAGTCGGAGATTTCTCCCTCTCTTCAAAGCTTCGCAAGTCGAATATGGTTGTGATATTGTACGTGTCTTTGAGTGGTGCAAGCGCGCTTGCAGATAGATGGGAGAGGGTACCTGAGCGAAAGATGAGATTCGGTGGGAGAGATGGAGATGAGATTGTGCGAAGGTTGAGTGCTCCGGGAATGGGTATAAACGGATGTGATTTCAAGACTTTTTCAAGCTTAGTTTTTGGAATATCATCTCGAATCGAAACATTGCAGAGCGCCAAGAACTCAGAGATCTGGGGTTCCTGAGATGACATTGCTGTTTGACGACTTGTATGCGAAGGAATCAAGGTGTTGATATGTTGAGTCTCGGAGCAATGTTCAGCCGATTTGATTTTCATTAGTTGTCTTTAAATAGAACTCTGCAGGACACCGAGTATGGAAAGATCCTATGAAAGACCAGTCATGGCGATTTACGTCCAATGCTCGTTCAACCAGCAGATGGAATTGAGCTCCGTGATTGATCATCGTGGAAGGACAAGCGTAAGGCTGTTTCGGCAACAATTCATCATGTTTCCTCTCTTCAGTTAGTACTTTTTTCTATTTGCTATATAGCCAGAGTCGAGCTTCTGATGTGGAAAACCTAGATAGGTCCATACAAAGACTGAAGCTTCCTCATGAAGAAACAACAACAGGAGTCCATCCGCCAAGCACATATGCTAGGTCGCTATATTCAGCAATTGTAACCGAGTCTTCAGGAAGCCTCAATTGCTTCGAAACATTCAGCCTCTCAGAGACATCCACTATGTTTCCCTCCAAATCCATCGTGTTATACTCCCAAAGATGGAGATGACTGGTGTCAAATGGTGGGCCTTGGACAGGTCCCCAGCCAACTGGTGCAATGCCCGCTGTCTTCGTGTTAATCAACACCATCTCTGCATATGGCCAATTAGGCATGACTCCACCCGAGTTGTCAGGCAAACGCGCAAAAGTCGAGTTCCCTTGGTCACCAATGATAGTCGAATTGACGAAAACATTCCCATGAATGCCTTGTACGGTACGCGTCCAACTCACAGCTCCTGCCGTGGACACAACCTCGCTATGGAGCCAATATACTGATCCATAACCTAGTATTGTATCACCATCACCCGTTAGCTTGCTGTCCGCGACATAGATGGTACCGTAAGTTGTGAAGGCATCTCCTGAGCCGTTGAGAGTCATATGATCAACAATCACACGGACTCCCTCAATCAAAAGGGCTTCGGCTTGCCCACGATAATAGTTGTTAATAGTGAAATTGCTGAGTTGGACGTCGCTGACGCCATGGAAGGAGAATGCAGGACGACGGGATGGTCCTTGACGATTGGGGGGATTGAAGGCGCTGTTGTTGGGATATCCAACAATGGTTTTGTTGCGACTTTCTCCGCGTATGGTGAGGTTGGTCTTGTATTGCCAATATACCAGCTCTTCATAGTTTCCATCTTTGACAAGAATTGTGATGCGCTGAGTCGGGTTTGAAGGCGCCCTGGTCCCCAGAGGTCAGCGTCAGTATAGCTTGTGAGGATCAGGATAAACCAAGCATGCTCCCGTGGCCATGAAACTTCAAAGAGCTTCGATAATAAGAGTCACCAAAGACTTGACATTACTGTGTAATTTGGAAAGAAGAAATCAGAAACTTGGGACTTACCAATCAATGGCGCCTTGAACAGTATTGAAATCGGCAGAGCCATCTGCAGCTACAATCACTTCTGGGGCATCCGGGCTTGGACCTTGAGACTTTGTGGAAAAGGTCCACGAGTTCGTTGTTGAGTAACTACCGTCGGCTAACTTGAACACCTCAGAATCTGTTTCGACTGAATATGTTTGACCGTAATCAAGCTGATTATTGTGCAAATACACAGTTGCTGCATTGTCTCGGACGATGATTGGGTGGAAATAGAAGTCCATTCCGCCGATGATGTTGGTCTGGTAAGTTGTGGTGTCACTGTAGTTGGCCTTTGTTGAGCCATTTCCATATGGACTTGGAGATGATGGGATTGAGAGATCAAGCATGTCAATAAGCTTGTTGTTTGAAGTATCATACACGCGGATGGTGCCATTGTTGCCTATTGTTGGCGGAGATGGAAATGTGAGTACTAGGTGAGTGTCTGGATTCACATTTTGTTGTCCATTTTTAGGGAAAAGTTGAATTTCGTTGTCCCGGCCACCCAGTTCGGCATTACTAGCCGTGAACAGGAGCCAAAATGTGACGACTAGTACTCTCATGTTGCGTCCGCACATATTCCAATGAGCGAAGAAGCTGGATGGTGATAAGTTTTGCCTGGAATCGACGGTACTTGGGCTTTAAAAGCACTGGGAAAAGATGCTTACTATCATTTTATACTACCCTTTCATTGCCTTTCTCGACGGGTGAAAGCACCCCGAAGATAAATTCTCCAGGTCCGGTTGAAAAATTTGATCGTTTGCTTGGCTCACTCGTCGATGCTGTATCCCACTTCTGATCCTTCTGATATTTGTATCCAGATATCCAAAAGAATTGTGGATACGTTTGACCCGGGCTCATATTTGGCTTGCTAGTGGTGGAAGTTTGGAGTGCAAATGTGTGGGGAATGAGGGAAGAGCCTGAGTTGCGGGGTAAAGGCAGATCATCGCCCCACATTGATCTATTAACTCGTTCATTTTTCATTCTTGCAAAATGTTTAATGGTTTACAGTACCAATTGTTGCGAGGCCTCTGCTATGTCGAGAATTTTGAAGCTGCTAGGAGAAGGTCCAATTTGGGCCCCGCACAGGAATCAAGCATACAGTAATCTAGCCTATTCCGCACGCAGCGCTATTGTAGTTGCGCGGATCGCGCAAATAGCGCATAATGCGAGTGAGGTAGCTTCAGCACGCTTTTTCGGGTCGGGAAACTGATCTTTCGTTTTGTTGAAGTGTTCCAATTACATTGCATCTGTCAAGGCTATTCTGTCCAGGTCCGAGTCATTAAAATGGCAATGAATAAGGACCGAGCCTGTACAACAGAAAATCAGAAGGAAAATGAAACACAGCAATAAAGTCTGACGAAGGATCAAGATTGAGCTTACCGTTGATGTTAGTCTTCCGTTGAGCCTTATTATTGGGCGAGTGCCGAATCATGCTTTCCGAATGCACTCACCAAAAAATTCCATTTGCTCAGGCATGCTCAGCCGCACTCGACATTTAAAGATCAACATTTCTCCCAATCCCCCCCATATGCTTTATTTTGAACAATTTCAATCCTTTTGCTCGCTATCTCCGACTAGGATTAAATGGCTTTGTTCTGAGCCCTGTTGATGTCGCTTTTTTCGTAGCACATGCGTGCGCTATATATGCCGTATCATGGCTCAAAGAACTGCAGAATCAGCAGACGAGCTTCAAATGAACACAATTCTAGACTCTTTAGAGCTATCGGATGAGGAAGGCACATATTTTTCTAGCGAGCCTGAGGAAAGCACGTCGAGAAGTAATACAAACGACATACAATCGAGCATTGACTTTGACGATGCGCTCTGCGATACCTGCAAAGAGATCGGTGCCAATTTTATTCGTCGCGGGACTGAGAACGTTGTCTGTAGCGAGTTAGTAGACGAGAGAGCAGGTCAGGGATGTCTTCTGTGCTTATGTGTCCTTGCGCATCTGAAGGAGGAAGAGCTAGATGGGATGAGGAAGCAAAGAAATCGAGCTGCCGAGATGGACTGGGATTTCGAAATACAGTATCATATTGTTGGTAGTGATTTCTTTCCGAGCCACTTCAATAAGCCATGGATCTGGATCAGTTATGGAATCTGTGGCGAGGAAGCTCACTTTGACGTGTCGAGATCCATTTCATTCTCTGTCGTTTTTAGGGTTTTCATTCAAGAGTATTTCGACGAAGGTACTATCTCCATTAATATTGATTTTTGCCAACATGCTCATCAGAACTAGACGTGTTTTCAGCCTTGCATGAGGGTCCAAACGTAGGAGACTCGACAAGCTCCCCAAGTGCATGGAACTCTGCTGAAAGATGGCTTCACGATTGCACAACAGACCACGATGAGTGCCGTGTATCCGTTCAGACGAACTTGCCAAGTCGTCTTCTCAGCTTGAGATCAGATCGATCAACCGCACTACATCTTATCACTGTGTCAGATCTGCCTTGTCCCCCAACTTACGCGACGCTGAGCCATTGCTGGGGCAATTACCTCCCGCTTAGACTTCTCACCTCCAACATCACCAATTTCATGTCTGGAGAAGCTTTGAGTGATCTTCCACCAACCTACAGCGACGCCATCGAAGCTTGTCATAAATTGGGCATCGGCTATCTGTGGATTGACTCACTGTGCATTATCCAAGATTCTGTTACCGATTGGGAGCAAGAATCGGCCCGCATGGGGCAAATCTATCTCGGCGGCATCTGTAACCTGGCTGCAACAGCAGCTTTTGATGCAAGAGACGGCATGTTCTACCCACGCGATGCGCAACTCTTCAAGCCAATAAAGGCGCGAATTAACAATCCCAGCGAAGAAGTTTGCTACATTTTCATCAGAGATATTTGGTCAGATATGGTGGAAAAAGCACCACTCAACAGCAGAGCATGGGTCTGTCAAGAACGCCTATTCTCACCGCGAACATTACACTTCTGCAAGAGCCAGCTTGCCTTTGAATGTAGAGAGCTTTCTGCTTGTGAAAGTCTTCCAACCGAGTACTGCGAGCTTCCTCGTCTTGCTGATGGACCGCAAAGCAAAAAGCGCTGGATGCAGAAAATCGTACACCATACGTCCGACACAGAGCCAAATGACATACAGAACTTGCTGCAAACATGGATGGAGTTTGTAGAGCTCTACTCACGTTGCTCGATAACCTTCCAATCTGACATATTGGTTACCTTTTCCGGCTTGGCAGCCACATTCAATGCTCAGCTGAACACGGACTATTTAGCTGGCTTGTGGAGAGCAGACTTACCACAACAACTTCTTTGGCGTGCTGTAGGCTCTGGCCGAAGAATCAGTACTTACGTTGCTCCTTCTTGGTCTTGGGCTGCCATTACGAGTGAGGTCAGTTTCGGACTTCCTCCTTCGCCGGCGGTGTATGATCACGATGCCGAGCCTCTAATTGACATATTGGAAGTCAATGCAACTCCTTCAACTGAAAATGCCTATGGACAAGTGAGAGACGGTTTGCTACTTGTCAAAGGAAGATTGGCCGAAGTTCGCTTTGAATATCAGAAGAAGAATCCCGTCAAAAGCTGCAAGCTCTATGTTCGAATTGATGATTTCAAAGAAGAAGCTACTGAGCGGTCCCTCATAATTCGATTTGATGAGGATGATTACACTCTATACAACGATGTCGACTTTGACCAAAACATTGGAGACACAGAATTGGCAGTTGAAAGTCTGTTCATCTTGCCTGTCTTTGATGATTTTGATGGCCAAAGTTGCCTGGTATTACAGAAGGTCAGAGATGGCACTCGAGGTGGGGTCTTTTTTCGGTGGGGCTATCTCGATCTTATAGGACGGACAGCTGTCGAATTGCTTGACGGAGGACTTCAGAGTTTTGATAAGAGGAATTCGGGTCGTGTTAACGAGGGAAATTCTGCGAGGCTGGCCAAAGATGGTGGACATATTATTGAGATCATATAAATGCAATGGCCAACTAGCCCTCAAACACTCGCTTCGACTTCGAACTGGGACGTGAATGTCCCAAATGCTTTGATTTATGGACAATCTTTTCATTCAAAGAAACAAATTCAAACGAAATAGCTACATTCCTCGTGGCAATGAAAGTCTCGCGTGATCTCAGATCTAGGGTCTCCTACCAAACGTTGGTGTCGCTTGCTGAGCCTATGGTCCACTGACCGAGATCACAATCTCCAATTCGCCGTTGCCACCCTAGACTGAAACACCAAGGGCTCCAATCATGGTTGGAACAGCATTGTTGCTTGGTTTCACAGTAATAGTGCCGCTCTTGTAGGTCTTGTACCAATCATCCCAAGTCTGCGTACTATCACTCGTAGAAGTAACAGAAGCCCCGATCTCGTATCCGAAAATGCTGATGCTACCACCCGCCCCGGTCTTATTGACTTTCTGGATGTAAGAGTCTACTTGGTTAGCTGTCTCTCCTGATAGCTTGATGGTAAAGCCGACGCCGTAGGCCATGCAGACTTGGGAGACCTTGTAGGTTGGATCTTTGAGGTCTTTCGGGGCATTGGTTAGAAGAGGGAAGCTTCTCAAGTTGTTGAGAGCCCTGTTTGAAAGATGAAGTGTCAGTCTTGATGATTTCGGGGATTTATTCAAAGAGGGAGAGGGGGAACAACTTTGTTGACTTACCATTGTCCAGCAGTGACCGGAAAGGTCCCGAAACTCTGCATGGTGATTGTAGCCTGCGGATCATTGGCGTTTGACGAAGCATTAACATAGCTCGTAGTAATCTTGTTGTTCTCCTTGAATGTGGCACTGAAGAAACACCCTCTGCTAGCGGAGACGTTCACGTCCAAGTCGTTATGCCCGAGATCAGACCAGGTCTCTCCTGCAGCGTTACCAACATTGAAGTCAATTGAGACCTGTGGTGGTGCGGTAGGGTCCTTGGAGAATGAGCTGATCCATCCGTCGACCGTAGAGGTGTACGAAGAGTTGATGGTATAGAGCGGTTCGAGGACTGTAGCGAGCTTGTCCGGCCAGGTATTGTTTGCAATGATCAATGCAGGGACAAGGGAGCAGCTCATATTCATTCTGTGCACATGTCTACGTCAGTGCCGAGCATTCGAGTGATGAGCACTTACCCGGCAACGGAGTTTCCGCCTATGGCCGAAGCCAGCTTAGCCGTGAGACCGGCGATGAGAGGAGCATCGGTTCCATTCATTCTCGCTAGGTCGTTCTGCACAGTAGTAGCGGCGCCTTGTTGAGCCTGCTGTGCTGCAGCCCAGCTTGGATAGTTGCCTTCAGATAACCACACCTGGAAGTTGGTGATCGTGGTTATCCCGGAATTGGACTCATCCTGGAACTCGGCTTGCGCAGCCTTTTTCACCTTAATGAAATTGGCATTTGCTGTGTCCATCGCGATGCAATCGACATTGTAAGTTGCTATCTGTCCAGGGGAATTATCGCCATTCTGGGAGTCTGTTAGATGACGATACGATGCTTTAGTAGCAAATTGGGAAGGTGGAATTGCAAAAATGGACAGGAGACTCCGAATTACGCACAAGAGCAATCGCAGGAAGGTACCTTCACCGAGAATCAGCATTACAGTAGTACAAGCAGCAGTAATATACTGACCTCTGCATGAATTGAATATAGTTTCCCCCGCCCACATTGAATAGAGGGTCAGTGGGACTGAGAAGGGAATTTGCGATGTCGAAAATGCCTTGATTCGTGATTTCCACAGGAAGGGCTGCGGAGGCTGGGATTCCCGCTTCGCTCAAAGGAGAAATCCAAAACGAAGTTTTCCCATCACCTGAGCCGGAAAGCAAGATTGACACCATATGCCTTCCACAGGTCCTTATCAGCGGTGTTTGGCGTTGTCATTTTGAGGATGGCGAGAGTGAAATGCGGCTGGGATAGCGAGAGACGAATGTTCCAAAGATTTGACTGTCTGAGAAGACTTGGCTCAGAAGCCTGATGACTTATTCTGTAGATTTGAGTTTGTATTCCCTATGAGGGCTTCCTTATATAGACACGTCGGCTTCAGGACTTCTTGTGCTGAGGCCGTATCGGACCACCCGTTTCATTCGAACTCACTGAAGGCTCAGTGCATGGCTGAGACGTAAGCAAAATCTTTCGAGTGGAATTGCGGATCATTTTCAAGATAGTGTATGACTGCCATGTCACCGTCCCTCTCACGGTGAGCTTTCAGCGGTCAGCCCTACGGTCAAAATGTCTGTCATGCCACCACACAGTTAATGAGGACTGAGGAACGGCTTCGGTATTCTCCTGTTGACCTGTACGGGGAACATGTTGCTCCCCATCGGCAACCGCCTCCATAAGCAGCCACTTGAACATCTTCAACCCATCGCTAATACTGTGTGGTTCTTTCGATCATGTGTTGAAGACGTCAGTATGAGTGCACCCATCTCGTGAAAAGAAAAAGTAAATTAAAACGCTTCCCATGTCTTTCGTAGCTCATGGCTGTAGACGCGCTGGGGAATTTGTACACGCAAGCGCCTGTTACTAATATCTCTCAAATGGGCTTGTAAGGGTTTGTAAGGATGATTTCGTCTTAGATTGAGAAGGCTATATAAACAAGCAAAATTACGTACTTGGAAACTCTGCAATTGAAGCGAAATCAATAGCAAATTTAGAAGCTTGAAGAAATATCACCTCGGAACTACCCGTGTACGCTATATCATTCTACTTGGCCGAGTCTCATAACCACGTATTGACGGCTTTTGAGGACCTCAGCCCTAACCGCATTCCTTGGAACCTTTGCAACAACGCAGCCAACACTCCTCATGATTCAAGACTGTTTCAATTCAGTCCACCGAGTCACTCACCGCAACTTCAGCTGGTTGTTTCGAGGCGCTTCTCAAGTAAGACTTTTGGCTTTGTAGTTTTCTTTGGTAGGCGCTCGGTTCGGCGCGGCTAAGACAACTGGAGCTCGCGTCTGCGCAACAGTCCTCAGGCTTTGAGAAGAACGTGTGGACGGGATTGGATTGAGACGTTTTATCCAAGAGCCCACGGACTTCTCTTTCCGCTATGCATGAATTAGGAGCTGAACAACCACAATAATTATCCCGCATCTGTGTAACACCTGTGCTAGACGGTATTTCTCCGCCAAGTTTCCATGAAGCGTAAATGAGACCTCGAAAAATTCTGCCGAATGGAAGAGTGTCAGAAACATGCTGAAGAAGACGGGGTTAATGATATGCTTTTCACTTTTGCTAACTATTGTTCTCGCAGCACTGGGGTTGCCCGAAACAACCGTTTTCAGTGTTAAGAACTTATAGCAGCAAGATTGCTGACCTCAGTCGCGCTGCATATGTGCTACACCACAGACAGTTTGACTCACGGTGAGTAGAAGAAATTCTAGCTAAGCCTCAATGCGATGCCTGAATGCACGCAATTGCGAAGGCGATAATTGTAATGTGTGAAGATAAAAGCTCGAAGAGTTCAGATGCGCTATAGTCTATGCTTCAGGAGTCGCTTGCACCTAGATTTATTCGACCGCTACGGTGTAATTTTGACTGCAAACCTCTCCAAAGCGAGTTTTCTTGAACAAATTTGACTGACCATCACCACCTGTGTGGGTCAAGGTCTCTAAGCACTCAACAACCTCGAAGATATGATGAAGCGAGTACAAGATTGATTACACCCTGCCAAATCTTCTGGATATAGATGGCGAGCCGCGGCTCAAGACCTTGCCTCTGGAGATATGAGTTTCGGTTTCCTGGCGACCTGATGAGTTGCTTCCTCGGCGCTCAATAAGAAGAGGGGAAAAAACCGATCCAAAGGTCAACGAGAAATAACCTTGATGACAGATCAACCGGACTTCTAGTCCGATATCTAGCTCCCTAGCCACTTGTGCGAGGTGCTGCTTCCTAACCGAGGGCCTCGTTTTTGTTGTTGGAATTGCTAGAATAAGAAAACGGCGAGCAATGACAGAGAAATTCCATGATCACCAATTGATATAGTGCAAGCCTCAAGAAAACCTATGCAGCCAATTTCCAAGGAGTCTGACAAATTCGCCCGGTTTCTCGCAACATGCTAGTCGACTTGTCCGGTCAAGTAAAATGAACAATCCCTTCTCTTTTTCCATGAGTGCGGGGTATGTTTCCATCTCTTCTGGAATCGACTCGTCACTAGATCCGCAGAGAAAAAGGGCAGGAACTTCCAGATTTTCCAATGTTCGTTGACCTCTCTGTTCGGTACCATGGCCTGCGCACTCGATCACAGCATTTGACAACTTTTCCATGCCCTCGGTACTTCCCGCTGCAATCATCTCCCTCACTCGTATCCACTGGGCACTGCGCCGAGCATCAGGTGTGAACCATCTTGCGACAGCTTTGTCTGCGAGTATTCCCATGCCAAATCTGCGTGCAAGGCTCGATCGAAGAGGCCAATCATCTACAACCTGTTGACGGCGGGTAAGAGCAGAGTCGGATATCGCGAAACCGATGCCGACGAAAGTCGAGGCAATCGGACGTCGTTTTGCCAGTAACTCAAGCGCTATATTGGCACCAAATCCGAGGCCGACGATGGAATGGATGTGTGCAATCGAAAGTCTATTAAACAAATATTCGAGGTCGGAAACGAGTAAGGACATGGTGATGGCTTCCGAATCCCCAATGGATTCAACAGAATAGCCCCTCAAATCTGCGGATGGGTTAGCAGACTCCTCAAAGATCCTAGTGCTGGCTTGCCATAGCGGAGAAACCGATACTGTGGACAGCTTTCCTTCAATAGCGCAATTGCTGGATCCCATACTTGCAGATTCACATAAATATCATTGACGAAAAGAAGGACAGGACTATCAGGAGCTAGATTCCCTTCTAGGGAATAGTGAAGAACACTTGAGTCTGGCAATACAAAAGATGAGGATGCCTTCACTTTAGGAGACATAGATTCAGCGCCTGCGTCTTGGTAGAGACGCATGCTGCGGACACTGGTCTCAATGCTGGTCGCCATCATATTTGACGCTCACACTACACAGGCAAATCGGTGCATCTGCGGCAGACAGAAAAGTGAGCAATCCTGGTGCCGGAGAAATGATTATCCGGTATCATATTTGCTTCAAATTCCGCCAGCTGCTCATCAACTGTGTCAAACAATATCTCAAATGTGCCTGCCGTCAAAAATCTCGACTTTTATCATTGCTCGAAAGAAGATAGTAAACAGAAGATTGACGGTATGGTCAAGGAGGTCACGTTATCCCAGCAAATTCATTCCTTCCTGGCATCTTCGTCTCGAAACCTGTGAGACCATGTTATCAATGTCTAATTCTATGTCATCAAATCTTTTCTTGCGCCGTAAAGTGCAACCCCCACACTCAAGTGTGGCTGCACAGTCGGGGGCTGCCAGAACATCACGTTGGTTCTGAAGTCATACGATGCTCACAACGCAACACCCTGAGTCTTCGCAGGTACATCCGCCACAGCGGATGTCGTTGTCATGCATAGCGACTTAGATCTGCATCTATCTTCCAATTAGATCATAGCTTTCCCGTCGCTATCTTCAACTTATTTCCTTCCCTTTGCAATTCGTGCTGGACTTTTCTAACTGTAGTCGGATATCGAGCAGAGACTTGGGAAAAAGCACTACAGAGATCCCGCTTTTCGTATCAAGAAAATTTTCATGGCGTTCCAAAGGTGGCATGTTTTAGAAAGATTTTCTCCCGAACAGAGCATACACGTTTCTACCATATGTATTACATCTCTCTTGAATCAAATCATTTTCATGTTCGTTGTTCAATCACATTCTAAACCTCCAAATATTAAGTTTTGATTCTCAACTGACTTCTTCTCACCATGAGCGAAGAGCAAAAAGTCGGCGAGCACGTTCCTGATCGGAGCCCTTCTCCGCTTCACAATACTCCCAACAAACTCAACTCCACATCATTGTCCAAAAGATCTCTGCCAGTGCGCATATTTGATAGCTTCCGCCGAGATCCTAACCAACAGGCCACTGCAACTGGTGAGATCGTTGATTTGAAACTCGAGCATGAACATAGCGACAGTTATGACGTTGAAAGTGCGATTGCGAATACCGCAAAATCACCCTTAGCGAGAAAATTGGAAGCGAGGCATTTGCAGATGATCGCGATTGGTGGCTCTATTGGTTTGCATATTCCCTTTATCCTTGTTTGTATATCTCTAACTTGATCAGGAACTGGCTTATTCGTAGGATCTGGAAAAGCACTTGCTGCCGGAGGTCCAGCGTCGCTGCTCATAGCATTCAGTATCATTAGTTTCATGCTTTACTGTACTGTCTACGCCTTGGGAGAACTGAGTTGCTTGTACCCCATCGCTGGAAGTTTCAGTGCTTTTGCAACTCGGTTCTTGGATCCAGCTTGGGGATTTGCCATGGGTTGGAACGTGAGAATATCTTACCCCGCATCCTCCGGGGAAATTCTGACATGATAACAGTATGCCTTGCAGTGGATGGTAACCCTACCTCTAGAGATTGTGGCTGCAGCAATCACTATTCAATACTGGAATTCACCCATCTCGCCCGCGCTATGGGTGACCATTTTCTTGGTTTTGATAATTTTGATTAATCTCTTCGGCGTTAAGGGATATGGCGAAGCAGAGTTTTGGTTTGCACTTGTGAAGGTCGTTGCTATCATTGGCTTCATGTATGCGTTATCCCTCTTGTCCTACATGTCAACATGAGATTGATTTTGACCTCAGAATACTCGGCATAGCAATTGACTGTGGTGCTGGACCACAAGGCAGATACATTGGTGGTTCCAACTGGATTCATCCCGGGGCGTTCAATTACGGCTTCAAAGGTCTCTGCTCTACCTTCGTCACTGCGGCTTTTGCTTTCAGTGGCACGGAGCTTGTTGGATTAGCGGCTGCTGAGACAGCCGATCCCAGAAAAAGTCTCCCTAGAGCTGTGAAGCAGGTCTTTTGGAGAATCTCACTTGTGCGTCCTTCCATTCTATCTACTTTGTAAATCTATATCTACTGACAGTATTAGTTCTACCTCATCTCTCTCACGATAGTCGGTCTCCTGGTGCCCTGGGACGATCCTCGTCTTCTCAACGGCATGAGCTCTGCAGATGCGAAAGCCTCCCCTTTTGTCCTAGCCATAATTAACGCAGGAATCTCCGGTCTGCCTTCAGTTTTCAACGTTGTAATTATGATAGCTGTCCTTAGTGTCGGTAATTCGGCTGTATACGGCTCTTCTCGAACGCTTGCGGCACTCGCAGAACAACGTCAAGCACCACGAATCCTCGGATATATCGACCGCAAAGGTAGACCTCTTGTTTCAATCTTATTCACCTGCGCTATTGGCCTTATTGCGTACACTGCAGTCATGAACGAAGCAGCCGAGAACAATGTGTTCAATTGGCTTATGGCGTTGAGTGGTCTGAGCTCGATCTTCACCTGGTTGACTATTTGTCTCTGCCATATTCGCTTCCGCGCCGCATGGAAATTAGCAGGCCACAGTCTCGACGAATTGCCATTCAGATCACAACCAGGCCTCCTAGGGTCTTGGGCTGGGTTCGTATTAAACAGCCTTGTGTTCGTCGCCCAGTTCTGGACCGGTTTCTCACCAGAAGGCTATCAAGATATGACCACGAGCGACTTGGTCATCAATTTCTTTGAAGTCTACCTTGCGGCACCCATCATCGTCATTTCGTACGTGGGGTATAAGTTGTGGTTCAAGACTAGGTTTGTGAAGCTCGCTGATGTGGATTTGGCTACTGGAATCAGAGACTCAGGAGAGGATTTGAGGGTGTTGAAGGAGATGGATAAGCTGGAATTCAACGCGAGGCCATGGTGGGGAAAGTTGTATCAGATCTTTTGTTAAATGTATTTGAGGTTCTGAATTGTCTCTACAAAAGAAGTAGAATATTTTGACCCTGAACACAAAATGTTGCCTTACATTACTGGGTGCTGCTGTTGCGGCGAGCTCGATTGCGAAAAGGTATGGAGAATATAAGAGAGGCGAAGAGGGCGATGTTTGAGCCATGTTGACACCCAGATGCAGTTTATAATAGCAGTCGTTTCTTATTTAAGAGATGCGCAATTCATCAAGAACAGTGCAGACAAACATCTTGACAGAGAGATGAAATGTGGTTTGGATTGTGGCCAGCAGTGAGACTCAGATAAACCCTGCGAAGATCTACATGCAGAACATGATATGTGCAACGGCCTTCAAGAAAATTCTAACCCTAAGCCACCAAAGGAAACGGTAGCTATATAATAATGAACTCCTCGTGAAGTTCCTCTGGCCAAGGATGGATGGACCAACCAATCGGGTACACCGGAGGCCCGAAAGTATCGGGGATTCCCGAGGGCCTGTAGCAAATCCGACCTTCTCTTCCGCCTGGGAAAAGACCAATTTTTCGAAACACTTTTTGACCAATCATTTCAGGTGATACTCGATGTGCGCCATGATCTTCGCAAGGGAGAAGAATCAGGGAAGTGTAACCATATCTGGGAATCGTTGGAGAGGACTGCCAGCATAGAGGGACAATGTATATCGAGGTTCTCGAGAGATCCTCATCTGGGTCGTCTAGGTGACCTCTTCTCAACATATTCTTCACCAGATCTTCATTCGGCAGCTCGAACAGACAACCACGTATGCTCAAATGGCCGGCTAATATTTGTCCAAACAGATCATCCGCTTTTGGACTTGTATGAATGCTGAGGAAGCGGACAAAAGTCTCGTGCGGGCCTATATCTCGGGCTCCGCCGTATAGTATCTCACTATCAATTGATGCCCACGACCAGGAAGGGGCTAAGTGCATTAGTAAATAGTTCTGGAATGCCAGGCAGGTGAGATTTGCCATACCTCGATATTCCAACGGCCGATAAACCTGATTGTTCTTTTGGCATACCCAGAGCAGTGATTCTAACAAGTGCTTTCCACCCCAAATACCGCCATAATAAGATTCCTTCACACCCTCAGCAAACTTTTGAGCTAACCCACTTATTGCAACCAGCTTGTCGCTCGGATATGTCAATTTCGCTCGAGAATAGTGTTCAACAATCAGTTTCCATCCATTGAATGCCCCTTCAGGCTCAAAGGCAGGCAGTATAGCATTCCTCTCGAATTGTGGATAATGGCTAGCATCTTGGTGCTCTGGAGGGGAAAGTTCATACCGAACTCCCGAGAGGCATTCCCAGAAAGGAAATCGACACATATATATCTTTCGCGGACTCAAAAGTCTTTCTTGAAGGGTCCAGCCCCGTTGGAATAGTTGACCTGTAGCTTTTATGGGATCATCCCAATCTGGTATTATTCGAATTCGTGCTACTCGATCGGGAAACTGGTTTGCGCTATAGCAACCCATTTCAACAATTTGATAGCATAACGGACAGATGTGAGCAGACTCTTCAAAGTCAGACCACTTTCTCCATCCATTTTCGCAAGAAATAGCCCACTTACGTTCGGATCTTGATCGATTCACCTCGGGTAGAGTCTTTGGCCATGGGCATGGAGCGTTATTGTCCTCAGGCCGTGGAAACCGGGCCCTCGGTGGCTTTCCGCAATTGAGCAGTCCTTGCTCATATCTGGAAAGATCCTGCTTGAGGCTATCGACATCAGAGTCATCAGCTCCGCTCTTCTGAACGTCTGCGATTGCTTCGCGCTTCTGTGAGATAATTTCTTGGGTGAGATAGCTGCCTCGGAAGCGGAAAATTGCGTCACACCTTTCACAAAGCGTGTCGCGAGACATTCTAGGTCAAATATTGCGAGCGGGGGGTTTCGGCGTGCGCTTTGTCACCCGGGTGGTTATGAAGACCTCAAGCTCGAAACTCAAATGTTGGCTATAGGTGAGAGAGAGGTCAAACGAAAAGAATATCAGGGAGCACGTGGACGAAAGCCACATCGCGGCTGAAACAAACTAGAAGCGCGACTAATTATTGGTCCCCCTTCGAGTCTCATAAAAGAATTTTTTTTGCTCTCTATTTTTTGAGGAAAGAGATCCTGGGGTCTGGCCGCACTAGAAATCATATGCTCGCACAAGATTCGCTCTTCGTCCCTGACTTTAAATAGGAGATGACCAAGATCACGTGTCTATGCTCGTCTATCACCCCCTTACTCTTGAGTACCTAGGTACCTTGTCCTATGTTTGTGGCTCACTACAATACTGATCAGCTGACAAGCCCAACCACGAATTATACAATCGATAATTAGGTATGACTCTGCGGCAGTGTGCTCAAAGCTTATGTGAAACGGGCGCCACCCGCGGGTTTTAGGGACAGTCCAGGCTTTTGGGGCTGTTCTAACTACGCGAAGGCGGTGAAAATAAGGGTTTTTCCTTTTTTTCTCTCGCTTTTAACTTTAGTTCTTTCACTCCTTATGCTAGAGCCCGGGAGCATTAAAAGCACTAGAAACCTTGGGGACACTGCACGAAGTGCACTAAATGCACTAAATGCTGGCTACACCGCTACATGGCTGCACTGCTGTACTGCTACACTATACTGATTACACTGTACTGATTCCACTGAATCCACTGTACTGAATCCACTGAATCCACTGTACTAACTACACTACACTGCTGCACTGCGAGTCTAGCGCATTGTCAGCCTGTGAGCAGTAAATGAGTGCTGAGGATTGAGTGCTGAGGATTGAGTGCTGAGGATTGAGTGCTGAGGATTGAGTGCTGAGGATTGAGTGCTGAGGATTGAGTGCTGAGGATTAAGTGCTAAAGCATGAAAATGAGGGCATTCCTAAAGAGTGGGGAATTAGGTGTAGCTAGTGAGGATGACTTCATTCTGCCCGGACAGCCCGGCTGTACTCCCAAAAGCCTGGACTGTCCCTAAAACCCGCGGGCGCCACCATGACCCCTCTTCTTAGAGCCCTAGTCTCTCCCTCGTAGAGCTTCTTGTTATTGAATGCATTTCACAAATGCTGCTCGACTCATATGTTTGGAATTCAGACCCTAGAATCTGATACTGAATTGATTGGCACTAAAGCAGGTGAAGAGTACTTGTGTGAAGAGTCAAATCAGAATCATGAATTGGCGAGGAAAATAGGGGGATATGATCCGTGCACTCGCTACGGGCCGACAGTATTCCGAACGGAAAATATTTTCATCTCTCGTACTGACACAATGCTCGACCAAGTGGCCCATGACTCGGTCCCTTTCCCTCATCATGAGCGTCAGAAACATCACCAAACGGTAAACTTTGGTTCCGGATTCGACCCCATGTGCAGCTCTGGTAGATCAGCTCGCTTGGCGATTACGGATGCATCGCCTGCTTGACGATCTGGGGGATTTTCACAAGGAGAATACCCACATCCGAAAATCCAGCAAGGAACAATTGGACGACGATGACATGTACCAGGTCATGGAATGGATGTTCAGGGTGAGGTAAAGTTGTATCATCCCAGCTTTTTCCATTAATTCTTAATTTCAGCTTGCGCATGAGTCGCGCAGTGGCTACAACACCATGACTCGTGACGTGAAAGTCTTCACCCGCGCAGATATAGCGCTATTGGTCCCCAACAAATGAGATGAACTACGGGTGCTTGATTTAGCAGGGGTTAGGCCTCCTAGGGCCACATTATGTGGCAGAAGTATACGCAAAGGCCCTAGATTGTCAGCACTCGCAGACTGTCAACTGGCAAGGATCGTCTCAAATCTGGAAAGATGTCTGCTCTCATTCGCTGGTCAGGATAACGGAAGCATCGTTGCCCAGTCGAGCGTTAAATTTCATTTCCCCAACTGGCAGATGAACGGTACACGGCTCGTGCAAGTTTCTTCTAGAATATGCAGATTCGGCCCGCTGGGCTGAAAGCGCCTCCAGAGAACCCGAACGAAGATCTCTGGCCGTTTCATTCACAGAAGTGGTGTCATGCCTGACTAGTCAACGGGTTGCCAAGTGGATAATCCCTGCCAAAGTCTAGATGGATATGCATTGTTTCCCCTCAGAATATCAATAGGAGGGACACCCAGCACATCTGCTCATGTTTTGTATTGTGCGAATATCTTCTTTTTGAGCGTTATTGTGTCAGTGTTTGTCTTGCGTTTCGAGTTTCGAATTCTTGCGGTTCACCAATCTTCGTCATGGTTCAGGCATCGTATAGAGTTGAACAATGGACGGAATATGGCATAGGAATGTGTATATTTACTCTTCGTTTTTTTGCGAGGTGGAAAGTTGTGGGCATTGCTAATTTCGCGTGGGATGATTTCTTTGCATTTGTCGCTATGTGTTTGTGGACTGTCGGATCTGCCACGGTCCAAATCATCAGTAAGTATCACAGGGTTTCCATTTAAGAACTCAAGCTAAAACCCGGTAGATGATTATGGATCCTTTGTTGGACTCAATGAGCAGACGGCGGGTGCTTTATCCGACGAAACTGCAGCAAGCTACGAAGTCGGATCCAAGGCACTATTTGTCGCGTGGATTTCATATGTGACTCTCATCTGGTCATTGAAGGCATCGCTACTGTTCTTCTACTCTCGTCTAACGTAACTTACCTCTGATCCTGGAGAATGATCCTTGTACTGATGGACCTAACAGTCTCGGACTCTGGCAATAAAAGTTCGTCAAAGTATGGCGGTCCTCAGCGCCATCGCTTATGTCGCCGTGCTCCTGACACTCTTCGGCCACTGTACGCCAATTCAGAAGAACTGGCAAATCAAGCCTTATGCTGGAGGTATAACTTCAAAAGATTGCTCACTTCAAAACGCTAATCTGACTCAAATAGATGTACCATCACAGTTGCGAACTACATCGTGGTTGCAGCTCTCAACCTCTTAACTGATGCGGGCATCCTAGCCATTCCTCTCCCTCTGATCTGGAAAGTCAAAATTCCCCTTCGGCGCAAGCTTATCATCGGCCTCTTACTGTCCTCTGGTCTTTTCGTCATCACTGCCGCCCTCCTTCCCTGCATTTTCACTCTCGCCTCCGTCTCTCAAATCGGGAACTCAACTATATGGGGAATCCGCGAAACCTTCGTGTCTCTCATCGCCGTCTCAGCTCCCGTCATCAAACCTCTCTTCAACAAAAGTCGCTGGATTGGAAGCTCGAATGACAAGAATACGGGGTCAAGTGGGTTCAAACGTTTTGGTAGGAACCAGAGCGTAAGAGAACTCAGTGCTGCCCACAGTGCAACGAAGATTGGGAACGACTATGATCTCGAAACTGGGAGATCTGGGCATAGAAAAGGAGACATGTCACCGCTGTCGGACTTCGAGCTCAAGGATTTGTCTAGACATGGAAGCGAGGAATATATCATTGAGAATAACAATTCGAAGAGTGTCCCGCTGGAGATCAACGTCACGACGGTCTATGCCTTGGCTGACGAGAACGGAAACGAGACACCGGTGTCGCCGAAGACTGTTAATGCTGAGAAGTCGGTAGAAGACATCCAAAATGGCGCGAGTCCGTTCAGAAGAGGGCCTGTTCCTAGGCGAGAAGGATGGAAACCGCGAGGTGAGAATATAACGGAGATCTCTGTTGGCGAAAGGCCGGAAGGGAGCGTCAGTAAGGCAAGCCGGATGTTGGGCATGGGTGGTAGCACCTGAAAGTTGCTCGGTATCATTCGTTGGAGCCGCTGCGGATGGAGATCGAAGTTTTGATGCATCCTTCTTGTAGGCGTCACTGAAATCGTTGTTCTCGTTGCGTATATGTGTTTATGATTATGTTTTAGCATTACCGTGGCACGCAGAATATGGGAAAACAGGACGTTGTATGGTTATAAACATTGGTGATGTCAAAATAAAACTTTATATGCCGCGACTTCTCTTAGTAGGAGGTTCGATGGTTCTAATATGCTACTTTGTTATCCATGTGATATCCAATTGAATATCTGCGACGTATTCTTCCGCAGCCTTGATTCGTCTTGCATGAGATGTTCACAGCACTATACAAAGGGCATTGAAGTACAATGTAGATCACGAGGGAAACAATTACCTAAGTTAGGTATTCAAAATTGCTACTACTCAAGATCAATCCTCACCGTGTCTAAAACAAAGTCTAAGACAAAAGGCAATGTCGCCTTTGAACATTTCTCAACAGCCTCGATTGGAGGCATATCTATCAAATCCCGAAAGGCTGTGGAATTTACCCTCAGGGTAACCATCATTACTGCAGTTATCATGATTGATTAACTGCAGCTTGAAGATTCAGATGCCGTGTGGATTCGAAGAGCGTGCACAAGCGACGATTCCTTGCTTCTCGCTTAAGTGATCAAGACATTCTAGACTTTAAGTGTTTCTGATATTAAGACAAGTTTCGAAGACTTTTCCGCTTCTCAACTGCTATCACGTCTACTAAATCTCCCTCAAGTGAGGATTATCTCTGCGATACTTAGCCATTGACATCAACGCCCACCATCTACTTCTTGGTAGACATGCATCATTGTTGCACGAAACAATTCAGATGACTCGCAACCTGAAGAGTGATATAAGTCGTTTAACTCCCATTTCCTGATTCTGCGCGGCCTGTCATGTTGTGGAATTTGGAAATGGCAAACATGTATTTGCTATACATATCTTTTTGCTTGATTTGGTCTGTCTCATCTGCGGACTCTTCGAAGTCAAGCAGCAGCAGTTCCATAAAGAATTCAACCACCTCGAAAGCCTCGACCTTATCAACATCGAAGAACGTTATCCCTGCACTGCTCCAAGTCTCCTCCTCGTCCTTAGACATCAGAACATCACCTTCCTCTGTAAAGGTTACATCGATAGTTCAACTCGATAACACGTTGTCAACATTTCTCACAAAATCGACAACAGTAGCCGATACCCTGTCGTCGTCCCCGCACCTGAGCAGTTCTAGCTCGGTCCATGGATCGTCAGTATCGACTCTTAGCTATGCATCTTCCATTTCAACAAGCAAATCGACAGGCACAAGCACTAGCAATCCACAAGCATCCTCGCTAGTGAGCTCAAGCCGTACGTCGTCACTGGTATTGGGTTCAAGCAAGGCTTCTTCGATATCAGTCAACTCGAACAAAGTTACATCATTGTCCACTTCTAGTGCGAAGTCATTAGGCTCCACTTTAAGCTCCACATCCTCGCTACTATCTACCTCTACTCCTATCTCCACATCTTCATCGAGCAAGAACGTGCTTGAATCCAGCAGCACAAGCCAAAACTCTTCGGTAGTCATCATATCCAGTGTGATACTTCCAGCATCGTCGAATTTAATCAAAACTACCTCTTCGATGATTAGCACGACCAACAATCAAAAGTCTTCGCTCGTCTCTGCTTCTAGTCCAATGCCATCAACTTTATCGAGCTTTACTAAAAGTGTATCTCCGTCTATCAGCAGTACCCAAAAACCCTCGCTGGCCTCTGGAGCAGGTACAGTATCGTCAACACCAACCAACACAAGTAAAGCACCATCCCTAACTCCAGGCATGAGCCAAAAACAACCATCTTTCTCTACCTCGAGTCCAGGGACGCAGGAGCTTCTATCAAGCTCGAGCTCTATCCCGCATGGATTGTCAAGTGTGAGCAGGACGCCTGTCGTGTCCATTACGACAACGATATCTGGGCAAAATTCCGTCTCCACAATCTCTTTAACTATTGTGCATAGCAATATATCTTCAACAGTTTTCAAGTCTGTTCCGTCAAATGTGTCTTCGACATTAACGGCTCAGGGTATGTCACTTGTATCATCGAAAGCATCTTCGACGACGGTATCGGTCAGACTCGAAACTGTGTCTTCGATGCAGTCACCGTCTACTGGCAGCCTGGGAGCTCTCTCGGCATCTTCACTTTCTAACGCAAATCCAATTTCAAGTAGTGTTCCTTTTGGAACAGACTCGGCGTCAACAGTCTATAATTCTACATTCGCATCTTCCTCCGCTTCCACCTTGTCTACGTCCCAAATGCTTGTTAGCGCTAACAACGCCACATCCCCGGGCTTCATATCTTCTATCACGAATGCGTCCTCAATGGCACCGAGCTCCGTTGCTCCATCATTTATCACTATTACTTCCTCGACAATGATGATGTATCAATCTTCAGCTAGCGCTGCAATGGGATCCAGTGGGCCGGCAATTTCTTCAACATTTGCTCTGTCATCATCGTCGTCAACACCCAACCCGACTGCAACATCTTCGGTACCAGCTGCGGCTTCAACAACTACTACAGCCCTAACGCCAATTTTGACCGGGTCCGCAACTTGGCTTTGTACTGGGTATGTTGTTTCCATTATATTGCCGTTGTCAAGCTAAACATCTCAAGGGACAAGGACCCTATCAGCAAAGGTTACTTCACACTTGTCAACAAGGCACCGCAGATGTGATCCCCATCGTATTTATCGACTACTTCCCACAACAAGGTAACGGGTGGCCTGGAACGAACTTCGGCAACCAATGTGGGACAGGAGTCTATTCTGCACCTGGTTATGATGGTGTCGACAATCCAGCTAACAATCAGCTCTTAAATGACTGTCCTTCAATCGCCCCAGATATTCCAATCTGCCAGATTACTTATGGAAAGAAGATTGTATTGTCGTTGGGTGGTGGAGGATCTTTGAATTATCAATTGACTGGAGAGGCTGATGGAATATTCTTTGCGGATTTTCTTTGGGGTGCATATGGTCCCCAGAATGCAACTTGGTTTGCAGAAGGAAATTCAAGACCATACGACGGTCCGAATGGAGAGGAAGTCAAACTTGATGGATTTGATTTTGACATTGAATTGTACTCTGACGGTAAGTCACCAGTTATCAAGCGAGTCTTAAGTGCCAGACTTAATCAACATAGACAACTCTGTCGGTTGCATTGCAATGATCAACCAACTACGAACCCATTTCGCCAGCGATCCATCTAAGCAATACCTGATCACGGGAGCACCAGGCTGCTTTGCGCCAGATCAGTCTATGGGGAACATGATCGCGGGAGCTCAATTCGACATTCTTTGGATCCAATATTATAACAACGCCATGTGCTCAGCTCGTCGATTCATCGATGCAGATATCGGCTTTTCATACGACACTTGGACAGCAATCCTCGCTGGTACCGCAAGCGCGAACGCAAAGCTCTACATCGGTCTCCCAGGAGACCCTTACTCAGCCAGCACATATTCTTTAACGGAAAGTTACTGGCTGAATCAAACTGAACCTGCCTATCTGCTTTCGATATACGCTTGCAGACCAAACTTTGGTGGTGTGATGATGTGGGATGCCACTTCGGCTGAGAACAACATTTTGAGTAATGGGCTCAGCTATGATCAGGAGATCAAGAATTTGTTGTTAGCGCAGGAATCTGCTCCTTGTATTACGCCTACCTCGACGGCTGCTGCTTCAAGTCCAACGCAGACTGTTATCAGTATTGACGGTACTTGTGGACCTTTCAAGACTTGTGCTGGAAGTATGTTTGGGAATTGCTGTAGCCAGGTAAGTGCCCCAAAAGGAACCTGCAGTTGGAAATATATTCATGTCTTCAAAGTATGGGTGGTGTGGAACAGTGGATACAAGCAACACAGCAAATCCATTCGGAGCGTGGTGTGGTATTGGTTGCCAACCAGCGTATGGAATTTGCGGTAGCCAGTTAGTACTTTCCCTGTCTTGAAGTCTGTGTCGGTTGAATAATCTTTCAGATTGAGCACAGATGGTACTTGTAGAATAGGAAAATCTTGCCTGGGAAGTGGGTTCGGAAATTGCTGTAGTCAAGTAAGATTCTCTCTGATCACTCTCTTAACCATCACTTCAGCTAGCATCTGATTCTTCGCTCCTTATAGGGCGGTCTTTGTGGTCAGGATGGTGGATACGGCGAGTTCTGTGGCACAGGTTGCCAGACAGCATTTGGGTACTGTGGACCACCGTACGTCACTTACACCACTAGAAGAAATTCGTCCCACGAAGGATAACAAAAGGAGTGAAAGCTAAGTAGAAGAATAGAATATACACCACTGATGGTCAATGCGGAGCCGCTCGAGGTGGAACTAGTTGCTATGCAAACAGCACGCTGTATCCGTGTTGTTCTCAGTACGATTTCTGTGGAGTAGGGGACCCATGGTGTGGAGCGGGATATCAACCGGAGGTGAGTGCTTCTGATCTGAACTGTCTAAAGTTGTGTACTGACATAGGTGACAGTATGGATTATGTGGGTAAAGAAATGCACGAGAAGAAATGTCCAGAAAGGGTACCAGTATACTGGTGTTCAAGATACTTTTATGAAGAAGTGAAATGATGACATGCTATCAAATTATATCAAGATTATTCGGGCCCATATCTCGTTATTATGAAGAGGTCACAGTAAGCAGGAAGACTTCATTAGATAAATCAGAATTACACACAACGCAAAGAAATTCGTTGACGACATCAGTCACGGTAGCTTCTTTTCCTTCTTCTTCCCTTTCTTCCTCGCTTCTCGAATCCTTTTAGTTTCTTCATCCATATCCAGGCGCTTCACATCTGTGCCATCAAGCCCATGCACACTAACAACATGCCTCTTGCAATTTTCTACCCGAGGAAAAGGATGTCCAGCAGAGCGCGATCGTTTGCAAGCCGGAACGAGACAGTAATAATTCTCCATGTTGATATGGTGTTCGTTGACATGGCGGTCGAGGTGGCGTTTTGTTGCATGTCGAGCTGGACAATGGGTGCAGAGGAAAGGCTTCGAGTGGTTCTTGGAATGATGGCTGAATCATTGTTAGCATCCGAATGGGAGAGTGGAGGGGAAATGACTTGCTTGTACTCGGTCATGGAAGAGAAGGACTTTGTACATGAGGGCCATGTGCACTCAATCTCTGGTACTGTGGCAGAAAGTGTAGAATTCGGAGGTTCAGGATGTTGCGATTGGAGCTCGCCCAAATTGCATGCAAGATCTATGCTTGATGTTGGATTATTGACCCTCGTCGAAGGATGATCAATCTGTTGATTTGATACTGGCAATTGGAGGGAGCCAGAAATGGAAGTTATGTCGTCAATCTGCAGGCCAGCTGCAGTAGGGAGCGTGATAGAGCAGTCTGGAAAAATATCGTCCAACAGAGGGTCGCTGGCGAGCAATGAGAGATCAACTTGTTGAGACAGCAGCTGTTTGCCGGCGTCAAAGAGAAGGTCGAAATCAGCGTTGAGGGCACAGCGAAGATCGAGGAATGTTGTATCACTCGACCTTATCGACTCATTCGAGTTGAAAGATGGTAGAATGCAGTTTTGACCGGTGGCGCTGAGAGTTGTACCTGGGTCGAAAATAAATGCACGCTGGTTACTAGAAAATGCTCGCTTATCGAAACAAAGACCGCGAGAGGATAAGAATTCAAAGGGTCCCTCAGACGAAGAAGTTGCGACCGTTGCTGTATGTAAATTTTGTATGGAATTCCCATTTTTTTGGTGGTTATTTTGTATGCGTTTCCAATTTTTTTGGTGGTTCTTTTTGGACTCTGAAATTGGTCGTGCGCTTCTGCAGAGTCCGCCGTCCGCAAGGCGGACTGCTGCAGATTAAAAAAGAGGCTTTTCAGCCAACAAGGTGTCCAGGGCGCAGAGGCCCTGGCAAGTAAGAGAAAGGCTAATAGCCTTCAAGTAGGGTCCCAGACTCTCTATTGTCGTACAGGGTTGACGCTGCAAAGCTGTTGATGGTAGTGAAAGAAACGGAGGGATCCAACGATCTTAAATGTCAAATTTTAAGGCCTCCAACGGTTATTGTTTCTCGAATAGGCCGTGCATGATGTAGAGGGATGCTGTATGGATGAAATAAGCGAGCTGAAGTGGGGAGGCAAGTGCTTTGAAGCCTCGCGGATCTCATTGGAGGAGATTTTCATCTCGTCGCCGTAGCTGGGATACTCTAAGTGAGGCCTCCTAAAATGGTTTCTCAGCCTTTCCTTCCCTGATACCAATAGGAGAGCCTCGTTTTTGATACACTTGCGTCGAGATGTCAGCGCTCGATCAACAACGACTGTTACCCACTGGAAGCTCATGACAAGCGCCAATTCAAGGATGCTCAGACATGAAAGAGTCTCAGGATAGTTCGTACTCGGCTGAATAGGGGGATGGTCACGATCACGTGAGAGTCATAAATTCTCTATCTCTGAGGCTTTCTGACCTGGGACTCGTACTGAAAATGAAGTCTGCTTTATTGAGAAGTATGTGAGCTATGATGACTATTTTGATTGTCCATGAATCACTCGGAAGAGCAGAAGCAACTGATAAGCTTGGTTGAAACGAGCAGGGAATCTAGCCAGCAGTGATCTGTGACTGAGAACCGGGACAGATCTGCTATGATCGTTAGGCAGCAAAGATAATCGTGCATATGGTGGGTATACAGTCCCCGGCCGCTAGTTGCTACTCCAGTATGCCAATATGCATAAGTACCTGCTATTACTAAAGAAGTTTAGAACGAGCTCAAGTCGACGAGAGCTAGCAGATGTTTTACATGTCCACTGTGGCCCGTGTCTTCTTGAGGCAAACCTTTTTCGCCTGCTATTAATATTTGCAGTTTTTGGCGATAAAATATCTAGCATACTCACGAATCATGTTGTAATAGGTATATTCCTAGAATAACATGCGCCCAAAGCAACGATCACACGCACACTATTTCCTTAAATTTGGGTGCGACCAAAACACGAATCTCTGTAGTTTCTCCGAAGATTTATTGGCTATACGAGATGCTTGCAACGACCGATCATACATCTTAATGTTTTTGTTATCGCCTATAGATCGTAATATGGCCCTCCAGCATGGCGGATAGGCATTAGGAATTTGTACTCTGCTTATCATATCGCTACCAACAAGCCTCATCCTTCTCACTCTCTAGTTATCACGAGAGATCTAGTCTCAACGCTCTCGCGTGGCGGAGCTTCTCTAGAGGATTGGGGATTATCGAATGAAACGTGGGGGCAGACTGAAAAATTAAGAGCTACCCTGGCAGAGAATAATTGTTCACCAAAAATGACACTCACATCTTGCATGAGGCCCAGCTTTAGTATCATACATAACAAATGCAAAAGGCTCTGAGTCTTTCTGCCGAGATAACCAGTACCTTCACAATGGGTAAGTATTATATTCATGAGGGACACAACAAGTGAAATAGGAGAAGAATCTACAATTACCATTTGTGGTTTGAGTTATGCTTAAGAAAGTAGACCTCGCCAATGTGTTCGGGGACAATTCTATCACAAGAGATAAGATCCGCTGCAGCAACTGAGCGACTATCACACAGAGCCAGTGGTCTGTCTTCTACAATTGGAAGTAAACTTCGCCATGTACTATTGATTCAGTTAGAACAATACATGACGCTTAAGAAGAGCTTACTTGATAATCCGAAATCGGTAACCGGGTCTCATATACAATTCCTTTTCCCTGTCGGGAAGATGTTTGTTGATCATTTGTGGTCCGAAGTTGCGAGATATGTCTTGCGGTCTTTAGTTTTCATATTCAAATCCATAGTGTGAGTTTTCGTGTACCGTTATGTGCCCCTCTGACAGGCCCTTCTGTATGTAATGGATCATTCAAATCGTACTCCGTTCGGTCAAAAAGAATATTTGTCCTCAGCGCCATATCGTAACACTTCACATACACAGCTCCTAAGTTTTTAAGATGAAGTTCTTCGGTCTCCGACTTATACCTAGCGACATCTTCTGGGGCCTCGAATCGGCTTATCTGTGTCGTGTGATCGAAGACTTGAAATCCATTGACATCGATTCGCGGCTTGTCTTTCAGGAATCTCATGTCATGGATTTGGATCTTCCGTGATTCAAACTCTAGATTATCTAGGCGCTCCTTGTCTGGATCAAACCCGTCTCGGGGCGGAAGTGAGCACCAATATGGTTTGACGTTGTCGTAAAGTTCCAAGTCTTCGAGGTATCGTGAGAGGGTTGAATATTTCGTTCCTGCAAGGGTTCAAAATCACTTACTCGATAGTTGCCTCTATATCAGCCATCTTTGCGCTTCTTATTTCTTGATAAGGACATTCAATCACAGAAATTGGTATACTATGGGCAGTTTCGTTCTCGCTCTGCTTGGCATGCGTAGATAGAACGCGTCTTACTCATCAAAATGATAGGCGATGGTAACGTGAGAGGGCTACACCAATGGGAACAATTCTGAGAGTTGGGCACGCCGCATGACTTTCGACCTTTCATTTGTCAGATTGACAAGGGAGGCCCAAACTTTCAGCAATCACATCTTGCCTCACAACCCTAACTTCTGTACCATCTTCTCAACCACATTCAAGTGTTTGCGAGCACCTCATCAACTCTCGAACATCTGGGTAGGAAACTCCACTTTAGAATCGTTCCTTAATCTCGATTTCGCACCTATCTCAGATGAAAAAGGAATTTCTCAGAACCCTTGAGCATACAGTGCCAGATAAAATCTGCCCCACTTATTGAAGAGATGGAAGGCAAGGAAGCATACAGGGAGGTATCGTCTAATTTGGATTCTCAGGACTCAAAGTATATTGATGTAAGTCTAGCCCTTCAAATCACTCAGATGAATACTCACAGATGACTCTTTTGTGACAGGAGTCACGAGAGCAATCGCCACAAGCTTTCGATGATCTAAAGAGGCCAGAGCCTGATCCTTATCCACTCCTTTCAACTCTACCTGAATCCGTTGCTTCGTTTTTCAGCACTGTGAGTTCAGACGGGTTCCCACCAGACCTACCAAAAGCACAGCCTTGGAGGCAGATATTGGCCGCACCACTTCCACCACAGCAGGATGGCAAACTCATAATTGCTTGCCCAAAGAAGTGTCTCTACGGTATGTTCGCTTTCTGTTTCTGCAGCTAATATGTTCTTCTTCGAGTGAGTTCCTTTGGACAAGCGACGGTTATTCTCACCAAAGCAAAAGACAGCCTCCCATTGAAGAATATGATAGCTGAATGGATGTCTTCGGGCTTGTTCCTCGCGCTCTAAGATCAAAGACTGACATCTTGCAAGGGAGTAATAATGGATGAGTGGAAACTCTCAAGACTGTGAATAGAACATGGTATATTTGGTTGCTTGGGGATGTTTGTTCAGAGATGAAATACATGAATGATATCGAGAGAATACATGAAGATAAGGTGGATTCAGAGCACAGGTATCGACTTTGCTGTGGCCCTTCTGGTCTTTGAAGGAATCCATGGTCTAGGGACTCGTTTCAAAGCTTAAATGCTGTTTGCTTCGCACCTACAATTCACAATCAAAAATGACATTTTGCTGTTCAGAGTACAAAGCGGGACCAATGGATGTTCCACTGCCTCTCACTTCCTGATGGGCACCAGCAGAGTGCAGGTTTGAGGCTGAGAGCAACCAACAAATGTGGCCATGACTTTTTGCTGTACGAAGCTCAAACTGTCAAAGAGGCGCAGTTCCATTTGCCAATTGCATGCTTTACAGGCTTTGATGCCGCTGTCCCGTGCGCATGACAACCATTTCTGCCTGCAGCTATTGCACATTGACCCCGCACCTCGTATAGCCACTGACAAGGCGGGCAGACATTCAAGGCAACTTCAGGCGAGGGACGCAAGATAGGGGAAGAAGCAGACACGACAACGCAGGAAGGTGTGCAGCCTTCCGGGTAGCCTATGACACCACGATAATGATAAGGCTCTCAAGTCTTCGGCACTTCATGTGAAGCTGAGTGCTGATCATGAGAGACTTTTCTTCGAAGGTTTTAAAAGCCGAGGACTTTGGCGGTATGAACGACAAAGACAATCTAGATCGAATATCCTTCGGCAATCCTTCGCCCATACAATTCCATCATTGTTACCGACATGCCTCCAGAAAGCTTCAAAGTTGAGGGCGCATTTGACCCGAAACCATCCACTGCGAGAACAAAGACTTGGTCATCACGAGTAGTATGCCATTAAATCTTGATGTCTGGGTTGCGAATTAAGAAACCTAAAACTGAAAATGCAGCTAATTCATGAATTACAGACTGGAGGTCTACCAGATTTTGGATTCTATAGAACGTCGACTGTTGATACCCTGACTGAATATAACGAAGGAAAGCAGTTTGCAGGTATGTGGTCATGCTAAACTCCGTCTTGGCAATCCCCAAATACATAACCAAAACGATTCTGAGACCAATTCCTAGAGAATTCAATTGCCCTCACAGACGACGAAAGACAGAAACAAGATGCGTTGATACGCTCCCTCGTGGCCGGCGCAAGCATCAAAGGTGTTCTCGCAACTGCTTCCTGCTGGTACGGTGCATATCTCCACTCGAAGATAAAGCAACACTGGATCTTGCTATCGAGAGTTTTAACAGGACTGAAAGACGATTCCATAGGATTGGAAAAAGGCAACTTGGGTGTGGTATACCACTTTCTACACGAGATCGCCAAGCTATTGATGTCCACGGAAGAGCTCGCTTTGGTGGCCATTGTAGATGAGTTGGACAATGCGAACCTTCTAAAACCACAGCTCGACGAAGAGCGCGCACTTCCCAATCAGGCAGTATGGGTAGCAGTAGGATGGCTGAGTACGCTCCTCTCCATGTTTCTCTCCGTCTTGGAGTCAGTGTTGAACTTCAACTAACACCTTTTCAAGCGATGCTGTACGAAGCAGCCACCCATCCAAAACCAGACAAGCTCGAGATTACTCGAACGTCCACAAGCTTATCGGGGTATCGAAATCAACTCTTCAGTCGCAAATACTTCAATTATAAACAGGGGTTTGATTACGTCGATGTGCCCCTGTATCGCCTGATCAGCAAATTCGGAGACTTGATACCAGACGTTCCAACACCGCTGCCATACCATCGAGCATCAGAGACAATCAAGGTGTCATCCGTATGCTTCAGTACTATACAGAACCTCGCAGATCTCAAAGTGGAGTTTGTCACCTCACTCGCCCTACATCTTGAATTAGATAGCAGCAGGAAGACACTAAAGATATTCCAATTTCCCTCGTTCTGCCGGATGATGATGGCAGGCGAAGGAGACAACACTCTCACCCGAATTCTCAACAACAACGCTGCAAGAGGAACTCAAGACGTCACAGAGCCACAGGTCTCATCGGAAGACTTCTTCAGAGAGATCCTCCTCTCCTTCCGTCTTATCTTTGGGCAGGACGAACGCTCCTGGAAAGCTTTCTCACGAGCAGTTCCTGCCTGGGAAGAGCGAGTAGAGCTCTCTACAAGTCCATCATGGGAATCCAACTGGGATTGCGATCCCTTGCTCCACGTTCTCTGCGGTCGAAGTGCCGAGTCCTCTGAGGCTAGGAAGTTGTATGATGAGGTCGATGCCAATGAACCGACGAGTAACTACATTCCGCATGCAGATTTCAAGTACTTTGGGAAGAGGTTGCTGGATTTGCAGGATTTCATCGACCAGCATCAGCCGAAGAATGTGAGGGGACTGTTGAATGATAGACGCGATGTGGCGGCTTGGTACACGCTTTGGAACAACCAGGTATGAGCCTAAGTTCACAACGAGACCCGCGATTTGGAGCATATACTGATTCTTGTTATTCTGTAGCTTTTGATATTATTCGCTTCCATTACGATATTCCTGATGATCGTCTCTCTGATTTTCCAGATTTACCAAACCTGGTTGACAAAGGAACAACTAAATCAAGGCTCGTCTCCATAAAGAAATGTCGGAAAGTGGTACTGAATGCTAGGAAATTCTATCTAGATTGAAGATACATTGTAGGTCAGTGTCATTCCGGAGTATTTGGGTCTAAGTCAGTTGAAAAAGCAAAAGCTGGAGAGCGTAAAAAGTGTGGTTGCGGGGTACAGCCCTTTGACGAACCCAATTTAAGTAGAATGGGACAATCTGCGAAGCTGGATTATAGAGTGGCTCAGGTCGTGGGGAAGCTTATCATGTCTATACAAAAATGAAGTCATTTGTCATATGCTACAAGTTGTCTGGAGATCTCTCTGTCTTCTGCAGTACCGGCTACGGGGTTGATCAACTCGAGGAAGCTAGATCACCAAGTTTCGAAGACTTCATGAAAATTTCATACCAGTAAATTAAGAGATTATATTCGTATGAACATGGTGAACATTGAAGATGTTCCAATATCCACTTGGAGTAACCGACATTATCTAACTTTGCATCCTTGATGGGACAAAAATAATAGTCCCCTTTGAACATCCAACATTTTCAGCGATAGAACAGCGGAACAAGAGCATCGTACCGATCCTCCTCTTCATCTCTGTCCGCATCATTTTCAATAAAAGGAATAAGTCCACCTTCGCCTGACGCAATCAATTTCTGCCGGGCGACCTCAGCCCTGCTCCTAAATTCCTCAGCCTCATTCTTGAATGTGCCGAATGTATCACTCTCCAATACCAGCGCCGTTTTCCAACAGATCCTGGCAATAACGCCGTCATCACGCGTGGGACTTCGAAGCTCTGCTATGCCTCGTGCTTTGTCTAGGTACATCCTATGATCAATTAGTAAGTGGGAATGGTGTGAAGGAGGGAAAGAACACATACTTGGCAGGCTCAGGGTGGCCCATCTCAAATTCTACGCAAGCAAGAGAGTAATATGCTGCTGCGGTGATGGGATGGATTGGTGTTTCGGTGACAGCAATCTGGCGGCATTGATCGTAAGCACGCCATGCAAGGGTCAAATGTCTCTGCAAGAACTCTATGTTGCCGTAGGCGTATTGAATGCTGCACGAACGTCAGCCAACTTATATGCACACTCCCCAGACAAAGACGTGTGTACTTGGCCATGATTCCTTTGTCTGCACCGATGGTGCGGACAACGATTGCCTCTGCGAGTTGAGTCAAATTCATCGCTTCTGTCAAGTTCCCCTGAAGCATGTGCATCCTTCCCACAGAAAGATATGTGAAAGCCAGTGTTATGGCTGTGGCATCGCCGCCATCGGCCCAAATCTGCACGGCCCTATCAAAGTAATTTCGCGATTCCTGCAAGTTCCCTTGTGCGGTCTCAAGATTTCCCATGTTATTGTAGATCGAAGCAACTGGAGTTCAGGTTAGGAGAGGAGACCTGAGGAAATTGGAACGCGTTTGGGGTAAGCTCACCTGCTGGGTCATCGTGCGGAAGTCTATTAAGTCGAATTCGCATTGTGATATCCCAAGCATTACGGCATTCGGTCAACCTGTTAAGATCGTAGGCAATGTTGCCAGAAATAAGCATGAGGCGTGCATAAAGTAGAGAAGTCTTGTCTGCACAAGCTGAGGTCGCTGTTTCGATGACACGACTGCAAACGTCGAAGTCTCCAATCTCGCGGAGATAACTGTTGGGGTTTTCAGCAAAGATTGCAATGGAAGTAGAAGAATGTTATGACACTCACTATGCGCAATTTCCAAGCAAGCTAACGAATGCATCCGTAGCACTGAGAGCACCGGAGCGTACATATTCAGAAAACTTCTTACTAAGATGGGCGCCGTGGGGGATATAGACCTGGCAAACCTTCCAGTCCTTGTACATAGTAGCAATACCTTGCTTAGGAAATTGCTCGTATACGAGTCTGGCGGCCTGTGCAAAGCTCTTCTGCAACTCATCCACATCATGATAACTGACAGCTTCTTGGACAACACGATGAACAGAGTACACCCGACCATCTTGCTTGATCAATTTGCGGTCCAGAAGTTGGTTGACTGCTTTCTCGAAGTCTTCGGATGCAGTGATAATGCTGAAAATGGAAGCGCGTTCGTTTTCGTCGAGATGTACAGGGTCTTGTCTGCAGAATGATAGTGCAATGTCCAGCGCTTTCTGGGCTCGAGGAAGGAATAGTTCCACTTGGATATCATCTGAAGAAGGTTAGCCCGCCATTCCTGTTGGTAAAGCCATGTTGTGAATGGAAGTTATACCTGGTGAAAGCCATGCCAAAACACCAAGGAGAGTTCTGGCGTGCGAACTCAGAGCTTTGAAACTCATGTCCCATAGGGCATCCAACGCTTTTTCCGAAGGAGATCTCGCGCTCCTGTGACGGTCGGGAAGAGTCCTCACCTTCTCCTTGAACATCTCATACGTTTTGACAATCGTTGGACCGCCTATGGTAGAATCTTGAATCAGGATAGCCGCTTGCTGGATGGCAAGAGCAAGACCTTCCAGTTGCTCCAACATGTTCTTAGCAGCTGTGACTTCGGATTGGGGGATTCGACCTTCTCGTTCATCTTTCTTCCAATCTTCGCCAAGCAATTGGAGAAGGAGATCCCAACTCTCCTTCGAATTAAAAGGCTTGACCGTTCCGCCCTTCCGCTGCAGATCTTTAGAGAAGTTGTAATACTTCCGGGAGGTTATAAGAATGGCCCCGGATGCACCAATCGGCCAATATGCCTTCAGAACCTGATCCCGCTCGGCATTATCGAATATCATCAACCACTTCTTACTCGTCCTTTTGAGCCAATTTTGAACGGCTAGTAAATTCTCCTCGTGATGTCCAGCCCTATCCGCACCTGGGAGGTTCAAAGACACCGCGGCATTCGTAAAGCTCTGCCGAATCGACACTGAAGTCTCGCACTGAATCCAAAATATTGCATCAAACCCCGCAAGATTCTCGTGTGCAAACTGCAGCGCAATTTCGGTCTTTCCAACTCCTCGGCGACCATAGATAGTATACGTACGTAAGGATTGATCGTCTTTGGGACTGAGATATGCCAGAATTTTCTCCAGCTCCTCAACTCGGCCGTAGAATTTCGGATTTTTCTGAAAGGGGATGATTCTATTCGGGAAAGTTCCAGGTTCGTCGCTCTCCGGCATGAGCGCGTGTTTCATGGACAAGTTCTTGATCATACGATCCTGGTTGACTTTTGACAAGCTGGTTATCTCATTGATATGTCTGACGATGTCTTCCAGTGTAGTCAATTGGGTGTTGATCGCCTCGTTGAGATCCGGCCAAGCTAGATTCGCGGCGTGTTCTGAAAACTTCGTCAATCCATGATATGCATTGAAGTTGCAATAACTTACCAGATGAGCATTCGTGCAAGTATCTGATTGAGTCCGATAATATTGTAGCAATTGGATCAAGAAAATCAACAACCGCCAGCAAGGCCTCATTGTTGTCATCACAAGCAGCAAGACATCGATTAAAACGAGCCATAATCGTCCGAATGGTATTAAACAAGTCGCCAATTCTTTTGAGTCTCTCAGGAGAGGAGTAGGAAAGCTGGAAATTGTCAATATTATGTTCAATGCTGGAATCGAAACAGTACCTTTAAGTTCAAGTATACCATGCCCCAGAGAACATCGAATTTCATTGGGTGCGGCACCACCAAGGCCTCGAAAGCCTGTGTGAGAGTGTTGAGTGTTCGAGGAAACGGCTGGATTCGACCCATTTGCCGCTTCATATCGCGTGTGGATGAGGCATCTGTGAGTTTTCCTTGAATCTCGGTCACCACTTCATGCCAGCCAGGATACTTCGACGCAATCTTTTGGTCGGAAGGAGAGAGGATTGATGCAGCAGAATTTAACACATCCCTCAATCTGAAGATAGCGAAACCTCTTGTATCGCTATGATCTTTCAGTATGGTTGAATGGACAAAGGGTGTACAACATCTTACTCAAAATTGATGTCATATTCATCTCTTCTTTGTCCTGCGACACTCACCCCGCCGAGAGGGGCCATATTCGATGGGATAATGCTGTCCCCTGCCTTGTCTTCCTGTATCACCAGATCCTCTAACTCATCCGACACCTCGGAGCCGACTTTAGTGAGGGCATCTGATCCATTCTCCGAGGTCTCCACCTCTTCTCTGGCATCGATCTTAGCCATGCCAGCTAGGAAGCTTGAGTTCGTGCCTTGAGAACCGTTTGTTACCTTCATCCCTCAGCGCCTGCGGTATGAGAGGAGCATGAAAGACGAGCAATGCTGCACGAATAGCTGCGGGATAGCGTCATTCGCTCATGGCAATGAGTTTTGGTTGATTTTACATTCAAGGATTCCCCTTGAAGCATATATGAATGGCTTTCATGAGGGCATACCAGAGCAGCTCTCTTCACAAAACCACGCGGAGGTTCGAGAAAGCCTTACGATGCAAGGTCCATGAAGAACGGCATCTGGACGCGACTTGGCATTCATTGTCTTGGATGTGGAGTAGATCAGTTTCTGGTGAGTATGTTGCACGACAGTTGTGTGACCAGTAAAGTAATACCGATAAGCAGGGGCTGGGCGGGGTTTGGGGCAGACTCACTGTGGTCGGGCGTAGAGGCGTAAAATGTGTATGCAAGCGACCCCAAACAGCAAGCTGGGCGTGCAGAAATATATTACTAATCGTAATCAGCAAACAACTTTCGCATGCCAGCCTCACGTTTCATTTGCGCATATGCAAAGGATCGCAAATTTATGAACTGCCTGAACCATCTTGGCAACTTTGCTTGGTTGTTCGCATCTTTCACCCAGCCTTCTCTGCTGGGCTCAGTCATTTAATCTTGTGACAAATCTATAGATGTAAGCTCAGCCTTTGCAGAATGTCCAAGGCACTGCCACAAATATCAAATCAGACTCTGAGTTTCGTCTCGGCAACTGCTGCTTTAACCTGAGCGAAGGAGAGACACGGGAGTCTTGGAGAGAGAATTGCTTTGCGTTTCGAAGCAACGATCGATCAATGATACTGAATTTTGCGTTCAATCTATTCCATCAGGCTTTCAATGATGTTCTCAACTGAAAGAAACCCAGGCTGGATACCTAGTTTGTGCTCGGCTAAATAGGGGAGTGACCACGGTCACGTGCGAACAACTGGTTTTCGACCGACTGGGCTCGAGACTACGTACCCGGAGATTAAGCTGCCCAGTCTACTGCAGAGATCATCTACCGTATGCGGTTCTATGAGCTGATCGCGAATAATATCACCATGGTACTGGAACGAAGATGCTGAAAGGAAAGCGTGTCGAGACATCGTATCAAAATCCTCGAAATGAACGAAAGAAGATGCGGTTGTGAAGTAGAGGTCTGCTTGGATTATCCGAACTACCAGCGTCAGCTTCTTTCTAACACATAAAGAAGAGGGGATATGTCATAGCTGGGCGTCACGCCATTTGCAATAGTGTCCAATATACAAATGCATGAATTGAAATACTATGAAATCAAGAAAGCCAAACTGAACTCCATGCTCTTTTTTGGCGCTCAATAGTACAACATAATTATCGTATCTCTTGTGCTTCTCCTTCCTGCCGGGTATCATATCATATATCTCGTATCATTCCATTGTCTATTGCGCCTTTTTCGCCTCTTCTTCCTCGTTCCATGGGTGCTTGATCGTCAAGCACCAGATATCAAGGTAATCGCAGATGGTCACGATGACATCGAGCTGCTGCTGTTAGCAAGCTCAATTGCAGTTTGATTCGAGGAAGAGCACTTACAACGAAGCTCCCATAAACGCCGATAGCCATGCCCAGCATGCAGAACACATATGCAACCTGGTAAACATCCCCACCAAGAGCACTGGGCCATCCGACACCAATATGCTCTTGCAAGAAAGGTCCTAGAGAATCGAAGACTCCGTAGGCAATCGGTAACACGAGAACATTTCCGTAGGGAAAGTCGAGCTTCACGAGATGGGCAGTGATGATCTGACCAACTGAGTACGCATTGACGAGACCAGCGAAGAACACGAAGGGGACGAGATGGTTGTGTAGTATTTCGGGGTTCAGGTACAGGTATGCGGGGATCAAGGTCCATGTTACACCGAAGGGGATGAGTCCGAGGAGTGCACCGCGAGACTTGTCACCTCTGGCTCGTCGAGCAGAAATTACATTCATGGAACTGTGGAGTTATCAGTTTGTGTTAATGTAATTGAGAGAAGAGAGACTGACGATTGAATCGTGTTGAGAACAAGCACAATTCCACCTTGTACCATATACCACTCGTTGAACGGAAGCTGATATATATATTCCGGGATGAACGGGTAGTTGGGTATTCCAACGGTCTCGAACATGGATTGCTGCCAGAAGCTTGCTCCTCCTTTGATAGCAGTAAACGCGTATACGGCTGTCAGAATTACAATTCCTTCCACTGGACCCGAAATTAGGCCCAGGGTCAATGTCTTCGTGTGATATTCGTCCCAAGTCTGAACATAGAATGTCAAGAGCGCTTTCACATGTCAGTAGCGTCCATGTATGCTGGTAGAAGAGCGCATACATGCGAAAAGCGTCATAACAGTTTTCCAACCCATCCCTAGATTCTGCGATGCAGCAAAGATCAAGACCTCGAGCGACGTGTTCACAGCATCAACACTGTGGTCGAAAAGCTCGCCGAGCGGTCCGCTTTGATGCGTTCGGCGCCTGCCATCACCAAATTATCAGCAGATATCCCACCGTTTCGTGTGTATACCCAACTCACGCCTGAGATCCATCAATAGCATCGAATGTCTGGTATAGGAACAATCCCACGGCCCAACTGGCATATACCCATGGCGGGCAGTCCTGATCGAGCGTCGGATTATACCACAACAACGTGAACAAGTTGATCACCACGAACATGAAACCCGTCAAGGTGATCAAGTTCGGTGCCATCCACATGGGGAAACATTTTATGGCGACGTGTGTGTAGAATGGCTTCAGGATGTAGCGGGAAAGGAGCGAGTGGTCGATGCCGGAGTATTTGTATTGCTTCAGGTTGGGAAGCTTTTCTTGTCGCACGTAGACCATCTTTGCGGTTGTTGCTGTCGATGCGAAAAGGGACGAGGAAGGAGGAAGTTGTTGGGGACGGTGAAGTAGGAGCTCGAGTCGTGTGCTGCACTCGTTCCTTGATACTTGGTCAGAAGTTTTGTTCGTCGCGAAATTTCTTGGTAGACGCGACGCCAAGCCACTTCACGTCATTTGATCCAGATTGGCCAAGCTTGGGGTACATGCAGGGGTATCGAAGATGAGCCGATGTGAGACCTATTGTCCTATTGTTGACAACGCCCTTCAAGGCGCTCATATGCTCTTTTTTTCTCCACATGTCAATGACATTCGTTCATTGAAATCGCTACCTTCAAGAATATATAATATATCCCACCTCCCCCAAGAGACTGATTAAATTTACGTCGTTAACGTTGCTCGCTTCACAATCTTGAAACAATTCCTTGTACGACCGACCTTGCTTAACTATCTATCCTTTATAGTACATCTTCTTAATCCGCTTTCCTCTTAGGACAGTGTATCTAACACCTCTGAAGTTCTTGTACTCTGCCAATTATCTTCTCCAGTGCAACTTTTTCGTGCGTTGAAATATCCATTGGCGTTCATAGTGAAGGCGGAACACCATGGAGATATCCCAAGTGGTGGGTTAAAAGTTCACGATCATAGGCTGATCATCCGGCACTCTAAAATCATGTACACAGCGAAATAGGAAGTCCCTGCTACGGGCTCCAGCGAGACTGGAAGTTTCGCTGTGCTTGTTGCAAAGCCAATCACCATATTTTTTTAGGGGCAATGGTACTGACAATCTTCCGAGTCTGTAAAGCGAAGCATGATCAGGAGTTGCAAAATGGCTGGCCAGCGAAGGATCCATTTTTGGGGAACCTTTTTTAAAACGCATATCCGTGACTGGAATGAAATGCTCTTGCTCTGAGAGAACGTGGAATTCCAACAAGCAGTGTCTTGTTCGGCGGTGAGAGATCTCGTGCTTTGCAGACGGTCCCTTCAACTTGTGCGTCCATCCTGCCCACGACCAACTTGGGAAGTCCTTCAAACGCTTGCTATAGTGGCCTGAGAGACTCCAATTGAAGTATTGGTAGAAGTCTTTGGCAGGATGTCCCCAATAAAATGGTCCAATATACGGCTCGAACAGTCTCAGAACACCTGAAAATGCAACGAGCATATCGCTCTCATAGGACATGGCACGACCAACATAGCTACCCAATATTTGACGGAACTCAACATGTGCTGATCGGACATCGGTCAAAGGGGCTGCAATTCGCAACCACTCGCCTTCCCACCAGTCATAATCATCGTTTTGATCAACCACCCGGACTTTGGAGCCCGACTCCATCGTCTCCAAAACAATATGTTCAACCCAGAAGCATCCTTTGCAAGACAACATTCTCTTCTCCAAAAACTAAAATTCTAGAGGATAGATATTGCTCTTGAAGTGTCCATCCTCGTTGATTCCACTCCGACTTTTGAGCAGCATCCGTTGGCATACTCAAGGCAGTGGTGTACTTGATACCTTGTATTGTTATGTCTTCACGTCTTCCTAGTCGCGGATTTGAGCCGACACCTGGCAACCCTGCATTCGAATTGACGCTACAACTGGCGACAATGGTTGCTTTCGCTGCTTTATAAACCAGACCCATATTTGCAACTTGATTGGGGTTATGGTTGAGCTCATCCTGGAGGAGGCACAAACTATCGACCCAAAGATAGTTCTCTTTGAGCTGTCTGCAGAGCTCCATGGCATCTCTGATCGTTCGTGGCGTCTCAGGCTCAATACGGTCTAATGCGCCTGGCTCCAACAAAACATCACAATTACTTTTCAAAAGAAGTGGCTGTTGGACATCTCCCCATACGTACGACAAAGCTAGGAACTGGCAGTTCTGAGTGGCTTTAACAACGGAATTCGCTCGAACATCGATAACGCGGAGTGAACCATCTTGGTTCAAGGTCCAATCCGAAGCGCAAGACTCGAGATGTAAGCCCAGGCATCGATTCAACCAAAAAGACAGCAAATTGAAATCAACGAATCGCTGAGGCACCCTGGCCTTGAACAGATCTTTCTTGGTCGGGATGGAATGCCCTTGTGATTCGACATGAAGGTCGTGCTTCAATCTCGTGAGATACACCTCACCCAATGCACACAAGGACCTTTCCACGAAGAATCTGGAAGCCGGTACCCATTCATCTCCGCCTTCTCGTCTGAAGTAAGGCTCGGCCACCAAATCACAATCACAAAGCCCATCAAGATGATCGAATGTCATCAAGACTAACTTGAGAAGGAAATCACAAAAGTAACAGGAGCTGGCCTTCTGGGCAACATGGTCTATCTTCCATCTGAGTTGGTTCTCGAGATCCTCCTTTCTCGTAAAGAAATCGCTCCAGTCGATCTGCTGGCATCGCTCGCATGTCTTTTGAGTCTCCGTACACGATCCTGGGTTGGTGGTTGCCTGCTCTGGTATTGCATTTTGTTGAGCAGACATCAATATCTTGACGCTCGCTGTCGCGCTGCTGGGCAACAAATCGATAGTTTTTGACGTCATCTAGAAGGTTGTGAGGTCGAGAGTGGTTCACCAATACTTGAGATTGCATGGTAAATATGAGGAAAGAGGGTTCGAAAGGGTTCCTCGATAAGGAATAAGAGATCTAACGACACCGATTGTCTTGAAGGCTTCGGTGAGCCAGCGTGGAAAGGCTGCGCTGCGCCCCATCCAAGCCACCCCAAGGCGGCAATCATATGGCCACTTTGTGTAAGCTCTAAGTCATACATTCAAACTGACTTGTCTAAACCTGATATCTACAGTGCTCAGATTCCCGACATTATCCTAGAGACGCTCATACTTTCCCCAAACGCCGTTAATGCAATTGATATTGATAGAGCCACTTATGCCTCCCCTTCTCAAGATCCTTTTCGGGATCATCCTCTCTTGGTCCTGGAAGCATGTCCTTCTCTGGATCAACCTCTCTCAAGCCCTCGAGCTGCCCAATATCCGTCTCTCTCGTATCATTCGGTCTTGCAACTCGGTCAATGCCCCCACCTTCCCTCGAATACGTGTCCGAGTCTTCCGAGGTATCCAAAGTACTCGAGGAAGGATGATTTACGTTTTGCTCTCTTGGTACCACCTGTTGAACGCCGGATTTTGACGAAGGCGTTGGAGCAAATTTCGATCTTTCTCGAATCGGTCCACCATACTTGTAGAAGATAAATGGGATAGGAGCAAGCAATGTTGCAACACCTCCGATCAGTGAGCCACCTCCGCCAACTCCCAAGGCATCGAACATGTACTGTGTGAATAACGGAGCTGCAGCACCACACCCAGAACGACACACAGTATTGGCAGCCAAAGCACTAGCTGCGAACATTAAATATGTATCCGTTAGGTAGTTGAGGTACGCCACGAAAATTAGCAGAATAGAGGTCGAGAGGAAAACTCCAGCTAGTGTTGGGACAATCCATGGTATACTATCATATTCCGCTGACCAAGCGAACCAGAACATGGTGATTGGAAAGAGAACACCTCCAACCATGGCGACAGGTAGTCTGTCCTCAGGTGTACCCTTGTGACCAGCTTCCAACTTCTTTCTGTCTCTGGCAGAGTTGACGAAGATGAGCATGCCTCCGATTCCAGCACCAAGGACTGTGCCAATTAGAGGCAGCTCCCCAACACCAGAATTCCAACCTCTTTTTTGTTGGAACACGATCGGATAAATCGTAAATAACATGTAAAGAAGAGTGTATACAACAGAAAGATATATAGCGACGAAGAGCGAAATTGGATCGATGAGGATTTTCCACGGTCTCGTAAGCGCAACTTTGAAAATGCCCCCCAACGAGCGATCCGTAGCTTCTACCGGAGCCTTCACATCCTCATAGCCAGGAATCTTTAACTTCCTTAGCCGTTTAGCCTTATTCATCAACACAATCGGAGGTAGCGTTTCGGGAATCGTGAACATCAAGAGCTCCGAGATCCCTCCAAGCCAGAGCAACACATAGAAATTCCACCTCCAATCTTCCTTCAACTCCAAAAACCCCGAAATCACAGGTCCCAAAGCCGGCCCCATAAAAGTCATCATAGCAAACAACGACATCGCATTGCCCCTCTCTACCGGCCCCCAGATATCCGCTAACACCCCAGGAGCATTAGATAGCGGCGAGCTGGCGAACGTCCCCGTCAGAAATCTCCCCACCAACAACGGCGCGAAATTATTCGCAAACGCACACAGGAAGTTGAACGCTAGGTACAACGTAAAAGAGACATAGAAAATATACCTCCGGCCAAAGAACTCGGACAACGGCGCCCAGAACAGCGGCCCGAAACAATACCCCAGCAAGAACAGCGTGATCACCAAGCCGGCCGCTTCCTCAGAGACCCCGAAATGCAAAGCGATGCCGTCGAGGCATCCGGAGGGGCTGGAGGAGGCGAAGGTGGCGTTCACGACGAGCAGGACGGAGACGACGGTGATGTACCATCTTCGCGGGGCGGACCAGTTCTTGGGGTTCTCGATGTCGTTGGGGGCAAAGTCGAGGTGGCCGTTCTCGTTGAGAAAGGGTTTGGTGGTACGTTCGAGGGCGTGGGAACGGTATGGTTTGGCGGTTGGGCGGGAGAGGAAACGTTCGATTGCTTCCATCTGGACGGATGGATGGATGGATGGAGGGGTCGATGACCTCACTGCTTGATTCTCGTTTCGTTTCAATGACGGTATTGTCTGAAGGTTGGTACCTGAAGTGAGGGGGTTTATATCAAATTGCACAGATAATTATATATACAATATTGTCTAGAGAGTGAAAGAGGGGCAAGCAACCCTCATCAACAAAAGCCGGTCTAAGATCTATGATCCATCCCCTTAAACCCGTAGCTCGACGCTCGCTCGCTTTTTTATGAATCCAAATACCAACAACCTTAGATGCGGCCGCCAGGATACCCTACCCCGCCGTAAACCATAAAGAGCTATGTCCCCCTCTACTTCTTAACCAGATAGGCTTACGGCTGCTCGTTTATCGTGCCGGACGATCGATGGGTCCAGAGATGTGGTGAGGTGTCTGTTCATTGGTGCGTTGTGACGGGTAATCGGCAGCGCTGGGTCGTATTTGAGTTTGACTTTTTGAGGATTTTTTCGGGGATAAGATTTGGGTGTGGAGATAGGAGGTAAGAAAGCGAGTTGTGCATGGCTGTTTCAATTTTTAATTGTGCCGATGATGACTTTCTTGATGTACTATGCCTCTTCGTTATTCTTGAGTGACCTCTCTGATCATCTATTAGCTTGCCAGAAATATAAAGGCACTCAACTTAAAAAAAAATGCACAACCCAGAATTCGTATCAATATCCAAAGTCCGTCAATGATTCAATACTTTAAAGCGCTACAATCTCTGTCCAAAGTAGAACAATCGAATAGCAAAAAACTACCCTAGTCTCAAGGCACACTGCACAATCCCTCTCCACTATTCTCGAATTCCGGAAAACAAGGTAACGGGCAATGGAATCACAATATGACAAAGCTTCCTCCAACTCCTCCAATGATTACCATCCCCAACTTCTGAGAGCGCTTTCGTTCCCGCCATGGAATACGAGACCGATTCAACGCCGCAACACTAAGCCGTAAAGCCGAATGAATGACTTGAACCCGATTCAAGGGTTCAACACCGCCGCAATTCTGTAAGGAACGATAAGCCGGCCGCATAAGCAAGTGGATGCAAGACATTTTCCTTGCTTGTGTGACAATAACCGCGATCCTGTCCGGACATATTTTCCCCCATCTAGCTCTTTCAATAAACCGACGGACGGACATCCAGAGTCTCAGCCGGGGGTAACCCTTGAGCCCGAAGACGTTTAGTACAAAAGGGTTTTGATAAGGATTCGTGAAAAAAGAAAGGTTTATTTAGTAATAAGTAAAAAGAAGAAAAAAAAGATATTTGTTTAGTAAGTATGAACCCCACAAACCTCACTACTGCTCACCTGAATACTGCTTGCTCACCTTAATATCTATTTGCATCCGCCTCCCTCCGCCTCCTTCTTCCTCTTTTATTCTGGGTAGTATTGAAGTCAGGCAGTACTATAGCGGCAGTGGGGTAAGCTGCAGTGAGTCCTGAGATGAGTGAGCAATATGATAGCTAGCAATAAATAAACTATACAAGCATAGCTGGGTAAAGTGAGTTAGTTATAATTGCTCACAAATAACTATTTTTTTCGCCTTTTGCCAAACAAACCCTTCTTTTTAACTAGACAAATCAGTTTTTTTTTTTTTAAAAAATTGCCAAACAGATCCTCATCCACTAAGCGTTAACCATATATGCTTTGTTTCTTCTTCCTCACATCTATATATATCGGGACCTCACTCAGCATATTGGAAAAAACTTATTCAATGTCTTCATTTTTCATTTTGAAAGTCTCGCTCGAAGACCATTATCTAGATAGACAAGACACAGATGCCCAACTCCAATTCTCGCTATTGTACTTAAGCAACCGACCCAATGACCAGAGCAGCGACTCCTTCCTCTTCGCTTCGAACCACGATTTTACTTGTGACGCCTGATTTGGATGAGTATGCCATCCGGATGTTGGCCACGACTTTACCGCCTGTGACGGTCTTGCCGAAGAGCTTGAGGGTGTGAGTGGTGGTGTTGATTGGTACGTCGGTACCTTCGAGGGGTTGTAATGAGAGAGTCTTGGCCAATTGCTCGGTTGCATCTGGAAATGTTAGCTTGGCACAATCGAGAAGTCGATGATGCTTACCTGCGATACTCTTGACACCGCTGAGTTGTAGTGTCTCTTCAGCTTCTTCACCTGCAGCTCCAACTTGCTCCCAGATGTGATTGAAGTTTCCAGCGAATGCGGGGACAACATAGTCGCTTCCCGTGAGCTCCAAATCCTCAACCTGATACTCATCATCATATCCACTTTCCTCAGGCTCACCACTTGATGGATCAATCTCCTTTGTGGTAAACTTCAACACGTTGGTAAAGCTGCTTGCTGGGAATGAAGATTCACCATTTGTCTTCTTGAAAGAGACATAAATTGTACCTGGCTCATCTGTGGCAAGCTTAGCCGCTGGGATGATGAAGTCTTCCTCGAGTTCTTCTTCCTCTGCAGGAGTGGCCACAACCGAGACATCTTCAAGAACAGTATCCGGAAGAGTGTTCTTGACCTCATACTGGAGAACAATATGTTCCTTGAAGATGTGCTTGACGACGCTGACAACATACTCGGTCTCCGATTCTGTCAACTCAACCACAGGCGACGATTTCAACACGCTGCCATAGGCCTTCATCTCTGGAATTTGGAGAAGTGCTTGTTGGTATTTCTGAGCTGCGGCAGTCGCTGATGCGGCAGCTTCTGTACTTGATGGCGTAGCTTTGGTCGGGCCAGCCTTGGGTGCTTTGATGGTTGGAGTGATAGTAGTGAGCTTCTTGGTTCTATCCTCGGCATCTGCTTGTTCCTTGGTAACAATGGGAATAGCAGCAATGTCGAATGGATTGTCGAAAGTTGACTTGTCGTCAGCGGTAACATACATGACGAGTTGATGTTCGAAGTATGGAAGTGCGAATGTGTTTTCTAGGAGAGGTCAGTAAAGTTATTGAAAGAGTAAAATAATCCTTACCATTCTTGACGAAACGATTTGCCATCTCGTCAGTCTCAGTCATCAATCTCAGACTTAACGCAGCACGGTCTCGCACTTCATCGTCAACATCATCTAAGCATCGAGTGAGAAGAACCTGAACACTGCGCTTGACTTCAGGATCCTGTTGTCCAACGCCAAACTTCGCTAACGCTGTGACTGCTGCAGCTCTGACAATAGCATTTTCTAGAACGACTCGGTTGTAGATATATCGAATGTACTTCGTAGGCTGCGAAGTCTTCGGTCCTTCGAGTCCGAGAAGATGTAGAATACGAACAGCCAGTTTTGTGAACTCGCAGTCCTCGATGAATTCACAGAGATGGGCCAAAGCGTCCTCTTTCGAGTCAGGCACAAATTTGATCAAGTCAAACATGCTCTCCACAACCGCACGCTTGAACTCGTAACCACCTTCATCTCGAAGAATACCACTGAGGAATGCAAGCATACCAGCTTGCTTGTTGGGAAACTTCAGACAAAGCGTACGAATAGCCTCGACAATAGTAATCTTGAATTCATCCGTAATATCGGCCATGAAACCAGAGATTTGCTTCATCAAGCGATCCACACTGGCCTCGTTACCCGTCTTCAGGAGAGTCGTAATAGCAAATGTAGCGATCGAACGGTTGGTATTTGAGATAAGGAGCTCAATGTCTGGATTGCAGGGGTGTACTGCTTGCGGCTTGAAGGAAGCGAAATTGTGAAGAATTCGAATTGCTGCAAATTTGGTGACAGCTCGAGGAGAAGTGAGGAAGAGCTGGAGAACATGGATAGCTTGGGTGACCTCGGCGTCCGTAACATCTCGCATATCACAAATTGCCTTTGCTGCCTCGAAATTGACCATCTCGCTCTTATGTCGGAGCCAGCCGTCTAAGAGCTGCATCATGGGTTTCCGGAGTTGTGGGTCTTCCTCTGCCAACTGAGCTGCTAGTCGAACAAGCATCACGGTGGCTGCTGGACTCTTCACAGCTCCTGCAGTTCCAAATTGCTGCACCATCTTGACCAAAGCCATCCTGTCATGCATTCTCATTTGGTATAACAAGCCAATCGCATGGTATTGTGTCATAGTCGAGTTGTTGACCGGCTGGGCACTTCCGGATGTAGAGAATCCAAGAGAGAATCCGCCAGACGACTTCGTTGACGACGCAGCTTCTTGTGTTTCGCTCTGCCATCTTCGCACAACATCGCGGGCTATAGGAAGGAGGTGGTATGATGAAACGAGGGCGGCAGAGGATACTGATGGATTCTTGTCGACGATAGCCGTCTTCATAACACGCTCGATACTTTGGACAGTGGAAGCCTACTGTTGTCAGCACCTGATGTTGTTTCCGCCATTCGAGCTTACATCAATAATCCGGCAGAGGGCTCGAATCGCATTGGGTCTGTAGATTGCATCTGTTCCCCCCCCAGTATCCTTCATGATCGTGCTTGTAACCATAATAATATCCTCCGCCGAGTGCGCCAACTCCTTGATGATAAGGTGGACCATCTGCCGTAAACTGGCATCTTTATTCTGGAAGAGCTTCGAGATCCCGAAGAACAGGGTGGTGGCTTCATTGGTAGGGAACTTCTCCCCAGTATAGAGGAGGAGGGCAATTTTCGTGAGGAGGACTCGACATCTTCGAGGCTGAATGGGAGAGGAATTGAATAATCGTGCTGTTTGGCATCATTAGCTGTGTTCACATGGAGGGGGCCGGCTCACCGTACCTTCTTGGAAGACACTGGTGCGATCAACCCGCATGATTGCAGTGTCGGCGTCTTCGTCTTTCTTGCTGTAACTCATGGTGGGTTCGGTGGCTCCCCAGCGTCATGAAGTTGCAGGGTGAATCTGGGATTTCGAAGTCGTCGGTATGGAAGTCGCGACGTAGCCAAATCCCAACCCGTGGGTTGAAGCTAAACAAGCGAGGCGGAAAGTCTTGGCATGAGGCTCCGCTCTCCATCAGCGGAACAAAAAAGAGAATTGGAATCTTCATTGTTTTATGTTTGGTTGATTTGGAGACTCACAGAAAAAGGGTTGAAGGTTTTTCTATCAATTGGTAGGTTCATATTAGAGACAAAACTATATGTATATCAAGCTTGTGCATAGTTGCTGAACAAAGTGTCAATGGATTATCAGTTTACCGGGAATTTGCCGTCTGGCGAAAGTCTTGAACCAAAAATGGCCTGGAGATCAAGACCTTCCATCTCTCTATATATTTCATAAAACAAAATAGCAAAAAAAAACCAAAAGAACAATTCCGGTACGGGGAATCGAACCCCGCGCTCGGCCGTGAAAAGGCCATATGTTACCGATACACCATACTATTCAATCACCATTAGCTACCTATCATTCCAATCCACCAACCGACTTGCAGCAGCTTACCCGGACGACGAATCAGATTCGATGCTGTAAAAAGAACTCTTATTACGTTTTATATGTCAAGTTGTTGAGTGTGCGGGTCTTGGAAAAGAGACGGCGTCGGCGCCTTCACATGCCTCGCTTAAGTTTGCCTAGAGCGGATTGGATTTGTGGTTAGGCTGGAATAGGACATACGACTTGCTTCCATTGACTTGGGCGGTTTTACGTACAGAGGTACAGGTACTGTTATAGAAACTTTTGGGCCGTTTGTGTCCAACGAGGCTTGATTTTCTTGTCGTTGGGCCAATGAGGTAGGATGGGCTTTCAATGCAGAGTGCTAAGTTCTTAAATTCGAGTCAAGAATGCTTAATTTATTCTGCCAAAGACAGCGGTACTTCCATGTAGACCCAAGAGTCTTGGATGTACTTCTCTGCTCTGGACTCTTCTAATTAACTACTTTTATTTGGGCTTGAAAATGCATAGAAAGAATGTATCTCATCACGTGAAATACATGTTTCTCCTCCCAAGTCTCCTCCCGTCGACCAGGGCACTGGTATCTCGAACAAGACAATCTAACATGTCCTTATCACCTCCTTACCTGGTACCGAGATGCGGGGACATGTCGGTCAAATTCCAACAAAAGAATCGTCGGCTGTCCCGTCAGGTCGTCTGCGGAATGCTGTATCACGTGTCGTACTCCGTATATCGTGGGCATTCCTTCCGGGTCGCCCCAGACGAGACAGGACAGGGCTTCTCTCCTCGCCGTTTCAGCACATTAACCCTTTAAGTTTCCCAGCCGTCACGGCTACCTTCATTCGCTCGATCGTTTCACCACATGCATTGCTGAGAAGGTCAATTATTGCAAAGTGCAAGGACTTTCCCAGTGGCTGCGGAGGGACATATTGAGCCCCCAGTAAGCCGGACTCGACATTAGCATAGCTGCAATGAAGCAGTATTTGAAATCCACGATGAGGTTGTCGATGGATACAAGAATAGGAAACTTACAATAGCAAGAAGAAGATATAAAAATCGCATTTCCTCCAGTGAGGTCTGGCTTACACGCCTCAGCGTTTAACTCACCTCCGATCATCTAAAATTAAGTATCACCGTATCTTAGCCTGACACAGAGGAAAGGCTCTCGACGGCGAACAGACGCCTCTAAGCTCCATTCAGCTCCTCAAACCCAGCATGACGCTTCTCGAACGAGGGCGCCCGTCTTCCAGAAGTCCAAGATGGTGTGCATCTCGCATATTAGCCTGAATAATCGACACGCTTTTTCCACGCCCGCCCGCGCCAGACAGACGAGACCTGGGTTCGAGTCTCACCTCAACCAACATCCCGGACGGCTCAAGCACGCACAGAGAGGCAAAGCAGGAAAGGGCTGCCGGCTCCCAATAGCTAGCTAGCTAGCTGCTGCTGCACTGATATTCTCCGGAATAGGGACTTTTTTAAGGTTGGCGCTCCGGATCGCACATCACAGGCCAGAAGAACGGGATTTCCGCCTGTCGGCGTCCCTCCACAAATAGAAAAGGGTTGCACGATGGCGATGGCGATAGGTGCATTCGATGAGCATGGCATGCAAGCATGGCATCCGGTCCTATCATCTGGGCGCCGTCCGTGCTGCGATTTGGCATTTGGATTTGGGGTTTGCGGGACTGGCGTGGACTGGACCTGCAGTGAGAAAAGCGGAAGCTGGTTGAAGAGGGAGTGAGTGATATGCGTGAGTGAGACTGAATTTCACGGCTCGTCACACAATATTGGCCGGTGATGTGATGGGATGCGATGGGATGCGATGGAATGGCAGAATTGTTACTCTAAGGTGTGTGGGAGGGAGACGAGGGTTGAGATTCAGCTTCTGGTGGCTGACGAGATGGCTGAGACCTGGGGTTAGAAGATGTATGTCGACGGAGGGAGTATGGGGGTCGGGAGGGGGAAAGTGGGAAGTAAAGCGTTGGTGATGAGTAAGAGGAGGCAGGAGGTCAGATGGAGTAAAGTTAGATAGATTGATGTAGCTGGGTGAGGTGAGGTGAGGCAGGAAAGTAAGGTAAGAGGCGAGTACATAATTGATGGCGTTGATGGCAAGGCAAGACAAGACCAGGAGAGGCGAAGACAAGGCAAAACAGAAGCTCAGACCATGTCATGCTACAGTACAGTAGGCTAGACTAGGCCATCCTGCCAGTTTGTTGTTATTATTCCTCTGCCTCTGCCTTATCGACCAGGAAGGAGTGTAAAACCTGTGCCTTCCCTTCCACTTCACTTCCCTTTCTTCCTTCTAGTGCCTCCCGTCTACCGTTTACCGGACGCTACGCTAGCGTTAGCCTTCCCTTCCCTTCCTTCGAGCCAAGACATTCTAGCCTCTCCAAGCATCCAAGCATCTAAGCAACAGCCAAGCATCCACTTTTACTCCCACCACAACCGCATCCGCATTTGCATCTGCATCCAAGTATCCACATAAGTATAAACTTTGGACGACAATCCTCACCACGCGCGCTCTCACACTCACCACCTCACCACGCCTTCGTCGTACATCACTCCCCGACAGATCCTTCCTCCTTCCCCGGACTCATAAGGGCTTGATAAGCACCCTCTTGTGCTCTCAAAGCCTTTGTTCATACCTACGACAGATCTTCCCAAGATCCTCCTAGATCTATACCAGGACCCCTCGACGCAGGATAACCATGGACTATCCGTATTTCACCGCAGCCCCGCAGCCGACTTACTTCCTTCAAGGACTGCCTCCAACTCCAGCCCACACCGGATCCGCCAACTCAGATGATTACAGCAACTCTCCTCCTGTTCGTGATCAATTTCATAAGATAGAGTCCTACTCACAGTCCCTCCTGACCCCCAGACAGGATGCGTTCGACTCCTCCTACAACTTTGACCCCACTCATTACTTCAATGGCAATGGCAATGGCAATGCTATCCCGGCGAATAAGCCACCGACGCCCATCTCGACACATAAGGGATCCATTGGCAGTGCGGCACATCACACCTACGAGGTCAACAATGTCGAGGCGAGCAATAACACGAACCAGCAAGGAAGTAACAGCGACGATGATGATAACATGACACCTGCGCAATCCCGTCGCAAGGCTCAAAATCGTGCAGCGTAAGCAGCCTCCCGTTATCTTCCCGCCCGATGTGGCCCAACCAAATTCTGATTTCTTTTTCAAATACAGCCAACGAGCATTTCGCGAACGCAAAGAACGCCATGTCAAGGATCTCGAAGCCAAGCTCGAAGCACTGGAAAAGAACAATGCCTCCGTTGCAGAAGAGAATGAACGACTCAAGCTCCAGCTCCAGAAAGCGGCCACCGAGAACGAAATCCTGAAAGCTACATCTGCACACAACAACCACCGAGGTGGCTCAGAGCCTTTGCCGAATGCGGGACCGATGCGTTATTCTCCGACGGATTTCTACACCGAAGTGTTACACGCACACGAGAACAAGACCCCAAGCCATCGAATCGTAACCAGCGATACGGGCGAGAGATTGTTGGCAGCTGGTGCAACGTGGGACTATATCATCAAGCATCCACTATATATCAGAGGACTGGTCGATGTTGGGGATGTCAGCGAGAGGTTGAAGAAAGTTGCCAAGTGTGACGGCCAAGGACCAGTGTTCGAGGAGCGAGATATCATCAGTGCAATTGAGAAGAGCATTGCAAGTGGTAACGACGAGTTGTTGTGACGATACTCTATGTTCAGACGATACGAAGCATTTAAGGGCGGATACCTATGGTGTTTGGGACAAGGAGCGGAAAATTATGGGATGCACATTTCTTGGGGTTGTGGGTGTTTTGGTTCTTTGCTTTTTACTGTACTAGGGACGCTACGTGGTGTTTTTCTTTTTTTCAACGTCTCGGTGGTCTATTGCAAAGTTGATGTACCAGCGATATATGGACTACTCAAGTGTTCTTTTCGGCTTAGTTGCCTCATACTATATACTGCCGTTCCAGATATCTAGGAATCTATATTGTTTGTATAAATATATATTGATCCTGCATACAAAATTCGTCTAAGCAAGCGCACGAGAGCAGCACGTCTACAAGCTCTCCATCGTCATTTTGAGCCTCAACTTCTGGACCGCTATTCTTGTTCCCCATTTCTGCAAGCTTCATCGAAACACTAAAAGCTGCAAACCGTCAATCCCCCCCTACTGCAAGCCACCAAGCCGTTATGCACCTCCTGCATCTCCTTACGCTCGTCGTCAGTCGTTCCTCGATCAAATCAGCTGCCACTTTTGACAGCCCTTAGTCCCTTCAAGCTACCCTAGGGATCTCAAGGTAGTATTTACGGCACTGCAGGTGGCGACCCTAAGCCATCCCGAGGCCAGGTCCAGATTCGGGATGTCATACCAAACAAAGCCCCTGCCTACACCTACATGAGAGCAAAGTACGCCACGATGCCCGTGCCCCACGTATTTCGGCCCCCGACTTCTGCTTTCTGCACCGTACGCAGTGTACCTCCACTCCAGGTCAGTCTGACACCCAGGCTGCCAACCTGCAGGTCAGCGGCGAAGTACAATACCGATACCGAGACGCAGGTGCGTCGCACCTGCTCTCAGTTGCAAGTTTCAACACCTGCTTTTGTCATTCTTTTCTTAGAAGTTTCGTCCACATCAAGGCGCACATAAAATTTTGCTTCCCCTGCGTGTTTCTCTCATGCTGCAGATCTAGCGGCGAGGACGAGGATATGTAAGCCAACGGCGAGGAAACCACATGCACTCCATCCGGATCGGAACGCAAACCTCCGCATCGAAGATCCCGAACCACATCCCAACCTCTTGGTTCAGGTCGCCGACCGGTAGCACGTGAGTTCTTAGCTACCCCACCTGTTCATGGTTATAGTGGTAGAGGCGCGGTATTGGGATTGTAACGTTGGCTTTTGTGGGGAAGCGATGCCAGAGTTGAGAGTATTCTGGTAAGTTGGCGGGAGATTGGAGGTGTGGTTATTTATGGTGTCGTTTGTTGTCGTTCACCGTCTTTTTGGGTGACGAATCGAGGATCATCGGTGCGAAGTCGGCGCTTAGGTTCATCCGTTGTTGCCGTTTTTCTTGTTTTCTGCTGTGGCTGGTGTAGTATTTGCTTCATGCAGAAGTTTTGAAGTTGTCGTCTCTTTTGGTCGTTACGGGTTGCACAGAGGCTCGGAGGCGTCTATTTCAAGGAAGGATCGACTATTATCCGCTGTCTGCGTCGTCTCGTCCTGAATCGAGTCTCGCTTCCCCTTGCCCTACTCCCGTTGTGGATTCTCCTTATTCGAACGTCAACTCATCAAGCCCTTCTCCCCTATTCCATTCCCTATCCCAAGCCTCCCCTCCCATCATCCCACAAACATACCCGGCACTAACCATCCTCCAGTTCCCATTCCCCACCGCCCGAATCACCATCGGGCTATCCAGCCCAGCCAGCAACGCGATCTGATCCCCTTCTCTGACCGAATGCGGCGCCATGCCCAACTTGTTCGTCGTCTGCGTCCGGAACAGCGTCTGGTAGTGCGTCGTGCTGATTATGGCGCCGTGTAAAGCGGCTTGACTGTGTTCTTCACAGACCCGCGACCAGGCGCGGAACTCAGGCGTGGAGAGCAGGGCGGATGTCGAGGCGGGGGAGGAGAGGAGGCGCGTGCGGAGGTGTTGGAAATCGGTTATTTCGCGGTGGCCGACGAGGGAGATTTGGGAGTCTTGGTGTTGGGGGATGGAGGGGCGGTGGGGGAGTGGTGGGGTGGAGATGGGGGGTGACGGAAGGGGTTTGTCTGGTTGGGATGGGTCTGGTTGGGATGGGTCTGGTGTTTGTGTGGTTTGTGGTGTGCTGTCTGGAGGGGGTGTTTCTTCTGGTTTGTCTGGGTTGTCGGGTTCTTCTGGTTTGGCTGGTTTCTCTGTTTCGTCGCTTTTCTCTGTTTCCTCTGTTTCCTCTGGCTTCTCTGTTTCTTTTCCTTTCCCTACTTTCCATTTCTCATCTGAATATTCCGCCATAATACTATTCCGCCACGCGTCCCAGTCTCCGAACTTCGCTACTCGGGCAAAGGATCCGGAATCGCTCTCGATAAAATCCCCCAGGCAATCTTGGAGATCTTTGTATATATCTTCTTCCGCTTGATCCTCGTTCGCCGTTGAAGCAACGAATGCTATCAATGTCTGCAGAACGTGCACGTTCCATACCAACAATATACTCTCGCTCCATTCGGGGTTCCGTTCCAAGACTTCTCTCCAAAACTCTTCTTGTGGTAAAGCATTAAGCGTCCATTCCAGATATTTCTGTATCTGTCCTAAGCGTTCCCATGTATGCGTCATTGAATCTTTCGCCACCATCGATATAGATTCGATGATCTTCCCCTGACAAATAGCCAATTTCCCATCCGCCGAAAACTTAAACGCAGGCCTTGATCTTCCCGATGCCTGGAACCGCATTCCGGGCCGCGCGAACGGTCGCTTTGGATACACGCGCTGATTCCAGTCCGGACTCCAAGAACTCAGATCGGTTCGTACTCCTAGTCCCGTGATTTGTTTTAATATCCCGAGACTGCGATCATAAACCAAGATCGCTTTTGTCGTCTCACGGTATACGGTCCCGACATCTTTCGTGTAATCCGGCGGCGGCAAAGGGAGCCCGATACTCGTCAACAGGGAATGCAGCGCGAACACCTTATCCCTCGGATCAGAAGAGTAAAATCGACGAGCATTATTCCAGATCTGGCGGAGACCGGAAGAGGAGCCCGGCTTAGCTTTTATGGCTTCGAGACGCCGGAACATCCGGAAGTTGGTGCGGAGATAGGTGTCGTGCAAAAGAAGGGCTGGGTTGGAGGAGGCGAGCGAGGCGATGAGGTTCGTGGCGTTGATCAGGCCGCGGTAGTTGATGGGGATGGTGTCGCGGTAGAGGATGGCGCTGCGGGAGAGGAGGACTTCTTGGAGGACCCAGATGCGGGTGAACCAGGGCATGTCGTATTCTAGGTCGTGGAGGTCTGGTGTGATGTTAGTATATCGTACTGTGTATACAAAAGGTTTGGTGGGGGTTTGAGATACTCAGCTTGAGTCTCTCGCTTGGGGATGAAATGAAATAAGTTGCAATACCAACCTTGATGATTCATCTCCAGCGCCACCCTCAAAACCTCATCGTCCCTCCTCTGGAAACTCTTAATCGAAGCCGCAACGCTCAAATCCCGCAACCAATTCAAAATCCGAATCGTCGACACAGGCAAGCTTTTCATCCGATCGGACCCAAGCCACACCCACACCTGAGCCGCCTTCGCGTACACGTCGCCCATCATAAAAACCTGCTCGTTGCGCTCCCGCACCGCGCCGCGCGCTTGGTCGATGCAGACGGCGTCGATCCAGATGAGCACCGTCTCGCCTTGCCGCGGCCGGAATTGCTTCAGTGCGGCTTCGCAGTTGATGGTTAGGGTTATGGTTTGGCCTTCGCAGATTACGAGTTGGGTGGGGGTTTGGTTTTCCCAGCAGTAGGACTTCGGGGAAGTTAGTACTTGCCTTCATGAGAGAAAGAGAAATGGAAATGAAGAGCTGGATCTTTGGCAATGGGGTGGGATTTGTTTGGAAGCACAGACATGGTGTATGTGGAAAAAAAGGGGAGGGAAGGGAAGGGATAAAGAAAGGGGCTGGTTACGACGGCGTAGTAGGGTGGGGCAGAGTCCAGGGATACGGTGGTTATTCTGAAGCACTGTTGAGAGAAATTAGTTTATGCTTTTGATAGAGGTCTGGGAGCCGAAAATGTATGTTGGATCTTAGCTAAGATCATAAGGTAGAGTTTGACATACGAGAGTCGTGTCGTAGGAGTCTGCTCCGTAGACTTCTAGGATGCGGATGTTACGGTCGCCGGGGAGGGGGCTGTAGTTGTAGGGTGGGAGGTTGACGAGGAGTTGTGAGGAGGGGGGCGTTTCGGCTGTGGAGAGGCCGCCGAAGGGGATTTCGGGGGAGGAGATCATGGTCCATGAGTGATCTTCTGAGACCGCTTTTTCTGAGAGTTCGATTTCTGACATCGTGAGGGGCTTTGCTGAGGTGGACATGGCTGGAGAGGGTTTAGTAGTTGGAGAATAGTGAGATATAAAAAAGGTGATGTTCAGAACAGGCAATTGGGTTAAGAATGTATAGATAGTTGGAAGATGCTTTGAACATAGAATGGAAAGAGTGAGGCTGGAGCCTCGTCAAGATGCGGGGGGTATGAACGGAATGCAGGGGCGAGAAGGAGTAGCTTTGACTCGGAGTCGACTGAAATGATAGGATAGGCAGAAATAACAGCAAAGGCACATTAACAATGCAATGCAAACAACGATGCAGAAGGGTTCGAGTGTATGGACGAGAAGCCGTACGTATCGCTTCAGCCGCATGAGACCCTGGCGGTTGGGCATCCCCCTGAATGGCTCGCTTATTGAGACGGAGTAGATTTAGTGTCTCTAGGCGTTCTTCTATCATCGTAACTTTCGCAACTTCGAGCCGCGACAATCCATCTCAACCTTACCAGATCATGCCTCCAGAACGTGGAAGAGCTTCAAAGGCTTGCAATACATGCCGCAAGATCAAAACGAGATGTTACGAATCAAATGTTGCAGGAAAGTCATGTCTCAGATGTGAGAGACTTCAGCAACCCTGCTCATTGGAGGTCTTATCTTTTGCGAGTGCGGAAAATGTTCAGGGTCACCCACAAAGTGCTGAGGGTAGTTCATCCCAGGATGAGAGGTATGTCCTTAATTTTGGGCAGATGGTCCAATATACTGAGCGTCTGCAGGATAAGGCGACTTGAACAAACTGTCTCGACTCTGGTTGAGAGACTAGGAGACGGTCCCGGCAGATGGGTCCCGTACCCAGACGTATCAAGTACATCTCCAGTCAACCCTCCCCCAATTCACAATCTTACGCCTGGAACACCATCTGCAGCACCTGTTTTCCTGATTCGAGATGTTGCTTCTCAAGTTGGAGTGCAGCAGCAGCAATCCGCACGTGCTCAAACTCGTGGTCTCGTGCCCGTTGATATTATCAGCCAAGGAGTCATCACCGTCGCTGAAGCTACTGTGCTTATTCAATTGTGGGTCTCCAGTTCTCTCCGTTGCTATTTTGTTGACCCAGATGCAGATTTCAAGAGCATTATGGACGATGGGTGGCCTTTAGTGAAACCGTATCGCCTAATGCCCTGCTTTCCAACATTCGGGAGTCCCCTCTACTGCTGTGCGCCTGCTGCTTGATAGCTGTTCGACACATGACTTGGAATTCAACTGCAGAATTGGCTCCACGACTGTTCCAGGAAGCGAAATCTTTGCTTTCCGCCGCCGTTTTGGAAGTCCCTCAGTCACTTGCCTTCTTTCAAGCAGCTGTCATACTCAGCATGTGGTCGACGACGATCGGGCAGACTCCATTGAGTATTGACAGTTGGATACTCAGTGGGTTTGCTCTTCAACATTCTTTGGCAAGTGATCTATTCGCTTCAATGATGTCTGGAAGTCGGCTTGGGTCTCTGGCTAAGACTGAGTTGGATCGAAGGTGCATCTGGAATCATCTTTGTTTGGCCCATCTTCAGTACCGTTTCCTTTCTCATATTTTGTGAATATTGCTGATATCTCTAGCTACTGTGTTGGGACAAGACGGAAAGCAATTCTGGATCGCGAGCAGGTCGACAAATGCCGTGAGATACTTGCCACTGATCAGGTCACAAATTTCGAAACCCGTATGGTGGCCGAGATCAACTTGTATTGGATCATTTACGAAAGCTGTGCTATGAATCAAGTGGACTTGCCTGGTACACAAGGACTTCTTCATGATTGGAGACAACAATGGAAATTCCTCTTTGGTATTCTTCCTCCCACGTCCATCCTTGCCTTTCTAACGTTGAGTAGAACAGCCCAGATCTCAGTTCATTCAGATGGGCTTTCACTTCGCTCAACTGCTTGTCTACGACCGAGCTTTGAAATCAAGATCGGCTGCCGTTAGAGAATCACTTCTTTCCGAAATGATACGTCTCTCTGCTGCAATCATCCAACTTGCCCTTGACACCACCGATGTTAGAACCCGACATCTGAGCGATCATATCTATCACATGATTACCTTCGCGGCTGTCACACTCTGTCGATTACTCCATATGTATGAGAATCAATTAGCCGTCGCACACAACATCGTCGAGCTTGATTCTCTTGTCCTTACTCTCGTCACGTGGCTTCATTCGATCGGTCTTCCTTGCCATGTTGCACAAACTCTTGGAGATGTGGTGGCTGCATTTCACAAAGAGTTACGACCAAATGCACATCCAAGTCCTTATGCACAGGCCCAAGACGATATTGAACTTTATTTTCCAGAACTGCTTGGGATCGAAACGTACGCGGATGGAAATTTTGACTTTAATCCAGATTGGGAACCATACATTCAAGGACCTGCTACATAAAATTCCTTTGGCTTTGAACACTATATGGGACATCCTATTTGCCAGTATACTTCTTCTCGAGCCATCGAAATACTGGAAAGCTCAATGCCGAAAATGCGAATGTCAACTCATGCCCGATGTTCGCACCCTTCTTACCAATGAGTTGGGCGATTGGTCCAGTATACCAAGTGATCTTCATTCCGAGAGCGGCACCAAGAAATCCAAAGCAGAAAGCGCCAATTGCACCCCATCCAAACGGAAGAAGGTCAGATTTGCTCCAGGCATCTAGATCGTATCGGCTCCATCTCCCTCCTCGAAAGATGAAATGCTCCTCAGCCACGACAATAATATGTATGACAGTCCAATATCCGATGATGGAAAGAAAGGTTTGGAGAGTAGCTTCCGGGAAGAACTTTGCAGCACAGCATCCCACAATTACAGCTGCGATGTATCCGCAAGTCACGAGCGCAACTCGAGGAATTCGGAGAGCCCAAGGGCCGAAGTTTTGGGCATGCATAGCAAAGGAGTAATTGTTCGGGATGTTGTTCTGCAGCCAATGTCAGCAAATGTGTCAGACCATGTTCGCGTTCACTCAGGACTTACTGGTATCGAGCTCAGAGCTGCTATCACCATCAGGAATTTTCCAAAGCCACCAGCTGGTTCGAGAGCCATTTTTAGAGGACCTCCTACGCCATATGCTAGGTATGCATGCTTCCAGGTGGCGTTGCTTTCAGTACCGGAGTAAAGTGCTGCACCGAGCGTTTGAACTAGGACAGTTGGCACAACTATGCTTTGTTAGCAGGAAACATTGCAATGAACTCGGGACTACTTACAAATACCGGCATAGGTAGCCCAAAAGATCTTGTATCTCGGGGTATTGACAGGCATTCTTACGTTGTAGTCTGCAGCACAATTGATCCAAGACACTGCGAAGGAGAACACTACCGCCATAAAAGACAGTGCAGCAGCAGCACCGTTGGGTCCAGTTGGAGATTTGATTGCAGCTCCGTGCAAGTGCGGGGCTCCTGTACCAGCTGCCACACACCACACGATGAAAGGCAAAACCCAGAGCACTGCGTCAAGACGATGGATCCAGGATATTCCGAGTACGCAGATGATCCAGACAGTCGTGCAAATAATGAGGACACCAGCCCACTGGGGACATTTATCGTTGGACAAAGCTGCCAGGACCGAGGCTCCGGAGATGCTATTGATTGCATTCCAGCCGGTTGTTGAGACCATAGAGAACACAACGACTAACAGGTTGCCCCAATATCCGAAGGAATATCGTCTGCTGTTGTCAGCTTCTGATTTTGTATCAATCAGAAAGATAACGTACGAGAAGGTAGTCATCCGCAGACCCGTCAGGCCAAATGATGCCGTCCATGCGGGCAGCAGACAAGATGCAGTATTGACAACGAGGATGATAGCAAAGCAGTCCCAAAATGACAAGCCCATGCTTCCACCAACCATTCCAGTAGAGAGAGTCGCCACTGCCATATTAGCACTCAACCTGGAGAATGTCAATTTCCTTGAACTCTGTACAGTTTGTCACCGGGACTAACCAGAAAGTGCATGCATTCCAAACATGAGTAGTACTACTCTGCCTTTCGGCGTCGGTAACTCGCTCGATACCTCCAGTCTCGACAGAGAACTTGCTGGTCCAGGTTCCCTTCTTGATCGAGGTACGGTCGAGCTCATCTGAGGGCTTTTCAGCCGAAGACTGCTGCTTGATGTCCATCTTTGAATCCATTGTGAATTGGAAGCTTCGAATTGATGATGCTGATGCTCATATGGTGGGCTTTAATGATGTTTTATGCTTGCTCAAGATGCATGTTGATGAAGTCGTGCTGAGCTTATCACCGCGGGATGCTGTTATCAGATGTGGCTCGAGAGAGTTTGTGTATCACCGCGGTATGCCGTAGGTATGCCAGAGGTAAGATGGGAAGAAGACTAATATTGATTGCAGCTCAGGTCATGAACGGCAAGCCGTGGGTCGGAGATGATCTTGATTGGACTTCCCCAGTATCACCGCGGTATGCCGACGGCATGCCGTAGATCGCCTATCAATTCCTCCTGAATGTCAACGCCACCACCGCGGCAAGCATCCAGAAGACTGAGCACGAGTTCTATATAAGAACTTGTATCATTTAAGATGGGAATTGCGAATTGGTCACCAAACATCTCAAAGTCTTCAATTGAATCTTCGAAGCCAGGAATATCAGGAAACATGCCGAACGCCGTCTCACCCCCTCGCGAAACTAGCCACCTCGAGCCGGCTTCCTTGAAAAAGAATGGCAACACACAAGCAGTAGGAATGGAGCAAAGCACACTGCATCGTCGCGGAGTAGGACTTCGAGGTGTTGATTACAGCTCTGTCTCCCCGGGCTACACACTCGTCGCTCACCTGACCTCCCCAGGAACCGTCCGCTTAATCGCCAACGACGGGACAGAAGCGCATCGATGGAATCTCCTATATCGACCTGGTAGACATGCACGCATCCTTCCTAACGGGAATTTGGCCTACAATGGCGTTCATCCTGATGCTCCTCGCTTATTTCCCCTTTGGCAGAAATACCGAGGTGGAGTGATGCAGCAAATCGACCCAGCTGGCAACGTTGTCTCGGAACATCGAGACCCCATGGCTCATCACGATCAACACCATCTTGGAAACGGAGAGATTCTCTACACGACTCTAGAAGAGCTCACCCCGACTCAAGCAGCCACCATCCCAGGCGGAATCCCAGACAGCGAAGCGCCTGATGGGAAAGTGTATGCCGACTGCATCAAGCACGTTTCGGCAACTGGCGAAGTCCTCTGGTCATGGAAAGCAATCGAACATCTCGACCCTAAGATATTCCCCCTTCAGCCTCATTACGCCCGCGAACACTATCCCCTGATCAACAGCGTCTACCCTCTTAAAGACGGCAACATCCTCGCCTCGCTACGCAGCGTTTCAGCCGTCATCATCATATCCCGCGAAACCGGCTCTATCATCTGGCATCTCGACTCCACAGTCGTAGCTCAACAACACTGCGCCTCCGAGCTCGCCAACGGCAACATCCTTATCTTCGACAACGGAACCTTCAGACACCGCGAATCAGCCACCTACTCGCGCGTCATCGAAGTGAACCGCTCAACCAAACAGATAGTCTGGGAATACAAAGACCCTCACCCCATGACGTTCTTCACGCCTTTCATGGGCGGTGCGCAGAGATTAGAGAACGGCAATACGCTGATCACGGAAGCGGCGTTTGGGAGGGTGTTTGAGGTTACGGCGGAGGGCAAGATGGTGTGGGAGTGGGTTAACGAGGAGTTTGCTGATTATAAGGGGCTGGATGCGGGGGAGATTGAGGGGTATTTTGATTATCCTGCTAATGCGTTGTTTAGGGCGTATAAGTATACGCCGGAGCAGATTCCTTGGTTGAAGGTGGATTGAGATGTATCGTTTAAAGAAGTTTGAACGCACATTTGCCATTTTCTATGCTCGAGTGCCTCGTCTCCAGTCTAATATCGAGCTCAAGAAGTCCATACGAAACCATCTTAGCCTTGGCCGATCAGTCGGGATCATGTGGAAAGGCTTAGCATGTGTAGCTTCGGCCAGTCATCAGATCTGGACTGTTTTTAATAGATGTTCAACATCAAGCAAATCGTGCATTCAGACAGATCCCCACATTACTGCGTGGGCTGGAAGCGATGATCCCACTGTTCTTTCATGAACATGAGAGTGGGCAAATTTTGATGAGGAGACGATCTTCGAAGTTGCGCCTTGAATAAAACCTTCTTTGAAAGATCCTTTGATGTAGATGAGAATTAATACGAAGACAGTAATGGCGTATGAATATGCGGCTGTGCAGCATAAAGAGACTTCAGTTGTATTTTGCCTGAGAGGCAAATTTGAAGATCTACAGTGAGATTAATACCACAAATTAGAAGATCATGCAGACTCTAGTATTGAACCCGTTAGAAGCCACTTGGCAGCCATTATCCGAACACTTGTAGAATCTCCCAAGTCCTGCGCAGACGGGGACGCGAGAATACCTCGCTTAGCCTCAGGGGCAATTTTCTTGGCATCTTCGTAACGACCGCAGCAAGTGCGAAAGTAAGATGGGCAAACATACCTCCGCAAAACGGCTACAACGGCAGACAATTTTAAATGTCTCAGAGCAGATTCCCTCTACGATTGCAACTCATGTTGATCATATTGGTTCTACATTCGTGTAGTATGCACTCAGCCACAGCTACTTCGTAGTCGCTTCAGCCTCGTACGTCATAATCCTACAACGAATCATAACTCCAAACAGAAGCACGTTTTCTTCGAGTTCTGGTGTATGAATTTCCTTTTAAGCTTCTAAGTATGCAATATATTACGATGTTATTTCATTTCAATCGTGCTTGGCATCTTGGCAACACTATCACAACCCATAACACAAAATGTTCAAAGCCAACGGTCCTCCGCCTACGCAACTGTCATACGACGACGAGCCCCCAACCTTCTACGACCACCTCCCCGCCTACGAAGATGTAACCTCCTACCAAGACCCCACCCTCGGCACAACCCTAACCCTCGACCCAACCGGCCAATCCATCATCACGCTCCCGCTCTCCTCCTCCTCCCCACCCCTCTACACACTCAGCACCTCCCTCCTACAGGTAACCTCCTTCAGCGCCGTCAAAATCCTCGCCCCCGACTCCACGCCCCTCTACTCCATCAGCGAGCAATTCATCACCCCCATCCACACGCCCGTGCCCTCCATCTACAAAAACGTCACGGCATTCCGCTCCACCGGCCTCGCGGCCCGCATCGGGCTCCGGAAGGTCGTCTGGGATTTCTTCACCCAGATCCCGATCCCGGTGGACAAAGATGGGAAGGCGGTAAAAGATGGGGAGCCGGCAGCGGGCGGCGCGTGGCTGCATGTCGATGGCATGGATTTGGGGAAGGAGAAGCTGATTTTGAGGTTCAAAGAGGGGAAGTGGTTGGATGAGAAGGAGGAGGTGGTTGCGCTTGCGAGGGAGGGAGGCAAGGAGTGTCAGGGGATGCCGGTCTTGAGTGTGGTGGGGAGGTTGGATCCGGAGATGATGCATTTTTTGGTCAGTGCTTGGTGTGTGGTTTTTTGGAAGGAGGTGGGGAAGAGGGTTAAGCAATTTAAGCAGAAAGGTGTATGATTTTCCTTTTACGGAAGAGATGATTGGGAGTCGTACGGCTTTGTGGCGTTCGAATGTGGGTGTCTCTCTATCAAGATTCGGAAAGGAAAGTTAATTTTTCGGGCTATATCAATTTCATTGCTAACGAATATAATCGAATATAATGATCTGTGGATTAAGACTAAGGCTCTCCCTGGTTCCCTCATGAAAGAGAGCAGTACCATTTCTGCCCATCCATGCAAATGAAACCTTGAATAACCTCGAACCCTCATGCTTCTTGATGTGTGTACAAAACAACAGGAATTTTCCATCCAAAAAGAGCGCCCAAGGCCTATGTTACTTTTCCATAGACTGGTCCTACATACCCTGCATCAAAGAAAGGGTTTCTACAACAATTTCCACCTCAGCAAAAAGAAAAGTATTCACCGCGGCAAGAAACCAGCACGCAAACCCAGGCGCGCCCTGGAAATCCTTCTCATAGACCGTCCAAAACGTAGGAAAAACTTCACTCGCCATAAACCCGCAAAAGTAAATCCAAAATAATAGATGATAGTTAGAACCCTCATCAATACGCACTCCCCATCCAAAGGCAGCAGAAACAATGCCAACAAAATATGCACAAAGGAACACTACTTTCTGACACCATACGTACGTCGAATGACTTTCATAAGTAGCCTACCCGTTTCGCCCCTTCCGTGTCCATTCCATGACAGATACTCAGATGTTGCACATATATCTCCTCAGTTTCGAAAACGGGCAGCGTCTTACACGTCGTAAAACCACAGTTTCTTCCTTTAACAAAATGAATCTTGTCCAAGTGATCTTCGAATAGGTGGCTCATGAACTCATTCCAACCTTTACACTCGGCTTTACAGAGCTTACAAATCGGTTCCTCGTAGAACTTCAAAAGGCTAGGAACATATGAGATAGATATAACCAACAAGATTCTAGATGACTTACCTGAGGGGCAAGCGAAAGGATCCGAAACCCATGTTCTTCGACTTGGTACGTAGTTTCGCTATGTTAAGGCCACTCAATCTACCCCAGAATTAGAGGTGGAGCAGTTCAGAAATTATAGACAACTTACTTCATAGTAATGGTACAATCACCAGAGCTGAACCATGGAATCATACAATCACAATCACTTTCCGGGCTCCTTTGTTGCACCTCAAGCACAGATTTGGCAATCATGAATGCTGAGGGTCGAATCGAGGGATTATCTTCCAGCATTTGACTGCAGACCTTAACCATCCGTTGATAAAACTCGCTTGAGGATTTATCTTGACCGCACTCTAAATACACCGATAATTGCCCCAAATAGATTTGGATATCTGATGAAGTTTGTTTACTTCGCCACTGTGCAAAGCCCTTTCGATACTTGCCCGCGAGAGTCGCCAGGAGTTCAAGATAGACGCAGCCGAGAGAGAAGATATCAGCCTTGAAATCTGGAGGCCGAGTAGATTCGACTTCTGGGGCTACATAAGTGCCGGGTTGAGCATCTGGTCCGCTGGTTGTTCCTCCCGGTATATCATCGCCTCGGAAGTATTTAGAGACTCCAAAGAATGTGAAGAATACATCGCTATCCTTTACGAGGATATTGGATGGTTGGATATTTTCATGACGAATATCTTTTGCATGTATGTAGGCTAATGCACTGGCCAGGCAACCAAACCATTTCCGCAAGGACATCCGGGTGTCTGGCTCCATATATTTGCCGCTATCGATGACCTCTTCTAAGTAGTCCTTGAGGTTGCCTTGAGCAACAGGATCCATAATGATTCCATAATTGTGATTTTGAGGATCGACTTCTTCATACGTCAGGAGCACAGTGACCAGGTGTTGGTGGCGGAGGGATTTGTTGGCTTCTAGTGCTTCAAGAAAGCCACGTGCATTTTGAACTCGCGAGGCCGGAATTGTTTTTCGAGCAAAGGTTTTTCGTGGGGTTGCATCTGCAGTCGGGGATTCTATTATGTCGATGAGAGCAAGACTCCCCTGGACGAGGCTCTCAGTGCGCATGACTGGAACTTGCCCCTCGCCGAAAATCTGATGTGGAGAAATTGCCGTAGTTGGTAAGCTATTAGACTTAACTTCCTGGACGTATGATCTTTCGGTGTGTTGAGGTGCTTTCATTTCGCACATCTCTGAACTGAAATTTGCAGGAGCTGCATCGTTACTACCGCCCCCAGGGACTGAAGTCTCGGGATTCAGAAGGTGTCTCATGCTAGCAGGACCTTCCGGGACCCTATCATCGGATGAACGGGCTCGTTTCGACGGTGGTTCTTCATTCGATCCTCCAGAAAGCTGACGAGTGGAATTAGTTCCTCCCGTCGATGCTTCGGCGCCTTGAGTTGCGACCGCACGGCGGGAGTCCATGATCGAGTTGTCAAGGCTTTGGAGCTGCCGCTAGTAGAGGTCTCTGAGATAATTCAGACAAAAGTTGGTTCCGGCAGAGATCAATTGACAAAGATTGCTTGGTATATTGGAAGTCAGTTACGTTCTGCGGAGAGCTCCGGCGGTCAAAGAAAGCGGGGGAAAGGGTGTGAGGCTCATCGACATCCCGTTTTGGGACACATGCATCAGCCTAACCCACAGGGCTTGAGGTGCTTCTTGATACGAGATACGAGTCAAGCGATATCTGCTGTGTAACGTCTGCCTTCTCCTTATCTTGGAAAGCCCATCTTATCCTCGTAATGGATTTATTTCTCTGTTGCTGCCCTATATTTAGATATCGTTGGAGTACACCAACTGTCTTGAGCAAAGTCTCAGCTGCCTGGACGAGCTCTTGTACAATCACTTCGTTCTGTCAGTGATGATCCACAATCGTCTGCAGAAGGGACCTAAATTCTTGTGGTGTTACTCGAGTTGTTTACCATTTTCGACTTAACTGCTGATAATGAACAAACAAAATTGGCACATCAGGTGCAAAGGGTTTCGCGGTTAAGAAGTACAAGTGACAAATATAACGATGCGAGCGGCCTGCTAGTGATTGTCAGTTGATTGTGACATATATTTAATACATCAGTGAAAGCAAAGTTTTGAAAACAATTTAGAGAATAGTGGCAAATAAAAAGCGAGCATAGGGCCTGCACCGAGTAGCAAGGCTGCAGCTCCGAGACCGCCTTGTGATCTGCCTTGTGGGAACCGATACCACACGAAATATGGTGGTGCATATGTATGAGCAGGTTACAGGAAACTTCAATTCACGAATCGTAGTAGAAGGACGACTATCTGAAGTGACTATAACAGCAGTATCGTATGACTCCAGCATGACTTGCCTGGTTAAAGAAGACGAAACTGAGCATGCGACATTGTGGCCAATCGACAGCAGTTCATGTATCATGCATTTGATTCTGGGATGAGTTCATAGATAAAGAAGAACGACAAAAGAGTCCGCCATGAGGCTATCTGAGGGTCTATTCATCGCCCAATAGTTACAAATAGCGGCCATTCTTATGACTAGTTTTCAAACTTGCAGACACACTCAACACCGCAACGTAATTAGCATCGTTTAGTCAGACTTAGCTTAGTCAGCAGTACCTAGTTAGGCGAAGTCAATGCAAGACCATCTTCCTCTTCCATCACTTTCCGCTCCTGTGTATCCACCAATTACGAGCTCGCCTGAGCTGAGAGCCTTCGACAAGATGTCGTTCTATAGAGAGCTCGACAGTGCAGCGAATGAAGTTCGGATGTTAAAAATGGTGGAAACCCCGAGTAATAGCGACCCCGGACTAGCGAATGTCGTTCATTGCAAACTGGAGCATGTCAGGCTGGATGATTTCACTCACGAATTCGAGCTGTTCCTCAAGGGGATCGGCTCATCAAAAAATCTGCACCTTGACAATCTTTCAGAGTCCTGGCAAAGATTTGCGGCTTATTCCAAGCGTCTTGCTCTCAGCAATAGCTCGTATCGGCTGCCTGCTTGGCGTTGGAAGCTGCAGTATGGCAGAGTGAACGATGCCCTCGATATGTGGACGAGCTTATGGAAGCCACTGGAACCATCTCGGTCCATTGCCCTAAGATTCCAAGAGATCGAGATCCTCGCACTTTGAGAGGGGTTCAAAAGACCGTGTTGAAACCGCCGCTTGAAACTCAGGCTTTTTTTGCTCTTCACCCACGGTTCCAGTGGGTTGACTTTGAAGCAATATCGTATTGCTGGGAATCTGATGTGCGAGACCGGACAATAGTTATTGACGACGTCCCGTTTGATGTGCCGAAGAATCTCGAAGCATTACTTCAAAGCCTGCGTACACTTCCTGACGCAAAATCTGGCATGAAGTTTTGGGGCGACGCACTGTGTATCAACCAAGATAATACATCTGAGAGAAATCACCAAGTCAAACTCATGAAAAGTATATACTCTAAAGCTTTTGCAATTATCGTCTGGCTTGGAGGTAGTACGGATGATAGCGGAGAAGCTATCGACTTTATGGCAAGCATCACCCAATTTACTTTGGACAACAATGAAAATGAAGGAGGTCACTTTGATTTTGAGAAATGGGAGACGTCCGTGGCAAAACTTCAAAAGAAGAGATTCTCCGAGTTGCCATGGAAGGCCTTGATGAATTTCCTAAACCGAGCCTATTGGCGCCGGCTGTGGATCATTCAGGAACTAGCCCTCAATCACAACATGACTCTATTTCTTTGTGGCGACCGCCAATTATCCCGGAGTAAGATATCCCGAACTTGCCACTTTTGTGAGACGAATATTGGAGTCATTGATCATTTAGTGTCAACATGTCTAGACCTCGAGACCACTTCGCCGTCCACAATGTATGGCAGCGTTTGGCCTACAGTATATCATGTCAATAAATTACTCGGAACCAGAGATCAAGAAATAGATCCTAGAAGTGTTGATAACATTCTTGATCTCGGTCGGAAAGCGAACGTCACAGATACAAGGGACAAGGTGTATGGAATACTTGGGATCTTGCCTCGCGAATTGTCAACCATGATAACGCCAGACTATGGAGCTTCTAATCCAGTGGAGAAAGTGTACTACGAATTTGCTTGCAAAATGTTAGACGAGTACAAAAGGCTGGATTCAATGATTTCTTGGTGTTCCTACAATGCAGGCAGCTCGTTGCCTTCATGGGTTCCAAATTGGACGTCAAAGTTTTCTCGCAATCATGTGCAATGGCTGAAGCGAAGAACTGCAAGTGGAGTTCGAAAGGGAGAATGGGCCATCTCTCCACAAGAGCGCCGTCTCCATTCCAAGGGCATCATAGTCGATCATATCAAAACCAGTACCTCGTCACATTCTGAAACCTTACCGTTCCGAACCCAACAACCTCGCCATTCGACAGAGACGGAGAAAACTGAATATTCTCACCGCTATGGGAGCCTGAAATGTTTGTCTGCAGCGCTTCAGAGAACCTTAGTAATGCATCATCCTAAAACGCGTCAACGGGAAATGGGTGTGCTTGATATCTATTGGATTGATTGGGACGAAGATCAAACTGAAAAGTCTTTAAACACCATGGATAGTATCACTCAAAACCTCTGTTGGGAGTCTTTCGATCGATTTCGACATACAAACGCCAATTTCTCTATCTTTGGTCATAGGTTTCGCGACATCTTTCCGAAGATGCAAATTTCTTCTGAAGGCACATCACAAGAAGACGATTCCACTAGAGAATGCGCTTCAGCCATGCTGATAGCCGTCTTGGCTTCGATCGGGCGTAGGCTAGTTACGACGACAGGCGGTCATCTAGGACTCGCGCCAGAAGAAGTACAGGAACACGATGTCGTCGCTATTCTCTATGGGTGTAATTTTCCAGTTGTCTTGCGACCACATGGTGACTCTTTTTTAATGATCGGGGAATGCTACGTTGATGGTATCATGGATGGTGAATTTTTACAGACAAAGGAGATAGCAGGGGTACGAAGAAGTTGATATTACACTTTGCTAGGAACGTCTTGCATTTTTGATAGCTGCCAGGGAAGTAGTCTCTGGTTTCTCTCTCGCCAGCTCCATCTTAGTCTCTAGACGTGAAGGGCTTCAGGTCCTCCACATAAGTACTTCATGATTCAGCCTCACTCCTCTGGCTTCTCAAACGAAATCCCTCTAAGATCGTTGCCAACTGAGATCCGCCTCTCGTCCACTCAAGTTTCGTGCTCTTTCCATCCCTCACCACTACTCCCTCCCTGCATTCTTCTTCCGTAGCCCAAAAGAAGGCCTGGTGCTCCTCCTCGTCCAACTTGACTTCACCCCTCTCAACCTCCACCTCGAAACTATATTTGCACCACAGTTTTTCCTTGTCTAACCATACACCAAGTTGCCCCACCTGTTGTACCACTTTCGTAGCTACCAAGCCGCTTTCTTCTTGTAGCTCTCTGGCGGCAGCAGCGAGGATTGACTCATCGAGATCGCAGGAGCCTCCAGGGATTTCCCAGCAATTTGGCATGAAGTCATTCGCCGCACGTTGAACGATGAGAATACGATACGGAGTGGAGGGAGAGAAGACGAGCGCGGCGGCAACTATGTGGTGCATCGACGGGTTAAGCTTGAGGTAGTCTCTGACTGGGATGCTGAATGGAGAAAGGGTAGTAGCGGTGTTGGAGGAGAGTGTCGCTGGTGGTGAGTTCAGTGCCATGATTGTTCGTCCGAGAGCTGAACCGTACACAGTGTGGAATATTTTGAAGATCAAACTCTTGTCTTTGTTTCAAGGAACGTTCAGGTGTCAAGATTAAATACTAAAGAATCGAAGTACAGTAAGCTAAGAGGATTGGTGCCTAATTTTCAAGACATAGCACGTGATTGTGTGTCCACCATATGGCAACGCGTGAATTGATTTAGTTTTGGAATCAAACTATGAGTTAAGATGCTTTTAACTACTGAATATGCAACACAAAATATCCGCCGAAGTGTCTCTCGCACAACGCCTCTAATGCACGGAACGAAGCGATAAACTCGAAAACCATCCCGCTCTAAATGCCGAAAGAACTCGGGATCTCTAACGCGCAGGAGTCTCAGAGCACCAGATAGCAAATCCAACATTCACATAACATCCTCCGGGGTAGATCTCAGCATCGACTTGACAGCTCGGATCCGCATAGATAACCACTGTAGATTCGGGTTAGCAACTGTCCAATCTTTAGACTATTATTACATACTGTTACAGGTGAATCCATCTGCATCGCTAGAGATCTCGTTGATCAAAAAGTTTCCATCTAGCCAGGTGACACATGTTGGGCCGGCAAGTGTGGCAGGCGTTCCGGAATAGGTGCCAACATTGGTGACTCCATCGCAGTCGCTGACGAGGTAGTTGGTGCTGCCGTATTGCGCTGAGAGGAGGGGCGCAAGGGCTAAGACGCTCGTGCCTCTCTGTATTCTCGTGTGAATGCCTGAAATACGAATGACTCAAGAGACAGCAGCCTCCAGGGTATAGATGCTTGCGACTATCGTGCCTCTCGAAGTGCTTGAAATACGAATGTCTCAAGATAATCCCCTTTAAACCCTATACTAGCTATGGTGTTGGACACCCTCCTTCGGGAGGATGAAGTTTTTGATTCTTAACTTTAATATTTTTTGGGTAGCTTTTTTTTTACATTGCAAGCGAGGAGGGGTCCTTTTTTAAGCGAGGTTCGTAGCTGAGAGATGCCTTTCTTCAGTTAGGGTTGTAGTGAAGATTAGCGCTCTGCGATATGGCACCAAAAGTTTTATAAGGAGATATGTTTCCTAGCTTGTACGGTTTTCCCAGCTTGGGACACACTGATTGTATGAATGGTTTGGAAGTGCGAGGAAAGAGGTTCGGGCACTTCAGTGTATGATTCAAAATGTTGATCCAGGCCGCGCTGCAGGTTGTAGAGTGTTCACTGGTGGGGCATAATGACAGATTGTACGTTACTAGCAAGGATATTTCAAGGTTGCGAATCATTTCTCTGGTGGGCTTCTTTGGGAGAAGAATGGAGTACAGTGAGAAGGGGGCTAGAAGCTAGATTTATGAAACAAGAACTATATGCAAACCCCGGAGGTTCTATTCCAAAGACGATATTTTCTCTTTCAACTACTAGAGCATTGCATTCTTCTTAAAATACGACTTCAACAGTGACATTCCCACTATCAATGTCTCCAGCCAAAGCACCAGTGGGCACTTGGTACGGATTTGAGATCGGCTTGCGAACCATTCCCGGGATATAAACTGTGACAAATTCACTATCCTGAGCTTCGGGAAGGATGCCAGTATTCAAGAAAGCTTTAGTGATATTCGAAGATGCCTGATTAGTAACTGTTGAATTGATTAGTGAATGTATTTCCGAAGCGTAGGGGCAAATGCTTACGTAGGATGGAAACATGGTCATCGCCATGTCTAACAGCTAATGCTGATTTTGGAGATTGTCCCCATCCGAATGTGGTCCACTCTGTTGGCGCACTGAGGAAGTGTTAGTGCAAGAAGAGAAATGGATTATGTTGAGGGCGTACCTGGCGTCAAAGTCTGCAGTCACGAAAAGCATCTGCTTGTCGTTCGGCATAGGGATCGAGGGTGATACCGGATATGGCCACGCGGAACACATGAGCTTTGGATGTGTTAGCGTAGGATACTATGTATCTGGTTTGAATGCTTCGTACCTGAATCTGCCATACCTGGCTCATTCCAATTCCTGTTATATCATCCTAAGGCCCATCAGCTCCACATTATCTCCTTGTGATCGATACTATGAGTGATGAATACCTTTAGTCCCTGATCCAACGAAGCCTTGAACGTCTCGAATGATCTATCATATTCTGCTGGTCGTCAACACATGCCGAAGAAATTTGGTATGTGTAAGTAGTTACCATAATCGTTGCAAAGGAGAGGCTGCGCAACCACACCCTCAAGATTCGCCGGACCATCAATAAAATAATATGGATTGCCGTTAAGCGCAGCATAGATACCATCCAAGAAGGCAGGAAAGTCAGGCGCACCTTGCAGACCTGCGGAAGCTAATGTCTGCACATCATTGGCCGTGATGTATGGGTAGCACGCGGTACTGTTAACACACTCTGGAACGAAGAACGGGTTTGCCTTGGCCATGCTGAGAACTTGCTTGAAAGCCTGGACGCGTGTCAATATATTTTCGCACAAGAAAGTGCATCGACGAACCTCGAGAACACTGCCTTTACCTTTCCCATAGAAAGGGCAAGATGAATTGTTGAGACAGTAAGCATCTGCGCGTTGCATAGCACGGTTGGTAGCCGCAACGCTATCTTGCGCTTGTTGGTAGAGAGGCTTCAATCACATCAGAAAGTGATCTGGCAATGAAAACTGAAGAAGACATACTCGTCCATGAGGTGCGACAGAATCCAACACGAAATGATCAACTCGATGTGGAAATGTAGCTGCGTACTGCATAGCTCGGAAAGACCCACTACATGAGTCTCATTAGCTTCATCCTGGTTGATCGTGAATATGTAAAGAAGACTCACTATGAAGCCCCAAGAAAATTGATCTTCTCATATCCAAGTGCTTTCCTCACTTGTTCATAATCTTGGACAACCTCTTTCGTTCCAACATGCTGAATGATACCAGAAGGCGAACTATTGTCTATCCACGACTGGATTGCTGTGGCCGAAATATTTTTACTGATATCAAACTCACTTCTCGTCGTGGGACTGACTTGTTAACATGATCCCTGTCTAAACAACACAGCATCAGACTTACTACGGACCAAATAATGGTTCAAGTGTGGCCAAGGAGAAATTTAGCTGATTCGAGCTAAATGTTCCCCGTACGTCAAGTACTTACAAGATTCAGTTTTATAGCAGTAGAAACCGAGATCTGAACAAACCAAGTATGTCGAAATCCAACAAGCCGTCAAATGCATGTGATACATTCAGTGCGATGTCCCAAGCAACAATAACACCAGCATCAGTCCCTCCAGGATTACTATTCTTGAAATCAGCATCATCTTTTCTTCTTTCTCATCATCCTTGACCTGCGACAGGAAAAGACTCACAAGAAAAGAACCCCTTTCGGATCCGTCGGTCTATGCATGCCGAGTCCCAATGTTATCATGTTCGCGTCGGACATTGGTTTTGAGTAATCCATGGGAACATCGAGTTCGCCACAGAGAAGAGTTGAGGGGAGGTTGGTTAAGTCAATCGAAGAGATGTTGAGCGAGCTGGTTGTTGTCGGGGACGGAACTGCATTGGCGCAGTCTAGCCATCGAATCGTTGGTGGTGGTTGTGGGATGCTCCGTGAGAAAGACGGCAAGACGAATAGTGCTTCAGCAAGGAGGAGGTAACGGAGATGCATGATGAAAAACAATTGGAAGACGTTCAAAATGAATTGAATGAGGGCAAGCTGCAATCTTCATTTCGACTGAGTCTTCGCAGAAGCTTTTATGCTCTAGAAAGAAATTAGAACGTTCATGATGGTCCCTGCATCTCCAGAGATCAGAACCTTGTAATACGATTTCACCAGTGAAACAACCTCAACATTTCGGATGAACACTAAGCAAATATTCCCCTGCTCCCGCAGGAACTTTGAGCCTCTCACGCTTAATAACATGTCATAACCAATGTACTTGAAATACAATGATGAGCTATCGGGAAGCGAGGCCCAAGAAGCTGACCCGAAAACGCTGTCATGCTTGTTGCAAATCTCGATTCCGATTGGCATACTCGTATTGCAAGGGTGCGAAGGCTTATTTGACTTACCGAATGTGGTGAGCGCAGCGCACATTGCGAACATCAGCAACGAGGCGCAGGAAAAGGATCGAGAGTAGAAAGTGATTGCAGGCAGCAATATGTTTTTGTATTGAAGTACAAAAATTGAGGGAAAGAGTTGTTGAAAAAATCAAAGAACTCAAAGTGAGTCTTGGAATTAGTAGGAGCAGATTGAGAAAGGGAAAAAGGAAAAAAATGCAGACGAACGCAAGCAACACAGATAACGGTGAGGAAAGACTTTCTATTTGACAAAAAGGAATACTGATTCGAATTGTCGTACAGGTGGCAAGGGATCGAGTGGCTTACCGAGAGATCTCATATCGAGCTTCCGAAGGGGAACTAACAAGTCCAAGACGGGATGCATCGTATGCAAGTGAGTACTCCTCATTCGCCCCGTGCCGCGTTGAGCGTCGCAGTAACTTACATTAACCTTCTAAACAGAGTACGCCGTGTGAAATGTGACGAAACTAAACCCCATTGCATTCGCTGTACATCCACAGGACGAACCTGCGAGGGCTATGGGAAAGCCCCAGAACGCAGGAAATCAAAGTCTCCTCTAAAGTCGCCTTCAGGGGAGACGCCTCTCTTGATGCCAAGGCCTCGAATCAGATACTCGCCTTCCACAGATGTGCAGGCCAGCGTTGAAGAGCGGCGAAGCTTCCATTACTTCCGGTCTCGTAATATGTCTGAAATGCCTGGCAATTTCGAGCCGTACTTCTGGGATCATATCGTTCTCCAATTTAGCCACAAGTACCCAACCATCTTGCAAGCATTGGTTGCGTTGAGCGCCATATATGAAGAGCATGAGCAGGGCACCCCAGGTCCTGTGAGCAAATCAGCCGACAGTTATGCACTCCAGCAGTACAACAAGGCTGTGAAAGACCTGATGGGGTATCTCGGATCAGAGGGCCAGGATATGAAAGTAGCTTTGACAGCGTGTCTGATATTTGTTTGGATCGAATTCTTGCAGGACGATCTCAATTCGGGTTTTCAACATTTGAGCTGCGGCTTGAAGATCTTGCGTGATTGTATTGGAATCCAAGACAGAGATTCAGAGGATATTTTCGGGTCACTTGATCGGTCATTCACGCGCCTGCGGATCCAAGCGGCTGTTCACGGAGCTCAAGAATCACAATTCACCACAACGACAACCAGAGAACTAGAGATATTGGAACCAATACCGCACTCGTTCTCCAACGTCTTCGAATCTCGAAATGTCCTGGACAAAGAACTGAATGCCATTTTTGGATATATCCGAGCTCTTCAAGAGGCAGATTACTATGCCGGTGTAGACATGTCGATATTTGTCGACATCCGGAGAGGGCATTTGGAACGACTTGAACAGTGGCACATCGCAACAATGCACTTGGTAGCGAGCCTGGAATCGAAGAATGACCAAAGCCAGGCCTCTGGTATCTTGTATCTTCAATTGTACTATACGATGGTAAACATCATATGGAAGGCTGAGTTCGCTGGATCCGAAATGGTGTTCGATGCCTATACTGCGGAGTTCGAAACGATGACCACGATTGCGTCGAGCCTTATGGACAATCCGAACTGTACCACGCCACGGGTTTTGTCTTTTGATATGGGAATCATCCCTCCCCTCTTCCTTCTGTGTGTCAAGTGTCGGATACTGAGGATTCGAAGGCAAGCGATAGCATTGCTGAAACGCGCGCCTGAGAGAGAGGGAATTTGGCATCGTGACAGTATGGTAAGATACAGCGAATGGAAGACGATGACCGAAGAACAGTGGCGCGATGGGTTATCAGAAGATGAACCATTGCCTGAGTTTGGCAGAATATATGCGGAACATATTCCTCAGACAGGTGAGCCGTCTATGCCTGGTAGTGAAGGACAGCCTATACGTATAAGCTTCAAAAGAGGGCCTGTGGGACTTGACATACAGGACACGATCGAGATACCAGATGGCTCGGAGATGCTAAGGCACATGGGAAATATGCTCTGATATTTTGCGACGCCAATTTCATAGACAATAGATCCGGTCCTGATTTTCCAACCCGACTAAAGTGAATGTTCAAAATTCAGCGGATGAATCACACCTCATGATTCATCATAAGCGTCCACGAGGAAGTTAATCCCCACCATGAAGCTTTGACATATATCTTCTTGCCACTTTCCTACGCTGACAACATTCTTTAGGATAACTCATAAATACTCCAAGCCATGGCTGGTCAAAGGAATGCTCTCCAATATCCCAGTAGTGAGCAAACGCCAAAGAAACGCACACGCAAAGCAACACTGAAGCCTGCAGTATCAACTCGACCTGCCCGATACAGACAAGCAAAGATTGTAGCATCCATCGAAACATGTAACAACATCCAAGTCGACAGCGAGAGTGAGTTTAGTGGCCCTGATAATACGGAGACAGCAAGTGTCCGTGGAGCATCTAAGCAAAGACCGCGGAGTCGCCGCATCCACGATTCAACAAGGGTACTCAACTCGTCTAGCAGTTTGCAAAAGGACAGCGCTGCGTCAGCAGAGGGTTTAGAAAGCGAAGGGAGTCGATACAATCCTTCAAATGATGAGGAAAGCCAGAGCGATGAGGATGATGCTGGGCATGCACGTAAAAGAAGTAAATCAGACAATGGATCATCCCATGCCAGAACAAACACTTCGAGCACGGTAGGCAGTCGAAGTGACAGACATGATCCAGTGGAAAATTGTCCAACTCGAGTGCATGAAAATCACGCAACAGCTCCACGGCCTGTGGAGCATGGCAGATTGCTTGGGGAAAACTTGAGGCAAGATAATCAGCGAAAATCGAACAGGCCACAAGAAGATGGAACAACACGACCAACTCAGACACCAAAAAAGACGTCGAATAGACGCCTGGCCGCGGCGAGAGATGATGCTGGCGAAGGCCCCTCGAGAAATACAGGTGCGGACGAAGAAGTTCAATATCTCCATACAGTTGCAAGAAATGTCCATCAAAGTGGAGAACCCGCAGGTCAAGCAAGGTGGACAGGACTAGTAAGTCGACCAAAAGGAGAAGCCATGACGGGAGACGATGGGCCTCCTTCCAATGGAACGCATGATCACAATCTAGCTGCTCCTCGAGCGATAAGTGATGTGGGCGAGGAGAGCTCGAGAGAATTCCGTGGCCATACCGTACCATTTCTGCTGGGATCAACCCTAGGATCGACAGCACCAACAATCGGATTAGGTCAATTTAAGCTCATTGACTGTCGTAACGAACAAAACGGCCTAGACGGCGGAAGCTCCAAAGGCAAGCAACCAGAAGTCGATGCCTCCAAAAAATGTCAGGCGTGCTTCAGATTTCGACGTAATTGTGATCAAGGCAAACCATCGTGTGGGCATTGCACGCTTGGGAACTCGAAATGCATCCCACAAAAGACTCCAAAGCATGTTGAGCAAACTATCGGTGCTCCTATTATCACCGAGTTTTCAGGCTCCCAACTGTGGGAAAAGTGTCAACGTTGCGCTGGACTCCAGAAACAATGCACGTTTGAGGAAGGTGAGGACGATTGCCAAAATTGCAAGAAAAGAGGATGGAAATGTCTTCCGTTGACAAGTCCGAAGCCCAAGAAGAAGCAGCCGTTTCGAGGACGCAATCAAGATCCAAACACGAAGTGCACTGCTTGTGTGAAAGCTCGAAGTCACTGTGACGGTGTGAAGCCAAAATGCGGACGTTGTGCTAAGTGGAAATACAAATGCTATCCTCCAGGGGCTGAGCCACCCAAGAAAGTCCCGAAGGATGAGAAGTGTAAGAGGTGCAGGCAGTTGAAGTTGGCCTGTAGTGATTCGCTGCCGTGTCCCAGATGTGTGAAGGAAGGAATCGAGTGTGGGATGACTGCGCAGGAGGAAGAAATGCAGCTGAAGTTTCTTGGTGAAGAATGAAAGAAGTGCTGCTCAGCGTTCTTGGAGCATTCTGAGAGGTGGGGCTTCGGGGGTGGATAGCTTGTGGAGTATTCATAATTGACTTGAGGTTGTCATGGTCGAGTTGCTTTCCCAAAACAGTTGTTTGTGAATAAAAGCTAAGTATAAAACCATCCCCCTTTTGCTGTCGCAAAATCACTGTGCGTGAATCAGTGACAGAATCAGCACGGCTAAGACCTCCGGTCACAGTCCAGTCGAATCTAAACCTTATGGTAGCCGTTTGGCGGAGGTTGAACTCCACTGCGAGTTGAGGGGCCGTCCTCTGATTATGCATGTAGTTGGGCTTTGGAATGGGAGAAAATCCTCGGAGTCTGTATTCTACGCCATTCTTCCCGAAATATCCGCATTGCAAAGAGAATCTCTTTAGGGTTGCCCTTTAGAAGATATGCCTCCCTCTAGACAGGTGAGAAAATAAGTGCCGTGCCGCTGGAGTCTGACGCCCACTACCGACTGGTGCTCTCGGAACATGACTGTGCTCCGGACGAGGGGTTTCATGTAACATAAGTAGCAAGTGCGCTGCCGCAATATGGACAGTTAGGGTTGAAAAGTCCGAGACTCAGTGCTCTTCGTAACCAAGGGCCAAACGGACTCGAGCGAGCATAGGAAATTGAGAGACGGTTCGTATATGAAACCAACCACGATGCCAACATCGTAATCTCAACCACTATTTGGAAGGCGGGCTCCAATTTGTTCTAACTCGTAAGTAGATATTATTTGGGGAAAAATCCAACAAAGTGGTACATAACGTGAGAATCTTTCCCAAGACGCTTGGAGATCTGAAGACATGCAAAAGAAGCAAGACGCTATTCAATTGGCATCATGACTCTCGCAAAGCTTCCCTTGATTGTTCTTGTTCATGGAGCGTGGCATCGACCGAATAGCTTCAAGAAGCTCCAGGTTGAGCTCGAAAGGCAGGGCTATGAGGTCCTCTGTCCAGCGCTGGTCACAATGAGCAAGACGAAAGAGAATGCAGGTGCGACACATCTGGATGACGTTGCTCTAATCCACGAGTTGCTCAGGCCCCACCTCGATCAAGGCAGAGAAGTGGTAATTGTCGGACACAGCTATGGAGGCGTACCATCTGTGGTGAGCTGTGAAGGCAACACTGTCGACGAGAGAGCAGCTCAGGGCAAGAAGGGAGGAATTCGCGCTATCGTCTTCATTGCGGCCATTGTCCTTCCTGCTCGAGGATTAAAAATCCTTACAGCCGAAGGGGCAGATTGGGTGAAATTCGACGTGAGCATGAAACCTCGATTTTAGCAATAATCGAAGAGGCTGACTATCAATAGGGTGATTGGCTTGTCTTGAATGATGGGGCTCGAGAAGCATTGTATAATGGCGTGCCCGAAGCCGAAGTTGATGAGATTATGTCGACACTCGTACCAATTTCTTCTGCGACTACCGGAGTCACGGTAGACTTCTGTGCCAATGATTTGAAGATCCCAAAGACATACATTTTCTGTGAGCTTGATCAAGCTCTTCCTCCCGCTGCACAAGAAACACTCATTGCTGGGACTCCGAACATGACCGTGGTCAGGGTCCAGACGTGTCATTTTCCATGGCTCATAGTACCAGACGAGATAGCTGAGGTCATAGTTCGTGCTTCGAAGGAGAGCGTGACATATGAGATGGCATGAGACGAGTCGAGGTTTTGGAGATGATGCATTGGATAGAGAGCCAGGGACAATTGGGCTTGACCAGTCTACTGAACAATCAAGAAGATACAAGACAGAGCGATGTCAATCCTCCAAAGACTTCTTTGAGTAGTAAAGTAATAGAAATTTGACATAAAAGTTGTGAAGATTTTCATCTGACCTTTGTGGTCATTTTCATTGGCTTTTAGTGTTTGATGCCTGAGGTGTTGATGTTGACCCTCAAAAATAAATCCAAACTGAAACGAACTTCTATCAGCAACGAAATATGCTGACAGCACGAAGAATCCCTCGTGCGTGCCAGTCATGTCGTCTACAGCTTCTAACATTGTTCGAACATGGATTCACGAATGTCGCTGGCCCTCCTGCACGAGTACTGTATAGCACACGACCAATTATTCGAGCTCGAAATCCTCAGCCTCGCCACAATGTATCCCTTCGGAGCTTGTCCACAACCTCAAGACGAGCAGAAGAGCCAAAGTCTGATCTGCCAAAGGAATCTGTAGCATCTTCAACGGATATCGAAACGGTGGTACGGGAAGCAAGACAGACTTTTGGAGAAACGCTACCTAAAGACTATCTGTCGACGGAGGAATATGTTTTGTACGAACGATTGTATGGACCTCCACTCCGAGAAACCAAACCCGAAGATCTGGAGTATCTGCCAGATGTTGAAGTCGAGCTTGAGTCGGGTAGAGCAAGAAATGTCTTGCTACGAGGGAATGCGGAGGGGTTGTATGAGGAGGTCGATTATGACCCGGAATTAGGATTCTCCGTTGCTGTAGAGGAAGCCGAACTTTTAATGGATGAACCTGGTATGAAACCTGAAAGGCAGATGGAAGAAGATGGCTTGGAAGCACAATTCGAGACAGATGTTTCGGAAATGGAAGTCGAGACGCTGACTGGCATCCTCAGCAAGGAATCTTTGGCGGAATCGCGGGCGGAAGCTCTGGAAGAAAGCGAGGACGATTATACAGAAATCACAACAGATTTACACGATTCTGCTCATGTCTATGGAAGCGCTTACGATATGGAAACCGAGACGTTGACCGATACCTCTAACGATCGCATTCTGCCAGAAGCTGTTGCAGAGAACCAGGAAGCTTCCACAGAAATCAAAACGGACTCAGGTCAATCCATTCATGTCCATGGAGGCAAGAACCAGAGGGAGATTGATGCAATCGCACGATTGCAGAAAGACATGGCTGAGGCAATGTCGAAGCCTATAGAAGAAGAGGAAGAGGAAGAAATTGACGAGGAATACGAAGAGGAAGAGGAGGTCGAGGAAGAAGAGGAAGATGAAGGGGAGGAAACCTGGGTTAGCTCCGACTCGATTCGAACACATCCACACACCATGACCGCGCGGATGAGAACATCTCCGATTACACTATCGTTGCCACGCGAACAAATGCTGAAACCAATATCAGAGTTGCTTGCTCGGACAAACTTGAAGCATCTAACGGATGCGTCGGAGCGAGCTTTCGGTGGAAAGGGCTTGCCATATTCTTCTGCTACGCCCATGTCGAAACGAAACCTCCCACAGAAGCATATCGGTTTAGATGCTTCCCAACATAAGATGGCAGAGATCGAAGCAGACGCATACTTGGCTGCCGTAATGCCTGGCACGTACGCTGCAGCCATGAGTACGTTAGTAGAAGTCAGAAAGCGTCTTGGAAGTCAGTGGATCCGTGATCTCATATTGAGAGAAGGAGGCCAAGGACCGAGAGTACTAGATGCAGGTGCTGGCGGTGCTGGAGTCATTGCGTGGCGTGAGGTTCTGCAAGCTGAGTGGGATGTGCTAAAGGATGAAGGCATTGTGGAAGGAGACCAAGCTCCCCATGGGAAAAGCACCGTTCTTACAGGTTCGAATGCCTTACGACACAGAGTATCACGATTCCTTGATAACACCACCTTTCTTCCTCGTCTCCCGGATTATATACATGCTTCAAACTCCGAAGCCCACTTGGATGGTGCCGCACCTCAAGGTCGCAAGGCTTACGACATAATCATTGCACCACATACCCTATTTCCTCTAAAGGAAGACTTCCGACGGAAGAATATGGTCCAAAATCTATGGTCCTTACTGGATCCCAATGGTGGTGTCCTGATTCTCATCGAAAAAGGGTTGCCTCGTGGGTTCGAAGCCATTGCTGGTGCTAGGGCCCTTCTACTTGAATCCCACATATCTTCTCCAGGCGAGACCAATTTCGAAAATGAGATTCAATCACCGGAATCTGAACGTGCGCGCTTCACAAAGAAAGAAGTAGGGATGATCATTGCGCCTTGTACCAATCACAAGAATTGCCCTATGTATCCCATACCTGGACTTAGCACTGGCAGGAAAGACTTCTGTCACTTTCCACAGCGACTTATACGCCCTTCTTACCTACAAAAGATCCTTGGTGCCAAGATTCGCAATCATGAGGATGTCAAATACAGTTACATTGCTGTTCGTCGCGGGGTTGACGCTCGGAAAGGTGACAATGCTTTGCTCCAAGGCGAAGAGGCTACTCTACAGGCATTTGAAGGCTACGAAGATCGAGATCTACCCGAGTCTGAAGAAGGTTCGGAGTCTAGCAATGTTAAGTTCGACACTCTATCTCTTCCTCGGATAATTCTTCCGTCGCTCAAAAGCCGAGGCCATATCACACTCGACCTGTGTACCCCTTCGGCCAAACTTGAACGGTGGATTGTGCCACGAAGCTTCAGTCGCACAGCTTACCGTGATGCTAGGAAGTCGAAATGGGGCGACCTCTGGGCGTTAGGTGCAAAGACCAGAACAACCCGATCACCACGACTTGGTAGACTTGGAGAAGACGCCGGTGGGACAAAGATCAAGGGCATCAGAGACGGGAAGATGGGCAAAGGAGGAAAGAAGATGAAGAAAAACCATTACGATATGATCATTGGTAGATCTGGATTCGAAGGTATCAAAGAATCTCCACATCAGGCCAAGTTTGTAAAGAGAGAAAAGAGAACGAAAGGTGGAAGGATTTGGAAAGAACAGAAGCCAATTGGGGAGGACGACTTGTAAAAAAAAGTGTACATTTACGGAGAGGAACTGGAACGGCGTTCAACGGACGGAGGAATATCTCCACCGATGGAGAAACTGTACAATACACTAGGCACCTCGTCAACGGAAACGAAGAAAGTCCGGCGGGACCCGCGAGACATATGCACAAATGCACTCCACTTTTCAAACATCTGCACAACGCCTCACACGAGCCATCCTCGCGCCCAAGCTCCTCCTATTTTGCATAAAATCCCACCATCAGGTGATCTCGCGTTCATTTACCCCTGACTTAAATTCCCCAAAGTAAAATAAGCTCATCAAACGTTTCTCCCCACTCTCCCCTCTGCACCAATGGCACACGCATGAATGCGAACCCTCTTTCCATTTCCGTACGTTCCGAACCGTCGCATCCCTCTTTCGCTCAAGAGCGTTACCGGAGCACCGGACTTAGGGGTCCTCCCGTTTCCTGTCATGGGTGCTTCGAGAAAGTTTATGCTTCATTCAACGTCGTTTGTTTTCTTAAAGATTCCAACGTTGCTGCTACTTACATTCTCTTGATTTCTTGGTGCTGTGTTTACTTTCTCGAGTTGTTGTCAGGTCACTAATTTTCCTGATTTTCTTTTTCCGTTTCGAAGCAACGTGCAATAATTATGCCTCAATCAAGGGCGATGCCGTTCAATACTGTGTTAGCGCTCAGCGCGCTGTTTTCGATAGGTGCTTCGATACCTACTCCCGATTCTTCGTATGTCTTCAAACCAACTCCACTATTTTCTCCTGTATAGCAAAATCTAACAACCCCCTTCAGCTCCTCACCCTCTCTCACCACACGCATGGAAATGCCCGACTCACCCCCACCACCACCACCTCCCAACTCCCCTCCCTCATACTGGAACTTCGCCACAAACGGCCTTCCCGTATCCTACCGCGTCGCCATAATAATCGACGCCTTCGTCCTGGTCGTTACTATCGTCTCGTTATGTCTCCTGGGCTGGTACATGCGGAAACAATACCGCCGCCGAAGACTGCTAGCCTTAATCCACGAACAAGAACAAGAAGGCAAATTGCGGGGGTTAGAAGAGGGGATGGAGAGGAGGGAGAGGAGAAAGAATAAGGGACATGTGAGGTGGGGGAGTGGGGTGCAGGGAGGGAGTATGGATTTGGAGACTTTGAAAAGTGTCGAGGAGCCGGAGTATTTGAAGGCTAGTAATCAGGATTTAACACCCGAAACGTCGCCCAGAAAGGAGGGATTTAGGGTTAATCCGCTGGGAGGGGTGGGCAAGGCGAAGAGCTCGCCGATGGCGGCGGAATTCAGGGGCGATCCGTTAGGGACGGGGAAGGGGTTGAGGTTGTGGGAGGAGGAGAGGGAGAGGTATAGGAGGGTGGGGCAGAGGGCTTGAGGTTGAGGATATTTGGTTGCTTTCTTGTGTATATTGATGACTGGGAGTTGGGGTGTTATATCTAGGGTTGTTGCGTGTCCCGTCTGGCATTTGCTGATTGTTCATTGGGAGGAGCAGATGCATTGCTATTGTTGACGTAGCGGTTGGAGCAAGTGGACAGATCTTCTATTAATTCTTTGCCACTCAGCATTTATACTCAGATCGATGCCCTGTCCCGTGTCCTTATATTTCGCGATCCACAATCGTGTCACCATTTCCGACATCAATGTCACTGAAATATCTCAACTTGTCCTCACACCACATCTTTCCCCCGTCATTTCATTCGGTCCAACACTGCTACCTCTCCACCAGAATCCACCCATAACGCCCAATATACCTTCATTCTCCAACCAAAGATAGTGTAATGGATAGGGACAAACACCCTGAACGGTTTAGGCCTTTGGGGGCTGTATGTTGGATCTCAAGAAAGGACATTTGTCTCTTGTTTGAAAATGCTTGGAATGACGGGCATCTGCAGGTAGTACTATAAATGTCCGGCTTTGCCATCGAATCTTTTGGGGCCAGTTTTCTGGTTTGCGGGTACAAACATTGTCTCATGTTTAACAAAGCGGATAAATGTACCAGATGTCCCACAATGGGTTACATCTTCTGGGGCTGATATTCTGGATCACTGGGTCCGGGCATTGAGGAACATTACTCTCTTCTCTGTGACAGCAACAAACAGAAACATCAAGGCAAGTAGAGCAGAAATAGAGCCAGCAACAGGAACGTTTGGATAGCATTCTAGGGTATTAGAGCTCCTCACTTGGCCTTCTTCTCCATCTTCGCATCCTCAGCAATCTTCAACAACCCACCCAAAGACTCCGCTCTCCAACCCCTGGCTTGCATTCCCTTCAACGCAATCTCCAACTGCTCAGGCGAATAACTCCTCCTGTCATGCAAAATAATAACACCACCACTCTTCAACATACTCAACACATGCTTCGCATTAATCCTCGCATTCGGCACCACAGGATCAAACGGAAATATATCACCCAACACAGTCTTGTATCCCATTCCTTTCACCATGTCCGTCATCTTCTTGTTGAAATACCCTGAGCCTGGTCGGAAATACTTTAAGCCGTTGGAGTTGGGAATAAGCATTTTCTCGACGTCCAGGAGTTGTTGCTGGAGTTCGGAAGTCGGTAGGTTGATGCTTGGTTCGTCTTTCCAGGCGTGGTTGCCCATCTCGTGACCTTCGTTGTGGATTCGTTCGAGGATTTCGGGATAGGGGCCTACTTGACTTCCGATGATGAAGAAGGTGGCTTTGGCATTGTATGTCTTGAGGATATCGAGGATCTTTCCCGTTTCAGAGGATGGAGCATCGTCGATTGTGAGGGCTACCACGTGATTCGAGGGTGGTAAGGGGACATGGAATAGGACATCTGGGTTTTTCCATGACATGAAAGTGACAAGCCAAGTGGGAGGTTTATAGATGATATAGACAAGCAAAAGAAGGACGAGGATCAGGACCAGAAGGCTGAGGAGGACCATCTTGATCATGTGAGCGAGAGACGATCGAGGCTTTTGCTGGTCTTGGTCTAGCTGTCGTTCCTCGTCATCAAGTTTGATATGTTTCGTAGAACTGCTCGAGGCTAGAAATTGGCCAGGAATTGAGGCAAAAGAAGACCAGACGGATATAATTCCCAGACGACGTGCTCGGCGAAGAGCAGTGCTCAGTCGCATTGTAGAGCACGATGAGGGAAACCACTCAACACCATTGTATTGTATGGTGAGTTGTCCTAGTTTGCCTGAGGATGCACGTGTATGTCTCTCAGGATGGTGTTGGTGATTGATGAAGACAAAGCAAGGTTGATGTACCTGGCTAAATGAGGCATAGCGGATATCATCTGGAGATTGAATTTGAGATAGAGCTAGATCGAATTTGGCTAGCATCGCGCAAAGGATTGCTTACTTAACATTGAACTACTCAGCGACCTCCTGAATTTGACCAGCGCAAGTTCACTTCTTGCCTTGCCGGAAAAGTTCTACTCCAATTACATATTTCTTTCACTGCTCCTTTCTTCTAATAATCGTACAAAATGATGTGGCAGTGCTCGTCAGCCTACGCAAGTGCGTCATTGCTGTGAGAACGAGCGAGATGTCTCGCTCAAGCTCAACGAGAGCCAGCATGAGTATGGCTCTGGCAAGTCGCAGAGCTCAAGCTCGATCGCAAGACGATACAAATAGGCATAATAGCCTCTCTAAGATCTCCTCATTCATCATTGCACGTTCCCAACTCGGAACAAAATGCTTCTCTTTAAAGTAACCCTTCTATTTTCCCTCTTCGCCTTGGCCCCAGCAGCACCTACCTTCAATGATCCCGGGTACAATTGTCGACCTGGGCAAAGCTGCTGGCCATCTTGGCAGCAATGGCAACAATTGAACCATACACTCGATGGCCATTTGTACCAAACAATTCCAATGGGTGCACCTTGCTATCCGAATTCACCAGACTACGACCCAACAGCTTGTGCAAGTGTGGAAAGCAACTACACTGATGGAATCTCTCGAGGAGCCTATTATGGACAGACGTATTGGCCAAATTGGGAAGCTTGCGGGTCATCCGGCTGTTCCCTATTGACATCCGATCCAGCAGATACGCTGTATCCCACATGCTCTCTCGGACGACTTGCAACATACTACGTTGATGTCCGAAATGCATCGCATATTTCAACAGCTCTGAAATTTGCACAGTCGCACAATATTCGTGTCAGTGTCAAGAACACAGGCCATGACTTCTTTGGGCGCTCATCAGTTCCCAACTCCCTAGCCATTTGGACACACAATTTGAAGAATTTGGACTTCTATCAGAACTTCACTGCATCAAATTGCCCTTCAGCAAATGGACAAAATGTTGGCGAGATGGGAGCTGGAGTCATCGCTGGTGATGCATATCGTTTCTTCGGTTCGCATGGGATGGACGTCACTGGTGGATATGAAGAATCCGTCGGTATCGCGGGCGGGTTCGGTCAGGGAGGTGGAGTTGGCGATTTTACCACCACGTACGGCTTGATGGTGGACAATGCAGTCGAATTCGAGGTCGTTACTGCGGATGGCCAGGTGCGCATTATCAACGAATGCAATGATCCAGACCTTTTTTGGGCAATGCGAGGTGGAGGTGGAGGCACCTTTGCCGTTCTCACCAAGTTCCGAGTTCAGGTCTATCCATCGGTGCCCATTCACACTTACAACTTTGTGGCATCCTTCACCGGTACCAACGTTTCCCAACAAGAAGCTCTTCGCACAGTCCTAACGGCCCATGCCAATCACCAGATCGAGTGGTCTGCCGAGCTTATAACAGGACAAGGCGATTACTTCCCCAACGGAGTATCAATGGATATCGTCTTACCCTACAACGACGACGGCTCCAAACTGAAGAACGCAACTGCAGCCTTCGCTCAGTTCGTCAGCGACCTACCGAACGTCAATATCGCGCAAAACAACTACACCACCTACGCAACCTACGTCGACTACCTGTCATATAGCATCGCGGACGCCAAGGCCACCGAACCGGCAGGTATTTTCTCCCTCCTCGCATCCCGCCTCATGCCTCGACAGCTCTTTACTGCGCCCGAGAGCGTAGATTCCCTCGTCGACGGCGTGATCACTGGTATCGAAACAGCTCGTACATACCTGAACCGTACCGCTGCACAAATCGTTTTCGAAACACCCATCAGTACACCAGACCTTGACCACAAAACATCTGCACTCCCCGCCTGGCGAGAGGCTTTATGGCACGTCATCCACGTCGGAGAATGGGAGGAGCCGCTCTCACCAACGGATCTCGAGGCTACGACAGAGGGATTCTTGGAGATGCTGGAGCCGTTGAAGGAGTTGACGCCGAGTGGAGGTGCGTATTTTAATGAGGCGCATTATGGGGAGCCGGAGTGGGAGGAAACTTTCTTTGGGAGCAATTATGAGAGGTTGGTGGAGGTTAAGGGGAGGTATGATCCGACGCATTTGTTTGATTGTTGGAAGTGTGTTGGGTGGAGAGGGGAGAATGAGTGAGTGTCTTCCTTTTCTTGATTTGTGTATCACGGCTAATGTTTTGTAGTCCATTTTATTCTTGCTATCAGAAATGGTAGTAGCTGCGTTCCAACCCTTTTAATGTTGGAAATAGACTTGGAGCTAGGATGCTAGATTCTTTATTTTAGAGAACGTGAGGCTACAGCGAAGAGACACGAAGCGGTTTATAGATGCGCGACCCAGAATATAATATTACACATATTCACAACAAATCCATTTCAACAATGCCCGATGACCTCCTTTTATTTGCCTCGTCAGAATATACCCGTCACGAACGCATCCGTGTCTCTGATATAAGTATCATGGAAATAAACAAGCAAACTCTAATATTAATTTCTAAAACGATGACTGGCAGGTTTAGCGAAGCGTGGAGATGCAGTTGCGCTGGCTGACACTCCTGTGAGGCTGCGGCGTTGGCACTCTCGTAAGGCTGTGAAACTGGGCTGTGTGGGTCAGAACCTCTTCACTTCCTTCTGATCACCTCATAGCTTCGACATGTCAATCAACTCTTTCTCAATGGATTACTATCGGGTATCCGTCCCTTCCCATCGGCCCCAGTTGCTTTGATCAACAGGAAACAGCCATTGGGCTTCTCAGGAACATGGCTGAAGCACTTGCCGCCCTCGGGCTCGCATCAAACATTGTGCAATTCGTTTCTTTTGCCAGCGACCTGATATCTAAGAGCCGCGCAATTTCGAAGTCAACAGATAGCGGGCTAGTAGAGAACCTGGAATTGGAAGCAATCAGTTCCACTCTTCATGAGCTGAATCACGGTCTATTGAGAGCCCTCGCAACTGGAGCCTCGTCGTCAACTGCAGAGAAAATACTCCAGGAACTTTGTAAGGGATGTGGAGATGTGATGGAAGAACTCCTAGAAGTCATACAGAGCCTGAAGTCGCAAGGACCGCACACAAGATGGAATTCCTTCCGGCAGGCGCTCAAAAGTGTCTGGAAAGAAGATCAAATTAAAGCACTGTCAACACGACTAGATCGATATCGGAATCAGATCGATACGACACTCTTGATGTCCCTCCGTGAGAACATTGTTGCTCTCCAAACACATCTAGTTGCCCAAAATTCCACCCTAGAAGCGACTCAGAAAACTTCCGTCGATCAACTTCACAGCTCTATGAAATCAATAGAACAGTGGCAATCAGAAGTATTGGGAAAGCTCTTGCTGAATGACTGGCAGTCAAAGAATCAGCTAGATGCAGGGCAACTTTCCAGTCAGCTGTCTGCAACTGCCGGGCAGCAAAGGGAAGAGATCATGAAGCTCAAAATACTTGAGAGCTTACGTTACAACGACATCAAAGAACGCCTCGAGCGTATACCATCAGCCTATAGCAAGACGTTCCACTGGATATTTGATGAGGATGGGCCTGCTGCAGATTTAAACTCAGCTGACGAGATAGTGAAGCCGGAGAATGTCGCTGAAGCTCGGGATCAAACGAAACACACCTGGGATAATTATCTTCATTGGCTGCAAAGTGACGATGACCTCTACTGGATTACTGGAAAGCCAGGTTCCGGAAAATCAACATTGATGAAGTACTTACATGCCGATCCTCGCACCCGCGAGCACTTGCGATCCTGGAGCGGAGACCTCGACTTGATAGTGGCTGGATTCTTCTTCTGGAACTCGGGATCGGCAATGCAGATGTCTGAAAGAGGATTGATTCAAACTCTTCTATACCAAGCCATCAGCAAACGCTTAGAACTGGTTCCAATGCTGTTTCCGGACAGGTGGAGATACAACCAGTTGTTTGGAAATGACTTTCGTCCTTGGGTTCTTTCTGAGCTGAATCAAGCACTGGAGACTCTGGTATCGGACTGCTCCAAAAGATTGTTACTCTTCGTCGATGGGGTGGACGAGTTTGAAGGCGATGCAATGAAGCTTGCTGGCTTCCTACTCAGTCTCTCTGCCCAGAAGAATGTCAAAATGTGCGTGGCCAGCCGTCCCTGGCTCGCATTCGAGGACGCCTTCAAAGGTAGTCCCTCTCTTCGACTAGAACACTTGACTGCACCAGATATTAAAATATTCGTGCTGGACAATCTGTCTAAAAGCGAAGTCTTTCTGCAGCTCCAAAAGTTGAAGCGAAAAGAAGCTGATGACTTGGTCCTACAAATCACACAAAAAGCACAAGGTGTGTTTCTTTGGGTCCATCTTGTCGTTCAGTCATTACTCGAAGGAATGAGAGACGGAGACAGTCTTGCTGACCTGCAAGAAAGGCTCGTATATCTCCCCTCGGGCCTCGAAGAACTTTTCAAGAAGATACTGGGCTGCATAGACGCCAGGTATCTGCAACAAGCTTCGCGGTACTTTCAGCTCGTACGGACAGCATCAGAGCCATTGTCCCTACTTACATTTTCATACGCCGAGGATGGAATCGACGTCGCTATGTGTGCTAAGATGCAAGCCTCGGAGCTCGAAGAAACCCTCCAACTCGATCGCAATGAGATGCTCGCTGAGATACTAGCTGAGAAGATGTTCCGAGCTGAGAATATGAGAAGACGTATAAATAGCCGATCTAAAGGCCTTCTAGAAGCTCCCGATTTTAAAACTCAAGGCTACGAGGCAACGGTTCAATACCTTCACAGGACTGTCAAAGACTTCTTGGCTCAAGATAAGACTGGAAAGTTGCTGCAGTCCTGGCTATCAGATCCGTTCGATGCTGATCTGCACATGTGTGCTGGGTACATGATCGGCGTGAAGCGCATTGATATCTCGCCATGGATTGATCAAGGCCTAGATCGTATCTCGAGCAATAGATTACAAGAGAACACCCGGGATTGGAATCGCCCAAATCAGGATTTCCCAACGCGCAGAACGGGGATTCTCCTCCCTTCAACTTTCCGCTATGGTAGAGTGAGGAGGATATCAGTCAAGACGTCCGAATGGTGAAGCTTCTACTTGAGCACAAAGTTGATCCCAACTTCCAGACGGCACGTGGTGAAACTACTTGGTGCTACATACTGAGCAAAGCGAGTGCGAATGACCATCAGAGCATCAAGACACAGTGGCCGGTGATTATAGGAATCTTGCTTGATGGTGGTGCTGATCCGAAAGTCAAGGTGAACATATTTGCAGCGGGCAAGAGATCACTTGCCGATATCGTGAAGGAAAACGCATATTGGTGGAGTCAGGATCCTGCTGATATTGAAAGACTTCGAAGAGTGTTAGTAGGTGCACAGAAGAAGGATAAAGTAGCTCGCTGGCAACCTGGCAAGTGGAAGAGTATTTCGGGATGGTTTGTGAGTGGCACGTCATTGAGACAGGGACGTCGTTTGCCCCAGGAAGCTTAAACATGCCCCCGCGTATATACACTGCGAGCCATGCTCCCGGTTCCCGATGAGGCGAAGAAGGTAGTGGCAGAGTCCAAGTTTTCCTAAACGTCGAGGCAGGAGAACCTTTCAACACTTACCACATCGAAAACATAGAGAAGAAGCAGGAAACAATACTGCTTTCGATTGTGGAACGGAGACGAGACACTATAGTGACATCGTTTTGGCGTGGGTCTCACTCGTTGATTGGCGGTGAAAATAGTGGAATAAACTGCATACAGAGACATTATACCAAGCATCATCTTTCATCCCAAACAAATCATCTCCCCAATTCATGTCCCACCATAATAACCCGTACCGCTACTAACGACTGAAAGTGCACCGGCCCTCAGTACGATCGCACAGCTATTGGAGTCCAGGCTCTGATAACGATGACAGCTGCCCATTCGTCATACTTTGTGATAATGGCGGAGGGGCTGAGAGCCAGCAACGTGATTGGAACAGTGTCCGAGGTTGGAAGACTTCGAGCGTGGATGGAAGACTTTCGGCGAGAGCTGAAGACTTCCAGCGAGGTTGAAGACTGTGACGAGTTGAACCACTCGTCACATGCTACGCACGTGGAATAGGTCCACCAGTGCCCGTATCATGTATAAATAGCCTTCGTCTCCCTCCGGGAGACTCTCTTCTCCTTTCCTTAGCTTAGTATCTTCGAATAGAGCAGTCTACGACGCCTTCATTGTGCTTTCTCGTACGTGCCGTCACAAAGACTTCCATCGAGGAGAACCAATCAAAATAAGATCCCTGCTAATCAGAACCAGAACCCGTCCAGATAGTAAAGAGCGGTGTCGTAAAACTATATCCGTACTCTCTGGCACATAAAAGAGTGTCAAAATAATATATTCCCATGAACAACTGTTGAAATAGAGTCAGTAGAGTTCTTCGTGGTAAAGAGGTTGAAGTTTGCGCTTGGACCACCTAATGGCATGTGCGCTCGTCAAATGTAGCCTTGCATCGAGAATGGGGCTCAGCTCATTCTCAAAACACCAACTTACAAAAATCTCCCCACAACCCAATTCAACAACCAACATCAAGTTTGGACTCGAATTAATTCCCATAGCCTGCACGACGTTAATTATCCCAACCCCCAATTTTCGGTGTCAAAAAATTTCGAAGCGACAGGAAATAGGGTGCACCCACTCGTGTCTCTCGGATGCTCGCTTATTTTTGGGGGAGGAACATCAAAAGTCTCAACACCAGTCTGGGTGATCGTGGAAGGCATTTTGAGCGCGAAAATTTGCGATGCGTGGTGATTTGAAGGTTAAGTGAGGTGGGAAGGCTGTGAGGAACTCGAATTTTGGAAAGATTAGAGGAGAAGAGAGGGAAAGTCTTGGGGAGGGTGGATTTATAGGGAGAGGAGGAGGATGGCGGGTTTGAGTCTTCTGGCTTGACGAAGGATTACTGAGGGTATAGAGAGAAGATACTGTCGTTAGAGGCCTTGAATACCGCCAGTTGAGATGATGGGATGGAATAGGCGGAAACCGAGAAGATTTACTGGTGTTTACGGCTGGAGGACGGGAAGAAAGGCTCACCGGTGAAGGATTAGGTATAAAATTCCTTTAAACAGAGCAAAGAGGACATGAAATAGCGTTGCAGGCACTGAAAGTGTGCTGTAGTCACAGTGTACCTCTGTATCTCACAGAGAACAAGGCGGTTTTGTGATGAGGGAGTCGTAGTCTCTGAATCAACCTCCTTTGTGACTCTGAATGGAGAGCACAAAGAGGGTCAATTGGAAGGGAGTTAGTGCACTGCTGAAGCTGATCATGAATAGCAGTCTAATATGAGGATAAGAGGTACTCTGTGTCCGTAGTGCCAGAAAGTGATGCTCAGAGATCTGTCCCATTGCCTCGAAATGCCATGAGATCTGTTGATCAGACTCTTACTCCACCACTCAACTCGTAACACCATAAGACATCCAAAGAAACCCTTGTTTTTAACACTCATGGCGTGGCTAGAGAACAGGAAACAAAATGCTACTAACATTGATCACGGTCTAACAAGTTGAACTGAAAGTGAGGATATGGTATGTTAGCTGGATGTTATAACAAACCATATAAAGCTCGCCAGCCACTTGGCATATTTTGCCTTGAAGGATTGAAGAGTATGCAAGCTAGATGCATAACAGAAGATATCCTTGCTGTTTGTGATAGTAGCAGAAGAGTCCCGTGTTGCGTCCTCCTTTAGACACTTCAAGAACCAGGACCCATGCCAACGAACGGCACTTTACATCAATTATTGCATTGATATCTCGCTATGTTACAGCGCCTAGCGTTCTTGCTTCGAAGTACAGGTACAGACTCCCCATGCTCCATAAAACGCCATAACAAACCAAGCCACCATCATAACCATTCATCCATATCCGTTCCGTAATGCACAAAGCAGACCATGTAATCTCCAAGGCCATATTATTACAGACCAAACCACTAACCACTCATCTCAACCTCTCCCACCAGGCCATAGTCCAAGAAGTCAGCGTCCTCAAAATCCATATCTTGACCAAACCCAGCATTCTCCTGTCCTACAATCTTAACTCCATCAGGAACCTTCCCATTCCACTTCTTCCGCCTCGGAACAGCCAGCACTCTCTCACCCAACACACTTCCTCCAATCCCATTCTCAACCTCCCCCTCCTCATCCTCAAAGAACCGTCTCTTCTGGCCCCCATTCCGCGAAGCATCGACACTAACATCACTAATCGTACTCCCCTGACTACTCAAAAACGGCATCTCCTCATCCTCAACGGCCACCGACCCCGAGTTATAGATCCCCCACTGCTGCTGCGCCATGCCTCCAACCTTCAAGATCCCACAGAACGGCGTAAGTTCCCTGGCCCCAGCCCGTGGTCTCGTCTTTGGCTTCTCAACCGCTGTGGGAGCGCTGGCGTCAGAGAAAAGCTGGAAGGCGGAGTAGCTGCTGCCGGTCTTGTAGCCTTCTGGTACGGATTTGCGGACGCGCATACCGACGCTCAGGAGGTTGGACTGCACGTTTGGCGGGAGGGGTGGGGAGCGGCCGTCGTAGGGTGATGGTGAGGAGATGTTTGGGGATGAGGATGCGGAGAAGTAGGAGGTGATCGAGGGTTGGGAGCCCGTGTAGGGGCGCTTTGCTTGGTGTGTCATTTTTTCCTTCTTTCCTTCTTTCTCTCTTTCCTTCACTTGGTGGTGAATTGCTTTTGTAGGTGTGAGTTCGCAGTTGGTGATACGAGGTTGTGTCGTAATTTCAGGGGGCGCGTGGAGCGGGTTTGCGACGAGCTTGGGATTGTGATGCTCAATTGACGCTCAGCAGCGATTGATGAAGCGACTGATGAGGTGGAATCCTCACGCTCGAGAGATTGTGCCGCAGGTGATGTTGCCAGTCAAGGAGGAGTTGGTGGGGTGGGATTCGGAGTGAAAGCAGGGCAGGTTGGGATCTTGTTCCTAAGCGCGTCGTCAAAAAAAGAGAACGCGGGGGTTTCGTGTTCAATAGCCTTACGTTTTTTTGTGGGTGGATTTATTGGTTGCTGCACACGAATTTTGAAGCGCAATGGCATTGAATTCACGAGAGGATCAGATTTTACTTTAGTACATTTTGAATCTTGTGTTATCTGAAATCTGTCTCGTGTTCACTTTCAAACCTGTTGGATATTGAGACATGTGAGTAGTAAAGTAAGGAGCAAGAAGACATGTCTCAGCAATTCTTCGACAGTAAAGTGTCGTAGATATACAAATAGGTTCCCAGATTAAGTCACAATGGCACATCATAAAGACCAGACAGCAGTTTGTGGAGATCTTATTTTCGTATGCACAAAGCCCAATAATCACCCGCTGGGTATGTAGCATTCCTCAATAAGCAAACCACATCCTCGCATCAGATGAACCATCTATCAGGATAGCTCTCTAAATACTCAAGTGATCAGCCATTTCTGCTCCTCCCCATGCAAGTCTTATTCGCATATCGAGACAAACATCCACCGCTACCACCTCGGAAAAAGAAAAAGAAAGAAGTTCGGAATTTGATGCAAGATATCCGGAAGTTCCCAAACGCCCTTATTTTGCTGCTCAAGGATTTTTGGTCGATGTCCATCTTCTATCCGTCAAATATGCGCAGGAGAAGTGAGAGCCAAGCCGTCTAAGACTCTCATGATGGATGACGTGAATGCATAACCAGAACGAGCCAAGGAAAGGAGACGAGGAAGACATGTCTACTTTCTTCGGAACGAGCAGCCCTCAGTCAAACGAGCCTTTCCACCTGTCGGTTGGCACAGGACGGTTGAGCAGCCGGCGCAGATGACGACGGTTTGTGCGTGCGAGAAGACGGTGGTGATGGTGAAGCAGCCGGGGCACTTGACATCCATGAAGAAGGATCGTGGAGCTGGGACAAGGTTCTGGTGGCAAAATCAGTTCCATCATTATTCTTGTGTATAAAGCTTTGTATTTGAAGGTGAAATCGTACCTTAAGCTTGTGCTTGCGAGCCTCAGCGGCAGGAGTTGGGTTAAGGAGATCAACGGCGAGAACCTAAACAGGCAGAACCACGTTAGTAGTTGTACTTCAATATCCATCCTGCAGTCCATCTACAATCTCAATCATCTGCGTATCATCCCAAGGACTCCATCGACCGAGTTCCATATCGATATCTACAACTTCGAGCCCGAGAAATGTAGGTCGTGTGCCAATTTGCCTTCACCGCACAAGTCGTAATGGGGAATTTCGAGAGGGGATTTCCTTACCATTTTGACGGTTTATGATCGAATCGGTGATAGATGTCTGTAGACTGACGGGTCTTTCGTCGATTGCGATGGTGTTGAAGACGTAGAGAGCGGAGGTCAGTCGATTGTCGATGATTTTGGTAGAAGGGAAAAGAGGGGATTTGACTTCATCAATTTTCGAGACCAGTGTGCGAAAATTCGCTTAGGTGATGCACTAGCGAGTGGCGGCCTGAGGCTGTAAATGGCAATACAATGATTTCATTGGTTCGAGCTCGAACCCTCAATGCATCAAGAAAGTTCCATGGGAAAATTCATGAACGTATGTTACATGTAATAAATGTTATTTCACGATTCTCGGTGGTAATGATCGAGCGTACATACCTGAAATTCACTTTGATGTACGCATAACACCTGACACGGAAGCCTCACTTGCTTGCTCAGCCCATCTCCAGGCCACCACATTTTGGAGGGGTATTTAGGAGGGGCAACAAGCGTGCGACAACAACAATATCTCATCAACCATGGCAGCACCTAAAGAGGAAAGAATTGCAGTACCAATAGACGACCCAAATGCAGATACTGAATGGTACATTTCCCTCTTTCTGCCTCACTACTCTAGCTAATGAATCTCCAGGAATGACATCCTGCGCAAACACGGCGTCATCCCCGAGAAACCTCCCTCTCCAACCCCATTAATCGAAGAAGCAATCCTCGAAGGCCGCCGCCTGGCCCACGAAAACCGCCTCGAAGGCAAAGACCTAGACGAGCTTGACGAACTCGAAGATTTAGAAGACGAAAACTTCCTAGAAGCGTACCGGCAGCAGCGAGTGCAAGAACTTGCGTCACTCACAAAGAAAGCGGTTCATGGCACCGTGTATCCGATTTCGAAACCGGACTACTCGAAAGAGGTAACGGATGCGAGTCAAAATGGGCCGGTTCTGGTTAATTTGACGAGTGGGCTGGGGACAAATATTGAGAGTAGGGTTTTGACGGAGTTGTGGAGGACGGCGGCGAGGGAATATGGGGAGGTGAAGTTTTGCGAAATTAGAGGGGATATGGCGATTGAGGGGTATCCGGATAGGAATTGTCCGACGATCTTGGTGTATCATAAGGGAGATATTGTCAAGCAAGTTGTGACGCTGATGACAATGAGCGGTGTCAGAATTGGCATGCCGGAGATTGATAAATTACTGGTGGAAGTGGGTGCAGTGAAGGACAATGATATGAGGGACATCAAGAGGATACGGGATGCTGAGGAGAGAGACGAGGAAAGAAAGGAGCATGGTGGCATTAGAGGAGCACAGAAGGCGAAAGTTGAGGATGAGGACGACGATGATTGGGATTAGATTCGAGCATATTGCATAGCATGGGCGTCACGGCGCAGGAACGAGAGCTATAGGCCTCATAAAAATGGTATCTTCATTGCATATCTTGCTACTGATGATCAATATCCCAGCTTGCATCAGATATCGACTACACTACAGCAGATGGCTTGACATCACCATCTTTCAAGCTGCTCAGAGCTGGCGTACCAGGAGCCGGTGGTCCCGAAAACTTCGTTTGCACGAAAGTCTTCATGATACCCATCTCTTTCTTGTCAAAAGCCTCATACAACTCCCTGAACTCATCAATCTTAAATCGATGCGAAAGGATGATAGTAGGGTCAAACTCCCCGCTCTCAATCTTCCCCAAAAGCTCCTTCCAGTACTTCTGGACAGGAGCTTGACCAGTACCTCGCAAAGTGATACCCTTCTCCATCAAAGCACCGATTAGGAACTGGTTGGTCATGGCGGCATAATCAGCGACGAGTGAAATCGTGCCAAATTTTCGAACTGCACGTAGAGCTTCGTTGGGAATTTCGCAGCTGTCCGTCTCAAGTCCAATAGCGTGTTGAATGCCGTGGAGAAGTCCTTTGGTGTATCTGAACGCCGCTGCGTCGATACCGCAATCTACTCCCTCTGGTTCGAGCTTGTAGATCGCATCGACGACATCTTTCGTCTCGTCAAAGTTGATGATATCGCAGCCAATCTTGTTTTCCGCGAGATCCAGACGCTCCTTAACACGATCGATGACAATGACTCGACGAGCACCTGCGAGCTTGGACCATTTTGCGCAGTACAAGCCAATGGGACCAGCGCCCCAGATTGCTACACTCTTGCCTTTGGTGACTTCAGCGCACTGCACGGCGTGGTACGAAGTGGGGATGATGTCTGAGAGGTAAAGTGCTTTCTCGTCTGGAACACTGTCTGGGATTTTCAGGAGATTGGTGTCTCCAAACGGACAGCGAACCCATTCGGCTTGGCCTCCAGCAAACCCACCCGCAAAGTGAGAGTATCCAAATAGACCAGCGAATGGTTTGCCGTAGAGCTTCTCTTGAACAGAAGATGAATTTGTCGTGTCACACATCGAAGATAAACCCTCTTTGCAAAAACTGCAAGTACCACAGCTGAATGCCAGTTAGTGAGTAAAATGAGGTTTTCGAACTGCAACCTACGCAATCTGGAAAGACGCAACGACTCGGTCGCCCTTTTTGACGTTCTTGATGTCGGAACCCACCTCGTCTACTATGCCCATCCATTCATGACCAAGGATGTCACCAGCTTGTAGTTGAAGGATTTCCTTGTGGTAAAGATGGAGATCTGAGCCACATACTGTTGTCCCTGTCACTTTACAGATGACATCAGTAGGTTCAGTGATAGCTGGTACAGGAGCTTCAACAACGCGGACATCTGGAAATGTTAGTGGGCTATGATCTGAAGAAGAGGACACATGGCTTACCTTTGTTTCCGAACCATTGAAGCGTGAGTTGCTTTTCTCCCTCACGCATGTTTGGGGTGTTAGTTGTAGAGGTGGGACGGTCTCCCATGGCCTTCTGTGCCTGATTGGCAACAGTGGTTGTGATACCTGGCGGAGTGATTTTGACGTTGTCCATAGTGATAATTGTAAGAGGGTTGAGTTCTTGGAGTTTGATCGAAAGCTAACACAGCGCGCGATGGGAAAAGTAGCTACATTATATGTGAACAGCAGGATGAGCTATACTAACTGATGACATGGAAAAACTAATCGGCTTTGTCAACAAATTGCATGTCATTGCAGTAGGAATCTGTGACTACGTCATGACAATTCTGATATTGAAGCTTTGAAACCCTGTACATGCCATTGCCGAGCCATCTCTTTGCCTGACAGAGTAATACGTAAGCAAATACTAATAGCCACAGTGAGCTAAACCTCGACTTGGAAATATGACAGGCATTGCGAACATATAGGAAACAGTCTACAGGCCAGGAGCTTTAGCTGACATCGGAGATAACTCTCCAAGCGAGGTGGCAAACGCAAAATCCCCAGAGTCTCAGAAGGGGGGCACCAGAAGGGGGGCACTATCATAAGCTTCATGAAGGTTCAAACATGAGTATGGTCATACAGGGACAAGGTCCCGAGAGCACAGTAATAATTCGTGGTGACGTGTGTCAAAGAAGAACAAATCTCGAGAACACGATGCCGGTCTGGCTTCTCCTAGAAGAAACTTCGGACCTTTCGAAGAATACCAAGGTAGAAGGCAGAACGAAGACTTTATTGTCCTCTTATTGTTGAAGTAAATATCTTTCGCCTCGTAGAAATAGGATTGAATGGAAGATTCTGAAATGGAAGAGGTATTTTCAAGGTTGCCCGGGGTTAAAGATATCGAGGCACGTGCCAACAAGGCCAAGCGGCCGATCGACGCGCTGTTTACATTCAAGTATCCCAAGAAATCTCACACCTCTTCCCATTGACGCCATTCTGGCAGCAATACTCGGTATATTTTGAAACCATGGCAGACGATCTTCCACTTCCTCAGCTTCGATCGGATCCTACTACTGAGTCATTTACCAAGAATGCCGCTCGAAAACGCGCGCGTCTCAGCAGTCCTCCCGTGTCCAGCGATCCCGCCCTGTTCTCGAGCGATGATGATCCATCTGCAGACAATTATACACAAGAGCGGAGGAAGAAGAAGTATAGAGGCCCATGGTATCACCAAAGACCGGCTTCGGATGCGGGCCAGGACTCTGAAGATGCTCCCGAGAAGAAGAGGAGGACCTTTGAAAGACAATTCGACAGTGGGGTGTTCATGGGCAGTGATGGCACAGATGTAGACGAAGTGCTGGAGGAGCTCGAGTCTAGGAATGCTTCTACGTTACCGTTGCCCCTGAGTCATTCGCATAGAACTCAAGCCGGGCATCGGGTGGCAACCACAGAGGAAGTTGTGAAAAGTCAAATTCACGGGTGTTTGGAGGAGGGCAACGAAAATATTGATTTTTCGTAAGTAACTTGGCCAGTATTTCGATCAATCTAACGAAGTTAGCTCTCGAGGGCTGAAGCGGCTTTCCAATGCCACTATCCGACCTCTCGCTACCTTTGCACGCGTTCCGCCGGTCATAGAAGGCGTTTACACTCGGCTAGAGCCAAAATTGAAGGTCTTTCTAGCATCGAATGATCTCACATCACTTCCTGGAGAGATTTTCAAGCTTGACCATCTAATTGTGTTAAGCTTACGTGGGAATCAGTTTGAAGAGCTTCCTCCTGGAATTGGGAAGCTTTCCAGTTTAAAGGAGCTAAATCTGTCACAGAATAGTCTTCGTTGTCTGCCATTCGAGATACTTGAACTCTTTTCCGATACCAGCCGTCTTAACAGTCTCAATCTACACCCGAATCCTTTCTACCAGCCAGAAGTTCCACCGAATCCCGAGGATGACAGACAAGAGGAGGAATCCCAATACAAGATAGGACTTGGGAATCGTGGGCGGACAAGGCCTCGGCGTGGGGCTGTATGCGGTGTCTCACCCGTGCAGAGACGACGATCTTGGCATTCGCAATGGAGTGTGACATACCAAGTTAGGACAGAAGTCAGATATCTCGACATCAATGGGACACGGCTGAAGGGTCCCGACTTTTCCAAAGACACTGCCCGTATACCTGTGGCAGATGTTAATGATACTCCCCAAGCCCCTACGTCTCGAGGCGACTATAAGTCTCGTGCTCCGTCTCTGTTGGAAGTAGCTTTGAACGCCTGTTCTCGCACATCCCAGCTCCCACTCCTTCCGTCATACCTCCCAGAGGATAGTCCGCCAGTCCTGATCGACCTTTTGACCTTTGCTGTAAGCAAGAAGGATTCCGGAGGAAGCAAATGTACGACGTGTGGCCGAAATTTCATCGTTCCAAGAACGGAATGGATCGAATGGTGGGAGATTGCCAAGGTGCTTGACCGTAATGGGATGGCGAGTGCAGCAAGCCCTTTGAGACAGATGGAGAACGAGAGGGACGTCTTGGAAAGTATGGTCCCTCTTATGCGTCGAGGCTGCAGCTGGTTATGTGTTCCAGAACCAGTGACCGTTGTGAACGGCAGCGCAGCAGCTGATGAGACAGAGCTTGCCGATTAATATTGTACATATAATTATAAGCACGAGGCTAGCGAGGGGTTTGGAGTTTTGACGCTGCTTTGTAGAGGCAAATGTCTATTTTCTATGTTGTTGGCACCCTTTGTTCGTCCATTTCTGACTCGATGATTATTGTGCTATATATTTCGTTCCAAAGCAGCTCGCAGCTTCGCAAGATGTTTCCCTGTATTTGCAGCCAATCCGTCATTATCCTCGGTTTGGAACTCCCCTTCCCATGCCAAACTGCAAACGCTGACATTGCTCAAGCTCGGCATCCTCACCCAGAATAAAAATCGCCAAATCTCCCAAACTCCATCTCGATAATCAACTCCTGCAAGTCCTGCACATCGCCAAATGCTATTACGTCCAACCAATTTCCCCATCAACGGAACCAACCCCTCCTATTCCCCTCTATCGGCTGCACCAGTCTAACCCTAACACATTCCTTCCTATACCTTTCTCTGAACTGATCAGCGGGTCCACCCTTCGCCAACCGCAATAGCAATCTTCTCCTCGCGATGTAGTTCGCGAGATACCATGTTGAGAATGAAGAACCCGATCACCATGAGCGTGATTACGACTATTATCTCGGCGGGGAGCGCGGGGTACGCGGCAGGGTCGTAGCGGGAGTAGGGCGCGTGGCATATTTGTGTGGGGTGAGTGGTGGATGTGGAGGTGGAGGATGTCAAAGTGGATGATGTTGTGTCCATGGTTATGCTTGTATGAGGTAGGTGGTTGTTTTGTACCAAGATGTTGATTGACGGCGATTAGAAAGACCGTGGCAACAATTTGCAAGGGTATCACGAGAGCTTGTTTGGGGAAGAAGAATTGAAATTCGACAAATTCATGGTGTAAGAGTTCGGGAGGATCCGTCATGACAAGAGTTTGTTGACGTATGGCTCAGTAATAGCTTATCGGACCTTAGTTACCTTGAGGTTCAAATAACGACTTTCTCCCCCGATACTCACGAGAAAGATCATGTTCGAAGAAAAAGTCAAAGTGGGAGAAATGTTCACTTGGATATACTGGGACAGTATGTCGCTGTCGCTGCTGAGGACTCCGCTGCGTTCCGCTCGGATCTCGTGCTTGTTCCGCCGTGGTGGAACCTATTAAATCACCGCTCCCACTGAGGAGGCGTTCCGCCTGCGGCCTCTGGCTCCACAATTTTCCGACTGTTCATGCTGCTGCTCTTCTGCAAATCCGCCTAGCGGCTGAAAAGATTGCTTTTCCTCCACATTTATGCGGTGTATCATGCGGTCAGTCGCCGTCGGCAAGACATCGTCTCTAGTGAGACATACTCCACACCCTAATTCGGCTCAAGTCGCCAAATGCGTATTGTTTTTGCTTCTTCCGCCGCTTGCCGTATCTTGGCAAGACACTCTATTTTGCCTTCTACCCTTGAAATTTCGATTTGAAAGACAATGGCTTCCGATAATGTGCATTGGGACTCTTCAACGATCCGGGTCGTAGATCCACGTGGGGTCGGATCACGCTTGGTCGAATATTGGACCTTCTCTTTCCACTTCTTCTACGTATTGAAGCATTCCGTTTGCTTGAGCTCTGCACACGGCTAAGAAAGTATGGCAGGCAAGTGCTGCAAGTCTGGTTTCCTCGAAGCGACGGTAAATACAACAGTCCCGGCTCCAATCGTCGTCGGACCTAGTCAATACTGTACAACCCTACCCTGTCGTCACTCTTTCACATCTAACATGGCCCAGGGGAAGGCAACGATGGACCTTGGTCAACTTTCACAGTCCAGGTCGGATCACCGGCCCAAGATGTCCGGCTTTTGATCTCTACTGCGGGAACCTCAACCTGGGTCGTAGTTCCAGAAGGCTGTACGACAGATGACCCTTCGAACTGTCCAGATCTCCGAGGTCAAGAATTTGTGAACCACTCTTCAACGACTTGGCAGTTTGACAAGTTCTATACTTTTGGAGTGGACGAGAACCTGGGAGTAGATGGTAGTGCGGAATATGGATTCGACAATGTGGGGATCGGATGGCAGGGTAGCAGCGGAGCAACAATCTTGAACCATCAAATTGTTGCTGGGTTTGCGGCACAGGAACTTTGGCTGGGACTATTCGGACTCAATCCAAGACCAATCAACTTTACAGACTTCAATGACCCGCAGCCGAGTTTCGTGCAGTCGTTGAAGAACAAATCGATGATCCCCAGTTTGACTTGGTCATACACTGCTGGCGCACAATATCGTAAGCTCTTAGTCTAGTTGAACGATATACTGCTGATCACAAATACTAGAGTCCGAGGGTGTGTCTGGAAGTCTTGTATTTGGAGGTTATGATGCTTCGAGAGCAGGGTCCACGAACATGAGTTTTGCTTTCGGTCCTGATCAGTCCAAAGACCTCACTGTTGGCTTGCAATCCATATCTGGCTCAATCGCAGGGCAGAAGCAGTGGGATCTCCTTCCTCAAGGGATCTTTACCTTCATCGATTCGACTACACCGTATATTTGGCTTCCGTTAGCTTCATGTCAAGCATTCGAGAAAGCGTTTGGATTGGTCTGGAACAATACCATTGGCTTATATCTTGTGAACGATACCCTGCATGCAAAGTTGTTGAACCAAAATGCAAGCTTTGACTTCAAGATTGGGAATACAACAGCTGGAGGTTCAACGATCGATATCACACTTCCATACGCGAGCTTCGACTTGACTGTGGGGTATCCTATAGTGCCGAACAATACGAGATACTTTCCAATCATCAGGGCTGCTAATGATACCCAGTATACTCTTGGACGAACGTTCTTGCAGGAAGCGTAAGTTTGTCATGCCACAATTTGTACGATAAAGGACTAATAACATCTTGCTAGCTATCTTACAGCAGATTATGAACGCTCTCAATTCTACCTTTCGCAAGCTAATTACGCAGGAGCGCCAGAGCATATTATTGCCATTCCATCAATCAACGCAACGACGCCACTTGGCAATACACCATCAAAACCACCAAGCCCTTCAAGCCCGCCCCTCGCCGCAATCATCGGCGGCGTAGTTGGCGGTATCATACTGATCGTCATTGCCATTTGTGCATACCTCTTCATACGACATCGCCGCCGCAAAGCAAAGAAGGAAGAAGTCCCACCCTCACCCAAGGAAGAAGATGACTCCTATCCCTTCGACAAGAAAGTCCAACCCGAAGAGCCACCTCTCCCAGCAGAAGTAGACGCCGGTCCCATACGCCCCATATCTGAGGTCCCCGATTCCTCCTCTCCCCGCCACGAACTCGCGTCTCCGCTTCCGTCCGTGATCTTCGAAATGCCCGGCGACTTCCCCACAGTCCCAGAACTATCATCACCAGATGGACGTTTGGGCTCAGAACAAGAACTCCCGTCTCCAGATGGTCGTCTCTCGCCGGCGATTTCAGATTTCCCTTCTCCGCTTCTTGGGCGGGCGTCGCTGGTATCGTACTCGCCTGATGGCCGAGTTTCGAGGGCAATCTCGATGTCGGAAGTTTCGTCGGGCGGAGGAGATGATCGTAAATTTTCGGAGGTGCCGTCGCCGGTTGAGGGACTGTCTCCTGCGTCGTCGACGCAGGTTTCTCCTGTTGTGAGGCAATCGAGGGTTATGACGGAATTGTTGAAGACTGTTGAGGATTTTCAGGAGCCTGATGAGTGAGTGGATGTTGAGACAAGTAGTTCGTTTCGATTTGTTTGTATTGGCGTTAGGAAAAAGTTCTATGTCAGACTATCTCGAGCCTTGTCCACCATATTTTGATCTTCTATTGGTAATCCGGAATGCTGCGTCAGGGCAAAGGACTTACCTTCCCAAAATGATACTTTTAGGCGATTGGAACGCTCACATGTTCCTTTAACTTTGCTCAACCTTCCGTCTCCTCCTTGCTTCTACCCTTAACTTACTCCAGCGCGCAGCCAACGTCTCCACCAATCCGAGCACGTGTATTAGTCATATAAGGTTCGTAGGGCTCTATCATTCGGCGATCAATATTTTTGCGGCAGGAGAGTTAGTCGGAGAGGTTCTCGCCTAGTCTGAACGGGGCAGCTGCATAGTTCGGCCCTATATTGTCTACATGGAGGATGTCACTGTCTCCAATCCATGGGTCCGTCTTTGGGTATCTAGCCTACTCATATGCAGGAGGGGCAGGGACTGAAAAGGGGAAGTGGCGAGGGTTCCCAAATCTCGAAGGCTGTATTGTGGTTCAGACCTATTACTCTTGCGATCACGCCTTGCAGTCATTGAACCTTCACTTTATGCTAGAAAAACTTCGGCTAGACCTTGAAGAGCATTCGATGCGCATTTGATCTAATGGCGCTCTTGCCATTCCTGTGGCCAGTCTTTCAATATCTCTCTCGCCGCTCATTCATAGCAAAAACTATCATGCAGGAAAGTCTGCGGAGCATTGCCTATCGTGCATGGCGCTCTTAGTCGAATTATCTTTGCGGCTACGGAAAACTCGAGCACTAACGGCAGCATCTACTTTTGCTTTCGAGCAAATAATCACCTTGTTTGAGGTCTGACAATTGGGTTTATGTTATAGAAAGGAACCAGAAAAAGCGCTGTTGAGGGCGATACGTTCTGAAAGTCCTTATAATCTGGTCTTGAATCTGGCAGGACAATGATACAACAGCCCAAAGAAGACACTTGGTCAGGCTTGTTGGCCGTGAGCACGTATAACCGAATAGTGCCAGGTTGAGCTTAACTATCTGACAAGATTTGTCCTTGTCGTTGCGATTGTGATGTGCAAGTTTGATGTCAGCATGAGGGAAATGGAAGCAGATTTCAGATAATTATTTGACGCCAGAAATTAATCCATTTCAATGTGTTTTGTGAGTTTAATATTTGATTGGGTGCAAGAAACTGGTACAAAACCCAAAGGCCGTGGTTTTTCAGCTAAATTGAAGCTGATTCTGAGTGCTTAGGTAGTGACCGGCAAACCTCAGCGTCTGATTGGTGTCTGAGAAATCTTCAGAACAACAGAATTGAGTAGCAAACCAGTAATAGTTATGCTATGCAAAAGATATACCGTTCTAGTATAACTTGAAAAGCCAGGCCGAAAATGAAGACGAAAATATGAGAAGATGATGACAGATGACGATACCCCGCGGCATCCGCTCACGCTTTCACATTTTAGGTATGATCGTCAATCTTGTACTTGGCATTAAGTAAGCAACATAATCATTTAATTTCGAGCGCTCCTGCACATTGATCCTTTAAGTGGAGACCTGTGTCTTCCCCTCTTTTGCGTAATAAGTACGCCATTATAATTTCGTTATGCTTTCACGATCTTTCATCAATTTCATGTAGACCATAACCCAAGTCCTTGAAAACCAGGACTGACAAGATGGACATTGCAATGGGGTTTTCACGCTTGGATTGGGTCCTAATCTTTTTGGTCCCGTTATTGCAACTTTCTGACGGGCTACTACACAAGGAGCAAACCCAAATAACCAACAATACCCACTTTGACTACATTATTCTAGGTGGGGGAACGGCGGGCATTGTGGTTGCATCGAGACTGTCTGAGGATCCACACATCACTGTTGCAGTCATTGAAGCAGGAGATTTCGAGAGAAACAATCCCAACGTAACGACCATCACTGAACTCGGCGTAGCACAAAAAACACGTGTTGATTGGCAATATGAAAGTGCTCCCCTAATTTTCGCAGACAATCAAAGTCTTGAATGGAGTGCTGGAAAGGGGCTTGGCGGCTCAAGTCTAATCAATGGTAGGTGTGATCTGACAAGTGAGAGAGGGCAGGTGCTGACCTTTTATCTTAGGAATGACCTATATTCGCCCTGCCAGTTCCCAAATGGATCTCTGGCCTTCAATAGGTCTGGAGCTGGATTGGGCCAAGTTGTTTGCTTTCTCGAAGAAAGGAGAACATTTCCAGCCTCCATCAGCTTCCCTCACTGCTCTAGGCGCCTCTTACCAACCATTTGATCATGACTTCCGTGGTCCGCTTAAAACATGCATTTCTCCACTAATGACGAGTGGCATTATACACGATATCTTAAATTCTACTTTCAAAAATCTAGGAATTCCTCCCAGGCATGAATTTGACGGCGGCGAGCTAAGAGGCTTTGGAACTCAAGCGTGCACCCAAGATTCGGTTGCCGAGGTCAGGGAAGATGCAGCTCGGGCGTACTACTATCCTGTGATGGATCGCCAAAATTTGGTTATCATGGTCAATACAACAGCTACCAGGATTTTATGGTCCCCAGAAAACCCAGAAGGAATCGCAATTGCTTCCGCCGCCGAGGTTAGCAGCCAGAATGGGGATGTTTCGACGATATACGCGAACCGCGAAATTATTCTTTCAGCGGGCGCATTCAGAAGCCCTGCAATTCTAGAGAACTCTGGGATCGGCAATCCATCAGTCCTGTCTCAGCAGTCCATTGACGTTAAGGTTGATCTTCCCTCAGTGGGCGAGAACTTCCAAGATCAGACTGTGCTCTCCGTGTCCGCCGAGATAACGCAGAACTTCACTGGCTTTCCCCCTTTCGTCGCACATATCTCGTTGCACGATCTTTTTGGCTCGAACACCTCATCCATCTTCAATTCGACTCTGGCCAAGATACCAGGCTATGCCGCAACGATCGCGGCCCAGAATGGAGGGGCAAGTAATGCCTCTGTGCAACAACACCTCCTTGAAACCCAACTATATCTCCTTCTGAAGTCGAACACACCAGCCGTCGAGATCGCGCCTATCGTACTTAACAATCTCATTTTCCCCGTCTTCTGGCCTCTTCAGCCCTTCAGCAGAGGAAGTGTGCATATAAACAGCACAAACAGAACCAAACAGCCATTGATCGATCCTAAATTCTTTCAATTCGACTTTGACGGACAGATGGCGGTTGCAACAACAAAATACGCTCGCAATTTCCTTACAACCGCACCCCTCTCTGGAATTGTCAATGCATCAACAATCACTCCCAGCTTCGAACTCGTGCCCGAAGATGCAAGTGACGAAGTCTGGCTGGATTGGATCAAAACGAAGTCTTCCTTTCAACCTAATTTTCATCACTTGGGAACATGTGCAATGTTGCCGAAGACGAGTGGCGGTGTTGTAGACAACGACTTCAAGGTGTACGGAACAGGTAATGTCCGTGTGGTGGATTTGAGCATAGTTCCACTTCAAGTAGCGGGACACTCGACGTCACTGCTATACGGTATTGCAGAGTGGGCGTCGGAAAAAATTAAACGGGATGGACGGAATATAACCGTAGTGTAATGAAACCAATATTGAGAGAAGTAACCAGCTATAGGTTGGCTATCTTTTAACAGCGTCGACTGTTTCGCATATCGTGACAAAGGACGCGAGTCGGCTTCAATCTTGGAAATTGAAGGTAAAGAGTATTGGAACAAGATAGATACTGTGGGGCTGAGATCAAGGCCTTATTTTCAGTCTCTTTCTCAGTGGCGCTGGTTAGCTGTGGCTAGCTCTATATTCTCTAAATCTGTACGAATAGCAGGTGCAGTCCATAAACTAAGGCTGCCATACCTGAGTAACATGCCATTCATGAATGGTGGGGTCCTGTTTACGATTAGCAACTATTTACGTATGGACAAGAACAAATCTCGTAACTCATAGCTCTTGAAAGAGCCGCAGGAGGAGTTCGGCCTTGGATGTCATTTTGAGAAGGTAGCAAAGGGGGGTTAAGCGAGAGAGGTGGCAATCGACCAATCAATGTCAACGAAGATCTCAGGAACCGAATACCCTTGATATATGAAAATATGGTCACATTACCATTTCAAAAGCACATTCTGCGTCGTTGGAATTGTAAGGATAATGATTCCAAATCCTCGCCCCAGATGCCTCGGTGCGATGCACTGCAGATGTTAGCGCGGTGGATTTCCATATGCAGGCCATTATGCTTAAATTCGGCGCATATTGTGGATCCTTAGATATCAAAACAGTTGCACAAAGGGGCAGGTAGTCCAAATAAGGTACCATCTCCGCTTGCACTTCCGAGACCAGATTGATCTCCATCCAAGCCAGATTTTGGCAAGGCCTCCAATTGGATTTAGGAAACAAACATCTGCGGGAGGCTTGCAAGGATTGATGCCTTGGAAGGATTCTAGATATCAAAATACACGTAACCAATGAAATTCATTGCTGCAGTTACGGCATTCTAGACGGTACGTCAATTACATGGGTCATTTTAAGCATGAATTACTCGCGTATGCACGAAAGGCGCAACTGCCGAGGATTCTGTGGCAATCTGTTGACCACCTTCCGAATTAGTCAGATACAAGGGCATTGAAAGTATAATCAAAGGAAGACCTCACCCACTCATATAGTCTCCTTCTACGTTGGATTCTTGGCCTTGTCGTCTCCCCTTCCTTCAAATGCGAGTGACATTGTCTGAATTTGTTTCATGTGCCATCTTTACGAGAAAGTGCTCATCCTCACCCCCATCGACTGGGCAAAGATTGCCAACACGCCTTCCTATTCAATTGTAGTTCTTGAATTCATACTCTGGCTATCTGCTGATCTCAAGCCTGGATCACGGCCGCGCTATCAGTGACATTCTTGAAGCACCTTTATCTCCTTATCCATAATCTATTGCTTTTGTCCTGTGGGATGTCTGCATACCAATTAGTGTAGGAAGAGTAGATTGGTACCACTTTTTGATGCCAGGGCCGGGAAGATCTTGACCTTGACCAGAGTGCGGACTAAGGTCGATAAACAAAAGATTAAGTTCCAAAGTCAATGAATTTGTTGAGATTTGTTGAGATTTAACAAATAAGCTACTATGGAGATATGGAAGTCGAAGTTGGTGCGGCGTCCTTCACATCTTTTCGGTTCGATCTGGTTCTGCAGTGGTGAAGTATAAACTAGTGTGGAGGGCCGATTTCGGGGGCAATGTGTGGGATAGGAAATGCTGTTATCTCGGCACTGTCTTGAGCTGTTTCTGGAAGGTGTGCTAGAAGCCTGGTTATCAAGTAAACAACCTTCAGTCTTCCAACTATCAAACGCGTTCCTCACCAAATCTGTCTTCATGTGAAGTAGATATAAATCCGAATAAAGCCTGCCATCTTGTTCATCTTGTTTAAAAGATCTCCTCAGTTAGAACCTGCACCTTCAAGCAGATCTTTTTGTCTTTGGGTTTTGTTCTGTCATAAAGTCGTATCAATCACGATGAGCCTACAGAACAATCCCCCAATTTCACCACCAAGAAATCCACAAACTCCTCCGCCACACACAATGTTACCATCATCAACGGCAGCCGCAACCAGAGCTCTTGCTCAGAGTATCAATCAGATGACTGCGGTCTATTTCACAGCCTCGGTTGCTGCTCTGTGTGCCCTGCTAATCATTGCTCACCTTATCAACGATCTCTCTCTGAGACATTGCTCCCATGAGAAGAGGCCTGGAGAAAGAAAGGGTGTAGTTGCAGCACGGTATGTTTGCTTCTTCAAATACTTCGACTCTGCTTAATTGTATAATCAGAATTATCAGAAGCTGGCTGCTCTGCAAAGCTCCCCTTTTCAATAGTGTTGGCCAATCACTTGTTTTCGCTGCATACCTCCTCATAAACGTGGCTCTCACGCTACAAAACCTTGATCTTGATGTGGTTCACAATTGGGCAAAGCGCCTGGGTTGGTATGTTACTCTTGAAATTGCTAATTAATAGAAGCTCATTGTACAACAGGATAACCACGTGTAATATCGCATTTATTACCTTCCTGGCTTTGAAGAATACCCCACTCGCATTTCTTAGTTCATACTCTTACGAACGTTTGAACATCTTGCATCAAGCTGCTGGTTACTGCACAATTATCTTCACGATATTCCATGCCATCTTCTGGATCTGGGCTGGAGCTGAAAGTGGCTCTTTACACATATTCCTCGAGCTTGACAATATTATGGGTATTGTTGCAGGTTGTGCAATGCTTGTTATACTTTTCACAGCCGGGATCCTTCGCCACTTTATATATGAAGCCTTCTATGTCACCCACATCACGATGTTCATGTTGGTTCTGATAGCCGCTGCAATGCATCACCCAGATCTCAGCAGCAAGTCAACCTATATTACAATCTTCGCAGCATGCATATGGTTCTCTGACAGGCTACTTCGAGGGGCTCGGACTCTGTGGTACTCAATGAGCAACCGTGCAACAATTCATGCATTACCACTTGGGGGTGTTCGGATTATCATGCGACGTACTCCATGGAGAGCAGTTCCGGGTAGCCATGTTTTCCTTTGGATACCTAAGGCTAGAGCATCGGAGACTCACCCGTTCACAATCGTTTCGACCAACCCTCTTGAGCTTGTCGTCTCACCACATGATGGCTTCACGAGAGACTTGTCCTCTCTTGCTTCTTCGATCCCAGGAATCTCTTTGAGAGCTTCTTGTGATGGTCCATACGGCACACTGCCCAATTTTGCACTGTTCAATCATCTTGTCCTACTTGCAGGGGGCAGTGGGGCCACGTTCACATTTGGTGTTGCTCTTAATCTCATTCGAAAGATGACAGGTGTTAGAATGAGACTAGTTATCCATTTTATTTGGGTCGTCAGAGATAGTGGTACGCTTCTTTTCTTTTTTCTACTCTCTCTTTAATCAAGTTCCTACTGACAAGCCCTAGAAATGCAGAGCTGGTTCGAAAAGGAGCTTGCAGAACTATCCGCATGTCCAGCAATGAACCTTTCCATATATGTCACTGGCGCTGGCAATACAACAACGAATCCAAAAGATACCAAAGAAGACTCAGATGCGACGATCACACAAGCACAGAATCTTGAGAACTTGAACACCGATCCTGAGAAATTGGAACCGGACACACATTCTCCATCCACGTCCGAGTCGGCTCAATCGACTTTGCCTGTCATCCTAGGTCGGCCTGATATCAATGCCATAGTTCGATCCATTGTGTTTGGTACAGAAGAGCAAGAAAGAACCATCGTTGCAGCGTGTGGACCCAATGGCCTTATGCGAGACACTCGAGCTGTTGTTGGAGATCTATTGGTAACTTCTGGAAGAAGTGTCGAGCTGCACTGTGAGCAATTCGGCTGGTAGGATATCGTTGATGGCTGCTTGGTTGGAGTGATGGAGTTGAATGTATTTGTTGAATCGGAGTTCATAGTCCTCGATAAGTAGAGAGGAGACGTGGCAATGCTATTGCCCATCGAGAGTACCGATTTTATAGCGTTGGTGTATGACTTGGAGTACATTCTCCGTGATAGCGCTTCGTTGAGCTTGGCTTGAAGCACTTACGAAACATCCATAGATATTAACCATAGGTATGCTTTTCTGAGCACGCCTATGATAAAGCAATACTGTGGCAGCCTGCTACAGATTGACCAAGATTCCATTTTGGCGGAGAGTATGGGAGTTGCGAGTGATTTCTGGCGGAAATGTTGTTTAACTTACTTTGAAAACCTTTAATTGCCCCTGGCATCGTCTTTCTTGGTAGTTGAACACAACTTTTTTTTTCTTCGTCCCAAGATCGGCTAGTAAGCTCGCCGCTTCTACTCAGGCGCTAATCACCCTCGTCTTACCCTCTCCCCACTTAGCTGTAAGCTCTAGGTGCTTTTGCCTAGGAACGGGGATTGGTAATGTTATCGCCATGCTGAGATTCTGCTGCTGCAGCACAAAATAAGAGTATAAAGCAGCGTGGGCGTATTTTAAGTTATTACCGGGCCCCCTGCCTAGCGTCGAATATGCTAAAACTTTCTTTGGAACTGATTCGCCGAGTACTGAAGTAATTCCTCCTCGCTTCACGACGTTGACTTATTAACCACTCTCGCCACTCGCTAAAACCCAAAACCAATTTTTTTTAAATAAAAAAATTATAGCCATGAAACAGACCAAAAAATATATAACCCTGACCCCGAAGAAAAAAAATTTATCGAGTGTGTGAACAGAGCTGTTGATGTTAAATTCCGTTTCGTTTGGACATGCAAGGTTGTATCTACTTACTGGGACTCGAACCCACGCCACTTTCGTGACCAGGAAATTGTGCTAAGGGTCACCTTAACCTGGCGCCATAACCAGCCTAAGTTATTGTTAATTGGTCGTAATTTCATGCCAGAGTGAATATCTGTACTTACTCGGCCATCTGTCCTCAAAATTTATTGAAAAAAAAATCTTATCCTAAATTATACGTGTGATTAAGCGAATTTCAAAATAAACCCGAATTTAGCCGCTCAACTAATGAACCAACTGCTTAAACCCGAAAAAGCTTAAGCTACTTTGTACCTCTGAGCAATCCTTCGCACAATGAATTAAGGAGATTCTAAGAACAAATAAAGATTTTTGAAGAATATCTCAATAGTTCTGCAAATCAGGATTTTCAAACACGAGCTAAGAGTATTGCAAATTTAAGTCAAGAGATCTAAAACCCCTCTCAGCATTTACCTCCGATATGCCGCAATACAAATCAAAGTGAAAGAGAAGTACCGTACTAATTAGTTTCTAAGATATCATACTATAGGCAAATATAGGTAGTAAATTCGTTACGGAACTATGTCTTATTCCAAAATTAATATCTTATCCTTAGTTAGGTTATTTATATCTTGCGATATTTCCAAGCTATATTTTACTTAATAGAAAAGCGTTTCACTCTAGGGCACTCAATTTTACATACCCTGTTCAGTGCTTGGCTTTCGTAAAGGCTCAGGGGGATCATATCTTATAGGGCCTGACTCCTCACTTGATAATGATATCATAGAAACCAATTAACACGGTAGTTGAAGGTATTACTCCAGAGCTTGTCTGGGGGTGTGCATTGCCCCTCAACATCCTTGGGGAGACCGCAAAGGATGTTCCAGATACGCTAGAATTCCGATACGAGGCCGGACACCATTCCAAGGGGATATTCTTGGGGAAGCAGAATGAGTCACGTGGAAACCCAAGCCCCACCAAGTAATCCGCTTTATCCAGTCGAAACCCGCCGCGTCCCACTCCAACTTCCTGGGAAGGACATGCATTCTGACAATGCCTGCTACCAGAGAGAGGGTCTCTTGCCATTTCGCAACCAACAACTACCTTCCTGCGCTTGGTTGAAAAGGTCGCGCGATATTCAAGACAAAACGATCTCTGCCCAAGAGAAATTCACCAAACTTCAGTTCGCAAGCAGTTGTGAAGATGCCTTACCGGAGGTTCCTTTCGAATACCTAGCAAGACCTGAGCTGTGGCGATACCTGTGATGAAAGTTGAAAGCCCTAGAATCGAAGACTATAACGCCCAGATGGTGACCTCGTTGGTAGATTGGAATATAGCTCCGTCATTTTCATAGCTAGCGATTCAAGCTTGATGTCAGATGGCTGCGGGAACACGCCGTTCATTGCTATTCACAATGAACAATTGACGCTTTCCCACAGGTGGGTCCTCTTGGGAGCTTGGGTTGGTGAGGTGGAGCATCCTTGATCATGGGGCAAGGCGCGAATTGCGCCTGAAAGCCAGTGTTGGCGATCTTCTTGTCATGGGGTGGAGTTCGCCTTCGATATAGACAGCACTGAAGACTAAGTTGGGCCGAGAACTGATGCATCGAGAGTATACCGAGATTGATCACAGCGATGGAGACGGGAAGACGCATCCAATACCTATTGTAATAGTTTCAGAGCGACTTAAAGCTTAGCTGGTTCGATGTTGCACCTACCGCTTTCTGGTTCTTTTTGTCATGAGAGCCTAAGCGAGCCCCCTGAATCTTAGCGAAATTCATCGACATCGTACTTGACATGACCTTTCAAACTCTGATAGTATTGCAATGGTTCTGAAAACGCTAAAACCCAATTGTTACGTTAAGAGGTGACACCATAGAGTGATGCACATCACGTCGATAAGAGACAGTATATGCACGCTAACGATTGAGTGGAGATTTAGAGAATACCAACTTGACCTCTTGCCTTTGGTTCAAACACAATCCAATCCATACCTTACATATCTTTATGATATTAATAGCAATGTTAAAGCGCAACTGCAAGTCTCGCTTTCTGCATAAGTGGTCACATGATACATGGACCCACCCCAGTTATGCCTAATTAGGCGACGAATGTCATCCTTCCGACTTTGCGAGCCCGTTTGTGACCATCTTCCGACAACAAACCTTCATATAGAAGAACGATATATAACGACCCTCCATTGCAACACCCTGGAAATCAACTTGGATATATCGAAGCCGTGTCGAGCCACGAATGCGCTTCTCTAGCACTGCGGGGTAACTTCATACGCACGTAGCCTGAATCACTGCGAAGATAGCTTTGATCGGAACTTTTATCTACCAGAGCCTTTTTTATTCAACATGTTCTCACTATATGCCGTGGGCACACTATTCGGCAGCGCCTACCTGGTTTACCAGTATATCATCTTTCCACTCTTCTTATCTCCGCTATCGAAGATCCCCCCAGCACACTGGAGTGTTCCATCCTCAGCCCGATGGATCAACAGTCACCGTCTGAACGGTAAGACGGGACTCTCTGCAACCCTCTCTGCTCATAATCGGCTTGGGCCCATCGTCCGTCTTTCCCCTGACGAGATCTCAGTCGCTTCCATTGACGGCCTTCGCAAGATCTACAGCGGGGGATTTGAAAAAGATGAGAGCTATGTGCAAGAATTCACGAATTATGGGACGGTGAACTTGGTATCCATGCTGGGAAATAGAGAGCATGGAATGCAGAAGCGAATGATAAGCCACGTATATTCGAAGAGTTACATACAGAACTCCGGTGACGGGAAGAGGGCGTGGGAGATTTTGGTTGGAAGATTGTTGGAAGTTCTGTATAAAGCTGAGGGAGCAGCCTTTGATGCATATGGGCTAAATCAGGGCATTGGTGCTGACTTCATGTCGGCTTATTTGTTTGGATTGGAGAATGCAACAGACTTCATGAGAGATACAGAGACTAGGACGAGAATCAGCCAATGTTATAGGAAGAAGTTCAAACGTTTACCTGGAGAGGCAGGGGCAACTGAAACGGTGGAGTCATTTGTTCTGGATCTTTGTCGAGCTGCTGCAAGGACGACCGAGCGAGATATCGACTCTGAGACAGGAACAAGCCCGGTTGTCTATGCTCAGCTCTCCTCCCAAATGTCGAAAAGGTTCTCTACCCCGAGTCCTGAGAACAAAGAGCTCTTGGTCGCTTCGGAAATGTTTGATCAGTTCACTGCCAGTATCGAGACTAGCAGAATTTCGCTCACTTACATGGAATGGGAACTCTCCCGTCGCCCCTCACTGCAACAGTCCCTTCGTCAGGAGCTGCTTACACTTTCTCCGCCAATCCAAGTTGGCGAATCGCAACTGCCCGACCCGAAAAGCATCGACTCTCTTCCACTGCTAAATGCAATCCTCAAAGAGACACTTCGTCTCTACACACCATCACCTGCAACACTGACACGTATCACCCCTCCAGTCGGGACAACAATCGAAGGCTATTTCATCCCAGGAAATATTGTGATCGGGACTTCAGGCGGATGCATGCACCAAAACTCTTCAGTATTTCCCGAACCGCAAGAATTCAAGCCAGAACGATGGCTTACAGAAGATGAGGAGAAGCGAAAGGAGATGAATAGATGGTTTTGGGCGTTTGGCAGTGGGGGACGAATGTGTATCGGAAGCCATTATGCAATTCATAGTAAGTATTTCTTTCTTGAATTGAGAAAGTGAAGTGCTCATGATTCTTATATAGTGCTGAAACTTAGCATCGCGGCCATATATTCTAATTTTGAGACGGAGATTGTCGATGACGAAGGTATTGAACAAGAAGATGCCTTCCTTGCTGGTCCGGTCGGCGAGAAGCTTGTCCTGCGGTTTCGTGCTTTAGCTTCGCGAAGTGATCAGGAGCAAACTTAAAGTTAGAGTTCCTTCGTAGACGATAATACTTTGTGTTGCATGACCGGAATCTCGACACCTCCCAACCCTCTGGCCCACGTGACCCCGCGCCGCCTTTGCTCAGGCGGCTCAGGCGGCTCAGGCTTGGCTCAACTTCGGCTCAAGTCTGCTCAGGTCTGCTCACCCATCTCACCAGAAATCGGCAACTTTTAACGAGGAGCCCGAAAAGGCCCCCTTTCCCAACCATGTTCCCACTGTACAGTTATCCTGGTCTGCCTGTCTTCATACGTGGGACCTTTTTCTGCCTTCAGGTTGTTTTACGCCGTCCTCTGCGTTTTGCCTCGGGCTATGTATTCTATAAATGACCGGTTCCCTCTTGTCTTCATTTCTCTTCTCACCCATCTTCTCGCCCATCTTCTTACGGTCTTACCTATATTCTCACATATCATTTCACCCATTTTCTCACACACCTTCTTGCTCGAGGCATAAGAGCTTGGATCGAGGGTCGCGAGATGCCGAAGGAGTACGAATTGCTGAGCTGATATGATAGAATCTAATTAAACGAGAAAAACACGCAAGCGTACGCTTTCCCGACTTCTTCCTCTAGTAAGACCTGGCGTTTGGTTGGGGAGCTATCGTGCTCTCCGCTTTCTAGATGCGCTTTTTTGCAGCCTCTATACCGTTCGAACTATTTGCATATATGCGTGAAAATTGCGTATCGATACGTGCATTATAGATAGCGAAGAGGTGAAGTAGGATAAGATGGAAATTGGTGTTCAACTTCGCCGAGTGTTCAGCTTCCCCATAAATTATGTTAAAATAAACATGCTCAATCCTTCGCAGGTTTTGGAATGACCCCCAGGATGAACGTGTTGTACTTCGTGAGGTCTTTCCCACTTACATCCTCTCAATAGTTCATCAAACAATGCATTTGGCTCCCCCTTCCCAAGATATCGTTGAACCAAACTTCCAAAATTCGGAAAAAACTTGGCTGAATGAAAACTTCCAGCAATCAGATTCTTGGTGCCTGGGACTTCGTCTATAACGAAACGTCTATCAACGGTGAGAAGATCACTGGAGTCTTCAGTCATATACCTCGCCAACAAAATTAGGATACTCACGGACAAACCCAACTTTCTATATCTCTATTTTCGAACTGTGGAAGCCACTTGTGCAAAACAGCAATGTTTGTACTGGCCTCGCGTGCCATCGGATGATCGTGAAGTTTATTTATGCTCTCCACCTCAAACGTGCGTGGTGTCGTCAACTTCAAAAGGTTGTGTCGTTTCGATACTATCACCTCTCCTAGCGACTGTAAGCGAGCACAGAAGAAATCTAAAGCCTACCTTACCTTCATCCCCAACAGACATTGGCATGTCCATGTTCAATGTCTTCATATCAGTATCAGTTAGTCGAAGAATGCCCACAACCAGTCCGATAATCCTAAGGATTCCATCGGGGAACGGTATTTTGGATGCTTCGAGAAGCTGTGGTATCCATGGACCCACGGACACGATAAATTTGTCGGCGAGCAGCTCGTATGGCACTTCTGCGTCGACTTCAACGCCTCGGCAACTCCCGTCATCATCCGTTAGAATCCTTCGTACGTCTACTTCTCTGACTTCAACACCAAGGGCTCTGACCTCATCCTTTACAAGCTGGGGCGCGTAGGCTGTATCTGCGTATCCAACGGTGCGACTATGCCACAATTCCTCCGTTTCGAACAGTCTGGGAGCTTCGTCCGAGCCGACCATGCTTTGATACTCTTCTATAGAGATTTTGATGTCGCTTGGTGATTTCCTTTTTGCTCTGGGCCCCTTTCCTCACTCCCGCGACCCATCCGATTTGATGGAAGCATTCGTGATCCTGCCAATGATTCATGCCATCTTGAGCGAGTCGGACGTAAAGTTCGTCTGGATAAAGAGTGCGTGTGATCTTATTGTGATCTGTGGAAGCCGTCTTCCTCTCCGTACCTGTGAACCAAACAATATGGTCGTTTGGCGACCCAATCTTGAGAGCACGAACTATGGAGGCTCCGAGCAATCCGCCGCCCACGACCACATCGCGCCCGCAGATTTTCGGCATGACTGTTTGATCATGTATGGAAGAAATTGAAAAGAGAATAATAACTGCGGATGATGATGCAGTTAGCTAATAGCACAGCGAACGTAATTCTAAAAGCTGCTTCCCATTGGTGTAGCAAGGAAACCATAACCAAAGCTAGTTATAATGACTTACCTTTTGTCCAGGAAAAAGGTATTGAATTTCACTTGAAGTAAGGGACTTATTTATGTGGAACTAGCTTGTAAAGATATATCTTTATATACTGCTGTAGAGAAGATACAAAAAAGGGACAGAAGGCTGGCGGAGGCCACAAGACAGGCCCCAATTATTACATTTCTAGGTGTGGCCATATTTGATGCAAGTGAATGTACTATCTACATCGATATGTTTCATGCGCCTCCCAATCTTCCATCTACGCATTTGTATCGGTAAGCACTTTGTCATCGGCTACAGCTTTCAAGTACGCGACAGCAAGATCAGCCGCAAACTGAATGGCTTCCGGATCTCGCTTCTTCGGAACGTGAAAGAAAAGCACTTTCCCTTTTTTGTCTTCATGATGCTCCAGCTCCAAGGCCTCTGCCAGCGAGGAATAGAGCCTAAACTCGCAGAAGTACGAGCCCGCATCATCAGAAACGAAGCAGGGCGTATCCTATGCATGCAGTGAGCCACAGCGGGCGAATATCGGAGCTGATTAGCTACATTACTGGACTCACTCACCGGAAATTGTTTGTGCACCTTCTCCCATGCTGCATGCACGTCGAAGCTTGTCTTCAGCACTTCTGGCAGCCATTTTTCAATGAACGGGTTGGTCCCGAGGTATTTTCCGTCGCTGCCAGGCTTATCGTATACGTCACGGCGAGCCTGCGTCTCCAGTCCGAACGTTTCCTCTCTCAGATCCATCCCAAGAGGCACGACAAAATCGATGTCGATCGTGGTATCTTCGTCCCCTGCGTCCGGCTTTGGCAGGAAGTCTTCCCGCTTTCCAGCCCACACCTTGCGGGAAACGGACCAAACATCTGTGTAAGTATCAAGGCTATCTTGGGCAAGCTTTCGGACGTGTTTGTTCTTTTTGCCCTCTCGTGTAATCAATTCCGGCAACGCATCGAGCACCAATCTAGAAGAATTGTAGTCGAAGTCAAGGATTGGCTACAAGAACCATGTTCAGTCAAAAGTGCTTTTCTGTGTCGCGATACTATGCTTACCTCATTTCCAGTAACTGCAACATTAATTTCTTGTGCCATCATGGAGCGGCGCAACCAAGAATTAAATGGACTTTTCCCGCTTGTTGTGGCAATGAGATGTCGATGAGATGCGACTTTCGGTGAGATACTGCCGCCGTTCTTTGTAAGAGGGTTTGAGGCTCTAATGGCAGCTAACTTGGCTGGGCCACCATTAGCAATGCGAAACATGTGAACCTGAGACCTGCGTAGGAAGGAGCGCGATTGCAACCCACGCTTAGCTGTACCCGCGACTGCCTTCTCCATCATTCGCATACGGAGATCGATCGTGGAGGCGCAGACCGCCCAACACGCCTGCCTCACATTTAACTACAAAAGGCCGCAGAGCGTGGCTCATCTTTGACATACCTGCTCAGATGTCTGCCGCTGTACGTCGAGCTCTTCTTCTCGCTGCGTCCGCCGGAGTCGTTGTGTTGAGTTGATCGCGTCGCAGTTCTCCTCGCCGCTCCCTTCTAAGGTCATCAACAGTTTCACACCAGCCCTTCGGCGTCTACAAGGCATCGCCTCAACGTTCTCTTCGCCCACTCAGCACGTCATGGCGGGCAATCTGGCTGTGAAGACCCCTCTGCTGCGTCTTCGTGATGGTAATAACGTGCCCATGGTCAGCCTGACTTGAAAATCACACGTCAATGTCGCCTCCGCTGACCCTACTTAGCTTGCTTTCGGTACCGGCACGGCATGGTTCAAGGAGCCAGAAGACCATGACAAGTTTGATAAAGATCTGGTTCTAATGGCCAAGGACGCTCTGGAAGCTGGATTCCGCCACCTTGACTGTGCCGAGATGTACGACAATGAAGCCGAGGTCGGCAAGGCCATCAAGGAGAGTGGTATCCCTCGTGAAGAGCTCTTCGTCACAACCAAAGTCGCGGATGGGATCAAAGACGTTCCCAAAGCCATCGATGAGAGCTTGGAGAAACTTCAGCTCGACTATGTTGATCTGTAAGCCCCCTAGGCATAATCGCAGCTTCACAAGTACTCATATTCCACTAGATATCTTGTTCATGAGCCTTGGAATCTTCACACCCCGGAAGATTACCAGAATGTCTGGCGTGGAATGGAGGAGGTCAAGGCTTCGGGCAAAGCCAAATCAATTGGGGTCAGCAATTTTGTGCGTAAAGACCTCGAGATGATTCTCAAGGGCAGCCCGAAGGAGCTTTCCGCTGTGAATCAGCTAGAATATCACCCATACATACAGCGTGAGAACGATGGCGTCCCCTATATTCCTTGGATGCAGGAGCAAGGCATCCAGGTAGAGGCGTTCAAGGGTCTTACTCCACTAGCCCGTTGCCCAGAAGGGCCACTTGTAGGGCCTCTGGAGCGCATGGCCAAGGCTCATAATGTGTCCGGCGCTGCTGTCATGCTTCGGTGGTTCCTGCAGCAGAACATCGTTGCTATAACGACCACGCGCAAGAAGGAGCGCCTGCAGGAATACGCAGAGGCCCCGACTTTCGAGCTCACGAAGGACGAGATGGATGAGATTTTCACGGAGGGCAAGAAGCTGTTCAAGCGATTCTACTTCCCACAACGATACGATCCTGATGATCGATCTTAAATTATGGCACCACGTGCTCAAAACTCTAGGCAGCAAATTCAAATTGTTCAGGGCCCTCTCTTTCCTTACCAACACATATCGAAGTGAGTATTTGTAGCCACAGCGGCACCATTGCGCTATGCCGTACCAACTTTCGGTAAGTCGTTTGGTGCGGCTCTTGCGAACAGGGATCTAAAATCGGCCCCGAAAAGAACCCCTGCCTTACTCTTTCCAATTTTAGCCAGCGGCAGTCGTAGCCGAGGAGCCCAAACGGGTTACCCCTGTCCGCCGTGGGCTCACCTCCTTGGCTCACTTGCTCAGCCTGGCTCAGGTTTGGCTCACCCACAGCTCAGGCTATATAGCAGCAACTGCTCAGGTCCAAAGACGGAAATGGAAAATGCTCATGTCGAGATTCCGATATCGATCAAGCTGTTCTTCTACTCTTTTTCTGCGAGAAGCATTTGGTACTTAGACGGTCAGGATTCCCTTCAAGCGTGTTCAGAATAAGTCGAGCGATCCAATCAGCAAAATTGTACTCGATTACAATTTAGGTCAGATATTTTGCAATTTGGGTCTCGATGGTACATAATGGTGAGTGGATCTACTTTTTGAGGAGTTTTATATCCATTTCACCAGAATTTTAACTTACGAACAATGGCTACTGTTTGCATTTCCTGATTAGCTTTGTTGATCTTGAATTGTACTAAAGAATACCTGCCTTATGTCGGCACCTACGGTGTTGGTACAATGTCAAATGGATATCATACAAATTCACTCCCAGTAGTGAAGACAACGCTTCCAGCGATTCCCAAACCTAACTCCTCCTACCCAAACGCCATTGATTATTATATAGCCATCCCAATTATAGGCTGTTCGGAAGTCTGACTTCTTATCGATGCCTCTTCGATTGTTTTGCTATTGGACCTCCTTGAACGCCGGCGAGAATGTTGCAGATGTGTTCCAGTATCCTCAATGTTCTCCAGCCGTTCTAAGCTACGATGCATATTCTTCCGCATCTGACCTAGCTCGTAGCTGCCTTCCGACTCATATGGCATTCTGACCACCTCGATTTCTCCCAATCTGCCACCTCCAGTTGTGAAGCCTTCCACAAAAGCTTTGAGACATGGTATAGTCGCAGACATGAGCGAGTATCCGAGGAGAATTTCTTGCCAGATCATGGTCGGAACGATGGCTGTACCGGACGACTTGGAGTCGATGTAAGAAGTGAAGGAGAGAAGGTACATTATCGAGAAAGCGACTAGCCTGCCGGAAGCTGGTCAGCCACAGTAAAGTATAAAAACAGTGATCAATACCTACGGAAGTCTGAAGGCAAAGGCAGCAATGACCAGTAGTTTCGTACCATTCGCAACTTTAACAGCGTACAGAAACAGAATGGGTATTCCAAATATTATGCATTCCGTGATGATGTCGATTATCATGACGATACGAAGTCGAAGGACATGACCAGAGCACTGCGTTAGGCCTCGTCCCAACATAGTGTGGGGTGAGCAGTCGATCGACAGGGCAAGAGTCGCTCCTAGTCCCCATATTATGACGAGGACTATCGTTGCATCGATGATAAGTATTTTCCGTCTCTTTTCCCAGTGAAATAATGATCGAGTTAGCAGAAGGATGCTGAGTTTCGAAAAGCACAAAGATAAAATCAGCAGGATTCGTCCAGCGAACAGTGCCTTAAAGAGGTCAGCGATAGAAAGAGCGAGAGAGTAAGTAAGAATCGGACTTTTGCAGAAGAGTTCTGTTCCCTATTTCCAACGAGCTTCGTAGACTTTCCTAAGCCATTATCCAATGCGATGAATATAGCAGCCCATTGTCCTAGTGCCACCACCTGCAAGCTCGTCAGTATGTTGAGACGCCAACTTTGGAGGCCACGACAGCAGGAACTTACATGTCCTAAGCTCAGCAGACAATCGTCGTAGCCATACCTTTTCCTCTTTACAATACCAAGCCTGACCGCAAATACAAGAATCGTAAAGATAGAAGACAGCATCGTGACGATAGTAACTGGCGCGCTGTCGTCGTCAGGCGTGACCAGAGCGAATCGATTCCCGGTAGGTGCTGCTGGCAACGGCAATGATGAGGACATCCTTCGAGCCGGGCTCGCAGAGGATTCATAGAGCTTTGCCTTGCTGGCTCACGGACCAGAGGCGGACCTGTTCACATCTGATCATTGAGGTACTCGAGCACTTTGCTTCTGAAGGGGTGTGAGAACATTCAGACGAAAAAAAGAATGAAGGGGGTTCCTAGGATAAGGTAGAAATTATGAATCTTTCTACTCTGGAGCCGATCCTTGGATGCAGTACCGAAAGGGGTGTGCATTGTCCTGAACCATCAAAACGCATTACCGGGTGGGTGCAGCCGCAAGCTGTCCACAGAGCTGATCTATGCGGCATGCTCACACCGGTTAACGAAGCGGTCAAGGATGTTGCCAAGGTTGCACCAGTCAAGCTTGGAGTTTGTCAAAAGTTGGTCCAGTGAGAGATTGATGAGGGCAAATCTCGCGCAAATGCGGCCTTGGAGGGCCATCAATGCTTCTCTTCTTCCGGCTCCCCGCTCGGGAAAATTGCAGAATAAGGAAGTAGAAGCGCGAAACACTGCCGGTGCTTATGCGCCCCTTTCCCCATGCATTTCCTTTGCCCGCGAATTGCGGGAGCCAGAACGGCGGGCCCAAGAACGGCTGGCAGGGGCGGAAGCGATGGGTATTTCCGAGTTTCCGTCTGTACATTTGAGCATGAGAACCGTAACCTCATCCGCATCTGCTGATAGGTTTCTACGGAGCAAAGGGACCAATCGAGAAGTGATGGGCTACCATGCAGCCAAGTGACAGGCATTCGGTTCTGTTCTGTTCAATGCGAAGACATGGCAGTCTGTTTCCGCTTGATAAGAAATCTGCGGGTATGAGACGTTCATTACCAACCCCGCCCCTGAAATCCTCCCAACACTGTTTGTCGTTTCCAGACTCTCGGGCTCTGTGTAACACCAACTCTTCAAAGCGAGCAGCCCATTAGCCTGTGCCTTGCCTAACATGTCGTCCAAAGAGCTTGGTGGCGCGGTTGAGGCTGATCCCGTCGAGTTCGACCCGGAGATGTTGGACATCAGAGATCCCGTGGTATTGGAGAAGCGAGGGACCGAACTCGATGGACGGGACATGTACCGTATGGGCAAGCCGCCTCAACTCAGGGTACTGTTGAAGTCCTACGAACCTTCATTTTGAGCTCAACTGACTGACAGCTTTGTAGCGTACCTTCCGCTTCTCCTCCATCTTCGGCTATTCTGTTGTCCTTGGAGCGACATGGGAATTCTCACTGGTGTAAGTATTGCGCATTTCTTTCTTGACCGAAGACTGACTTGCAATTAGCATCGTTGCCCTTTCACTTATGAATGGAGGAACTGCAGGTGGAATTTGGATTTTCCTCGCAGTATGTGTGGGGATGTTCTTCGTCGTGCTTTCTATGGCTGAGATGGCTTCTATGTGAGTGATGCTTGAACTTTCGCTCCATACTATGGCTTTGCTGAGTTCTCAGGGCACCAACTGCGGGAGGCCAGTATCATTGGGTCTCCGAATTTGCGCCTCCCAAACATCAGAAATTTCTCAGCTATCTTGTTGGTATGTTCCCTCGCTCTCAAGTTCTCCTTTGGGGCACGGCTCATTTCATCAGGGTGGTTTGCTGTAATCGGTTGGCAAGCAGCTATGGCCAGCATCGCATTTGCATGTGCCCAACAATTTGAAGGTCTCATCGCCTTGAACTTACCGAATTATGTGATCCAAGGATGGCACGGAACACTTCTCAGCATCGGCGTCGTGATATTTGCCATCATTTGGAATACCATTTTGGTCAGGAAACTTCCTTTGCTCGAAGGCGTCATCGTGATTCTTCACGTATTCGGCTTCTTCGCATTCATCGTGGTCCTCTGGGTGATGGCTCCGCGATCAGATCCGAAAGTTGTCTGGACCGACTTTCAAGATAACGGCAACTGGGGCAATATCGGGCTCTCTTGCTTGGTTGGCATGACGGGTCCTGTGATCACACTGATCGGAGCAGACTCGGCGTGCCACTTGTCAGAAGAGCTGAAAGATGCAGCTTGGGTTCTTCCTAGATCCATGGTTGCCACAGCTCTTGTCAACTATGTCATGGCATTCGTGATGACTGTCACTGTTATGTCTACGCTAGGAGACGTGGACAGTATTCTCAGTACAACTACTGGCCAACCCTACATTCAGGTGGTATTGAATGCGACCCAATCTCGCGCTGGGACGTCAGTCATGACTGCACTCGTTGCCGTACTGTTGCTCTTCGCAGCAGTGAATCTAGTGACAACTTCATCTCGTCAACTATTCGCTTTTGCCCGTGACAAAGGGTTACCATTCTCGAACACGCTTGGTTATGTGAGTTGCCGATGTCTATATTCGGATACTCTCTTCGATACTGACCAAGATATTAGGTGCGCCCTGGCTGGGACATTCCTCTCAATGCTGTCCTCACCACGTTGGCCATCACGACTGCAATCAGTCTGATCATCATTGGCTCAAGCATTGCGTTTAATGTTATTGTATCGATTGGCCAAGTTGGCACTGTTGCATCCTATATCGTCGCCATTGCATGTATAGCAAGGAAACGAATAGTCAAGGAACCTCTGCTTCCATCAAGATTCAATCTCGGCAAAGCAGGGTTGGCTATCAACCTCATCGCCTTGGCTTTCCTGACGCTGGCTTTCGTTTTTCCTTTCTTCCCGGCACAATCACATCCGGATGCTGCGGAGATGAACTGGAATATTCTTGTTACGGGATTCACGATGGCAATTTCCATGGTATACTATGTTTTCAGAGCGCGATTCACGTATCGGGGACCAGTGGAATATGTCAAGCAACTTTGAAGGATGCGTGTGTTACGTGGCTCGCGCTTCCCCACCAGACATCATCACCTTCTATAATATATCTCTCGCTTCTGCATTGCTGAGCTGTCCTGGAAACTTGGTTTGCATTGGAAGCATGTGATCAGCGGTTCTTAGTCCCATCAAGTCAGTGTCGCAGTCCTGCACCTTCGGCCCCAGATTATTGAGTGTTACTGCAAGCAAGTGCTCAATTGAAAGAATACTAGTTGCATCCGATGAAATGCGAGTTGTGATAGGCTGGCTCGACCTTGTTCCAACGGCCCCGCCGTTGGACTCAATGATCCTGGCTGGCAACATGGATAACTAGGATCCGACCCTGCTACTTCGAGAATGAGCTCACAGTACCTCCATTGATTGTATTCTTTGCAGACTCTAGTCTTGGGCGACAATTAGGCAATATTCTTGGCTTGATTACTTCGTTCTTTGACTGCCCACCTCTATTTACATTTCAGCTTCGCGACACTTGGTGAAATTATCAAATTTAAGATGAACTATTCCTTAGTCAGAATGGATATCATCCCTTCCCACACGCAGAGATTCTGGATGGTTAGATTTTCGACTCGCTCATTTCAAGATTGCCAATAAGGAATTGGAAATGTCTTACAACACAGTGCACAAATTTGTGGACGAACAAGTTGCTCGAGCGCTGCGAGAGAATAAGCTGAATGAATGAAAACCATAGTTGAGGACCAGCCTGTGAAAAGGCGATATGTCTTGCTTGATGAAATGGCCAAACAAATGCGCGATCCTATACAATTGAGATATCATGTTCTTGGACCCTTCTTCCCAGGACGCGATGGCACTACAATTGCAGAGAGCAATGTACAATTCCAACTAGCACACCACCCTAATTACTGGACACAACTCCGAAAACAATCACTAAAAGTCGAGGAGCCCTTGACATTCGAAAAGCTTAAGTCTCTGCTCCTCTTCAAATACAGGAGACAATACGCACCACTGGTCCCGTTGCGCGAGTTTGGCGTGTCTCGTTGAAAGATACTGTCCTGCCTCTTGGTGGTGGTCCTGATCAGAAAAGTCCGCTGTTTGTACCTCGAGGGACACCAGTAGTAGCTGGAACATGAGCCAGTAAGCTTTACAATTCCTTGCTCTTGATTCTTAGTAGTTGTAATGCGCTCTTGGAATAACATTTCATCTTTTTTCCCAACAGAAATCAGATACTAATGTGTAGTAGTGATACATAACAAAGACGTTTGGGGCGATGATGTCGAGGAATTCAAGCCGGAGCGGTGGATTGGTCGCAAGCCCATGTGGGAGTTTGTGTGTTTCTGGGGTGGCCCTCGACTGTGTGCCGCCCAGCAGCAAGTCTACACCTATGTCATTTATGCCATGGTCAGGCTGACCCAAAGATTCGAGAGCATCGAGAACTGTGACCCGGTCTACGAGTACGTCGAGGGTCTCATGCCCTCCATTGAAAGTGTGAATGGTGTCAAAGTAGCCTTCAAAAACTCTTGAAGATTCGGAGTATGAAGCGATTATTAGGACATTTCGGATATTGCTCAGTTTGGGCTGTCATTCAATGCGGTTTTCTTGGTCGCAGTGTTTATGCTTTCATGAAGGAGAAGATTCAAAGAATTGGCCCATTCACCTCAGATAGGGTATTCAGCTGATCTTTTGATTACTCTTAAATGACGCACTTATTAATTATCATCCTGAGATGCCTGTGTCGAATCACGGCTCTTTCAGTCCCAGTGACTGTGAGATGGTTCTCAACCAACTATAAAATAACCCTAATTTCCCTTCCTTTCTCTACTTCAACATCCTTTTACAGATCTTCAACTTTTAGTAAGCTTCGACAAACTCTACGATACATTCCGACAACATGTCTCAGCGACCATCTTCTTCACGTGCGCCTTCTAGCAGTGGTCCATCTTCCAAACCACCTGCTAGCAAAGCTCCAGCCTCAAAGGCGCCAAAATCTGTGAGAGTGCAGTCTGCACTTCCATCGCACATGGTCTCTGCGTATCCTAGCATGATCCAGGAAGAGGACGAAGACTTCGATGATGCTCCAGCAAAGTCCAAGGCTCCTCCAAAGTCCATTCTCAAGAGCGTCAAGCCCCCAAAATCCAGTCTAACTCAGAGCGTTCAGCCAACGATGCTGCAACGAGACTCCAAGTCTAAGGTGGCGTCTTCCGCACCGAAGAGCAGCAAACCTCCGCAAAGCGCTTATCCATCAATGCCCGCTCAGTCTAGAGTGTCATCTTCGGCGCCAAGGAGCAGCATGCCCAGCCAAAGCGTTAAGCCGACCATGCTAGCCCGAGACTCCAAATCCAAGATGTCCTCCTCTGCACCCAAAAGCAGCGTGCCTAGTGGAAGCATCAGAGGGACTGTGTTAGGCCGAGATGGTGGGTCTGTCAGATCTACGGCCCACCTGGACCCCAGCGTCTTCTCCACCAGATCTTTGCTCACCACTCCCGAAGATGTCAAGATGGCATCCAAAATGTCTCAATTTAAATCGATGACACCAACCCAGCAGAAGAAGCAACAATCTTGGTTTGACGGGTACGCGAAGGACTCTAAATGCTGCCCAGAAAATAACGAATGGGTACGAGCTGATAGTGGAATGATTTGCTCAGAGGGTGGACATGGTATGACAGACGAAATGATTGAGGAAGGCCTTGGCGCTATATGTGCAATGCCCAAAGGGTGCAAGGGAGATTGGTCGAAGAGGTGCGGACCGTACTATCAAGTAGCAGATAAAGGTCCAAAGGGGGAAGCGATGTGGAAGTTCAACAAGGGTATTAAGTTTCCAGGAGTTGTTCCCCCTAAGGAAAAATAAAGCGAATGGAGGAAAGTGTAAGGGTTTAAGGGGAAGAAATGCGGCATGATACTTAGCTTAGAACGTGCTGGTCATCTAATGACCTCGTTGGTTTTAGACTCTTGGTGCATTTTAGAGGCAAATGTAGCAGGTGTTCGATGCCATGTTCAATGGATGTTTCATGACCCTATCAAAGACTTTGACTCCGAACTGTTGAGAAATTGGAATCACATGACTGAAGATAGATATGGATGAGTATGAATCACTGCGCAGTAGATGTCCTGTGATTTCGCAGAGTGAGGTCATATTGTCATTCTACCTAATTCATGTGGATCATTATGTTTCGTATATTGACAAACTGCCCATACCTTCACATCCATTCATTCCCCTGTTTTCAACCACTTGCGTCCAATCATACAACTCAAACATTAATATCACCTCCAGGCTCTATCTCAATGATGGCGATTCACCTGCGAGCGGCATATATCTCCTCCCCTGTTTATACATACTCCCCAGTTCCACCTTGTCATATCCAGCTTCCATGTTCATACTCTCTCTTATCTTGCTGAGTTTCTTCTTGTGGCTCGCGCGACGCAGCGTCAAGATCGTGATAACAAATGTCAGGAGATAGACACCTGTTTCAATTATAGACACATACCATGCACCAGTCTAAATTATCGTCAGCTCTCACTATTTTACCAGAACAAGTCAATCAAGAAAATGATGAGAAAGAGTCACAAACCTGCATAGTGCACAACTTCCCAAAATCCAAAAAGCTTTTAACCTCCTCTTGTAATTTATCTGCTTGGTCACTACAACTATAGCCCCACAAATCCTTCCCATTACTCCCCATTTTGAAGGCACCTGCCGCCAAGGCCCAGAGCAGGACATGCACGCCCAGGAATATATAACTCACGACCGTTGAGCAAGTGTTGACTCTGTTTGCAGCTCCGACACCGCAGCAGTATGCTACCAGGGTGAAGAGGTTCATGACGAAAGTTACCAGCGCGATGCCGAGAAGCACAAAGGTCGGCCAGAGGGTGGCGGGGTTTACCCATGGTGAGGAAGAGTTGGTGCTCGATATAGGGTGCGATTTAGTCGTGAAGTATTTGTAGAGTGCGTATGAAAGGACTCCGATCATGAGCGCATTGAGAACGACTGAGAGGAGTCGAGTGATGAATCGGAGGACGCGAATTGAGCGCTTGTATTTCTATAGAGCGAATGGTTAGCCGAATGTCAAGTCAAAGGTATTCTGGGATTTGCAAATGACTTGAAGCATTCACAGAGAGTACCAGACGAAGAATGCTCGAACAGAACCTGAAAATGGTACATACCGAGTCTTTCTTCTCCAAAGCAGGAAGTGAGGGATCGAAGCCAGAGTGTCGGGATGAGGCTGAAAGAGGTTCTTGGGATAAAGCTGGGGAAACAGAGACCTTGCTCTGCCTTTTCTCATTGAAGAAACCCATCTTGATTTCTCATATGATGTCGCGATGTCTACTCTAGAACGAGGATCTATGTATCATCTGCAGAAGGGATGGACGATATTCAAATAGAGGTTGGGAGTCGGAGCTGAGGAATGGGCGAAGCAGAGACTGCGGTTTTGACTCAGATAAGAGACAAATGCGATAGGCGTTCTTGTCCAAATACAGAGTCGTGGTGGCTCGTGAAGTTGTGGTTCAATATGGCTTCGATGAGTGATGAGACATCCCACGACAAGGAGGGTTTCCCATCAAACTTCATGGAAAGAAAGAGAGATTCATGAAAGAAGCACCTTGGAGAAAGCACGCCCCCTCGGAGCTCATTCCTAGCAATTCAGCCACATGGGACGTGGATCAAGCACATGGACTTTTTGCTGAAAATGTGTCGACGGTGATTTGTTGACTTGTGAGGCTGCAGAATTTGTGGCTTGCGCAAGAAATCTCCCGGGATTTTTCATTGGGAGAATAGCTCGCTTAACAGCCACTTTTCAGCTAAAAGTTCAGCTTTCATGCAAGGCGTTCTCATCTTGATTCGACTGAAGGTTCGAAAGGCGGTATTGTAGGCATGCAAGGCATCGGTCCATAGTGCCCGTCTTGACTCTCAGAAAGAAACAAGGGTACAGAAAGTTGAAGCTCGGTTAGAAATAGGGGATATGGGCACGTGACGGTAAGCCGACGACGGGATTCATGAAGTCTAACAGTCGAAACTTCGACTATTTAGAGTTGAACGCTATTATAGAGACCACAGGCAAAGTTGACTTCCACTAGGACCCCTTTCTCAATTTGAGGTATATGAATGTCAAGCTTCAAAAGGACGTTGGCGAGCTCTGTGATTCGTTTCCAAGATTGCCGGAGAATGAACGGAATTGAAAAACTATGTGCATGGTGACTAATATAAACAAATCCACTTTTCCTCCTCAAATCGTCAAATATATACAAAGAACCATCACCGCTCCTCAACTCCTACTTACAAGCACTGAGAATAATAAGCATTAGCAGCCTTGCAAGTGTATCCCGCCGCACAAGTCGTAGCCCCAGTCCATCCGGTACCTCCGCACTGGCCATAGTGAGCCACAGTCCCGGAGGTAGGTGTCGACGTGGGAGACGTGCTTCCGCCACCGCCCGACGCACTGCTCGTCGGAGTCGTAGTCGAAGAGCTGAGTTTCCCTTCAATGAATTTGAGAGCCGCTTGTCCGTACTCGGTGCCGTATCCTTGATGCGTGTTGGCGTCGTTGCCATTGCAGCAATATGGGTCTGTGGCGTCGCAGTAGGATTGGATTTTGGCGGCATTAGGACAAGTGAAGCCAGAGGGACGGGCATCAAACTAGGATCTGTTAGCCAAGAATATGTGTACTTTGTTTGACTTCTCTTACACCGCCAGCGGCACAAGTGCCGACATTGTATGGCAAGCCAGTGTGGTACAGTGGATCGCCCATAAATACGGCAGCTTTGATGTTGGCAAGCGCTGCAGAGCTGAAGAGTACGGCTGTATTTGTGATGCCTTGGTTGGGGTCTCCTCCTCCGCAAAGGGCAACGTCAAAAATCTCTGAGCCCTGTGTACTTCGTTAACATCGCTTCTATACGTAGGTTAATACTAGCAGTACTTACCTGTGAATAGCCCACAAGGACCAACTGAGTGCTGGGGCATTTTGCAGCATAGCCATTCACGGCAGTAACAACTGCAGAGACACCAGCTGCCACGGATTGAGAGTAACTGTCGCCTCCACAAGAAGACTGTCCACCACAAGCCGGGTAGTTGATAGCCTCGGCTGTCGAGCCAGAGTAGGCGCCGAGAACAAGGTTTACCACAACGCCTGCAGTGCCATAACCGGCTGGGGCAGTGGTCTCACGAGCTCCGAAGATGTGGATGTTAGGACAGCCAGATTGACGTTCCTCGAGAAGCTCGACTGGAGAGGCGGCACTGAGGCCAAGGAGGAAAAGAATGGCGGCTGGCAACAATATGATGAATGAAATGATGGTGCTATAATGCTTGAAAGGCGAGAATTATGTACAGTCTAGATAGTCGCAAGCGAATGAGAGATTTGCAGAGAGGTGCTTGGATGTTAGGAAGATTTGAAAACTTAGACTTCACGTTCATTCTTATATATGGAGAGATCTTCGGCAACAAGGAACACTAAACTTCATTCTCAATGAAGTTTCAATCTTGCTTTACTCCTGGAGCTTAGGTCCTACGCGTTCAGCGGAGGATGACCATATAACTTCGGAAGTATGTTGTCCGATCCCCGCTATACCGAGTTTTTTAGCCGTCGAACCCTCTTGGAAGGTTCTCTAAGAAGAAGCTCATCTCGTGAAAAGGATCAGGGACAGACCACAACCACGCCAACATCTTAGCTCCAGGTGAATCTTTGGGACCCAAGGTTTTGATGGAAATTTGGGAATATATGAAGGCATTCGACGATAAGATGAGGTCTTTTACTTTGATGACAAAGGACAGAGCGATAGCATTATAGTTTGTAAAGTGCTTAGCTTTGGTTGACTAGCTGTCACAAGATGGGAATTACGCAGTCAATTCCACGTGAAGTTTGTGGGGTAATAAACACGGGGCGTACCCCGGAACAGCGGTTGTTCCATATAAAGTTGACTTTAGCCGGAGATCTCTACCACGTGGTGGTGGTGGAGGCGAGTTAAGAAAAAGGGGTACATGCGGCAAGAAAACATTGAGGCTAAATTATGCCTAAATGGGATACGTGCCTAATTTCCGTGCTAGACCATGGTGGCTTGGATTTTTTAATTGAAACGACCTATTGAGCATTGTTTCCATCCCATCTTCTTGGTCCTATGATGTGGCTTCGGAAGCTGCTACCGGTAATGACTTCCAATCTCTTCAAGGCTATACTCAACACTTGGTAGACCTTTGGGCACATTACTCCATGCAAGGGCAAAAAAAAGCTAGAAATGTAACCCATATTTTGCTTACTCGAGTCTAGTCTTTAGCACCCCGCTTCTAATGCCTGACTTGGTAGCGAGGGAAAGTCCCTCTTCATCTTGAATATATTAATAGACAGGCACTAGGCGGTCCTGAGAAGACAAGCATAAGATTCTAAGCCACTGAGATAATAATGAGTCGACGTCCAAAAAAAGAATAGAAGCAAGAAATCAATACCGCAGGTATTCTCCCACGCCATAGCTGATCAGTAGCACCAGGAAAGCAATACATATCTCCCGAGCTCTGGAAGGAAATAAGGGGGGAAAGCAAGAGTAAACAGTCGAGCTTCGATGGGAGCCATGTAATGCCGGTCACATGCTGTGTTCCATTCGTGGCACTTGCCCATGATTTGACCTGAAGCTTGAGATGCAATCAATCACCGTTATCTTCTACTGTCCAATTCCAATTCGGCTGTAGTATACAGGCAGTGGATTGAGTGATGCGACCGGTCCCATCAAGAACCTTGATCGATACGTCCATGAAGTACTATCTAAGTAGACGTTTAGTCATCATGATTCAGTAGCTGGCCCACGCCCCCATTGCTCCGCTGCTCCACTCTCATACAAGTAAAACAGCATGGAGAGAGACTTTTATCGAGACTCGCGACTTCGCAAAGCTCGCGGAGAACGGTTGGACACCTCGCAACGTTCGATTCGGTTTGCGAGTGACGTTGCTATGCCTCGGTCACCGATGAGACGCGAACCTCGAGGCTAATCTCCTCACTATGGTCTGATCTCAACCACGACCATTTCCGCCATCAACACCTTCAACGTCCAAAATTCGTACAATCTCTCGCAGATGCAAATATAGCAAAGAGAAACGAAATACCACGACCCCCAGAGCATTTCTGCCGACCTCCATAATGCCTGACAACCGCGACCCCATCATCCAGCGGGGTGTCTATGGCACCTCCATCGTTGGAACATCCCTCATGGTTGGTCTGCGAACAGCAGATATCTTCCTCCAATACGGCATCCTAGCCAAAGGCCTCGCAGACCCTCTCCTCAACTACCTCAACGTCTCCCAAACGCCCAATTTCGCGCCCGCAATCGCATTCGGACTTCCCCTCCAACCCCTCCTCATCCTCGCCATGGCAGCCGGCTCCAGCATCAAACAAGCATACTGGGTGACGTGCATCTCGCGCGAAGAGATGTCCCCTTCAAGTGCGATCTTTGTCTCGATTTTCAACACCGTGTTCAATTCTGCGAATTCGATCCTTGCCCTCACGGCTGCTGCGAGCGCGTTTACGCCTTCAATTCTTACTGAACAAGACAAGAATGGCGCGTCGATACTCTTGATTGCTAGCACGGTAGCATATTTCGTTGGATTGGCTGTGGAGGCTATATCGGAGACGCAGAGGAAGGCTTTCAAGGACGATTCTAAGAATGCGGGGAAGTTGTATACTGGTGGGCTGTTTGGATTGGCGCGCCATATCAATTATGCTGGTTATACGATTTGGAGAGCGGGATATTCGTTTGCTTCTGGAGGGTGGATATGGGGAAGTATCGTTGCGGCTTTCTTCACGTACGATTTCACGAATAGGGCTATTCCGGTGTTGGATGAATATTGCTCTGAAAGGGTGAGTGCTGTTTCTGCGAGACTAAGTGGGAGGCTTATGCTGACTGCGGGATGTAGTATGGTGCTTCGTGGACTGAGTATAAGAAGAAAGTTCCTTATAAGTTCCTTCCTGGGCTGTTTTGATGGGACAAGGTCACATTGTGTGGGGGTATGGAGACAAGTTCTAAGAAAAACTATCGCAATTTTCCCTGCGTGTGCAGTCCTACAGAACGAACCACCGCTTGTTGAAATTCGTCATTGAATGACACTCAAAACCAGCAGACAAGTGGATGGCACAAGGTGCTAGAGAGCATGTCTTCGAGAGCGACGGATAGGAACAGTTTTGACTTCCTATCGTCCAGCTTCTCACACTATCTTCCTATTGTAATATCCACCATTTGACTAATTTTTTCCTTCCTGGAAGTGCAACGACGGCGCATCTTCTGGGGACCAAGTAGAGCCCACATCTATAGTGAGATGCCGGCAATTTAGATGTGTCCGATAATGATTTTCTCCACGGAATTCGATATAAAAGACCGACTCGAGATATCCTGCTTACCTCCTTCTCCCAAGACCAGCATCCAGCTCATTGACCCTAATACTGCCGTCCGGAAGTTCCCAAGGGACGGGAAAGGAATGCAGCTCTGGCCTCGAGTTCGCATCTTCACCTCGAGAATAAAATCTGGGATGTGCCAACACATTCACAGCAGCTTGTTTGTCCAGCGCCTTCTCATGAAGGATTTCCGCCGCTGAAGCTCGGATCTCTTCAATCTTAGCTTTATTTCTCCTCTTTCTCCTGATGAGCAGCAGTACTGTGACTATAGCCAAGAAAGCTACAACCACGATTGCCAGTGCAATTCCCGCCTTCGCACCTCTCGATAACCCCGAAGTCGAAGTCGAAGGGTCGTCAATGTTTGGAATAGATATCTCTGACGCGGTACTGCAACACGCTGTATTGTTATCCCCACAACAATATTTGGTCGTGGTACCAGGGCAGAGTGTTACTTGTGCGTTATTATTCTCATCCTTCTCAACCTTAGTCAGCGTATGGATTTATTACCAACGCAAGCATCAGAATATCAAATGAGGAAGATCTACGTACGCTTGAACACACATTGAATACATTCAAACAGTAGGGACTTGTCCACGTCGGATCCGTACAGCTTTCGCGCCAGTATGTTGGAGCAGAACCCGCTGTGTTGATGCAGAGTCCGCTCTCGAGACAGGCGTCTGGAGGCCAGGGGCCGATTTTCTTGCTGCGGCAGCACATGGACTCTTCTTGATTGACTATTAAGACGTCAACTTCCCGCAATTTTTAGGAGAGACTCAAGAATGGCTTACTATTACATGAAGTGTAATTTCCATCTTGTGCCGTGCCGGATGTTCCAACATTTTTAGGCGGATTGTAACATGTTATTGCGAGTGTGGAAGAGATGTGTATCAATGGTAAGCTTTTCCACATCTTTGGATGGAAATGATCAAGTGAGCGAAAACTGCTTGGGACTGGAGTGTGGGCAAGGATTTCTTGAGAAACGGGTGGAGGAATACTCCGTCGTACCAACCATAGCCTCATCCGGTGGGTCTACAGCATACGAGCGAGATATGCAGGTCGAATTATGCTCCCCAGGTGAAAGCCGCAGGAACGTTGCAATTGTCCTCTCGCTCACCAATCAATGGTTCTTATTTCATTTGCTCATTTGCTTGGTACGGCACATCTGTTCCTGCGGCTTGTTTCACGGCCGTGGGCTCTGTTCCTGGTGGCCTGCCAGGCGACCTTTCCCAACATATGAAAGCGGTAGCCTATAGTCTTGTGCATATTCACGTATCAGGTAAGGACAAATATTTTATCACAGAGTCCAAGATGAGGCTCAGCGTCTCAATGTCTCGTTTACGGAGTTGCATGGGATGAGCAGAGAATTGTGAATCGGATTGCACCCTCGATTACCTACCTTGCTTTACGCTTCATCGATGAAAGGATAAGTGAGAAATTAAAGATAAGGGTCATGACAGCAAGATCTTAGAAATTTTGTTGTATGCTTATGACATGACCTATTCCGGAGCTGAAACTACAAAGTGGAATTCCTCTTGACCTCCTCCGAGCTCGAATCGCTTCATTTCCAAAGTTGCAGAGGCTTTCTGCCGCACACACAGCGTCTTTAATGAGTTTCTAGGACGAAAAGGACGCCTTCTTGTTCTGAGGTCCGCCATTCTCGGCTCGGTTCGTTAACCGTGGAGTATCGGCTATGGGATCTGGTGTCAGATCCGATCCGCGAAATAAAGTTTCCCCGCACCCCGCAGTGGGGCATTCACGCTTGATTGAGACAAATCTCACCAATAAAGCCATGTTCCTTATCGCCGGACCAGGGAAGCTTGAGCTTCGGGGCTAAGTTGTCGATCTTGACGTGGAAATAACGACGTCGTTTGTTCTCATCTTCTTCAAGGTGCTGGCTTCTTTCAATTGGTATATTCTCCATTTTGGGATGCAATTGATGTTTACAGGCAACACAAGAGGACGAGAGTAGAATGCGTGCTGAAGGAGATGACACAATGGATCTGACAGCCGTCAAGGACTTCTTGGCGGAAGCTGGCACGCCCTCTTCCGAGCAGGAGGAAAATAATCAACAGGAGGAGGTAGCGTCGCCCCCAAAAGAACAGACAAGTGGTGGGAGGATCGTTCGGCGACGAGCAAGGAAAGCTTGTGTTGAGTGTCATAAGAGGTTAGTAAAGGATGTATGATTGAACGAACATACAATACAATTAACAACTGCCAGGAAAGTGCGATGCGACGTTCTTACTCGAGGGCAAGTCTGTACCAATTGCCGTCTTGATGGTCTACCATGCAGACTTCCTGCAAAAGATGGGTATGATGTTCTCAAATCGATGAAAGTGCTCTGCTGAGATAATACAGACGAAGAAGGAATCAGCTTGTTCAGCCACAGCCACCCAGTGCAAACGTCGAAATCGCAACCCCTCAAATAACTGCGCCAGCACCTCTTACAGCATCCATCACCGATCATGATCCCATTCCAAGCATACCATCTTTCGTCCCAATCCGAGACGAATCCCCGAGTTTCTGCAACGCATGGTCGTTCCGTCCTTCCATATCCACCAAACTTTCAAACACAACAACGTCGGCGACGTCTACATCCCATATCGATGTCTTATTCTCATACTACGGCTTCGTGGAATCCGAGTCCCTGTCGCATATCCCTCCCGAGGACTTCAAATTCTTGGAGAATAAAGGATGCTTCCACGTCCCGTCACGACCTGTTTTAGATGAGTTTATCAAAGAGTATTTCTTACATGTTCATCCAGTCTTACCGATTTTGAATGAAGGGCAGTTTTGGGATATGTATCTTGGGGATAGCAGGCTCGGGACTTCGACATCGATGAAGGTGTCTCTGTTCATGTTTAGAGCTATTCTGTTTGTGAGCTGCAGTGTGAGTATTCGTGCTATCGTAATTGAAACATTTTCTAACACGAGAGGTTAAGTTTGTATCAGAAGACTTGCTCAAGCAAATGGGTTTCCGCGACGCTTTTGAAGCTCGTCTCAATTTCTATAGACGAGCGAAACTTCTCTACGACTTCGACACTACCTCAGACTCAATATCCATCGCTCAAGCAGCTTTACTGCTTACATACTATTCATCTGATCGAGAACCAGTAAGTCTTCCTCACCAACTGATGGGCTTTCCAGTAACAGTTCAAGTCTATGAACACATATTGGCTCCGTATCGCAATCCAATATGCCCAGCAAGAACGCGCTCATCTGTACCACCAATCAATATCAATGTCATACGCAGATCGCCAGATTCGAAAACGGCTTTGGTGGTGCTGTATCCTTCGAGATAGGATTTTACCTCTTGGCGTGAGGCGTTCGATTCAGATCACTCATACCATGTTTCCTCTACATTCTGCCTCACCTCTTACTTCTTTGGATCTGGAGTCTGAGCTGTCCCGTTCTAAAGTATACGATTATTCCACGAAAAAAGTCCTCAATAAGGTGTTGGAAAAGCAGATTGAGTTGGCGATCATCTTGACGGATGTACTTGAGGTGATCTATCCTATAGGCTCTTTGGACTACAACAGTTTGATGAAAATGCCAATGCGGATTGGTGTTGTAAGAGGACGACTGGAAGGTTGGTTGAGTGGCTTCCAATGTAGCATGGGGGAACGTGAAAAAGTGCAACATAAATCCATAACCTTATTCCTCGGAGTAACAGAAATATACTACCAGTAAGTCCTCCATCTCCTCCCCTCTTTCACACCTTTAAGAATTTAGAGCTAATACACCACAGCTCCGCCCAAGCAGCCCTCGCCCAATACGAATCCCTCGCCCTCCAAGCCTCCATCACGACCCGCACGCCCCTCCACCGCACCAAAGAACTCGGCACCCACCTCCACGCCTCCATCGCCCGCATCTCCCAAACAGTCGGCACCCTCGTCGCCCTCGACATCGCGCGCTACCTGCCCGTCTCCGCCGTCGCATACATGGCTCTCCCCATCATCCTGAATTCCATCGACCTCCAAAACACCACCAAGGTCGACCGCGGCGGCGAGAAACGCCATCAATTGCGCTCGTATAATGAGGCGATGTCGCTGTGCCATGCGAGATATACGGGGACGGGCATGTGTTTAAGGTATATCGATCAGACGATCGCAGCGGCGAAAGCGGATCTCGCGGTCCCGGCGACGGAGTGTTCATCGAGGGAGGTGTTGGAGAAGGTGATGGAGGGGGGGAATGGGATGGATGACTGGTTTGAGGCGTTTGTGGTGCGGCCCAGGCAGTATCTGAGGATTGCGTTGACGGTCGATGTGTGGATGTGCAAGGGGAAGATGGCGGGGCAGGAGGATTTGCCGCGGGTGTTGATGTTGGAGGATGGGGAGAGGTCGGAGAGTGTTCTTGGTGTGGGTGTTCCCAGGAGCTTGGGGTTTGGGAGTGAGAGTGTGGGTGGGGTCGAGGAGTTGCTGTCGGAGGAGGTGCAGGGGCCGAAGGAGATGGTGTTGGTAGAGGGCGAGAAGAGGAGAAGGGATTTGGATTATTTTGATTTTGGGGGTGGGGAGATGGTTGATGATGTTTTGGTGGATGAGCTGGGATTTGGTGTAGAGGGTGGTGGGGAGAGTGAGAGGGGGAGTAATGGTGTTGATGTTGAGATTGAATTGGGGAGTGAAGGGGAGGGAGATTCTCAATCTATGGATCAGGAGGATTGGAATGGTGCAATGGTAGAAGGAATCCTGGAGGATGTTTTGAGGATTGGCTCATTCTGATTGAAGCTTGGAGTTTCAAGATGTAGGAATTAAGACTGTTGTAACTTACATAAACTCTTTAGCTCTTGTCTATCAAACTCACGAGTAAGCAAACCAGCGCCTAAATATGCCTAAAAGCATCGCTCTCGCATATTGTTATCAGACGAAAGCCACCATTTCAAACGCACCCTTCATCTTTCTCTAGTATGTCATGCACGTACACCCTTCAGCCCAGAACTTGACGTCTATTCTTCTTGAACAATCCTCCCCTCTGCTTTCTTCGGCAACCATCTAATCCCAAGCGTTCCAGGCAGCGCAATGAGCACTAACACAACCCAAATCAAATACCCATTCATGAATTGGGTCTTAGCTCCCGCAGCAAAGATACTAGTGAAGAATGCCGGCCCAACAGTGCGGATTCCAGATACCAACGTCAGAGCAATGGCATTGAGAGTGCCGAGCGTTTTGTGGTTAGGTGCTATATCGTTAAGAGCGAGTTGGACACCGGCTGGGATTATCAATTAGCTTCTAATCTCGATGAAAACCAGGAGAGAGAACTCACTAAAAGCCATCGAAACCCCACTCCCACCAATCTGCAACGTCGGCGCCACGATCCAGAACGCAATCTCCCACTTCCCGCCCCACCTCAAGAACAGATTGCAAACCGGCGCAGCAACGAAGAATATCGGCCACGCGATGTAGCATCCCCGGAGAATCATGCCGGTGCCGAATCTGCGTTGAAGAGGGGGAAAGGCGAGGAGTAGCCAGATGGCTTGCGAGATCCCGATTCCACCGAGGAACATGGAGATTTGGAGGGGTGTGAAGCCGTAGCCGCCAAGGTGCGGTGGCGTGAACCAGAATACGGGGCAGACGGCTGTGTAGGCGAGCCCGAGGAGCATGACGTGGCCGTAGAGGGTGAGGACTACACCGACTCCTGGTGTTTTGAGGAGTTCCCAGGTTGTCATTGGGGTTGGGGATGAAGTGGTATTATCGCCTTTGACTTTTTTCTCGAGGGTCTGAAGGTTTGTTAGTTGGCGAGGTAAGTGAAAATTGAGATACGGATCACAAACCTCTTTGATGAACAGAGCACAAGCGATGGCGGCGCTGGCACCGATTATACCGGTAGCGAATGTTGATAGGGCGTATGGATAGTCTCGAACAAATTGGATGTTCTTGAAGAATCCTCCAATTTGATTCGATGGATCTGCTAGACCACCACCTGTTTCTTGTCAGAGATTCGATTCTGAGATAGCTTACAGCACTTGACCTACCAATCAAAGGGCCGAGGAAGATTCCAACATTCCCAGCGAAGGCAAAGAAGCTGAATGCTCGTGCTTGAGTCTTTGGCGTGCTGTGTTCTGAGAGCATGGTTCTGATCGTTCTGCACGTGCCATCAGCTTTTGCTCTGTGATGGTGTCAAGATACATACACGATTGTCCCAGCAAACACGCCAGCACAGCATCTAAATAGAACCATCTGCCAAATGGCTCTACTCAAGCCGAAAGTAGCTGTCGCAATGGAAACGCCAGCAAGAGAGAAGACCAGAACTGGTTTTCTCCCAATTCGGTCAGCGGCTCGACCCCATGATATCATCAACAGCATCTGAGTCAATGAGAATAAGGATTCCTATAAGATCAATTTAGCGCTTTGAACTTCTGTCAGGACACGAAGCGACGAACAATCAATCCACTGTAGAACCCCACATCTGCTTTGTCGAGATCTCCCGTCCGCCATATCATCTCGTTGATGAACGGAAAGATGCCAAAGAAGGCAATGGGTTCAATCATTCGTGCATAACAAAGCAGGAAGATTTGTAACTTGGGTAAGGGTTTGTCTTCTTCATGATTGGAGGGTTTCGGGTTGTCTTCGTCGTCATCCGCTTTCCCATGGGATATGATCTCGCCTTCATTGATGGAGATTGGGGGGTCATCAGCCGAGGAGCCAAGGAGAGGTGTACTCTCGGTTGCGGCTCCATTGCTCGAATCCCCTTTCAGTGAGAGGGACATAGCTGCTGAGGAATTGAGTCTTTAAGATGAGTTAGGGTTGCGATGCGGTGTGTGGTCATGTGTAAGTGAAGTTTCTCCGTGAAAGATTAGCTTATAATATTACTTCTTGAAGAAAGATGAAGAGCCGAGACGACAGAACAATTCTTGGCAATATATCCTCTAAGTAGAGTGATTGGAGAGAAGAGGTGTTTTGATAGATGGGGGTTTGAAGTTATAAAGGTCGATTGTCAAGGAGTCATCCAATCGCGAGTTCGGAGATTGAGCTTATTAAGTGGGTCCTTAAATCCGGCTCAATTACGACGCTGCTGTACCTGCGGCGAGAGCATTGGGCAGTCGTTGCGGGATAATTATACTGGCCACAATTGATGATCGGGTCGATGTTAGTAAGAGCCTTTGGCTCGAATATGACAATTGAGATAATGATTCCAATGGATCGAGATAGTCACGTGAATCCGTATGGGTCAAGATCTTATGTGGTTCTCGAGCTCCAAATCAACGCCAATTTGATGTCTGTATGCTTGTCACGCTCTAAGAACATGCCGGAAGTACGTAAAGTCCAAAGGTCAGCATCATCATTTACTAAGAAAACATGCTTAAGACCAAAATATGTCCATGTCCACAAGTCCGTCCCACGTCAACGATTTCTTTCCAAAGTTCAAGATATTCCCGGACACTAAGGCTTCGACGGAAGGTACACAGTCCCGCCAAGTGCAACTGCTTGCGATCTATCAACAGCACACCTATCAATGGCCACAAGTTCTCATGCAATCAGGAAGGTTGCATCGGCTAGCCATCATCGTCCTCTTCGTCTGCTCGTCCAACACGCCTGTCGCTGTGTTACCCGTGTTCCTCTGGTACCGCATCACTGCCTCGCAAGTCACGGGATCATAGACATTCTGTGTGATGGTGTCGTTCTCTCGAAGGTAGCCGTAGTGCCTGAGGTGGTTCTGGACATGGGCGACGGCTTCATTGACGTCACCTGGTCTGAGATCGGGGAGTGCTACGATCTTTTGGCGGTCTTCGTAGCAGTTCGAGAGGGCTCGTTGTCTGTTTGGGAGGGAGGTGGAAGCCATGGTGCTTTGGGGTGAGGCTAAAGTAACGGCGAGAAATGACGAGACGATGTTGGGAAAATGGTCTTGATGAAGCAAAGAGTTGTATACGTTCGCAGAGTGAAGGAGGATAGATCGTATAAGTAGTGACAGTGGTCACCCTGGGTTTCACTGCTCGAAAAGCAATGTAGGACACCATGTCAGTGGTGCTGTGGAGTATCACGGGTCCTGCTATACCTCGTCATGAACCACGTAGTACCGTTCTCAGGCGAAGGACGAGCGGCCTTGCCGTCATCAGATGATCGTCAGGGACTCCCGGTCTTAAACCAAAGGCATGTATCAACGATTCTGGTTAAGTTCTGTGCCAAGCGCCAGCCATGTCTTTGAAAAGTCTCAGACAAGGACCACGATCCCGCTCTGCGAATATAGCGGACTTGGGCCGCTGATTGATGAATGGTTTTCTTTCTCTCAGGACTACCTCTTGGAGCATCAGAAGACAAAATCTTTTCTGTGAAGTACTTCCTGCCTGAGAAACGGAGAATGGATCATGCTAGAGTGAAGCACAACTGGCGAAGATTGCGCCATATCATAGAACGCAGCGTGTGCTCGCAGCCACGGCGCCTGCAAAAGAAAACAAAACATCAGCATCAAAGCGCGAATGCCACGAGAAGCAAGAATGAAGATGCAGTACCAAGTACCTCAAGAGCTTGGAATTGAAGTAATCAGCGACGTTGTACAGTTTTCGTATAGGAGAAACGTGTGTAACATTCTGCTCTGGTGCTGTGATGTTGTATTTGAGATGGGAAGAACAAGATTGAAGTAACGAAGCCTCCCAAACACGCTAAGGCTTTAATGGCTTAGCGTAATCTTTTCACCTTACTTTGACGCTCAGGGATGCATCTATGAGAACAGCTCTTACCTTTCTCCAAATAAAACATGGAACCAATCCCAGAATTCACTGCGAAAGTATATGAATACGTTCTAGGTGAACAAGTGCCGGCAGATAAGGCACTCACACCAGGTAGAGGAGAAGCTTCGGTAACTACAGGCTTTAGTCGCTAAAACAAAGCTCGGTCATAGGGTCTTCTAGCGAATAACACCTCTTGAAGAAAGTATCCAGGGGTACTAATAGGCCTACTTCGCTCGGGGTTTGGGGATTTTTAGCGTGTGGCACTGTAAGCTGCAGGGGCTTACAGCGAGTAACAGTTGGTGCAAGGGGCGCTCAATGCGCTGACTGCGCCATATGCTATAACTCTTGACCGCGTTCGTATAAATCCAAGCTTCATTCCAATTCGATGATATGCGGAGGTGATGTGGAAGTAGTGGAGACGAGACGAATGCGCCGCCCCGCCGCCCCGCCGCTTTCAACATTGGTTCCTTATATAAAACTACAAAAGAAAGAAAATATCAAGCATATTCCATTACTGTTCGCATTATCACGATGGGCGGGTTCTTTGGATTCCTGTGGAATCAGCTCTTTTTCAAGCCAAAGCCGCTTGAAGCCAGCATCTCTCTGGAGGGAAAGACAATTCTCATTACGGGTGCTAATTTCGGTCTGGGTCTCGAGACGGCTCGTGAGCTTGCAGCACGAAAACCCTCACGCCTCATTTTCGGGGTTCGCGATGTCAAAAAGGGAGAAGCTGCCAAGGAATTGATTCAAAAGACGAGTCCCACGGTCGAGATAGATGTATGGACTCTGGACTACAATTCCTACGACAGTCTCGTCAACTTCGCGAGCAGAGTTGCAACTGTCGACCATCTCGACTATGCTCTCCTCAACGCCGGGATCAAGATGATGGAGTATCAAGTATCCGACGGTGGTCACGAGACTAACGTTCGAATCAACCACTTGGGAACGTCCCTCCTTTCACTTCTCCTGCTTCCAACCCTCCAGACGAGTGCGAAAGTCACTGGCAAACCTTGCCATCTGACAATCGTCTCTTCGGAAGGCCATTTCTGGGTACCCTTCCATGAGCGCACAGCGCCTAAAATACTCGCGCGCATGAACGAAAAGGAAACCTTTGGGACAGCAATGCAACGATATTATACTTCTAAACTCCTCAATGTTCTTTGGACCCGAGAGTTAGCTAGTAAAGTCAATGACAAACAAGTCAGAATCAATACTGTCAATCCTGGATTCTGTTACAGTGGACTCCATCGACATGAAAGCACTGGTGTCATCAAGATTGTGCTGTGGCTCTTCGGGTGGACTACAGAGCAGGGAGGCCACTGTTTGGCGGATGCGTTGATAGAGCATGATGATTCACATGGGGAATATCTTAGTCTGCAAAGAACGATGCGGTGAGTATTTTCTCTGGTTGATGTTGATATTGCTAACTTAATTAGACCGTCCGATTTTGTGGCTTCCGAGGAAGGCAAAGCTGTTCAGAAACGAATTTGGAAGGAGACTATAGCGCTACTGAAGGAGGAGGCTCCATCGGCGAGAATTCCAACTTTCGATGATTGATGTAGCGCATATCGCGCTTTTCCCGCAAATCGCGCGACTTGCGCATTTTGCGCACATTTCTCTTCAATAGAGAACTCATCTCTTGTATCTTTTCTTTCTAATTTCCTATTGCTATCCATTCGCTTCACGAGCGGTTTTGTCAACTGGTGCGGATGTGATAAGACTTGTGTAGTCCACAGACCTGAGTCTCTCACTCGTGAAGGGCTGGTGGCATTGTCAGATAGATTGGGGCTGAATGCCGCCATAATATTGTCCAATCTGACTTGAAAAGCAGATCGAATTCTACTGCTTCATTAAAGACAATTATGGCAATAGCTGGCCCAAGACTACGGCCAATAGCTGTTCTTGATGCAATTCATATGCGACTAGGTTCGTCCGACAGAAATTCACTTCAAACCATGACCAACTTTCTTTCCCGAGAGCGACTCTTTCGGGACTTTCCGTCTGTAGTTGCGGGACTGCAACGGTTGGGGGAGCAAGAATTGGCCACACGGCTTGGAAGAAAGTATGCAGATATTGGACTTCTTTGCTTACGCGTATTAGACACTGGGGAAAGTGACGAAAACGATAAGCAGGAAGAAGGATTTGTAGCCAGGATCACTGTCAAAGATCCGGAATCAGACAATGTGAAGCGACAACCATGGATCGATGAGGATGGTGTTGTGAATGGAGTAACACACATCGAAAATATAGTTTCATAAAGTCTAGAACAATATTACCTTATATTCCAATGCTTACAGTACCTCAAAGCTGAACGCGATGTTCTAGACCCAGAAACGGGACATAGCTTGATTAATTACACTTCGTGCCCCTCATTGTACGTATTGTTAGCTTCAGTATTCCCAAATTAAGGAGGCACTCATTCAACTCACCTTTAGCTTCCCCGGAAGTGTCTCGCGCTAAACGATGGCAATACGGAGTGTAAAGTGTAGTACGTCACTGAGTGTCTTTCGCATGGCTGTTCTATTTGAATATTAGGTTCCTATCATGTTCTACGCCAATGATCCGTTATGATGACAAGAGGCATTGCTCCAGAGAGCTGCTGTAATAGACCAAACCCGGTAGTGTCATTTGCCGATCGTATCATTGTATCTATCAGAAGTCTAGAGTGCAGCCATGGACCCATTATAGTCTTTTCAAGTCTGTGCGTCAAGACAATACTCAGCCTCAAGCAAACGACGCCCAGATGTAGCTATTAAAGTTTCAGCGAGATCCAGCCCGTAGATCATGCAAGATTCATGACTACTGAACAAACAGAATTCTTGTATTCGTCCCAACGACTTTTGTAGATGCGTGCCGAGCCGCTTTCTTTAAACACTGGCGTGCAAGATGGGCCAATGAAAGATATTTCCGCGCTGTTAGGGCCGCTTGATGAACTTCATATCACCGTAATTCATTCCTCCGTCCCACCTTTTCCAAAGTTAAATGGAATATCTACTGTGCACGCTTCTAGCCATCAAAGTATGATGCCATCGCGATATCTAGAATTACGAGTCCAGCAACGGTTTTTGCTCCGTGTGCTACTGAACAGTCGTTTCTCATTACACATCCCCATATAAGTCAGCTCGGGACATGATTAGCATCACTACCCAATCACTGGTTGCTTTGCGTCACATCAGACAGTGGATCAAACTGGAATTAACATAGACCTCAGTTGGCAAAAGAGTGAAGTATCTTAGTCATCCTGTTATTCTCGCAAACCTACCAGTATTTTAGGATCGTGCCGTACCCAGTTGTCAAAGATTGTCACCCGAGGCGGATCCATTTCGTGACAGGCGCTCGCTAATTATCTGAATTTGGCTTTCTCCCTTCACAACAACCACAAAATCTATTAAAAAGCTTTAAAAGATAGAACAAGAATAGAGTACACCTCAATAAACCCCTATACTAATTTTTAATAATATAAAATGTAAAAAATTTGTAGTAATACAAGTTATTGTTGCTAGAAAGTTATGGCTTAATATCGCCCGAGCGCCCATCACGAAATGGATCCGCCTCGACCTCTTGGCGTCATTGTTTGATCGTTCCAAGTGAACAGCGTTGCTTCCTATCACACGTCTCATCACACTCACACATGAAACAAGAACGTCTTCACCCCGCGCCCAGCCCCACCAGCATCCTCTATTCAATTTGTCTTCGCGAGCCGAGCCGTCGATCCCAGTGACGATCCGTGGGTGACCACGTCAAAGACGTACCACAACTACGTCTTCATTCTAGGCATGGTTGACATGGATTCAGGTCATCCGACTGGTAGCAGAGCGATGCGAACAGTCCGTGGTTCCAAAATCAGGGGTATCCCTTGATTAAGCGAGTCTAGTCCAGTCTCGACAGCACAGGTCACTTCCCGAGCCCGTCCGAGCATAAACTTTGAAAAAGCAATGACAATCAGACACTGACGAATAGTGGTATAGAGATACCATAGAGTTTGGACTTGATGGCGTGTGACCTACTCAAGCTAAAGCTTGGACTTCAACATTGGAAAAAGTTTCGTGGGGATCAAAAAAGTGGCGTGTGCTATGTTATAATAAAGTCTTTTATGCCGAGGACCCAGATATATATAAAGCACAATTGCGGACTTGATTCCGGAATATTGACTTCGCATCGCTTTCCTCTCAGCTTTTCAACTTTCCCATATTTCAACGAACCAAAATAGCAACATATTACCAAGAGCTCCGCTAAAGTTAGCCTCGGTGTCAGATCAGATCAAATTTGAAACAACACACGAGTGAAGAACTGATCATCCTTCAATTTAAGATGGGAAACAAACCCTCACCAACCAGTCCACCTACCCCTCCGGCTCCAAGACCTTCACCTCCGCCTTCTCGCTTGCCGAGTCGATCACAATGACAGTACCCATACCAGCCCTCAGTGCGGCGGAGAGAGAGAAATACGACATTTTCTTCCCGCCGCTGCCAAACTATGGCCCTCCCACGCTCGGCAAGAGGTTTAAATGGGCTGTACTGCGCATTGTATTGTTCTGTCTATATACAACCGGTCTCTTGATCACAGTTCTTTGTGCTGTACCATTTGTCTTGAAGCACATCTTCGAAAAGGGACCACCTCGTCCATTTCAACAAGAAGAAGAGCGACGAGCCGAGGAGAGAGAGAAGGAGGAAAGGAAATGGGAAAGGCAAAGAGACGGAGATGTTGACCGTGCGATACTGGAAAGTCATGGAGGGTGGTGTCCATCTGAGGGAGGGAGAGACAAGATGATAAGAGACGTGGGATATTATGCTCGAAGAGTAGGCCTGGATTGCGAGGAACTGAAGGTCCAGACTGAAGATGGACATATACTTGTGCTGTGGCACGTTTATGACCCCCGAGAATATATCCCTTTACCTGCTGCGTTGCGCGGAATCCGTGGTCCGGAGTCAATCGATGCCATTCGACCACCGTCGAGAAAGCTGGAGCCGCAAGAAAGGGGTCAGACAAAAGAGGAAGAGAGAAGATATCCGATTTTGATGATACATGGGTTGTTGCAGAGTGCGGGGGTTTATGCAACGAATGATGAACACTCACTTGCCTTTTGGCTTTGCAAGGAGGGTTTTGATGTTTGGTTGGGCAATTGCAGAGCGGGTTTTACCCCTGAACATGTCGAGTTGGACAATCAAAATCCAGAAATGTGGAACTGGGATCGTGAGTTTTCCATTTCCTTTTGTTCTATTTGTCCTATTATGGAAAGAGAAGACACTAACTTGCAAGTGATAGTAAGACACATGGCCACCTTGGATCTCCCAGCACTCACGGCAAGAGTTCTCTCCGAAACGTCATTCTCAAAATTGGCCTTGGTCGGACACTCACAAGGTACGACTGCCACTCTGATCGCACTTTCGCGCTTTAGTCGTCCATCACTGTCCTCAAAACTCTCAGTTGCTTGTCTTCTTGCACCAGCGTTCTATGCAGCATCTCTTCTCACCACCAAATTTGTTTTTCGATTCATGCGCCTAATCCCGTTATCCGCATTCACGCTACTTTTCGGCCGGACTTCTTTCATACCTGTTATGGGAAAGTTGGGCTACCTGCATGGGAAAGTGCCAGAAAATTGGATTGGAGGACCTAGTTATGCTGCTTATCGATTTCTATTCAATTGGACTGATCAGAACTGGGATCGTGGACGAGGGACAGGGGGTTTATGTTTGCGCCAACGTTCATCAGTGCCAGAGCCATGGCTTGGTGGTTGGGAAGAGGTGGATTTGCCGATCGAGATTGTGTTTTGAGTATCAAGGAGGAACTTGAGCGGGAGAACATTGAGGATTTGTTGGAAGATTTTGAGAAAGGCGCTACGGGCTCGATAAACCCTGCAGAGGCAAGTACGTTGAGAGAAAAATTGAGAAAAGATGAGGAGAAAGGGTTTAGGAGTGAATGTTGGTTTCCAGAATATACAGCACCATTGGCTTTTTGGGCTGCGGGAGACGATGAACTTGTTGATGGAAAAAGATTGTTGAATAGGTTCAGAAGAGGACGAGAACCAAACGCGAATATCGTACATAAGCATGTGGTGGCGGGCTATGAACATCTGGATGTCGTCTGGTCTTGTGATGCGGTTGAGAAGGTAGGATGGGAAATGAGAAATGTGATTTGGAAAAGTGTGCAAGATAAGAGTGAGATAAGGAATCCCAGAGGTTGCGTGGACATCTGACAGAGAAGAGGTGAGGCGATAGCAAGTCTTTTGACACGATACGTGGGATAGTCGGTGCTTTTGAAACTAGGTAATTTATAGCTCAATATACTACAGTCAAATTCTGTCCATCTCTTTCAATCTTTGCGATGCCTATTTCAAGACATTGTAAAGAAGGGACTATCGAGCTGGTTGCAGTGCACTTGGGGCACATCTCCAGACTGCGGGGCGGCATACATGAGCACGACCCTCGAGTGAGAATTTTGTATGAAGAGTTCGAGAATTCAGTTTGTGGGGTCTTGAAATTGTGCCCTCTAGTCAGCTCAATGTCGATCTGTGGGTCACTTCAAGATCAGTTTAGAGTTTTTTACAGGGCCAATGTGATGGCTATTCATAACATTAAACGTATGCTTTTTATTTTCTTGCCGACATGATATGTAATCAACCGCCTTATGTAAAATAATTGGATATACTTGACTCTAATTTAGCTTTGTTCACGCTTTCATTTTCATCCAGTCTTGCCAAGACTTTGTTGGGCTCTTCGTGATTAACATGATTTCCGTTTTGAATGCATGGGAATTCACCCTGTTTCGGTAAGGCTCCCCGAGGATTGTCCCAAGATCGCCGGGTACAGGCGCTTGGATATCGCTTTCCTGAAGATTCATTCCACATTTGATCATTGCAGACGCTATGCTTGACCATGGAGCTGGCAGCTTTTGACCATTGAAACCCTTGTAAAGGTTCTCTAGAAGACGTCTCCATACTGTCCATTCTTTTCCGTAGGCATCATAAAAAAGGTAATTAGCATCAGCTCTATGACCTATTAAGCACTCCATCATTTCGAAGGATGGTACAGAGTCTTGGTATTCAGTCGCCCACCGGGAATCAAAATGGACTGCATCTTGGAGGAGTGGCCAGATATGCGATTGTCTTCGAAAGTAAAGCTCTCTTGATCTTTCATTTAGTGATTGAACGCCAATGATATCCTCCAGTGAAAGTGTTTGCATGGATGTCATCGGACTCCGCTGAACGAAGCATCCTCTATTGACCTTTGCGTCTACATACTCGACACCGCCGTACCTGACTACCAAAGACAAGAAATTGCAGCCAAAGTTGGTCCGGAACCCATAGTATGAAAGCGAAGGATGTGTTGGCACCCATTGTCCAAATGATAATAGATCATTGACGAGATATCTTTGCTCATACTGGATGAATGATAGATACTGCTCGCTGTTTGTCACATGGTCGTTGGAAAATTTCAAAGCAAGAGTCTTCCCAGTCTCATCGAGCTCGTCAAGAAGAGGAACGATGTATTTTTTGTTCCGTGCTTGAATTTTTGAGGCACTCCATAGGCAGCGCTGTACACGTGTCCATAAAGTACCATCAGAGAAGAAATTCGTACGATGGTCTATTGTCTTAATATGCGCAATGTTGCCAGCACAAAGTCTCAAGTGTGGGTCAAATGCAGATTTCGATGCTTCGTGCATCTTGGTCTGGACTTCAATACTCTCAACATAGTCTTTGACAGTCCTGTGAAGATACTGAACTGTATCTTCACCCACTCTTGAATCTTCGGTAGCTGATTTGCCTACTTCAAGAAGGCCCTTCCATCGGCTGTTCAATCGCCGACGCATAGTATCGGTACGTAAGAGCCGTGCATCTGGGGACAAAGGTTGGAACAGCTGCTTCAACGCAAACTCTATGGAGTCTTCATCGGCAAAAGAAAGAAGCAGGAGAGGCAGTGGTTCACGACTGGCTTGTATCAGTTGGAACAGTTGAGCTGCATGTTCAAGGTAGAATGGGTCCAAACTTTGAAGGATCTTATCGTATAGGTTTTCCAAATCGGGAGGTAGTAGATCTAGCCGTCTCTGCAGATCTGAGATTCTGTCTCCATAATTCATGCCTGAGAGAAGAGAATGAACTACCAAATGTACCCAGAGAAAGACACCACATGCTTTAGATGCGACGTTCTCGACCAATTGGTTTGCAAAGTCAGGCTCCCTCAAGCTAAGCTGAGTGAAACCGGGATTTCCATGGAACTTTGAGCTAACATAGTGCTTGATGTCAGGATATGTCAAAGTGTCAATTGTAAGGCTCGGCTGATGCTCGAAGGCATCTTCAAATTGGACCCAAGGTCGACTCGAGACGCAAACCTTTATGTTTTTGTTTGCGATCAAGTCTTGAAACAGGTAGATGAGGTCATCATGCTTTCCTTCAAATTCGTCGAGGCCGTCAACGAACAAGACAAGTTTTGCATCCTGGCTGATGATCATCGCCGTTGATCGAAGCATTTTTTCCAGTTCTTCTTTGGAGAATTCTTGTGGGTCTTCATTGAAGAGACAGAAAGCCTACCATTGAGTCGGAGAAACTAAAGGGATGATCTCTGGACGATGTTGCAGAATCTGGAACAGGAGCGAAAGCAAGAGACCCATCTTTGACATTTGCAACGGGGTACCAGAGTTCCAAAAGAAGAAATTCGCAATTAGAAGCTCAGAACCTCTAGCCCAGTTCTTCAAATACTTCTCGCATCGTGAATTGCTCTTCATTGTAAGATCTTACTCATTGAATTCGTAGAGTCCACAGGGTTCGAAGCACTCTCTTCGTGGCAGATATACTTCATCAAGGTCGATTTCCCAGATCCCGCCCTCCCAGTTATCCAATACAGAGGCTCATCTGTCTCTAGCCATGCTTTGAAGTTAGACCAAAGCTTCTCGTGACCACTTGCGTCGTCACTGAAAATCCACTGAAAAGTTTCCTCGTAAGCTTCAACAATCCTTTCTTCACGGTCATCCATTCCTGAATATCGAAGCAGCGCTAGTATTTTCGACTGTAGCACCCTACGTCGATGCGTTGGAATTGCAAAATCAGAGACATCCTGAGTAGCTTCGCTCGTGTGATCTTCATGTATGGCTGAAACGATCTCTCGCTGCCAAGAACTCTTTCCGCTTTGGCCAAGCTTCGCTGTTAAGAAGTCTAGGAGGCTTGAGCCGATTCCTTCTGCAGTCAAGTTCCTCGTCGAGCATTCAAATCGTTGAGTATGTTGGCCTATGGCAGCAAGCTGAGTGAGAATCTGCTCTTGCTGACTCAAAGACTTTCTAGCTTGCTCGCTACATCGAATTAGAGCCTTGAACCTCAATCTGGTGAAGATTGACATACCGCAATGATACCAAAATATGAAGGTTCAGCTGATGTTTGATGGTTTCGAGCCTCATTTGTTGCGATATCATATCCTCCTCCTTCCACGCCAATCGAAAGGCAGCTTTCAAGGCATCTCATTTGCGATGTTTGTCAGATACACCAATCTTGGCCAGGGAGCTCAGCATTTCAGTAGCCAGCTGCGAACATTGCTGCCCAAGCTCTTTGAGACTTCTTTCACTGTCTGTTTCGTCCCCAGGTTCTTTCAAAGGTGAGACTAGCTCCGCAAGTACGAGTTTCAGATCCTCAGCTGTCTTTTCCACACCCAATAATTCTGGAAAGCTGCCACGACCCTTATGGTAGATGGACCATGCATCGTGAATTAATCTGCCACCAAAGTCGACGAATTGAACAATATTTGCAGCGAGACTGAACGCCGCGATCGCCTCTGCCATGTCAACGCTCTTGTTTCGATGATTCTTGACGGTAGGTGCCTAGGTAATAGATGATAATGAAAACAGTGAAATAGACAGCAGCAGACAGTTGTCACCTTGCGTGAGGTCGGCTCCGGTAGCTAGGTAATTGATGATAATGAAAACAGTGTAATAGACAGTAGCAGAGAGTTGTCACTTTGCGTGAGGCTGGCTCCGCTCAGGAGATGCGAACTTTCCTTGAGGCCATGCGGCTGGGTTTGGGCGGCTTCGCAGATGGTGGCTCAGCGCTAATTTTACAAGGCTCCCTGATAGGCAGTGCGTCAAGGCACACGATTATGTGCTGGTCCAATTACAGGACACCCACATTGAATTATGCCGATTCATTGGTTAGCTTGCTAGGCTAAGGCAAGTTCCCAGCTTTTCAATGTTGGTGAGGCTATGCCCGACTTTCAAATGATACGCAAAGTGCAACGGGTGGGTGGGTACGCAGCGGATTTACAGCGATCAGCAATGTCCAACTTGACATTCCGGAACAGGAAGGATGAAATCTTTTTAGTACAGAATTAGCCTCGAGGTGCATCACGTGTGCAGGTCGTAAGAAATTTATTCAAATTTTGAGAAGTTCCAATAGTGTATTCTCTTAGACTGCAAACAGTACTTAACAAATAAGAAATCTCTACTTAGTACCAGGAGGGAAAAGAGCATTATAGTTCATGCTAGGTCCAGATGCCAAGCTTTCCGTGTAGGTGACACCGTATTTCACACTTTTCCCGCCCGAAAAAATATCTAATGAAGGCTCGCTTGCCTCCCCGCTATTGGAAGGAGACCTTGGTATCTCGAACAAGTCCGTCGTGGTGGAACATGCTTCAGACCGTACTTCTGGTACTATACTATCCAGAGGCGTTCTTGTCGGCGCTTTTGGCATAGATAGTCCCTCTGTGTAGCCCAGTCTCCTTTTGATGTCGATTGTTTGGTGAACTACCTCAGGATATTCAGCTTGTAGTTCCCACGGAACCGGCATTTCGCCCCAGGTACGTTTCCATGCATCATCACCAACCTCAACATTGGACGACAGGACGGAGTTTGCGATCGAACAGGCAGACGCAGCCCAAGAGGCAGCTTGCTGCAGGTTGTTAAGGTCGCCAAAATCCTTGTATAGTTGTATGTAGAGACTAATCCACAGATATGCACGACGGCTGTAAATTTCTTTCTCCAGCGTTGAGTTCAACAAGTCTATCAGCTTCTTTCCAGTCTTCAGAAAAAGGTGCCGAAAGCAACAGACTGCTAGAGTACCCGTGAGATAAAGAAGCTCGGTAATACTGGTCTGTGACAATCCTGGCATTCTTAGTATCTCCCTGATTTCTCGATTAGTTATGGAGGGTAGAAGAGGTCGTGATGTGCTGCGGTCGGCTTTGATGATCTCCGTTAGGATAGCTTCTATGTCGGTACTTCCAGGTTTAACTTTCCAAAGCATCAAGCATTCAAGAAGTGACGCAAGGAACTGCTCCAAGGCTGCAACTCGCTCCCCGAATGACATCAACTTTTGTCCAAGAATAAGTCGGCCTCTCCAGGGTACATCGTCGAGAGATGCCGAAATGGCATCAAAGAATCTCGCAGGCATCACTCTCCGTATGTGCCGGCTTGAAAGTCCCTTCAATATTCTGTTGATCTTGGCTTCCTTAGTCATGAACTTGGAAGAAGCGAACGGTCTGTCTGTTACCAGGAATCTCTCAAATGTCCCCCGGATTATGCAATTTAGTTGTTCGTCTGTAAAGTCTGGAGATGTAAAACAGCGATATATAGCATCTATAAGTCCGTGACCGGTGTCGGCCATTGACCTAGATTTCTCGAAGAAAAACTCAAACAGTCTCTCCATATTCTTATTAAGAATTTCGAGCACAGATTCAGATAATATAGGGGTAAGCTCCTTTTCGAATAGATTTTCAATTGCTGGCTTGGATGTGGTTGTCGGTATATTATTAGCGGTGATGGTGGAGGCTACTTCAAGGACCGCGGTGGCGCATGGGTCTTGTCTGCTGTGGTCTGTGTGCAAAGAATCAAGACTTGATGTGGTGGTAGCGCAGTCAGTTTCTCTGGGTGTAGCATATGTAACGTGTTGGGGCGTCGCTGTCACACCGAGTCAATAAAAGTACCCAGAATTACCGAACAACTAACCTATCTCTGGTAATGAAAAGTCAGCTCCCGGTTCCGCTCTCGGTTTCTTGAATTGACGGATAGTTTCGGTGGGAACGACGACATCATTCCTCGTGAACTCTGTTTCTTTTCCTTCCTCTAGAGCTCGCTTCTCAGCTTTGTGCAACATAAATTTCATGTCGCTTGTCAAATTCTTGTCGAATCCCCATTCTCGCATCTTCGTTTTCCCAGTACGTTCACTTCGAAGTTAGCCAGGATAGCAAGCAGAGCACAGCGAATTATCTACCTCTTCTGGAATTGAAATTTGCTCTCAATCTCTTGCATAGTCTGTCTGAGCGGTCTTCTTCTCTCCACATAGATGCGTCTAATCTCATCTTTGCATGGTTCCCACGAGCGATCATTCCGTTCCTTGGTGGTGAGAGCCATAGCATGAGGCTGTGGAGCGGCAGCTTCATCCTTGGCTGGCTGAGACATGGTTCGAAGAGGAGTGCTGTGTTCAAACAAACGATCATCAACATATAAGTGTTCAAAGATGGAAATGATAGATATGGAAGAAGAAGAGTGAGGCTGGAGGGTTGAAGTTGCCAGCGGCAGTAAGCGGGCCAATCACAATGCTAGAAAAAGTGCAAATCCAAATTTAGGGGGGAGCACCACCCAAAGACTAACGTCGAACTTTCTTAGCTTACGAGCTCCCGATGTGGCGGTGGCTGCTGCAACCCAAAAAAAAGACAAAGTTGCTTCATGCCTTAAAGCGTTTAGTTCAATAGACTTCGAGAGGGATCACGTGCAACCAAAAGTTTGCACACACCCGGACAAACATTCTCAGCTCGCTGCCTAAACCTCAATCAACGCACTAGCGCCTCGACCCCAAGTATATATACTTCCCTCCTCCCACTCCCTTTTCTTTTCTTCATACTTACCAAGCCAAAACAGCCTGCTCAAGAATAGGTGTGTTTACATGATGAGACCTCCATTGTACCACGGGGCGTCGAGTGTGTTGATACTTCCTCCTTGGGGTATCATGGTATGAATTTTTGATTGCTGCTCCCGTTGGGAGTTTGTTTCTTTTCGTTGAGAGCCGGGCTGTGGGCTTGGTCTTGAGGAAGAGAAATGTGTGCGGAAATGTGTGGATGGGAGGTAGGTGTTGGGAGGAAAAGTTTGTATTTGATAGCTTGAAGAACTGGATGATCAATCTCGGGTCGCACTTGCGACTTTCAAACTCATTTCTACTGCAAAACCACAGGTTTCCAGGCAGGCGTCACCAGAATGAGTCAGAATATCACATCTTCAGAAATGATCACGGGACGCATAACTTACATCGGACTCTGACGATAGCCATGAGCCCCCATGTCTCTGTTGTGCAACCAAGCTTTTCGTACCCCACGAATATGCTTCGGCGGAGATACTCTCCATCATGGCAGACGCGGAGCGTCACACCGCCCTTTGACCATTCCTTTGAAGTCTCACGAGGCTGACTTGTCGAGTGCATTGGAGCCAATTAACAATGTGTAATTTGAGACAGCCTCAGCCCTTGTATTTAACATACAGGCCTGGGCCTGGGTAGATGCGGCATCACCCGCGCTTCCGTTTGAGCAAAGCCATCGTCAATTGTGCCAAAATCCCATGAGCGAATTGTTTGAAGAGTTGGCAAAGAGTTCTAGCGGTGTTTCATGAGGTGAAGGTCTCAGATTAGATTGACTATAAACCCTTGACGCGCTTCGGATCGTCGGGATATTGCGTCAATCTCAGCCTCTATATGCGAGATCGTCGCCAAGGCACAGATTCAACGAGGCATTGACGTGAGACTAAGTTACGGTGAAGGCAATGACTACATGTCTATTGGCCAATTGCGCAGAACGTGATAAAATGGACAATATTACAGGTACTTAATGTCTGCAACGTCAAGACTCACTTGCTGCCGACATTCTGCAAGAGATTGGATTCGGTTTAATTTTATGGAGTTCTCCATAACAACTCTCTCTTGTACTCAGATTCACGGGTACCACTCAGTATAATCCAGGTCTCAGCAGCTTGTCAATTTGTTGGGAGAACGAACGAAAAGCTCAGTAATCAACGACAAAAGCGGCTCCTTACCAAATATTCCTGAACACTATCCGAAAACAGGGCGATGAGTCTGATAGAAGACGAATGAATCACCATACGTGCTTTCTGTCTGATCCCAACCTTTAACCTTTACCAAAGGTTGAACGGACTAAATGGCAAATTGAAAGTTGACGATAGGAGAGTCTCCAGCTCAACGGTCTTATTCAAACATAAAGACAAACTATGCAAAACTCAAATACTGGACAAGACATTGAGCACCTTTCTTTACTTTGGTGAACTTGCATCACTTCCGTCTCATTCCTCTACCAATCAGCCTCTGATAAAACGAAGCCGACCAGGTCTCCAAAGCTCCTACTTGCAAAGTTCTCTCATCAGGGCTGAGGGAAAAAGGAAGAACGACATGTGTAGTCTATGCAAAGACCTTGCTTCGCATATTCTTTCCTGTAAACGGCATTGCCTATGACAGCGATTCCCGCATGCTTCCAATGGAACAAGTTCTTTGCAAGCTCGTCATGTGGTAAAAAGGTTCGGAACGGTGTAGGCCTAGGAACTACAAAAGCCAGACAATGTCCTCCATCTTCGCGGAATGACACCACTGCTAAATCCATATTTATTTCTTCAAACCACAATCTTCGGTAAATCACCGTCAACATGGCGACTCAAGCACCACCCCCCTCGTACGAGTCCGTCGTCAGCGGCATCGAGAAATCACTCGGAAGCAACATCACATCCACCAACCTTCTCAATGCCATCTCGAAACTCACGCCTGCACAACTGGCCGCCTGCCAGCAACAAACGCCAGAGAAGGCCCTCAAGAAGATGACTCCCGAAGAAGCCAAAGCCTACGAGGAGGGCATCAGCAGCTACGTGCAATCCGAACCAGGCAAGCTCCGCTTGAACCAGAACGCCGATGATGCTACCAAGGCGTGTCGTTTGATCGCTACTATGTTCAGTAACCTTGCAATGAAGCTTGGTGAGGTGGACTCTTATGGCAGACCTACTCCTGATGGCCCGTTCCTGCCTCGATTTGCGGCGCTTGAACAGTTTTGTGACTCTTCTTCCCCAGTTGCAGTGCATGGAATTCTAATACGGACTTCTCGTGCTTAGGAGTATAGGAAGATCATCAAGAATAGCACGGGCCAAGCGGTTCAAATTGCTGTCTACTGCAGACGTATGTAGCCTAAGCCCAATTTGAAAATGAAAACTGCGATACTGAACAAAGGTCAGGTTTCGAGAGTGCCATTTTGCCCATCATCATGCACCGAAAGCTTCCAACAAGCATGAAAATCACGAAGCTGGATGAATTTATCAGGGTTTGTCGACCCAAGCAATATCCACGTGCCTTCAAGCAGCAATTGACAATCTTTAGGATGCCGATGCATTCGAGAAGATGTCAGGCGAGATCTTGGACGGCTTTGCTAACCTTGTTCTAAACTTCGAGGGTTTCATAGGCTCTTTCAGTAAATGGGCTGAGCAGAATTCTGACAAGATTGATGACGAGATCATGGCTCTCGGAGATGCCCTGCAACAGGTTAAGAAAGAGATCCAAGCCCTCGAAATTTCCATGATTTCTGTTGGAGTCATCGGAGGTGTTAGCACTATTGGTGTCACTGTCGGCTTGGCATTTGTCATTGGCCCATCTGCGGCGGTATGATTTACTTCGCTTTCACGCATCTACTGATTGCTGACCTGACAAGATTGCTGGCCTCATTGGGGCAGCAGTAACAGGAGCGACTTTAATAGGGCTTGGTATCACCCTGGCTCGTGAGTCATCCTTCACACTTGAATCTCCCTAGGCCAGACTGACAAATATGTGCTTCCAGTCAAAAACGAGGAAAAGGATAAGTTACTGGCAAGGATGAAGGGGCTTGGTGAAGAAAAAGACTCGATAGTTGCCACAAATGAACAGCTCATGATACTGGGCCGCGAGAGTTTCGCAGTCATGCAGGAGCAGACTTCAAAGCTCACTTCGGTTTGGAGATGGGTTCAGAATGATGCGATCCGCATGAGGAGTGAACTCCAGAATCTCCAGAGAGACGCAAATATGCTGGCAAGACTTTTCTCTTTTTCTCGCTCTTCGCGCGTGGTCCGAGCAGGAATTTTGCTGACCTCTGTAGGAATATCCTGGAGCCACAGAAATTGTTCTGAACCAGCTCGGAGGAATTACAGGTATCAGTAAGTAAATTGTAGCTGGCATGGCCATCAACAGATATTAATCATGTCCTAGACAATGTCATGGCAGTCTATCTTCAGCGTTATGCCGATGGTGTCACGGCTGCAGAAGTCCCAGAACACGATGCCTAATCATGGAAGCAAAGACAATGCTGAGTCTCTGGGCTGTGTGCTTGGATTTGAAGAAGAAGATGGATCTAGACGTGGACGCGGACATACAGACTACTAGAGTGTATGAAAGGAAAGCAACATATTTAACAGCTTAGAGATATACGTTTTCTTATTGAAATTCGCTCACGTCCAAGCTTCTAGTTTGCAAATGGCAGTGACAGGTAGATTTACGCTCAAGAACTTCCCTTCAGATGATTCGAATAAGTCTGTGATCACGCTCTCAAAAACGATCACGTGAATCACAAAGCCTTGGCATCTTTGAAACCACTTTGCATCTGCCGACTTCGGCTTAATCCACTCGCTCGCGTCATAATGTCATGCAATTCGAAGCATGTTTGCGCTGTCTATCAGGCACTCGCATTCAACTTTGAGACCAATATCTAGTCGGGGCTATTTTGGGACAACCGCTGAAATGGCTCCACGGGTCGAAATTCGCTTCAACAGCCACTAACCTCACTGGCGACCCTGTGATGATCCTCAAATCTAGAAGACAGGGTAATATTTTGGTTAAATGCCATCATGCGTGGGAAGTGTTGGTAGGTCAAGATAAGGTTGATATAATAAATGGGTTCGGGGAATTCTTTTGAGCTAATAATGCATCGATGTCGAGGTAACAATAGGATGCAGGATGAGTTGTGATATTCGATGCGAGCTGGGGAAAATCCGCTTGGCGGAAAGGGTCGAATGATGAGGCTGGAAAGAACGTTGGCATTGCATTCTTGTCGAGGGGAAAGAATTGAACGATTGGATGAGGAGGACCAAATCCTTCGTCCAATGTCGAGTGCAATTGGATAGCAAGCTTCGATCGTGAGATGCCTACATGGAGAATCTTTGGCGGGTTGTGCCGAGCCGTTGTCAGCCAAAAAGATCGGTCGATTTTAGGCACCATGAGAGGCTGATATCTTTCAATTGATGCCGTTGATCTGATGCCATTGGAGGGTTGAGAGCGAATTTTCTGGAACTTGTAACGCACGAAATTGAATGTAGACATTCCAGTTCCATGGGATGCGAAGGACGGTATGTATTGCATGTATTGAATTGTCCTTTGTACTCGGAAGAATAACCGGGAGGATGAGAATATGTCAAATCCGGATTTCGCGGAATGTCCAAATCATGGTCGAACATCCAAAGGTGGCGTTGATGGCGGTATTCATGCCACTGAGCGTTTTTTTTCTTTGGGAGATCTGACGCTGGCTCGCTGTTCCACCGCCGCGCCTGTTCAGTCCGCCCGTGAGGCATCGAGCGCAGGCTACGTACGAGGCGACCGCAGCCTTTTCAGGTCACCGGAAAAGAACCTGAATGTTGTCAAATGACTTCCGTGACCTGCAGCAATTAATGTGAAGCTGACAAAAGAAATGAAGCAGCACAAACGCAACAGCAGTCGAAATCGATTTAATCGCGCAAAAAGGCGATTATTCTTGCAAATCTCAGATTCCCGAGCACTCCTTGAAACGAGGGCCTCCACCCCCAAATGGGCGATGGCGAATGCCATTTCTTGCAAATCATGCAGTGTTCGGGCCAGCACACGAGTCGCTCTCCTTTACGTGTATATCAGCGGTAGTAATATGTACGACGGCGATTGTCGGTGACTGATTCGCTCCCATGGCTCCTTCAAGTGATACCCTACGGGCGTACAATACGGAGTTTGGCAAATAACAGTCATCCTCCTCAATCCTTAGCTGTAGATGGATTCTTGTTTAACAGATGTATTTGTTGTTGCATCAGATCAGATCAAATCGACGGTGGAGGGCGAGCGAGCGCTGAGCACAGAGCAGCAGCCAAGACAGGCAGGGCGCGGCTCGAGAGTTCGGATTGCTTAAAAGGGACGTTGGGCGGCGAGGCTGTGGGTTTCTCGGGTTTTCGGTGACAGGATCGAGGATAGGGTTGGTAAGAGTCTGCGGTGTGCGGAGAGAGGAGAGAGTCAGCTGCATCTGCGTCGCCTTTTGGAGGGTTGCCATTTGCTCGAAGCCCCTCTTTCAGGCTTCTAGATCAGGCTTTTGATCCATGGACAGCCTGACGGAGAGACAATTCTGCAGGCGGAGTATTATGCGAGCCACAACCTCCACCGCTGGCTGCTGCAGCAGACAGAGGATGGACGAGCAATTCTGTTTGTATTGTGGTGGATCGGTAGGTACTGCAGCTTGGAGAGCATACAGGAAGCAGGAAGCAGGAAGCAGGAAGCATATAGGAATGGAATGAATTGCGGCTCCATGACGCGCACGAGATGTTTCGAGGATGATCAATGCAGCATTGTAACAAAGGAATGCGCATACGCATATAGAGTTCATTTCTCGGAGTGTTCTGGAATAAATGCATTTATTTGGTGATCGGGATTGCTGTGTGTGCTTTGATTGCAGGGCCGCGGTGATCAAATTCGAGGCCACAGCTGAGTCCGAAACTGGCTTAGCGTACTTCATTGAGACGCTAAGCTCAAGCGAGGAAGTGCCTCTTTGCCAAACCTCTTCAATCCTCAATCCACGACTTCCTCCCCACCATAATCAATCCACCGACATCCTCTCCCAACGCGTGATATCCATCTCTTGAAGCTCACGCTCCGAAGTGCGTCGAGAGAGTCACGTCTCCCTTCGCATCCACGTCCAGTTAAGTCCGCCTTCACCTTCAGGAAGACGTCGAACACGTCACGGTCGGAATCCAACAGCAGCCCTCCATCCATCAATCTCACCCTTGGAAGCAAGCAGAGAGGTACGTACCAACACCCCCCTTCTAGTCCTGCGTCGACCACATCTGCGAAGTATATTGATACATTCACCTTCGCAACACCGCACGCCATCTTGAGCTGGTGAATCGATTGTTGAATATCTCTCGCGGAGGCTGCTTACCTCACACCTCCTCCCCAATCACACCGCTCCCGTGTTTTGGCAGCCTGACCTGAACACCCCGTCGACTAACACCCCTTCTTCTTTCTAGTACCTGCCCTTCCTTCTGCAACACTCCCCAACTACGATCTACCTCGTCGATCGATAATATCACAGCCAACACTCTCTACTCTCGTATCGACTCGCTCGATACATCAAAGTCCATAGACCAACTACAAGATGACTACTATGGTGAATCCACCCGTCTCCAAGTCGAAATCCAACCCTCTGGTTTATACTCCCTTTCTTCAGCCTTCTACGAGCACCTTCTTGTCATATCCATACGCTGGTGCTGTTTTGGGCTGAGTCGAGAGACATCACACCTTCTCGTCTTTGGGACCCCACAGCCTCGTCACTATCACATTCCTTCATTCACTACATCCTCACGTTCTACCATGGCTACATGTATATGCTTTCATCGACTCATCATGCTGACTTTTCATTATAGGATCTTCGCGTCGGTAATAAATACCGTATCGGTCGTAAGATTGGAAGCGGTAGTTTCGGTGATATCTACCTTGGTACCAACATCATCTCTGGTGAGGAAATCGCCATCAAGCTTGAGTCCGTCAAGGCCAAGCACCCTCAACTGGAGTATGAAGCTCGTGTCTACAAGTCCCTCGCTGGTGGTGTCGGCATCCCATTTGTCCGCTGGTTCGGCACCGAGTGTGACTACAATGCTATGGTTCTTGATCTCCTCGGACCCAGTTTGGAGGACCTCTTCAACTTCTGCAACCGAAAGTTCTCCTTGAAGACCGTCTTGCTCCTTGCCGATCAGCTCATCTCCCGCATCGAGTACATTCACGCCAAGTCCTTCATCCACCGTGATATCAAGCCTGACAATTTCCTCATGGGCATCGGCAAGCGTGGAAACCAAGTCAACGTTATTGATTTCGGTTTGGCCAAGAAGTACCGTGACCCCAAGACACACTTCCACATTCCATACCGTGAGAACAAGAACTTGACCGGTACCGCTCGTTATGCCTCCATCAACACTCACTTGGGTGTCGGTATGTATTCCAAACTTTTATCCATCTACTCAATGCTAACTTACTTGCAGAGCAATCTCGTCGTGATGACATGGAATCTCTCGGATATGTTATGCTTTACTTCTGCCGTGGTTCTCTGCCATGGCAAGGCCTGAAAGCTGCTACCAAGAAGCAGAAGTATGACCGCATCATGGAGAAGAAGATGACCACTCCTACTGAGGTTCTCTGCCGAGGCTTCCCTAACGAGTTTGCCATCTACTTGAACTACACTCGTTCACTCCGATTTGATGACAAGCCTGACTACTCTTACCTTCGAAAGATCTTCCGTGATCTCTTCGTACGTGAGGGTTTCCAATATGACTATGTCTTTGATTGGACCGTCTACAAGTATCAGAAGAATGCCCAAGCCATTGCCCAAGCTGCCGGACAACAGCCAGCCCAGGAAGATGAGGAGAAGCCTGGTCGCACCCGCACCAACGCTGCCACTGCCGGTGGACCTACCCCCCAGCACACCTCCAGTGCTACCAAGCCAGGAGCCATTTCTGGATCCCGCCGCAAGGTTATTGAACGTGGTGCCAGTGGTGCTGGTGTTGACACTCCGGATACGAACAGAGCCGTCGGTGGAAGTGACAGGATGTGAGTGTCTCGCTAGCTCCGGTTCCTTGTAAGGGAATTTTCCTCTTCGCGTTTAGTGTGCTTCGATGACGCTGGCCGCGGGGAGAAATGTATGCTGACTGGATGGCTGACGCTATAGTCTCCGAAAATAGGCTGCGCTCTGCCTCGAGAGGTGCAGCAACTGGTACTGGATATGTTTCGGGTTCTTACCGGCCGAAGCGGGATGATCAGAATGGACAGCAATGGTATTGATTCTTTCTCTTTGGCGACACTCCTTGACCGATTTCGACTCCGATTTTCGACTCACGGCAGTTTCGTCTTGCTTAATCTCAACCCCATCGCTGGCCCTGCCTGAACTTGTCGTGGAAGACATTGGTACTGGCTCGAGCTATCACAAACTCTTCTCTTTATGGTTCGCTTTCTTTCGTAACGACTTTCGATTTTATGGATTACAACATGGCTCGAGCAGCCTCGTCCTTTGCATGACTACTCACACTCGAGTGAGCATCGTCAGCATGGGCGAGGTAATCGAACGGCATGTCGATGTCATCACATCCACAATCTCGCAACAATGCGATGGCCTTGGTATCGAATAGCATCAGCATCATTCGGCATCGACGTTACATTTTGGTCACGAAGCAAGCAGGAACATGGTCATCGCAAGCTCGTTTGCACAACCCGACGACGTTTACAACATTCGTCATAGCATCCAGAGCAGACCGCCTATCCGCCCAGAGAAACATGTTTTGAAGTGCACAATCTCCTATTTCCTTTTTTTCCTTGTCTGTTTGTTTCCGAATCTGTGGAGGAGAGCACGTCTGGAGGAGCTAATATGGGGGTGAGGGGTGATTGGCGGAGTGTGATCAGAGCAATACGGAGCGGCACAAGCGCTTCTGGTTGGCAAATCGTCTCTGTATGGCACATCATCAGTCGAAGAGTCGGGGATACAAAATGGAGAGCAGCTTCTGGGGAGGTTTTCTTTGCATCCGTCTATTGCTTTTTCCTTTCCTTTTCGCGCTATGTGAGGTGGGTTCTGTGGAGGACACTCGTATTTGGGGATGAAGCGCTCGCGCGTCTTTACAGGTGGCATGAGTGGTAGCTGGTTGGTGGGATGGAAAGGAATAGCTTCCGGCCGCTTCATTTCTGACTGCTTACCGGCGCTAAACATACACATAGCTAGCATAGTGAATTTTACCATGGCAACCCAACTTTGACTTTTGCTTGATTGTGACGACATATCGATGATTAATCTTCGTCTATGCCTGCGTCAAATGGTAAAGTGCCACTCGTGCTATATCCTCGAAAGAGTTATTGAAGTAGATAATCCTCCCGCTAAGTCAGGATGACATGGACATACAGTATACCCCCTGATTATATGTTAGTTTCTTGCCACTCGATTATTCTACTTTAAATCGAAGGGGAGAGAACTTATGTCGCTTTAGAATACTAAATCATTAACAGACTTTGAATCTTGACACAAATTCTGCTTATACACTCTTTTTTAAGTCAAAGCAGCATGTCCCCAGCTAACATAGGATCAGGAGAATATACTATAATTAGCTTCTCTATCCATTCTAGTAAGGACATTAAAGGTTCTGGATTTCCAATTTAGGGGTTTCGATTGCTCTACTATAACCTGAACTTGAGAAGAGGTCTGACTTTGACGATGGCTAGAATAGGAGTTATTGTTCGACCGTTACATTTCTCATCAGTGTAGGCTTTGCTGCTTGTTTTTGAATTTGTGTTTTTTGTGCAAGTTAATATGTAAATGACGTCTTAAGTCTAAATTATAGTATACGAAGTTATCTAAAGATTATTGTAATTAGTCAATTCATTGCCACTTATGCTATATCCTCGAAGGAGTTGTTCAAGCAGATAGCCTTCTTTGCAGTTTAAGAGAATACACATTTGAATGCCCCACTTTCACCACTATGTTTAGGACCGATCATAACATTAAAATTCCATTCAAAACGAGCCTCTTTTCACGATTTCTCTCCTGAATTGGGCTGCTCAAACATCCCTTGAATGCTAGGTCTTTGCTTGCCGGGAGACTAATCTCTTTTCTTCACTCGACTTGCTCTCACCCCCTCGCAGGCGATTCTCAAGTTCATAGAGCCCTTCAATTGCTTTCTTGCGACTTTTCTGGCAACTTTTACTTGAGATGCCGTATACTCCGAGTATCCAGTAGCTGGATCCTTGTCTTCCATCGAGAATGCGGCAGCAAGATAAGCGGCAGGCTTATACCATTCTCGCCCGCATTGAGCTCCTTGTGGTGGAGTGACGAGCTTCCTTTGCTTTGTGACCGCGAAGTTCTTGTTGAATAGAGCTCTCCTATTTTCAAGCCCTGCTGGTTCTATTGTCTTCGCAGACCAATCTTCCCAACTCCAAGTCGCAATGGGGACCATGTTCAAGTTGAGGTTGTTCGCCATTTTTTGGGCTTCATCCGTACAGTAGAGACGCCATGAGAGAGCATTCTCTAGATTTACCAACTCTTTGTGGTCGAGTCTTCCTTCCAACAGCGATCGAGAACTAGCATGGAGCCATCGATTTGCGGTGATCGTGTTCAGACCTGGCTTGGACGCAAGGTATCTTCGAGCAAGGTCACAAGTCTTGGATCGTAACCTTGGACCAGCAGCTCCACTCCATGAGCCAGTTCGAGCATCCCCAGATGATGCTTGCCCTACCTGGCTATCCATGAACTCTTTATAGGCGTCAATGTTAGCTTGCGATACCTCGTCCAAGGTGACTTTTCGGTCCATTTCTGGGTTTGCATATTGTGATTTGGGCAGTTTGGGAAATTTGTGCCAATTCTCCAGATATCTGCCAAGACCGTACCCACTTCGGGTCCAGAAAAGTTCCAGACCATTTGTAGCTGTGAAGACTGGGAGAGACCCAAAGAACTCGCCTCTGCGTCGATGCCTCGCCATAAGTGACCGGACGCGGTCACACCACTGTTTCCAAGTGCGTTCTTGTGGAGATTCCATGCTCTTAAAGTCTTGCGTCGATGGCATGGACTCGGATTCCTCTATGACTTTGGCTTCTTTGAGGAGTTCTTGTAGAACGTATGTAGAGAATACACCGCCACTAAAACGACCAGCAGTGGTGCAATCCCACGAATGACTTGGCTCATCTTTTTGGGCTGCTGCCAAGACCGGATCACTGTGGGGTGCCCAATTTGGAGTGATAACCCAGTTCTCGGAAAAGCAGGACGTCAAAAACGTCGTTGTTCGCACCGGAGGAAGTCCATTGATAACGTCGCGAAGCATTTCCGAAGTCAGTAAGCTGCTTCTTTCCAATTGTGTGGTGACGTCTGATGGCTCGGGGAGTCCAATGATAAGGCCTCCATCGCTCACTTCGATATCGCCATGAGAAGTTATCAAGAGTAGGACAGAGCCCCCTGAGCGTCCAGCCGCTTGATAAGTCTCCCTGAAGCAACGGAGAAATGCATCACGAAGCGTTGTAGTCCCAGTATCCGGAAGCACTTCGAGATCTTCTAGTGCGGAACTGATTTGAGGTCTACTCAAGACTATTGCTCGGTTGTCTTCGTGAGGATCTCCCTGGATATAAGGGCCGATGGGATATTGATTCTCGTATCGGTTAGCCAGGTTAACAGGATCCAGACAAGTCATCCATCTTTGAGACGCTCCGAGACCCTTGAAGATACCTTTCCATGCGAAGAAGTCGGACACCATCCAACCATCAAGGTCTGGGGATGCCATGCCCCGGATGTCGGTGGTGCCACAAAGCGCGATGATGTGCGTGCTCGCAGAGACATCGGGAGGACTACGGGTTGTGGCCTGCTCACCAGACATGGGGCGAGAAGTATCCGTCTCTGTAGACATGATTTGTTCTGGGTGTGTTGATATGGCGCTGTTCTATTCTTGTGTTCTCGAAAGTCCTTTCCAGAGTGCTATGGTACCTAGCAGTCAGAAACGTGTGCGTGTTGTCGAAGGAAACGAGAATTGGAGAATGTTTTCTACTTTTAAAACTCTTCGGGATCTTTGTGAATCACAGTCTACGCGATGACTAAATCTATTTCATTCGCCTTGAGTCATCCAATTTGCATGGGCATATTCAATTGTTATTTGGACTGTGTTCCGTCACCGGCCTTTTCGGTACCCCACATTCTTTTTCTCCTCCTTCCACTATTATATCACAACACTGAACCCTAAAATTAAATAGAAACAACGAAGAAATATGTATTATACTTCCCCCGTTCGTTCGATAACAAAATTAATCTATAATGTTATTTCCAAGGGCAAGTTTTGACCACGTTTATTTTACTTCACCGAGGACTAGGTTTACTTTGGGAAAGGCTCGTTCGTGCTCTTCTTTTTTAGCTCCAAGTCCATTGGTACTTGAAAAAAATATCAATCGTTAAGTTTCTCATTAATATAGACTTGACTACTTATTTCTAAAATTATATTCTCTATATAAACTAATATTTAAACGACGTCTCGAGTTTAAGATACAGTATGCGAGTGCATCTAAAAATCGTTGTGATCAGTCAGTTCATTGACTAGCAACCAGAACCTTCCATGCTTTTAAGCTTAATTTTTGTATCACAGAACAAAGTGAAAAAAATCTCTCAATCAGCATCCTTTATTCGATTTTATCATTCCAAATTTCCTTTTTAATTGCATCCACGAACTCCCCCTCCACCCGGTGAATCATAGCTTCCCCAACTTCTTGCCCGTAAAAGTAGACAGAGCGTCCATAAGCGCCGGCGACAAAGCATCATACGGCTCTAACCCGAGTGATCTCAACCTCGCCCTCACACCATCCATCTCCTTGGGATCAAATCCCTGCTCAATAGTCGACGAAACAAACGCCGCAAACTGCGGCTCCTGCCACCCCTTCTCATCCGACAACTCCACATGCACAAAATCCAACCCCTTGAACGCATGATCCTGCTCAATGCGGCCCAACAAATGGACCCCGCAATGCTTACAAGCGTAGCGCTGGATGACGGCACTTTTGTCAACGACAACCAACTTGTCTCTGTTGGCGACGACTTTGACGTTCTCAACCGGGACGACGGCGATGATAGCGAAGAGTGCGCCCTTGGGCTTCCAGCATTTGGAACACCCGCAGACGTGGTTGTGGAGCACGTTGCTGGAGAGAGATACTTCCACTCTGTCGTTGCGGCAGTGGCAGTGTAGTTTTCCTCCTGGGAAATCGCTGCGTCCTTTTTTGAGGCCATTGTCGATTAGTGGATGGAGAGGAGGTGTCATTGTGTATTGTTTTATTGAATTTTTTTGGCCTGTTTCTGAGTAGAAGATAGATGTTGAGATCAGTGATCAAGTTGAGAATTGGCGAGAAAGAAAAAAGGAGGTGGGGTTTGTATACTTTGAGTATGACCCCTCTTTCTGTCATCCCGAATGATATCCGAGTGGGGCCTTCTCGCATGGGCGAATAACCACGCTTTTATCATATGCGAACCCCGCACTCAGAACGGGCAGGGGGAAAGTTACTTGAGAGAGTGAAGGGGAGTTTCATTCGTCTGACGATGAAGTGAGTGATGTGTGCTTAAGTACGATGTACCCCTTGATCATATGCTGACTTGCTAGTAATATGGAGACATAAGATCTCACTATTTTACTTCGAGGTGAGTGCGTAGACAGAATTCTTATTTTAACTCCACTTACAATTAAGCATTTTGATGTGGTTTAATTCAAGTGCTCTCCTCTTCAAGTTAAAGTAAAATAACTGAGTGGGAAGAAATAACATATGACCAAAGGGTAGATTGAACTTGCGCTTCCCGTCTTCACACTCAGATCTGAAGGTCAGAAAACTCAGAGTCTTGGCTCAGCAAAGTCTATATCATGAGACAGAATGAATGAGAGTTGATACGACATCGTGAGTGATAAAGAATGGTTGAGTTGAGCAACATACTAAATAAGCAGTGAGTTCGAAGTTTATACTTATTTGTATCACTAGAATAGTATGAAAATGCTTCAAAATTACATGATTAATTATTATACCTTCTCTTGACCTTCGTCTGAGTTACGTTCCTTGTCTTTCGCCCGATCTCCTAACACTTGTTCAGCATTATGTTTTACGTCCAACGAATATTCCTTCGCGAAAATACATGTACATGTCCCAACAGCAGCCGCAATGCATATCCCCAACCATATTCTTTTCAAGCCATCTGCATATGCCTCAGTAAGGCCTAGTCGCTGCTCTCCTTGTGGTAGTGTCTTGATTGTAGCCGCTAGTTCCACTGCATCATTAGTGTATTGCAGTGCTTGAGCAGCCAGCGTTGGGAACGAGAGCAGTTTTTTCCTCATCTCAGCTTGGAAAAGAGCTCCGCTTATGGCTATCCCTACTGTCTGTATAGATCACCATCTATTAGTATGGGCACTGTACATTGGGAGAAGGATGGAGAATATCTGAGGGAATACGTACACCACCAAGCGAGCGGAAGAAAGTGAACATTGCTATTGCAAATGCCGAGTCTTGCCCAAATGCCGTAGCAGCTGCTTGAATCGAAAAAGCCATTCCTGAGAACAACATTCCAGTTCCGATGCCGACTATAATGTTGATGCCGATCCAAACTGGTGTGGTGGTAGAAATATCCAAGAGAAGAAGCAGACCAGTACCGAGGGTGGTGAAGAACCACCCGCAGAGGATACTCCATTTGAAACGGCCCGTTCTTGACACTAAGATGCCGACGATAAGAGAGACAGGTGCGATACTTAGAGTCTCAGGAAGGACCGCAAGTCCAGACTGGGTCGGATTGGCGCTTTTTATTGCTTGGTAGTAGAGGGGTAAGTAAAATAGGAGAGACCAGAGAATGAAGCCGTGGAGAAAGGTCCCCAGGAATGTGACAGCAGCAGTGATATTTTTAAAAAGAGCAACGCAGAGGAAAGGAACTCTCGAGGTTAGGGATTCGTAGACGACGAAGATGATCGTTCCGAGTAAGCTAGTAGAGAGGAGGGTTATGATGCGCCAGTTGGCCCAAGGCCATATTACGCCTCCCTAAATCTCGTTAATATCAAAAGATTATTTGATCAATTTATGACTGACCAATGTGATAGATAGGAGCAGAGCTGTAAACGACGATATGAATAGCGCCAACCCTATCCAGTCGAACGCCTTCAGCTGTTTCCGCACCGAAACGGGATTTTTGAAGCGCATGTCCAGTAAGAGCGGGATCATTACACCAGCGACCGCACACAAGAGAACATTTATCCGAAAAATCCACCTCTATTCCAGCGAAGGAGAGATTAGCATATTCTTATATACTGAAGCGTTTACAATTCACTTACCCATTTATCATTATCCGCAAGCAAACCGCCTATCAATGGTCCACCCGCTGTTCCAACCGCCCAAGCCAAACTGATGACACCATACCATTTGCCTCTGACTCTCATCGGCACCAGATCCGTGACGATGACTTCGGTGAGGACGATAATGGCTCCGCTTCCCACACCTTGGAATGCACGTCCGACGGTTAGCACTTTGATGTTCTTCGCGAGTGCACCTGTGAAGCCACCCGTCGCAAAGAACAAGACTGCTAGAATCATCATAGGCTTGCGACCAAAGATTGACGAGAAGGATACGAATATTAGTTGGCAGACTGTTGATGTGAGGTTGAATGCTATCGAGGCCCAGATGGCTTGTGCTGTGGTGCCATGGATAGAGGTTGTTATCATCTGAGGTTTTGTGTCTAGTCAGCCATGAACGAGTATTGTTCCCGTGTTTTGAGTGTGTTGGTTTCTGGAGTTGAGAGGAGGGTGACATACTGGTAGAGCTGTTCCAAGACAAGTTCCATCTAATGCAGCTGCTAAGGCGAGAATACAGAGCGTAGCAAACACAAGATATAATTTCCAGTCGGCTTTAAAGTTATTTTCTATTAACTCTTTGTCCGAGTATTCATCTTCTTGGGTATCGCTGCCGAGCACTTTTAGAGAATCGCAAGGGATTTGTGTTGTCGACATTATGGCCCTGCTGCTGAGTATGAATAAGATGGGAGATTTGGTCGGACTTTAGTCTTTAAGTAAAGAACAATTGTCGTGTTTTTGTATTGAGAACCATGGGTCTCGTTAGACCAATCTACGCAAATAATGCAAGTGAAACTTCAAAAGCCGCAACGATATCGTAATGACATGAGGCTTGAGAAATTACAAATAACATTGAGAACGAAAAACTATTGCGCAAGCTTCAATTTATAAGATATTATTGGAATAAAGAAATTTCGTGGCGTTGCGTTTTGGTGTTGGCATTTCTGTGAGTCGTGGCTGTGCGGTCCAGTCCGGTCCGCTCCTACAGTCCGGCTCAGCCTGCCTCAGTCCAGTTCAATCCGATCCAACTCTCATTCACGACCAAACTCCAGGATTTCAACAGTCCATATTCCGAGAAAGTCGCTCAATTAATCCCAGGTAGGGTCTCATGGGCGATATTTTTAGAAGTGATGGACTGCAGATGGACTGGCCAACAGTCCGGAGCCGGACTGAAGATGACTTTCAAGCCTCTTGGTAGGATTATTGGGAAAACGATTTTGTCTTTCTTTCAATGCATCGTGGTGCGTTCAATGCAATCTGATCGCTATATATAAGTGAAGTCCTCTCATTAGGAGGAATGATCATCAGCTCACTAAAAATCCATTCGTCTCTTCACAACGACACAGTCATGGAGTCTTATAACAACACTTTCGGATCCGAACGAAACTCTTCTGAGAGCTTCTCCCATCTCGTTGAATTAGCTTCCTCCCAGCTTGTTGTCTTGCACTCACAAAAGCCTTCCAATGGCGACCTCTACCTCCTACATATTCGGAATTTCGCTACAGTCAAGGCATTAGCCTTAACAATCCTTTTAATTTTGATCTGCAAAATAATATTTTCTCAACTAAGTTGGAAGAATGTAAGTCACCACCGGAGAGAAACGTCTGGCAAAAGACTGACACCGATTCTAGGAAACGAAAGCGCTCGAGAAGCGATATGGATGCAAAGAACCTTCGCATCTCAAAACCCATTGGTTCTTTGGCATCGATAAGCCTCTCCAAGTCCTCGCTGCTGGTAAAGAAGGTCGAGTACTCCACTACTTTCGGTCACTCGTAGCAGAAGCGGGAAACACCTTCGAGTGGACAGTCCTCGGATCTCGAGTATGGGGAACTCAAGATCCCGAGAACATCAAAGCTGTCCTGAGTACACGGGAGAAGTGTAAGTATTGCCCATACAGTTTCATCAAGTAATGATGCTGATTAATTTTGGCATTCAGACTTTAGCCACGAAGTACGCCGTGAAGTTCTTTGCACCTTGATTGGCGATTCAATCTTCACCCAAGATGGAGCATCGTGGAGACACTCCCGAGCACTTCTCAAACCATCATTTTTCCAGAAACATTGCACCAATTCGACTTTGTTCGAAGAGCATGTAGACAACCTCATCGCTCGAATCCGCTGCGACTCGACAGTGGATCTTCAGCCCTTCTTCTTCTCACTCACTCTGGACGTGACCAGTGCGTTTATCTTTGGCAAATCTGTGTACAGTCTCACGCCAAGCCAGACTGAAGAAGAGGCGGAATTCAGTCGAGCGTTTCAGTACGCGCAAGTCTACCTTTCTAAGCGATACCAACTTGGTCGACTTTGCTGGTTGTTGAACGGCAAGGAGTTTCGCGAGTCCTGCAAAACAGTACACACATATGTTGACCAAATCGTCGACAATGCGATGCAAGAGAAGGCCAGAATAGCGTTGGACCCAGATTGCATCCAGGCTTCCAAACAAAACTTACTGGGAGAGCTGGTCTTCGATGTCTCCGATCCCATACAGGCTAGAGCTCATTTGATGCATTTGCTGTTGGCTGGGAGAGACACGACAGCTGGCTTACTCTCATGGACAATGTAAGACTTTTCTGTTTCAAGGTCATAGATGTGAAAACTAATCAGGCTTTAGGAGACTACTTAGTCGATACCAGGGAGTCCAGTCTCGTGTTCGAGATGAGATAGAAGCAACTTTTGAGTCTGACCCCATTGATGTAAACAAGACAAAGGACATGCCATACCTCACGTGCGTCCTGAAAGAAGGTAGGCTCCATTTTTCACTTACTCGAGTAGTCATCCGCATACCTTAATGCTTATCAATGTCTTAGTACTACGCCTCTACCCATCAGTACCAGTAAACTCGAGAACAGCAGCTGAAGATGTTGTACTCCCCGTTGGTGGTGGTGAAGATGGCAAGTCTCCAGTACTCGTCCGAAAAGGAGAAGACGTAGCTGTGTGCGTCTATTCTTTGCATCGTCGTACGGACCTTTACGGCTCCGATGCCGATGCCTTCCGACCTGAGCGGTGGGAGAATGGTGCTCTCGATCATGTTGAGAAGTCGTACGGATATCTCCCATTCCATGGAGGTCGTCGAGTATGTCCTGGTCGTAAGTGGACATCTTGTATTCGTGCTAAATGCACCATAGCTAACATTTTGGACAAGGTCAATTCGCGCTTGCAGAAGCTTCGTATACAATTGTGAGGCTGCTGACAGCTTTCCCAAAACTCAACGTCCCAGCAGGAACTACTTTTCCAGAAGTTGGGATGGAGAAACAAATATTGGGACTCACACTTTCGAGTGCAGATGGGTGTGTTGTTGAAATGAGTCGATGAATTTCTAACAGAGCTGGTCAGGCTTTTACCCTTGGGGTGCCCGGAGTTCTATGGAGTTCTCTGGAGTCTTTTTGTGTCCATATGTATAACTAATACTTCATAATGAAAATATTTACCAAGGCCCCCTCTTCTGGACATTCGAGACTGGATTTCCACTCCCATCTAAGAAATCGTTTACGTCATAACAGGAGGTCATGTTAAAGGAAGCTGCACGTCGCTCACACCCCTCTCAAGAACATCTTCAAGTCGCCACCTTGGACGTCTCTTATCCTCCCTAACTACAAATCTCTTCCAAAAGCCCGTCCTTGTATCAAGGTTTGTGAGGGAGGCACCACCACCAATACCACTCGAAAGTTTCAACAGCAGCAAATCGCCAACCTCATCACATGCTCTCAACACTCTATCCAGATCATCCTTCGTGTGTGCTGCAGACAAGCAAAGTCTAGCTCTTGCCGACTCCATTGGCGTTGCCGGGAATGCAACCACAACCGTGGCGATATTCCTCTTGAGCATCTCTCGCGAGAAAGCTGCAATCTTCGCTGTGTTGTATATCAAGAGTGGCACAACGGGCGAATCATCTTGACCATATATGATGAACCCCAACCGCTTCAAGCCGAGTCGGAGGTATCTGGAGTTGAATGCAAGTCTTCGCAGCCTTTGTTCACCCTCGGGTCCGGTCATGACATTCAACGCACTGGAGATCTGCTTGAGGATAGGAGGCGACGGTGCTTCTCCAAAATAGGTGTCAGGGCTCGAGAGGCGCAGTTTTGAGATCAATCCAATATCACCTGCGATATAACCACCGACAGCTCCAAAGGACTTGCTGAAAGTACCCATGAGAACATCTACCCTGGAGGGGCATATACCAAAGAAATCACATACGCCTCTTCCCCGAGGACCTATTGCTCCAATAGAGTGTGCTTCGTCCACAAAGAGGTAGCACTTGTACTTCTCTTTGAGAGCTACGATGCCCGGAAGATTGCACATTGTTCCCTCCATCGAATATATTCCTTCCACCACCACGAGAATCTTCTTCCAAGGCTTGACACTATCTGGTTGGCCCCCTGAGATGGCACGACGCAAGGATCTTTCCAAGTCATTCATATCATTATGGCGGAATGAGCGGATGGTCGCTCCCGATATTCGAGCACCCATCCGAAGAGAGGCGTGGTTCAGCTCATCTGAAAGGATCAAGCACTCTTCAGCCGCAAGACAAGGAAGGGTTGAACAATTGGTCTGGAATCCCATGGAGCACAGAAGAGCAGCCTCCTTGCCTACGAAAGCAGCAATTTGAGTTTCAACTTGGACCAAGAGGTCTGAAGTTCCAACACAAGTCTGTGAGCTGGCGTAGCTCAATCCATGACTTCGAATCACCTTTTCTACTGCATCTGAGCACCTATCATTCGATCTAGCGAAGCCGAGATAGTTGTACGATGCCATGTTCAGAGCCTGGACAGTCTTGCCAGTCAAGCGGTAGTGCTTATTGAAGTCATCCGATGTCCGTTCGAGCACTGACAAATACCTCCCCGGAACTCCCCTGCAAGGCCTCGCGAAGCAATCATCGATGCGCAGCTTCAGACGGCGGGTGAAGAAATCATCATAGTCGCTGTATAGTGGCGCATACCCATTCTGGACCTGGAGATGGAGATACTCATTCGCTTTGAAGCGGCGGCCAAAGAAATCTCGTATTCGTCCAAAGACAATGAGAATTAGGACGCCAAGGTAGGTCGTGAGGATGATGTAGAATGGCGGCGCATCCATTCTTGTTACAGGGAAAACGACATTCTCAGGGTGTGGCTTGCACACAAATTCGTGAGCTTGGGACCCGTGATGGCCGTACTCTGCCTCGCCGTCGTCTCGTGGCTTCGATATTGTCATTTCGACAGCGCCGCGAAGGATCTTCCCCAGAACAATAGAGCCAGGTCGATTTGGGTCTTCGATCCTTCAAATCTGAGAAGAGAATGGGGAGAAGAGACATTCTCCCGTCAGCATATCTATTATCATGGATAATTGTACCTTGCTTCTCTTGCGACGACTGCGCCCCAATCATAGGCCTTAGCGTAAGCGCCCTGATTGCACGACTCCACAGCCGCAGAGCTTCTCTTCTTTCGTTCTGCGATACCGATACCACCTCTCATTGCAAAGCTATGGCGGTCAGAACGATGTGACTGTGATCCAGGTACTGTGCCGCTGCACGATTTCCAGGCGGCCTGCTCACAGCGAGAGCCATGGCCTTGGGAAGGTCTTCGAGGCGTGAGACTTTATTTTTACACTCTTATCACTGGTTTCCAGTTCACTTGGAGACCAAGTATGTGAGGCTTGGACGTGATGTGGAAATGAGGCCCAGAAGGATCGTTCCCGAGTCCAGGCATCGTTCTCTCCAGGTTGGCAGATTGGACCAAAATTAGGATTCTGAGCATTCTCGAACCCGAGAACAAATACTGGTCCTTTCAGTCAGATTTATTGTACGGAGTACATAAGGAGAGCCACGGGTACCACAAAATTCGATGCAACATTTGCGTGCCTGCATATGCATGATAAAAAATGGCGCTAGTTTCATCCGAACAGTCCCCTATTTTCCAACTTCTGGACCTCGCTTTCGCACCAATGGGTCTCGAGCCCGATAATCAGTTCCAGCATCTCAACTTTTCGGTTTTTGGTTCCCCTCAATCATCTCCTCCAGCGTTCCCAGATCCAATTTTCTCGTCCTCAAGATCTCGACCTCGATCTCCAGTAGCGAAGCGATCTTGGATCTGGGCTCATCATGCACCAAATTCGCGAAAATTTCATACCGGCACCCACAGCCACTGGGATTGCGCATACTGCTCCAAAAGCTTCAAACTAGTTTCCGGAACAGGCAAACCAATGAGACATCTTGAGATTGCTCATGGGATTTTAAGGCCCGCCAAGAGAGTGGCTGGCGTAACATGTTCTGCTTCGACATCACTAGCATCTGAGAGATTTACGAGCCAAATTTCTGGTATAAACAAGGAAAGCTGGAATGTTAGCAAAGAGCAAATGTCACTGGATCCGCATTTTGCTTCTTGTACAGATTACTGCGGAGACAATGGCTGTAGTGGGGCCTTTTCAAACGATATGGATATATGGTTGGACTGCTCGCATTCGGGCTTCGAGTCCCATACCTCTGAAACCGCATCGATATCTCCAACCGCAACTTCAATTTCTACATTTGACAGCGGTTTCGAGGATACTTTCTCTTCTGCCGAATCGTCACCCAGTTCATATATGGACCATGGATCAAACTCGCTTTCTCGATCCCCTCCCACAAAATCTGCCTCATTTACAACAAGGCGGTCTTGGATCTGGCAGCATCATGAGAGCTTTTCTTGGAATGACGAGGGGAGCTCGGATTCCGATTGGAGGTGTGCGTACTGCTGGAAAGTGTACAGGAAGAGTTCCGGTACTGGGAAAGGAATGAAGCATTTGAGGGATGCTCATGGCTTTGTTTGTTAAATCTTCCGAGGAGAGATGGACAACATTGTATTTATATCCCGTCGACTCAAGCCAATTGAGAATACCAAATTCACGATCTAGTCAACCTCGAGCACCTATTAGTCTCTTTTGAGTGTGTTGCCATGAGTTCTCTGGAATCTTTCATATCATAGTCCAGAAGATCTGGGGGCTCGCAGACCATAGCTCATAGTCCTTCTCCGGTTTATCGTCTTGATGACTGTTCTGTGCGCAAGGCTCGTCCCAACTCCAGACAATCTCGTCCATGCATGAGAGATATCCGGTAGATACATTTGCTTAGATTGTGCCAGTTGGAAAAGTTTCATTGATAGATGTTAGAAGGAGAACACCCAACGAGGAGTCAGCATCCTTGAGACCAGTCTAGTTGTCGAATGACGAGTGTGTTTTTCCTTCTGTGTGAACATTGTCAATGGAATTAAAGTGATTACTACTGTCCTTGGAAACATGACGACTAGGTAGGTAGGTAGTGTCCGTTGGATATCACGTGACTAGATCTTAGTTGTTGCCTGAGGCCCTCAATCTTCCCGCACAAATTCCTGTCCTAGTCCACTCTTCTGAGTTGTCCTCAACGCTTCATCATGGAGCCAAACAACGATGTAAATAAGAGCCCATCTACCAACAAGAACAGACCATCTGCTGAGGAGGCCGACCTAATCGACAGAGATCAAAAACTATCCCTAATCAACCGCAAATTCCTAAGCGGACGAGCGTTCGAACCACCTCCGGATCGTGACAATTTCCTTGGCTTCCGCCCACAGTACTTCTTCTTCTACGGCTCTCTTATGGATGCTAGGCAACTTCGCAAGATACTTCAGCTCCAAGAAACTCCCGTCCTTCAATCCGCCAGCATTGTAGGATGGGATATAATGCTTTGGGGCCAATATCCTGCTTTGATCTTCAAAGCTAATACCGTTACTCATGGAATGGCTTACGAGGTTCAGAAGGAGGAACATGTTGAATACCTGATGCGCTACGAGACAGACGCTTACAGGGTCAAGGGATGCAAGATCAAATTGGCGGATGGAAGAGAGTTGGCTGGAAAGACTTTCATTTGGAATGCAGGAAAGGAGTTATTGAAGGAAGGAAATTTCAATCTAAAGGACTGGCAGATAGAGCAGCTAGAGAAGTAGTTACCGAGTAACTGAGCCTGTGCTACCTCTCACTAAACCAGACTTTTTACTTGTGTCACTGACTGATGAAGGAGATGATCCTGCACATTGTGTGATGCCTGGTGCCAGGTGTTGCTTGTAAACGACCCAGAACTTGTCCATCAGTCGATCGATCATGACTCGGCGTAAAAGCTCCCTCGCTGGTGGTAGTATGCCACCTACAGCATCACTTTTCTCACGAGATGCCAGATCGCTGGCATAGCTTTTCAATGAATCGTAGAGATCATCTTTACTGGCAGATACTGCAGAGTAAATACTATCTTCTTCCGCGACATCATCGGCACTAATCTCTGCACTACTCTCTCTTTTGTCTTCTTCATTCGTTCTTGGACAATAGGTTGAAACCCGCTGGGAACGGCGGCTGGGAATGTGGGGGTTCCCAAAGGGATATTGCTTGTAGCCGTCGTCGACTTCAGGTTACTTCCGTCATAAGAGAGCAAAGGGGATATAGAACGCTCCATGGGCGATGAAAGTTTAGTGGTTGGGCGGTTAGTAAGACTGGTCGGTTACCTGGTCAAAACGAGTACCTAGCCAAGAGACCTCGTATTGCGTTGACTCTGCCAACATTCCTCCTGTTATTAGCATCCAAAAGATTGGGCATAGAAGTTCCAAGCGTCATAACACTCTGGAATGTCCACAAATCGCGGTATATATTGAGTGTTCCACTCTCCATTATACTCAGCCGTATAATTAGCTTTACAGTATTCCCAGTAATCCGGGTACCAACCGGATTGATGCCAATCAATAATGGCAACAACACGATAGGGCGCATCGGACGTAACCAAGATATTGCTAGGATGAAGATCAGCATGAGTGAAGGTGACAGGCGAATTATCGGGAAGTGAGTCGCGGAATGGATCAGGAATGAGAGAAGGATCCGGCCAATGCATTTCCAATCCCTGTTTCGTCAAGAAGGAGCGCCAATCGTGGAATTCCTTGACTGAAAAGAAAGGGCCAGCGGGGGGCTTCGTCTCGTCCGTGAACATGATATCAAGAAGAGGTTGGCGGTTGATGCGGCCTTCAAGAATTAGCTTATGGGTATGTCAATAGTCTCAAAAAAGCTCCCACCTAGGAATTGATTCTCCGGATCTTGTTTCAAGCTTCGCAGCCCCGATAACATCACCCGAAGCTGGCCACAAACATCTATCCTCTCGGGTTTCGATAGCGACTTCCATTTGTTCTCAAGCGTTTCGCCTTGGATAAGCTCCATATATATGAAGAACTCTCCACCATCTTCACACCAGCCATACAATTCAGGAACAGGTACTTGGTCAGGCAGAAATCTGCGGATTACCCAGAGACACAGGGCTTCCGCGATGGTGATCTCTCTTCCGTATTTGACAACAAGTTTTAAATTTTCGAATCGAACAGTCATAGATCTTGACAGGTGGCGGGCTTTTTGAGCGGCGCGGATAGCAGGCGAAGGCAGAGAAGAATTTGGTCCATTCTCAGAAAAGTATGCTGATTCTTTAAACATGACCGATGAGTCTGATGGGAGCATTTTAACTGAGATGCTGCGACCAGCATTGTCGCTTGTAGACGTTGTACTCATTATTGCAGGGATGCCCAGAATTGCGCTCAAGAGCTGTGGAAGTTTGGATTTCGCGGAGTACTTTAGGGCGATTAAAAGATCACACTCGGCTAAGTATCTCATGTGATATGAAATGATTGAACAGGGCACTTTCTTTCTCCCGTTACCAGCTCGCGATATGTTCCTACTGTTGTACAGACTTTGGTTCGTGAAATGCTCAACCTCAATGAGATGTTGCATAGCAAGAGTTACCTAGGTATTGAAGTGTGCAAGGAAGGCACGTGATCAATGGTCAGTTGTGTATTTTGACTTAGTATGACAATAGCCTCACTCAAGGTAAAACGGGGCCTAAGCCCTACTGTGTAGAAGATTGTCTATTTAGCTAAGCTATCTATGCTAGCAGGATCAACTTTTCGCTCCTCATAGTCTCCATAATTACTGACCCGACAACATAATCCTTTCTCTCGAATCCGCTTGTTCCACCATCTTATTCGCTATTCATAATTCCCCGAATAACCTAAGGACTCAATCTCTTCGGCGTCCTGGGATAGTCGCAAACCAAATGCACACTAGGCAAGTTCAAATACCAAGCAACCACTCTGTCCAACCCAATACCACCACCGCCATGAGGCGGGACACCTACGCTCCTGAACACATCAACGTACTCCTTGATACCAGGTTGATTGGGATCAAGGCCCTTTCTTCGAATCATAGCCTCTAGCTCGTGCGGAAGATGCAGACGCTGACCACCAGAAAGGATCTCCTGGCCTCGCATCATGAAATCGTAAGCGTTTGTGACCTCCGGGTTCGCTGGGTCGGGCATGGCGTAGAAGGGTCTAGCGGCAACGGGAAACTTGTCCAGGACGTAGAAATCGGTGTTGTACTTCTTTCTGACCAGGGCGCCCAGGGCTTTCTCTTGGGGAGTGGACATATCCTCGTCGTCTTTGACGTCTTCGAATTCGGGTGGGCCTTCGGAACGGAGGAGTGCTTGGCCTTCGGCGAAGGTGAGACGGACTTCTTTGCCATCTTTAGGGAGGAGGAATTCTTCTGAGGGGTATACGGAGCGGACGAGTTCGATTTCTTCGCGGTATTGGGTGGAGAGGCCTTTGAAGATGTGGAGGAGAACGGCTTCGAGCATGTGCATGACTTCGTGGTAATGCTCCTCGATTTCCATTTCCAGATCAAGACCAATAAACTAGTTCTGTTAGCAGAGTACAGACCACACTAGGGGAAAACAAACCTCAGTCATGTGTCTAGGCGTATTCGAATTCTCGGCTCTGAACACGGGACCAACACAGTAGACACGCTTTCGGCCACCCGCGATTTCAAATTGCTTGTAGAATTGGGGCGATTGTGCCAGGAATGCCTCCTTTTCGAAATAAGGTAGTCGGAAGACGTTTGCTCCACCTTCAGAAGCAGCACCAATCAAACTCGGAGGGTGGAATTTCTTGAATCGGTGTGCTCTTAGGTATTCGCAGAATAGATCCTCCACCGCAATTCGGATATCGGCAATAGCTTGAGAGACAGGAGCTCGCTTGTGCATAGCTGGGTTATTGAGATGTGTAGCCAAGCTAGCAACAGGTGTGCCTTCGTTAATGCTGAGTCCTGTAAACAATTAGTCCTGCCCAAACAAAGTACCCCCCAAAACGTACCTTCAACACCAGCCTCCTCCTTCGTCTCCTCCTCCGCCAAACTCCCCACAGCTCTACTCGCAGCTCCCAACCCCAAACCGAGCGTCTCAGGCGCCGGAGCAACGAGATAGCACTTCACCAAATGCAACTCAAACCCACTAACCTTCGTACTCTTGACCGGCTCCAACGGCTTCTGCACACTCGCCTCCACCACCACAAAACTCTCCAACTTCAGCCCCCCAATCCACTTCACCATCTGCCTACTAACCGGCTTCCCCTCCGCACTCGCACTCACCACCCCCTGCACCGTCCAATTCCCCTCCTCCCTCAACTCCACAAACGCCATCTTCGCCCCCTGCATCCTTGCATTCTGTATCCACGCCCTAACCTTGACCGTCTTGCCCACATGCTCCTCTCCCAGCTCACGCAGATGGATCTGCGGGGCAGGAATAGAGGTCGTGTGCGTGATCTCGCCGTAATTCTCCTTCGCGAGGTCCTCGGTGGCTCCGCCGCTGCCGGAAGCTTGAGCTTGAGCCTCGCGTTCAGCTGCTTTGCGTGCCTTTTCTGCTTCTTTTTTGGCTTTGGCTTCCGCTTTCTTGGCTCCTTTCTTCGATTGGGAGGCTTCGCCCTCGCCGGCCGCGGGGGTGAGCGCGGGGTCGGTGGGGATGGGGGTTTCTTTTGGTGGTTCTGCCATGGTGTAATTGAGGTTTGGTTATTGTTGTATGGTGAGGGAAGGAAATTTGAGGGCGGGAGGAGAGGTTGGGTTTATGTAGGAGGGAAAAAGAGACAACGTGAGGTGGGTGGAGTCATGCCGTTGCAGAGTCAATCGGTGGAAAATGGCGCTAGCGCACCTAACGTTTTTCCAAGCGAATTTTACCCCTCCAGCGAGGCTGACAAGGCTGAGATGTGGGCAATATCGAACGCAATCGTTTGGAAGTTGCATGGTTGAGGACGGAAATACCTCTTGCCAATTATATCTAATCTAAAAGAACAATTTCTGTTGACAATTGATGATTACAAACTGTTGTCAAAAGATTGCTCTCTTTCACGATCCTGGCATCCCATGCTCGAGAAATCACTCCACCTTCGAGCTCGTGTAGGCAGTAAGTCTCACCTAGAAATCATGATATTTGAAAAGCCTATTCTCAGCCATATTCTAATCACGAGCACCGGAGCATCAGATCGCTTATATCTTACAACTAGCATTAATCATTATCGCTAAGGAAAGCCTTGGAGAAAAAGCAAACCTAAGAACCATAGAAGGCTTAGGCAACGCTCATCCAACGCCAATGTCCCCATGTCCACGCAATGCATTAGTGAAAAGCAAACCATCGAAGAAGCCATCTTTTCCTCCCATAGGCCGTGAAACTTGTATACATCTGAAACAAAATCATATCAATGCTCCATGATGCATTCTAAAACACCTTTCTGTGCGCCACCAATAGATCAGCTCAAGCGAGCAGTGCAAGTTCATGTGAAGTATCTAGAGCTCGAAACCGGTCTTCTTCTCCGCGCATGTGAAGAGATTGATGTGATTATCACCTCGGGCTGCACAAGCAAGCATCATTCGATGGGGATGGAATGCTGTGGCGGAGATAGGAGATTGGCGAGCTTGGTGGAGGAAGCTGGAATATGGCTCGACGCGAGAGAGCTCTTTGCCATCGAAATTGAAGACCTTGACCATATGACTACCAGTCCCACTAGCAAAGTGTCAGTAGAGATGTCGAGCATTGTACAGGAATGGGACTTACACTGCGAACACAGGAAGATGTTCATGCGTGCTAGCGGTAAGCAGGGAATAACGAGTAGCAAGGATAGTCCTCAATGGTTTATCCATACGGATGTCCCACAGCTTAACTTTGCCATTTCGATCGGCAGACATAAGCTCTCTCTGACCGCCTCGTTGCATATGCACACTCTTGATCCAGACTCTGTCGGTGGTCTCATCCTTCCATTTCTTCACCATCGCTTCTGAAGGTCTGTTGCGAGCATCGAAAACTCGAATGGCTCCATCGCCAAACCCAGCTACGAAAATGTTGCCAGTCATTTGATCGGATGTCAACGATGTGACGCAGGAGCCAGATCGTGCATTGATATCCACAACACAAAGTTCTGGAGCGGCTGCCCATACTCGAATGACCTTAACATCGCCAGCTACTAAGAGCTTGCCAGTAACTTGTTGCCAATCAAAAACCATGCCGGAATTGTAGTTACTTGGGACAAGGTGTGTTAGTGCTCGCCACGCGGATGCGACTTGTATCTTCTTATACGAGTCATAGTTTCTGTAGATTCTGATAACACCATCGGTCGAGCCAGAAAGCAAGAATGCTTGATCATCCTCGTTGATGAATTGCATGCCACTGATCTTCGTGCCTTCAGGATTTCCATTTGAGAATCGACTCAGACGATCCTGCTTCTTCCAGTCCCAAACGCAGATGGTATCTCTGTCGTCTGAAACAGCAAGATGATCTTCGAATTGGTGGAAAGTCATCTTCGATGGTTGACACTGGTTGTTGAAGAATCCAGCAGGTGTGGTCCACTTCCCGCTGCCTGCAATCTCCTTCTGGGGTTGAGTATCTCGTAATATAGCCTCATTTCGAGAGCGGCGCCACAATCGCTCGTTGTAATCTGTGCTACCTGGCTCCTCGGCTTCGTTGGGCTTCATCTGCGGTTCCCGGAAGTATTCAATCGACCATTCGAAAAACGTGCTCTCCAATGGAATGGCAGGTGGAATGGACATCTCTCGAGACTGGAAGTCTCCGGACATGGGTTCTCTGGCAGCATGATACATGCCTGGGGTTGCCGCCGTATCATTCTGCTCTGGTGGCGCGTTGAAGTCTGGAGGAAGTCTACCTCGTGGATGCAGGGGACTGCGCTGAGGCAGAGGAGACTTTGGACCAGTCTTACCAACTGTATTTTCCGGAGAGCTTTCGGCACTTGATCCGCCACCAAAAGGAGCCAGTGAGGTAAATAGATAGCTCGCAGTCCGCTTGAGAAGACCAGCTTGCGTAGTTGGTGCATTACTCATTGAGTCCTGACGAGTTGGTGTGCTTGGGCGTGGATTTGAAGTATCTTGATTTGTTGTGGCAGATCTAGCGGAAAGACGCACAATCTCGTCCATCAGCTTCTGGGAATATCGACCAGCAGGGGATTGCAGCAGAGAAGTATGAACATAATCGACGACAATTGTTGCGTTTCGTTGAACTTCAGGGTGTGGATCGACAGTCATGATCATGACATGTTTCCAAACTGCTGCGAAGATAGAGTTGCGAGAGACTCCATATGCTGAAGCCTTAATCGTGCCGTCATCATTCCGGTTGTTCATTCCCGCATAGTGCAAGCCCATTTTGTGGTCGTTTCCATCATCCTTAGGTGGAGAAAGTAAGTATTCTTTCTCTTCCTGTAGTTGTTCAAATGCTGCAACCAAGACTTTGTTCTCGTAGCGCTGAATGAATTTGGAAAAGTAGACAAGTAGCTCTTTACGAACCATGGCGTTTCCATCGTTGGCCATTTCGAGAATTGTCCATGTTATTTGCTCTTCGGTGCGGGCAATCTCGTCAGTCAAGTCGGCGATTCCGAGGAAAGTGGTCAAGGCATAAAGCATGGCAGCTCGGACCTCGCAGCAGACGTCCCGAACAAGAAGAGCCAGCTTAGCAGGCGCATTCTCCCTAATGCCTCGCCACTTCGCATCAGGAAGGTCTTTCCACAATTGACTAATGCAGAGACAAGCCCATTGTCGCAAGAGAGGATTATCGCCGTTCTGGAGATGCACAAGGCAGTAGGTCATGATCTCGGATTGGTTGCAAACCGTTTGCCCTTGCTTGTAGCCATCGCACAGTCTGGCTAGAATGAACGCGCACATAGCTTTATGCTCCAGACTGTCCACAACCGGCAGGCCTTCGGTGGGCTTCAGGATCGCGGCGAAATACATGTAGCCGCTGTCCCTGTGTTTTTGAGCCTCACTGTCAGTTTAATATCATCTGTTGCATCACGAGATATTTGATATATACGACGAAATTTATGAAATAATGAATTCAAGAGACCAAGGGGAGAAAAGCCATGAGAACGCTTACTTCAGTAAATCCGTTTGGCATGTAAGATCAACAGCTAGAACGCGTGTCCAGATGAACACCATAACAGGCTTCAACTCATTTGCGGCAGATTGTAGCAGCTTCAGGACATACGGGAAGATACCGATGCTCAAAGCAAGGTTCACGGCCCAAGGACCCATGTCAAGGAATTTGCCCAAGAGGATCAGAGCTCGAACACGATGTTGTTGACTTAGAAGGACCTGAAGAACAACTGGGAGTTGATCAGGTGCTTTTTGAGTAACTGCGCCTTGATTCAAATAGACCTCAAATGCAGTGAGCTGCTCTGTGAAGAAACTTGAGTTCTGGAACTCGTAATCAGGTCGAATACCGGCCTCTTTCTCTTCAAGCATTGGCAACTGAGCAAGAGCCATTTCCACGGCCAGATCCCAGCTTTCCCACAAGGGGTGTTGATGAGTATCAGGAAGCTCGGGGAAGGACTGAGGATGACAATTGTATGCAGCCATGATTCTTTGGGACAACAGAAAGTTGCGGAAGAGAGCTGCTACCATGAGATCTTGTCGGAAGAACTTGCGAAACAGTGGTCGAGGAAGGGTGGTCCATGCAATTGTGTCAGTAATAGCAGTGAAGATCCAGTTCAGCTCCCCCAATGGTGTTCGTCTCTCTTGCAGTCTGCCGGGAAGCTTCTTGGCTCGTTCAGGCGTAATTTGCGAAGGTAGGGGATTCTGAAGGACGAAGAACCAAAGCGCCATCTCGATTGGAGTTGTTAGGCACGATGTAAACACATCTGCTGGCAACAATGGGTTGGTAGGGAGGTTCTCCTTCACACCACATGCAGCCAGGTGTATGTATGGTTCGTAGGCTTGGACGACATAGTTGGGATCCTTGGCGAGGTTATCGGCCTCTTCTTGCTTGTGCTTCTCGACGAAACGATGGAAGTTGTTCAGAATATTGCCGGCATCAGAGCAGTCCCAAACATAGAAAGTCGGTGCTTGCAGCCAGGTTTGGAGGTCAAATAGGGACACTGGGATATACTGAGTATAATTCTTATTGAAGACCCAGATCTCTCCAGAAGCAGTCGGCTTAGGAACTCCGTGACCGTTGTAGTGGAAAAGAACTCTCTCCTCCTTCGCATTTCGTCGGAGGGATTGACAAAACTTCTTCGTCTCTTCCACTGAAGGATCTAAATACTGCTTGTATCTCGTCCGAATCGCCAAGGTCTCGTATTGTGCTTGGAGTGATTTGCCAATGACTTCGAGAGCTTTCTGTACGGGCGGACTGGTAGGATCTTGCCACGCTTCCATCTTCGCGCCTGGATTAGTCTTCAGCTGATCAGGTGGTTCTACTCCGATGTTCAGACATATGGCCAGAGCAGCCGAGACAGTCTTCAGTCGGTCCTTCATGCGCCAATCTTGCAGCTCGTAGCCCAAAGGCTTGGGGTTTCCGGTCGTTTCATGGCGCTTGTCTGTGAAGTACATGTACCAATTCTGGGTTTGATCATTAGCCTCCAGCTCTGAGCAATACGGCTTGAAGTCTGATAAGGACTTGGCGACCCATGAACGTTCTCTGTCTAATGCGACGCGTAATAGAAGGGTATGGACAATATGAGGGCACTGACTGCCCAGCGCATCCCACAGGCTCTGGCTGTAATAGCTGCGCGCCTCGAAGCCCATGGAGACTACCGAGCCCGTATCTTCACTCTCGAGACGAGGCATTGTTGCAGAGCATTTGGCAGTTGAAGGGAGGATGGATGCTGGCGGGAGAAATGTTGAGGAAGGAACCACTCGGTTTGAATGAACTAGCTGGTTGCATTTCGCAATATCCAAATCTGGAGTGCGCTTGAAGAACATCAAAGAACACAACTTACATTTGCCAACTGAGAAACATATTCTTCTGACGCATAATGGTCTTCGAAACCATGCCGCGCTCCCCAGTCCTGAATATCTTCCTCTGTATCTGGTTCTTCTCCTCTCGGTCCGAAGTCACTCTTTGCTCGCTGCAGCAGTGGTTTTGGTCTGCGTCGCACTTTATCTGTTTCCGAATCATCCTGCGATGATTCTCCCACACCGTTAGGAGCCGAAGATGGTCGGACTTGCAGAGAAGCTCGTCGATCACGTTCTCCAGCATTCGTTGTTATTGCTACCTTCTTAGTGGAAGATGGTCTTTCTTCCTCATCGGAGGGCTGCATACGACTTCCGTTTTGTTGTACAGAGTTGCTGTTGTTCAGCTGATATGAGTTTGCCCGATTTGCGATTCCATTTTGGGTGGGGGCTTCTTGTCTTTCAACCTGAGCCTGAGCTACAGATGTATAGCTTTGTGGTCGGGACTGATTCGGCGACATATTGGAAGAATGTGGTGATTGTCTAGGATTGTATTGTTGGCGGTGCGATCCATGCTGTTGTTGCTGAACTGCAACAGCCGTCATGGTCATGGTCGGTGAGAAGTCGAACTCCTCAGTCTCCCAAGCCCCGCATGTGTTTATATGATCTGAAGCAGCTCTTTGCACCCGCTGATCTCAATCGTCTCGATTTTGTGGTTGGCAGCTACTCGGTATCGAATTGGGAAGCTCTGGAGCTGGAAGTCAGTCAGGCAAACACTTTTGTCATAGCCAGTTGTCAGCCAACCTACCCTATCGCTTTTACTTTTGTCTCGCACTTGGTTTTCGTTACTGTTACCTGCGCCAGTATTGAAGCTATTGCAGAGGCGCAATGATCTTGAGCAATGCTGCAACTGGTGTTGATGGAGCAAAGCACAACGCTGCTTTCAAGATCGAAGTAATTCGGGAGTCACGAGCGAGCCTTGTCGACCAACGGCAACGGATTAACAATATACCGCACCTAGCGTCATTCGCACAGTGCTAGGCCGGCATTGGATCAACAATAGGCCGAGACTACTATCATAGAGGCTGAGAAAGATTCACGCCAGACCCACAGCTACGCACCTTTGATCTTCTCAGCATATCCAGAAGCAATCCATCACACACCCCTTTTCAACCGATGCAGGTACGAATCTTCAACACGGCAACTCAAAGGGAGACCAGGTGACCGCAATGGAGACCCAATATACGGCTATTACTGGGATGCATGGTGACCCACAGGGCACTTTGACTCTGCTTCACATCTCAGCAGACTTCTGTACGCGCCGAGGTCCCCTACTGGCTGGTACTTTCAAGAAATGGCCAATTGCAGTAGCAATCAAGGATAATTTGACAGCTTCAATCACTTCTACACCAGACGATGACGCACATAATGTTGATGAGATCACACAAGGCTGCATAATAGATGCTGTTCGTTTTCAAGTGCAGAAATAATGAAGCAAGGGATTTGGTCGTTGTCCAATGATGATCATGAGCTCATCTCGCTATGTTTCGGGTACAGAGGAGGGTCTATTCTTGATCTCACAATTTTAACGAGTACACTGCTGAGTTGCGTTCCAATGAAGACTGATCTGGTACAGGACTCGATCCATCAAGCCCGCCCGTACGACCTCTATGCAATGTTACCTACTCTGACTCCAAGATGGCTCTGTGGTCCGGTCCCAGTCCAGCGTGCTCCAGAATGTCTGTGGCGTGAGGAAAAAAAAGCTTATCGATAATGAGCAAAGCGCCCCCTTTTGAGACCCAAGAACATCGTACCATCTGGCCATTCGACGGCGGATGCGGTGGCTGCACATGGAAAAGGGTGACGGCAATAGGCCGTGCAGTAGCGAAGTATTCTTGGATGCTTGCAGTATCGTCAATCGGCGAATAGGGGAAGCGATGGGAGGTCAACCGAAACTTCCCTCACAAATTCCATGGCCCTCCGTTTATGCACCGCCAATCCGGGAAGATCGTCTGTCCGTCTGCACTGGTCACCTGCACTGATTCCCAGCAAATCCTCGTCAAGCTTCGTGATACACTCTTCTCTTCGTTGTTTTTCAGCCTCTCGATATTCCTTCCAGCCACACGGCAAGGGGTGGCGGCGAGCTGTCATGTCATCCGAAGGAACAAACAACCTTCTGGAGCAAAACGAAAAGTTTCATCATGACTTGCTTCTCCAGAGTTCGCGCCTCGCGGAAAGATAACTTTAAGATCGGGCTATAGATCATGAAACAACGGCCGTTGCCCATTGCAGCATGGTTCACTCACTAACTGAGACAAGCAACGCGCTGTGGTCCTGTGAGAGTTCGTCTTGGGTCAGGGGTATTGACTCCCCGAACGGAGCACGGTAGAGCACAGTAGCGTCGTTGGCAGCAGCTTGAAAAATTCAGTGGGAGAAGGGGATATGGAGAGACAAGATGGGTTAGGACGGGACTCATGGGATGGGACATTGGGTGAAGAATAACTGGAACAGAACAGAATAGGGACTAGGGCAGCTAGGATTCTACTTGAATATAGTACTGCTTTTGGAGTGGGCTTTTATGCTGCAACTCTTTTTGATATTTTGATACTGGTATTGATATCAATATCAGCCTCCATCTACCCGTCTTCCTTTTGCATTCGATTGCATATCCCCGCAATACTGCAGTGAATCTAATCTAAAAGAACGAGTATACAATCATTTCCAGGGACAGACTCCAGACTTCATTGCTGCTCCCACTCCACCAGTCGGCCAGTTCTGTGGTTGCGCCTACTGTGCTGCCCGCCGTGGCACCGAAATATTTTGGCGAACGCAAGAGGATCCTGGACAAGCATCCTTGAAAATAAAGGTACAACAACGACAATCTCCATTAATCCAATTTCGCACCAGACCCAACGACATCTCCGAGCAGGAAAGGGTCTGAGAATAATTCGAGCATTCGCTATTCAACACTCGCATAGCACGTTCTCTTATTCTCCTCCGCCTCCCTCTTCCGCTCCTTCTCTGCGGCGGCTGCGAAGGACGAACGTCGTACTACGGCGACAAGCACGACTGGGCTTTGATCGCGCATCCATCTGCCAGCCATTTTGCACGCCGGGAAAAGTTGGGGCCCGCTCAGACAAATTTGTCCCACGACAGAAACAACCCTCGACCTCCTCCCTTCTCACCTCTGCTACATCAAACACGATTCCGACTCCGAGGTGCATCGATCGAGACAGCGAGAGACCGAGGGCCCACGAGAGAGACGACACACTGGCATAATAACTGACGAGGGCCCGCCTCGTATGGCACGATGGCATTCCTCTTCGGCAAGAAGAACAAGAATGTGGACAAGGCCATGAAAGATGGCTCGGGAGGTGTCGCAGGATCACAAACCTCATTCTCGACGACGGCGAATGGGCGGGTCAACGAGAAGGGCGCCAGCCAGCAGTCGTCAACGCCAGGAAGCAGCGTCAATAATTCCATCACGTCGCTCCAAGGAGGTGGAGCCGCGACACCCAGTCCCGAGCAAGTAAACGGACGGCGAGCTCCCATTGCAGAACAGGCGCAAGACCTTCCGGTGAGTGTCTTGGATTAATCACAGCGATGGGAATGGGCGGGAGGGTTGCGCAATCTCGTTCAGGAGAAATGCTGCCAATTCTTTGCGAATGCTAACGCGATCAATAGTTACGGAACGGCTCTGCGCCCGCGGTTCAATCGATGAATTCAAATCCTAATGCCTCGCTGTACCCGTGGTCGGTGCGAAAATTAACATACACCACATCGCATCCGAGCCCCTTCCCTCGATATGGCGCCGCCGTTAACTCGGTGGCCTCGAAAGAGGGCGACATCTACCTCATGGGCGGTCTCATAAACAGTTCTACAGTGAAGGGTGATCTATGGATGGTCGAGGCTGGAGGGAACATGGCTTGCTACCCATTAGCAACAACGGCTGAAGGTCCTGGTCCCAGAGTAGGACATGCGAGTTTGCTGGTTGGGAACGCTTTCATCGTATATGGAGGCGACACCAAGATGGAGGACGCAGATGTGCTGGACGAAACGCTCTATCTGCTCAACACCTGTGAGTTGAATTAATTATACATTTGGGATTATGCTGACAGGAACAGCAACTCGACAATGGTCAAGAGCAGTACCCGCAGGACCTCGACCGTCTGGACGATACGGCCATTCCTTGAATATACTGGGCTCGAAAATCTACGTGTTTGGAGGTCAGGTCGAGGGATACTTCATGAATGACCTGGTTGCATTTGACTTGAACCAGTTACAAGTTCCAACAAACAGATGGGAGATGCTTATCCGGAATAGTGACGATGGAGGGCCTGCGGTGGGCCAGGTACCGCCTGCGAGGACAAACCACTCCATTGTGACCTATAATGAGAAGCTTTATTTGTGAGTGGTATGAATCCTGCGCTAGTGTTGGTACTGATCATTTCAGGTTTGGTGGAACGAATGGCTTTCAATGGTTTAATGATGTTTGGTGCTACGATCCAATCCCTAATGCCTGGACGGTTCTCGATTGTATAGGATACATACCCGCACCCAGAGAAGGCCATGCAGCAGCGATTGTCGACGATGTAATGTATATCTTTGGTGGGAGAACGGAGGAGGGGGCAGATCTGGGAGACCTGGCAGCATTCAGAATCACTTCGAGGAGGTGGTATACATTCCAGAATATGGGCCCTTCGCCATCGCCGAGATCTGGACACAGTATGACAGCATATGGGAAGCAAATCGTTGTTCTAGCTGGTGAACCAAGTACAGCAACCCGAGAAGCTGGAGATCTTAGCCTCGTTTACCTCTTGGATACAAGTAAGATTCGATACCCAAACGATCAACAAATACAAGCATTCCAAAAAGGGGAGACACCGAACGCTGACCGAGTACCTGGCGCTAGACGGCCGAGTGGATCTGAGAGAGGTGGCATGGGTGCAAGCCGTGGTTTGAGCTCTAGAGATGGATCTTCAGGACCGCCAGAAGCAAAGAGGCTGATGGGACCACCAATCAGAGAAGCACCCCGAGAAAGTGCCATGGGACCTGGATATGGACGAGGTAATGGGCAACCTGGTGTTAACGGCAACGATATGAACGGTGTAGCTCCTGGCTCGGCACAGCCACAAGGTGCGCCACAAGGAGCACAACAGGTACCGCAACAGGGACCTCAACAGGGACCTCCAGGAGGATCCAAATTACCAAGAGCATCGATGGCCCAGACACAACCAGGGCCTCCACCACAGCAACAAGCACCTTGGCCGAATGGCGCGATACCAGCAGCCAATGGGAGAGGGAAGCCTCCAGGAAAGCCAGAGAGAGGATTTGGACCAACAATCGATACAGGTGTCCGGAACCCAGCTGTTGAAAGAGCTGCTGAGAGCGTGGCTTCCCCGTCACAGAACAGGAATATGTCTCCAGGGCCGAGAGAGGCAAGAGAAAGCCCGAAGACGAGAGAAAGTCCAACCACGAATGGCCGCCGAACTCCGACACAAGCTCCGCAAGCATCGAAGCCAGCTTCAAACGAGAACGGCCCACCTGTCAGTATGAACACTGCAGGAGGTGGGTCAACTCGTTCTTCGTCCAAGAGCAGACAAGGTCGCCAACAAAGTTCGATAGACAGCACGAGCGAACAGTCCTCACTGCGGAATGTAACTAATGCCCGCCAATCCTCGCCTCCTCCAAGTGGACCTTCCCGACAGACTAGCAATCCATTGGCACGCAAGGGATCAGCACGGAATTCACAAACCGTCGCCATATTGAAGGAACTGGATGCTGCCAAGAGCAGGAATGCGTGGTTGGCATCTGAGTTAGAGCTCGCAAGAAAAGCTGGCTACACGCCAAATCCATCCAGTAGCCCGATACTTGATCAGAGAGCCGCCGAATCATTCGACGACGACGACAAGCCCTTAATTGAGGCTTTGATTGCTATGAAGACCGAGCTTTCGAATGTCCAGGGATCAATAGACAAGCAGGCGGTCCTTGCTGCCAAGCAAATTGCCGAAGTGGAGAAGCAGAGAGATGCCGCTGTCAGTGAAGCTGTGTACGCGAAGGCAAGACTTGCAGCGCACAGTGGTAGCCAAAGCAGCACGCCTCAACCTGATGTTGACGCCCGAGATCTTGGAAACATGTCAAGTGACAGATCAACAGACATCAGCAAGAAACTTGCCACTGCACTCGCCGAACAGCGCGACTTGAAGAACAAGGTTGAGATGTTGACATCTGAACTTGAAGCTGAGAAGCGTGGTCGAAATCTAGCCGAGGACGTTTCTAACAGTGTTCAAACTCGAATGGCTGAACTCGAGGCTTACAAGCAACAAAACTCCTCCGAAGTAGAGCGATTAAGGGCTGAATTGCACGAATTCCAGACTAAGGCGAGAGAGGAAGCCATTATATGTGCTGAGGCTGTTGCTGCCGCTCAATTGATCCAGGTTGACAAGGATGAGCTAGAAGTGAAATATCGAGAGGCAGTCGGATCCAGCAAGGACCATAACGACACGTTTCAGTCTCTTCGAGAAGCAATGGCTTCGTCCAACGACATGAAGAGTCTTCTTGAACGCAAGCTTGAAGAAGAGCGCTCGCAGAGGGAAAAGATCGAGACGAAGCTTTCTCAGCTCAAAGCAGAGCACGAGAACCGAACAACCGAGCTGGAGTCTGTCAACCGAAAGTTGCGAGACGCCGAAGAGATCGCGGAGAAACATGCCGCAGAGGCTCGCACTCATCGGCAAGCTGTTCTGTCTGGCCTTGATAGAGTCGCGGCCCGTGATGTTAGCTCAAATTCCTCTTCGAAGGACGACCGAGCAGCTGCTCTACAGGCACAAGTTCAGTCTGCCAATGCTCTTGTCCGGAAATACCAAGCAGCCGCCGACAGCGCGTCCGAGAAGTTGCGTAGCGCTGAAGAACGTATTGCCGGTCTCGAGGCTTATCAGGAGCAAGCTAGCCGAGAGGGCATGTCTATCCGCAAACAGCTTCAATCTACGATGCGAGAAGTGCAGACTATTCAAGCCAGGAACTCCGACCTGCAATATCAACTTGCTAACCAGCAGCTTGAGGCCAATGCAGTTCATGTCCAGCACAATACCCTGAAAGAGATTCTAGGCGAACGAGGCATCAGCCCGTCGGGTGCAGCCAGAGCGCGTGGTCTATCCAGTCCTAATGGTACCACTACCCCAGATATTTCTAGGCTTCGCGAGCTGGAAGGACAGCTGGCCGCTAGTGTGCAAGCTCATCAAGAGACTAGACAGACATTTGATGCTCAACAGCAAGAAGCCGAAAGCATGTACAGAGAGAAGCTTGGCCAGCTTGAGAGCGACTACCAATCAGCTGTTCACTACGTCAAGGGTACTGAAAAGATGCTCAAGCGCATGAAAGACGAATTGGCAAAATACAAAGCAGACAACACACGCCTCAAGGAGCAGCTTGTCGAAGCAGAAGAAAAGGGAGCTACTCCACAGGCACCCGCTGGATGGGAGGAAGAGCGTGCCTCTTTGACGAAGCAGATTGAGAAGCTGCAGGCAGAGACGAGCTTGTCAGTTGGTCAATTGGAACAACAACTTGCGGAAATCAAAAAGGAACTAGCTATTTCCCAACAGAGACATGACGAGCTTCGAACGAATCACGAGTCTGTCCAGAGACAACTCACGTCATCGGCTCAGAAGTCACAGTCTGACTTAGTACAATTGCAACAAGAGAATGCTCTTCTGGAACGCAGAGCTCAAGATGCCGAACAGAAGGTGTCATTGCTCTTGGATCAAGTTGAATCTTCGGTCGACAATTATCGCCGTCAATCGAGACAAGTTGAGAATGCTAGCATGAACAATAATACGCACCAGCGCACAATGTCAGGTGCGGACTCTGTGTCGGAGACGTCATTATATGATGGAGGCAACAGGAATTCATTAGCACTCGACAGTCTCGCGAATGAGCTCGAGACCCTTCGATCGCATTGGGAGAACACCAACAAGAACTATCGACTAAGCAACGCCTTCGATTTCGAAGACCGAACCACGACTCGAGGAGCTGACAATGGTTTAAGTGCGGCAAATGTCGGTGATGGCCTAAGCGGTAGTCTCGCGGATTGGAGAAAAAGACTCGATGAAGAGGAAGAAGTAGCACGGAGTAGGAAGGGCAGCGAAAGCGCCATTAGTCCCACAGGTGGCAAACGGGAAATGAGTCCTAGTGGAAAGGAAGTCGGTGCTGGGGGTGCCAATAAGAGCCAGATCAATTTGATCTAATTGGGTATTACTTTTCTTAGGAGCAACGAGAATGGAAGGGAAATCTGCATATACGCTCACACGACTTCTACTCGTTCTGGATCATCATATTTTTCTCTGGCGGATGGCTGACTTCGGGTTTGATTAACTGGGCGTTTTTACGGACTCTTTTCGCTTCTACACTAAGTGGTACTTTACAACCTCCCTGTTCTCGATCACGCGTGCTCACCTGGTTTGGGCTTTTGACTGACGAGATGGGGGGATGAATTAAAGTTTAATTTCTTATGTTTGATTGACTAACTCTTCAGTGGACTACTGAAGAAGAGGGTGTTTGTTGGATTTTGTTGTTGTTCTCGTTTTATTTATGTTTTTCGCTGTGAAGGGAGGAAGGGATATACATAAATGATGATTATGGGATAGGATGGAGTTCTTCTTTTCGTTTATCTGAGAGGAGAGGGTAGAGGGGTAAAGAGGGGGAGAGGTGGAGGGGTGGATGCGGGAGGGGGGAAGGGGAGAGGGGGATAAAAAGATAATGTACAATAAAATATGGATTGTGGTGTAAGTGTTTCTTTGAGGGAGAGGGAGGAGTGAGGTAGAGTAGGGTATGGTAGAGGTGATGGAATGGAGGCAAATGAATGTGATGCATGATTGATTTATGGAGAGTTGAAGCTTGTTTGGAGTGAAGGGGAGTGAAGGGAAGTGAAAAGTGACGTGTGGATGATGCGTATATATACTTGTCCCTTTTTCGTGTTCCAATATTCCCTGATCCTTTGTCACTCATGTCGAATTATTGATGTGTACTTTTCGGAAGATCTAATGATCCATTCCATCTTGGGAGCTTTATTATAGCACCCGACAAAAAGATCACGACATATCCCTCAAAATCAAAACGAACATTACAACCAACCTCCTCTCCGCCGACGTTTGTCACACGATAGGAAAGCTCGCTCAAATCTCACTCAAACACATGCATACCTCCCCTCCTAACAACTAAACGGCAACAAACAACTCAAACTCGCCTCCTCCTTCCAACACAACTCCATCCCCCTCAAATCAACCCCCAACCCCACCGGATTCCCCGCATACCACCCGTTCGGCATCGTCTGCCAATCCGCCGAGACGTCCATCTCTACCGTCCACGGTAGTTCTGAGTCGATACTCACGTGGTCTGGCATTATTCAAACATGGTTAACATCAACATCAGCTGCTCTCGGAAAGAGGAAGAGGAATAGGAAGGAGGGGTAGGATTGGGGAAAAGGGAACTCACGCCCTAAAATCATGCTCGCATCGCCCAGATGGACGCACTGCCCGTCATAGACGTCGAAGGAGGCGGTGTTGTAGTAGAGGTATTGCGTTGCGCGGAGGATGCAGGTCGAGGGGAGGGATTCGATCAGGCAGGGGATTTGGCCTTGGTAGGCGCCTGTGCCGTCGCGGGGTGGGGTGGGGGATAGGGCGTTTGCTAGGGTGGGTAGGAGGAGGAGGAGGAGGAGGTAGAGGGTGATGATGAGGATGGTTGCGTGCATGGTCTTGGTCATTGTGATGGCTTTGGGGACTTGTGCGCGTTGAAGTTGTTGTTGGGAGATATCTGGACGTACTGTAAGATTTTGTTTTGTTGTCGGGAAATGGTTGTGTTGGTGGGCAGCTGGGAGCCCAGCTACATAGATTTTTTTCGAGGATATTTTATAGAAATATAGAATACCTGAGAAGTGCTCTTAATGTGAGGAGGTCCTGCTGGATTCGGGAATAACAAACACGTATTTCATTCAGACTTGGAGTTGATCATCATGTAGCGGTTCTGTGTTGAGTCAGCACATACATCTCATCATTGATCCTAAAAATCATAAGATCATGTTGTTCCGGAGCTTGCAGGAAATGCCCATTTCAAATTGGCGATTTATGTCTTCCTACCGCTTTTGGAACCATGTGATCATATATATACACTAGCTCTAGGGCAGATGCCTCTATCTCTACGGTGGGTCTAACAAAGCAGAATAGGGATGAGTGACTAAATTGGGGACTGGGACGGAAAGTGACAAGCGACGGACGAGGGAAACCCAACTCTGTGTAGTGTGGTGCTTCGGGACGAATTTGGTTACTATCAGTGGTGGAGATCAGGGGCTTGACTTGATTGAAGGTCGAAGAATAAGGAGATATGAGGTATGATTCATGAATATTCTACGGGAATGGGGTAAGATGAATTGTGCAAAATTATCTGCGAATCATAGGGAGGAATATGAAAGATGAATCAGATTGACAAGGCATACATCCTCTTCAGCATGTCGTTCGGCAAGAACATGAATAAAAGTATGCCCAGTGTCCAGAAATTGGTATGAGATTTTCCTTAAGACAGAAACTACATTGAGAAGAACATAAACATGCTACATAACGCAATTTGAATGCCGATCAAATCTTCGACCCGTGCTACTACTCACAGTTAATTCATAGGCAAATGCCAGAATCACTCACACAACAACAACACTCCCCTCACTCTCCCCTTCACTCTTCTTTTCATCCCCCTCTCCCTTAGCAACCTTACTCTCCTCTCTCTTCTCTTCCTCAACTTTCTCAACAACATCCTTCGTAGCATCTGCAGCACTGTCATCCAAATCCAGCTTCCCCTCCCCCTCCTCCCACTCCCTCGGCCGACAAACCTTCACCGTCACCCCGCTCCCCTTGCAATACACCCTCAGCCCCACAACAGCGACCGCGTTCCAGGGATCGCGCTCGAACTCATCTTCGTCGTCATCGTTGGGCGGGAGAGGAGGGGGGAGAGAGGCGTCGGCTGCGAGTTTGGCGTCCAGAATCGCGTCGGAGACCGCGGAGGAGGAGATGTCGGATACGACGCTGTTGAGGTCTGAGAGGTCGTCGTCGTCGAAGTCGTCGAAGGGTGGGGGTGGTGGGAGGGGAGGGAGGGGTGCGTTGGGGTCCGAGGTTGGGATGTCGGTTGGTGGTGCTGGTTGGTCGGGAGTAGGCTTGGTTTCGGTGGCTGGTGGGGTAGGATCTGAGGGCTTAGTGTCTTCCTTGGGAGTTTCTTTGGGTTCTTCTTTGACTTCGGGTTTAGACTCTTCCTTGGCTTCTTCCTTGACTTCGGGCTTAGGCTCATCCTTGATCTCTGGCTTGGGTTCGTCCTTGACTTCTGATTTGACTTCAGTTGCGGACTCTGTGGTCTCGTCTTGTTTCTTGATCTCTTCAGCAATCTCAGCTTGAACATCCTCCTTTTTCTCCTCTTTCTTTTCGTCTTTGGCCTCATCTTTCTTAGCCTCTTCAGCCTCCTTGGCCTTTCTCTTCTCCATACGGGCCTTCTCCTTCTCCTTCCGTTTGGCATTAGCAGCTCTCTGCTTTCTCAAATCCCTATTTTCAACATGTCGCCTCTTCTTTTTTTCCTTCATCAATTTCTCCTTCATCTCCTTCTTAGCCTTGGCTTTCTTCTTTGCCTCATAAGCCTTTCGAGCTTTTTTCTCATCCTCAGTCTCGACGACTTTACCTTTTGCCATCGCCATATCGTAAGCGAGACCAATGCGCATCAACTTATCCCGACGATCCTTGGCATTGCTGCGGATGACATCTTCGACAGAGTATCCATAGTCGTTCTTCTCGGCCTCGACCTTCATCAAGACGTGGTATTCTCCAGCCTCAAGATCCAATTCGGCAGTGACGGATCGTCGCATCCAGTAGTTGCCGTGGGAGCGGACAATGTAGTCTTCTTCGCCAGCTTTGTGGACACGGAATGAGAGCTCAAAATTATATTGACCCTCAAGACCGCAGAAGTAGCGTTGATCCAATTGTGACAGGACAATGACCACAGAAGCGGCATTCTCGAGCGTGAAGTGGAATTCGGTGTCTTGGTATCCAACTGTCCATGGGACTTGAAGAGAAGTCCATTGTTGGGTGACTTTCCATTCATCGTTGAAAAGTCGTGTGCGATCGAAGGTTTCGTACTTCTTCAGTAGATCATCGTAGGACATCCAGAAGGCACCATCATCGCCGAATCGATGGTCGAGCTTCTGCATCCATTCGGGCGTCCATTCCTTACTGCCGTCGCCTGTCGCTAATTAGCATTTTCCGCTTAACAGGTTTAGCAGACTTACTCCAAGGCCCATGCCACTCTCCCTCTCCCCAAGGATTGCGAACAAGAACAAGTCTCTGCCCATCCATCTCAACCGCTTTAAGGATAGAATATGCGTGACCTTCGTAGATACCCTTCCGGTTTCCACGACCCCAGAAGATACCAGCAGCACATCCGAACAAGAAGTCCTTGTTGACGTTCATGAGTTCTTCGTTCCAGAAATACTCTTTGTCAAGGATGTCGGTACTGAATATCTCAGTTGTGACGCCTCCGGTCAAATCTTCGAGACCTTCACCAGTGCTCCCTCCTTCAATGGCAGCATAATCCTGATCTACTGTCAGAGAAGCAGAGATGATATGAGGGTATGACTTACACCATGAGCCTTGGCATAGGCCTTCTCTAGAAGAGGAAGCCAAGTCTCGTTCGGATCCTCGCATTGAGCAAAGTACAAAGCTCCAGAGCCAGACTACCAACGTCAGTCAGCAATAGCAATCACATATGGACTCCTAATTTACCTGATAGATCTTTCTATAGTCCTCTTCAGAATTGATTCTTTGACGATCCTCAATCAGATTCCTCTCAATCCAACTCTCGTCATAATCCGGCTTCGTCAAGTAAAGCTTATCGTCAATAATCTCACTGACCCATTCTCCATCTCGATGGAAGACGAAACCATAGACACCGACTTGCTCATCTCGAGCAACGCAGACCTTGGGAATTAGATCCGCCTTGTTGCCCAAAGTACACAACGCAGCCATGAACCAACAATCGCCATCCCGTCCTTGACGAATATCATTCGCATTCGCACCACCAATATAAAACTTAGGATCCTCAAAAATGTCTCCCACTCTCTTCACGCTTCCCGGGCTGAACCCAAAATCGAAGTTCCACATCGAGTCATCGTCGTCGTCGTCGACATCATCCTTCTTGCCACTGAGCATGGTGAGACAATCTTTCTTACCCCACTTCAAGTCGAACTCGATGTCGAAGTGCGGATCGCGGTACTTCTGATTGACACGACGACATTCTTTGACGATCTTTGCGACTTTATCTTTGCAGTTCTGGGCAGCTTCCTCGTATGACTTGACAGCAGGTTCGGGTCTAATGGTGCCTTTGGGCTGTTGCTCGCGTGCTTTCTTCGCGTAGACGTTTTTGGGGAGGACGGTTTCCGCTGCGTGAAGTGATTAGCGCACTTGGTACATCTCGCGCAGGTAGGATGCCACTCATACCAATGCCCGGAGTCTTGCTATTGAACTTGGCCCAAAATTCGTCAATTGCAGCTTGTGGTGCAATCTTCTTGGGCTTCTTGGCTGGTGGTTGTGGAATCAATACCATCGGGACGTCTTTCGCTTGGTCAGGGCCGCTTCGTCCACTGACTGCGCTGCCAGCTTCCGACCGAGCATCTCTCGGCTGCTGTTGCTGCTGCTTGGGCCCTGGCCCTCGGGGTCGGAATCTATGCGGGATCATGATGTTGGAAATTGATCGTGTCGGCTTCGTACTTTTCCTGGCTGAGAATATATATCGAGCTGTAGATGTTGCCTTCGGTCAATTGATATCAGTCGTCACCTCACTCCTGCCTAGCAATGGCGAGAGAAGAAGAAAGACAGCTCATGATTTTGGGGGCTTCAGCCTTATGAGCTCCAGCTGATCCCTGCAGCCTGCCCTGCCAGCCTGCCTCCCCAGGGTGTGATTCTTCATGCTGGTGCTGACCACAGGTGCGGCTGAGATCTCCCAGCCAACCAATTTACAGGTGCACCGTATTTGCGGCCAATGGATTGGTTCAGGGCTGCACTCCTCGTAGGATTCTATCCAGGATCAGGATAGCTCAAGCTCCAAGTAGCAGCTAATTTGATGGTGGTGGAGTTTGGCCCCCAACTTGCATCTGGTGTAGGAATCTCACGCCATTATGTGGGTTTTTGCAGTGGATATATAGCACGACGGGGTGTCGGTGAGAAGGTTGAGTTGAGAACGACCAAGGCGAGAAGAGGGTGGCTGACTGTACATCCCACCCACCCCCTAATTTCGAGTGACGATAGTCGAGATCCTCCGCGGCTCCAACCGTCTTATAGAGACGCCAGACCAAGCCTATCAGCGCTTCGACCTCGTACTCTTGGCCCTGGAACACATCCCGCCAAAATCCATCATCCGTTCTTCACATCGAGCTTTCGAGCTTCAGTATAAGTAAGACGCTACAGCTCGCCTCACCGCATAGTGAAGAACAGCCGAGGAATGTTGATAATTACTGTATCAGCTTGCATGCTGTGGTCGGTGCTATACTTCAGCTGCAGTCAGCGTCCATCTTGATACCCGCTAACGCCACCAGAACCACACCGAGTATTGCAAATCAACGGCGACAAATGAACTGGTTTAGTGATCATATCGCCGAGTATATACGCCTTTCAACAGGCTAAGCAAGGGATGTTCTAGGCTTGCTCAGGTGGTGGAAGCGCCACATGTGACTGTCATGTGGCGATGTCCATGTACAGCTCTCATACGGACAGTTCAAGACTACTTAAATTTGTTCGTAGAGAATGACATTGAATCCGGTAGATAAACGTCGTTTACAAAGTGTTATATATATAGATAAGAAGAGAAGAACAAGTTCATAGACACGTGATCAGTTGACAAGGCTCAAATGCATCTCAATGTAGTTCTGTTCACTTCTCTATCAAATCTAGACAAGAAAGTTACCTCGAATAGACAAAATGAATCTGCTCCCTATCTGTCAAATCCAAGAACTCCTCATTCCTCGCATAAACATTCTCATTCCCACTCTCCCTCAACGCCGCTTCCCTCCTCCTATTCAACCACCCCAAATAGAACCAAAGTCCCACCGGTCCCAAACACGCTGTCCCAAACGTGATGATCATGGTTTTGAAGCCTGTAGGATATACCGGTGCTTCACTTGACAAGAAAAACTGCGGACCAATAATAAATCCAGTCGCGTACCCAAAGAACATGATGGCGTTACCAACACTTCTCTTTGTATGTCCAGCGACATTGGAACTCATAAGCGAGAACTGAAGCGGTAGCCCTGCATTCGAGAAGCCCGTGCAGTAGAACCCGGCAAGACGACCTGCTCGATTGGATGACGGGAGGCAGTATACCAAAGCCGCGCCGAAGACAGCGGGGACGCACCAGAGGAACTGGTTTAAGCAGCGGAGATTGGGGATGTTGCGGGTGACGTAGCCAGCGGTGAGGAGAGCGATCGTTTCGCAGAGTCCGAAAGGCATGAGAAGGATTGAAGAGACGAAATTGTTGAAGCCCATCCCTTTGATGATTTGGGCGCCGAACTGGGACTATTAGCCGAGATACTGAGATAGGGGCAGGGGACGTACAAATGAGACGCCGCTGTTGGGAACCACGCAGGAAATAGCGTAGAAGAATGAGTAGTAGACCAGAGGATCTTTCAAGGCTTCTATGAGCTGGTACTTTTTGAACTCCTTGTTCGCTACGCCTGTTCGGTTGTTTCTCAGTCGTTCGACAGCTACGGCTTTCTCTTCCTCGTTCAAGAATTTGGCCTGGACAAGTTAGCTTGGATCTCTAGTGATTCAAAGAAAAAGGCTGGTGTATACCGTTAAAGGAGAATCTGGCATGAAAAGATAAAGCACAACCGCCCAAACCAAACCCAATATCCCAAAAATGATAAAGAACCATCTCCAGGTCGCGACACTCGTGTTTATGTGTCCAATCCCGTAGCTAACGAGAGCTTGAATGATGATCGCTACGCCATTTCCAGTGAACCAAAACGTGACTCGTTGAGGAATTTCGTCTTTCTTATACCACATCCCGGTGATGAGAACGTAGGCTGGTGATACACCACCTTCTGCCATGCCGAGAAAGAAGCGGCAGGCGAAGAGTCCAGAGAAAGACTTGGCTCCAGGCGTGCATAGGAGAATGATAGCCCAGGAAAGAGCGGTTGCACTGACGAAGCGGCCCAGTGGGAGGTAATTGAGCAGTCTGCCAGCGAAGGGTTGAAAAGCGAGATAGCCAAAATAGAAAGCGGATCTTATACCATCAGTAAAATCCCAGTCAAATTTGGACATTGAGAACATTACCCGCACCACGAGTACTCGTGTCCTTTGAGATTAAGTGATTCTTCTAGGCCATAAATGAAACTTTGAGCCATGACGCTTTTGTCCATGTACTGGAATAAATATGAGACGAACATCTGCTAGTTGTCAGTACTACTACTTGAGAAGGAGAAGGTAATCTACCAATGGCATCAGGTGCTTGTCAATCTTCCGTAACACCGCCTTCTCCTGCTCTGGAGTATAGGTGAACCCTTCATGTTTCTCGACGAAGCCGAAAGCTTCGTCGGCGTGCACTTGAAGCACCTCAGCAATCTCAATACTTTGACGTAATGCAGGCTCATCTGAGCCTCCCTTCGGAGTGTCGACCTTTTCAACAGACATGTTGATATACGACTTGTAGTTATGAGGACCAAACAACCTCCGACTTCTGGACCAGGAATATCACATCTTGTGACCCGGTGGCATTCTTGTATTCCCGCGCATACAGAACAACTTCCAACATTTCCAAGAGCCAACATTTCCAAAGATGGGATGCTGCTATGTCTGATAACGGATGAATCTTTCCATCGAAAGATGCAGACATGTGCGTCTTCGGGATTCTCCTTAATCCTTCACTGAAAAGCGCATATGTCCGTCGCGTGCCTGTAAAGACGTTCAGTTGCGAGAGACGAGAGATAACGCTCAATGGTGATACCAAAGGTGGGGAAGATGATATCTCATCTCCAAGTGGCTGCCGAATTCCGGATCTGCGTACTCCATAATCTAGCTCAAGGATCAACGCGAAGAGCGCATTAGACGAGTTTATCCGCTCTATAAAATCAGGGGGTGGCGGACATTAAGCGGTCTTGATTCGTAGATGTTATTGTCCACTTATGGCTTGCTTATCAACCTCAAGATCAATTCCAGAGAAATCAAGCTTATGCTCAAAGGAAGACCGGATATGCAAAGGATCGGCCAGGATGAAACGATTGAAATGTATTTCGGAATTCCATAGCCGCTGAGGCCGTCCTGACGAGCTTAGCCATACAGTCGCTAAGAGCAGTATGCATGTGTAGGTCCCTCCACAAGAGTGGGCTTTGGTAGCATTCGAGCTTACAACCTGAGCCAGAACCATATAATCAATGACATCGACCCCGCATTCTCTTATGTCCTCAACAATGCAGTGAATCTTCATCGCCATGTCCAGCACTGTGACAGAAACTTTGACCAAGCCTTTGGAAGCATTGAGTCTTCCTGTGGAGGAGCAGCAGCCTCGGTACACCAAGGTTCCTGGAGGCTATGAAGTCGAGTTCAAAGGCGCGAAATGGTTTACTGGAACAATTCCAAACGAGGCATACACACCTCCAAAGGACTTCGTCTTTCCAGGGAATTCTTCGCCTGTCGAACTAAACCCAAAAGGACAGACCGAGATACCACAAAAGTTGACAGCGGATTATACTGGTGTGAGTATCAACTAAGGGCCATGCCCTTCGTAATTAAGCTGACTAAAGCATATAGTATAAATACTCAAACTACCTTGCTCATGTCACCCTCACGGAAGAAGCTCCACTCGTACCATATGATCATGTGGACTGTGCTTTTCGAGCAGATCCGGAGAAGAAAGCTCTCTTTGCTGCTAGTACGTCAACTTGAAATTTTCTGGAGTGATACTGATCATGCATTCGTAGTCAAAGAAATGAAAGACATGACTCCTTCAATTGGGACTGAAGTCAAAGGTGTCCAACTGAGCTCTCTGTCCAGTCAACAAAAGGACGAACTTGCGCTCTGGGCTGCCGAGCGAGGGGTTCTGGTCTTCCGCGATCAAGATTTCGTCGATCAGACACCGGAATTCTTGAAGGAGTACGGTAGCCACTTCGGTCGACTCCATGTACATTCATTCGGATCGCATATGAAAGGCCACCCGGAGATATTGAGCAACCTTCGTGATAACGACAAGACAGTGTTCGACCATTACGGTGCAGGATATCTGACAACAACCAGATGGCACTCAGATATGACTTACGAGAAGTGAGTCTCGCACTCTACCATTGCTTGCGCATACTGATGATCTTTGCTAGAAACCCTATGGGCACGACCTTTCTCTGTGCGTTGGAAGTCCCTGAATGTGGAGGTGATACGCTTTATCTCAACAACATGGACGCATATGACAAGCTCTCGGAACCAATGAAGTTCTTCCTCGAGGGGTTGTCAGCCGTACACTCGGGTGCCCAACAATCAATCCATGGCAAGAAGAGCTCCGTATATCGCCGTGATCTTGTCGAGACGCTCCATCCCATCGTCCGAAAGCATCCTGTCACGGGCCGAAAAGCGCTCTGGTTTCCTCCCGAGTACGTCGCTGGTATCGTCGGGTTGAAGAAGGAAGAAAGCGACGCCATCACCGCCATGCTCTTCTCGCACCTGGAAAAGAGTCTCGATTTCCACACTAGGGTGAAGTGGGAGAAAGGTACCGTCGTGGTGTATGATAACAGGATGGTGTTGCATTCAGTTGTGCTGGATTATGCTCTTGGCCCCAATGCGAAGCGCCACCACATCCGCATTACCCCTCAAGCAGAGCGCCCGATTCCTGCTCGAGAGTCTTCATGATGCCGAACAAGTAGTTGAGGTTCGTTCTTTGGAAGTAGAGTTCATTGTCTGTCGTATCTAGGTCATTGTAACCATGTGCACCAGATTAAAGTGCTACTTGTTACGGCTACGTGCACGTGAGCTCGCTGAGTCATCTCGGTGAGCTCTGGGTCACGTGGAGGAGCACTGAGGAGCGGACGGGGCTCCTAG